TATTGAATCAAATTCTGAAGTCCACCGTTCGGAATGAATGGGAAAAGTGGAAGACGGAGAGTTTTCTGTTCGTTTGGTCATCGGGTGGTTTGGCCAGTTCTCATGGCCGAATGCGTTTGGTTCGGATTGTATAAAATCGATCAATACCACATCGGGAACGGCTACGGTGCTAATTGTACAATAGTTAGCACCGTCCTAATCAAGGGGAAAACTACTACTAGTTTGAATTAGTAGTGATTTAGCTTAGATGTTGTATTGATTTTATAATAATCCGTAGTGATTTTGTTATTTTTAGTAGCGTTTTTTGCTAGTTATCACGGTGCTAACCCCTATAAGGGTTAGCACCTAATCCCATCCTACCACATCACATCCACGTGGTATTGGCCAATAAAATAGGCTCTGCGGGTAATGAACTATCATTTCGGGGCCAATACTACGGTGCCGCTATAAAAAGTGCGGCACCGGTGACGCACTCTATGATTGGGCCACCTAAGGTATGATGTGGCAGCGGTTGGATTCATTAAAATCAATCCAACTCCATGGCTCACGAGAACTGGTTCAAACCAGAAGCTGCCCAAAGTAACGGACTAAGAGCTTCCGTTTTTCAATATTTGAATCCATCTTCCCTCACCGTTTTTGTATTCATGAAATTATTTGAAGTTCATTTGACGGCATTTGTTTATCTATGGGGTGAAAGAACGATCCAAAAAACATACCAGTAAAACAAATGGTGTTTATAAACTAACTGTTTTAATGAACAAAAAGTCGGCAAATTGATGATCCATTCACCTGCTTATCTAGAGTGTAAAAGTCAGTGTCATGTTCCGAGTATACAATGTCAGCTTGAAGTAACATAAAGAAAAAAAAAACAGAAGGAGAGAATGTTAACTAGATCCGAACCAGGATATCAAAGAATGACTTACAAATTCATGCAAAAGGATTTTCTTGATGCTGTCATATTCATTAAACCTTTGAGATCATCAGTTCTAAGCCGCAGTGATATATCCTTCCTAGTCACGGTTCTGAACAAGCAAACAAACTCGCACGAATCAATACGAAATTCGATGAAACCATATCTAAGTCAAACTGTTTGGATATTGGAACCAAAACAAAATTAGATCTCTAGAAGTTCAGAATCCAAAGGAAACAGTTACCTCATTGAATCACGGCTCATTGGCTGATGTCAGAGATGAAACGGATTGAGAATTGAGATATAACGCAATCTATACTATTTTTTATACTTACCTTGTTGGGATCCATAAAGCGAAGGCGCTGAGCAGGTAAGCTTGCTAGAGCCTCTGGAAATGGTGGAGAAGAAAGAAAACTCGTAGTTGGGTCCTATGTGATTGCCAACGATCCCACACCACTACTCAAGACCAGTCGACCAAACTTCTTCTCCTTCCCTTCTAGCCTTCTGCCGTAAAGTGTCTGTTGCCAAACTTAAACTTTGGCCGTCTTAATTTCACACTGCTGGAGAGCGAGAGCGAGAACAGACAGATGGTGCCGGAGATTGCAAGACGGAAGCTCTTCCTCCGTTACTTGGGGTAGCTTCTGTTTGGACCAGTTCTCGTGAGCGATTGGGTTGGATTGGGTTTAATGAATCCAACCGCTGCCACATCATATCTTGCCCAATCAGAAGAGTGCGTCACCGGTGCCGCACTTTTTATTGCGGCACTATAGTATTGACCTCATTTCGGAAACTCAAAAGGGCCTACAGAGAACAAACCAGGCCCATAATACCACTTAACCAATAGTTCGGTGATCCATCACACTGAAAAGCCCGTATTGAAGTTGGGCTTGGGGCATAGAAGTGACCGCAAGAAAACAAAATAGATGAAAGAGAGAGAGAGCAGCGGCATCGGGGAAATAAAAAGTCACGTGGGTGCACGTGAGAATAAGGGTGGTGGCCTCGCGTGCCGGCGTGCATTGCTTTTTTTTTTAATTTATTAAAATGTGGGGCCTCCTCGTGAACAGGCAGCTGTCTCTTCTCTGCCCTCTCTCTCCATCTGGCAGCTGAGCTGACTGACAATTTCGTCTTTCCTCCCTAATTTCTTTTATGTTTTCCAATTAAAACCCATGAGTTCTTTTTGTGACCAGTCTGACACGTCAGTGGTGTCAGTCCACCTATTTTGGTTCTTACTACTACTCTACTCTACTCCTTTCTGGTCATGTGAACCAGAAACCATACGAGTACGACTATAGATAATTATCCATACCGACAAAACAATAAAAATTATTATGGAGAATTTTTCATTTAAATGTGTGAAATGAAATGATCAAATGACCCCAAAAGACAAATTTAATTTCATTGTAGGTGGAATATCAGAATTGTGCATCTCGGAGAGTTGTATTTATCACATTAGTTGTCTCTATAATTAAGTAAAGCGATGTAAGGGTAAGGTCGTGGAATTTAAAATTACAGATAAGATGTGAACAATCGATGATTTTGTTGATGGTACTCACAATTCTATCGATTGTTCAATTTGTTTGTCTTTTTTAAAAAATGAAACCATTTCGTGTTGCTTTATTGTTAGTTCGTGGCAAACATCCTCAATGGCTTTTTGTTTCTGTCATTCGATGTCCTCCTGGAGCGTCGTATTACTTGGAGCTAACTCAGCTGAGCTCCTTTGTGCCATTTGAGACTGTTGATATTGTTGAGCACTGCTGACTGTTGGAACTGTTTATAAATATACTCTCAGATCCCTGGAAGAGAAAGATATATGTGAATAGAATATAAGGGACAAAAGAAGACAAAAGTTTATTAATAAGGTTGAGGAATATCTTGGGAAGAACTATACAATTTTGGAGTATTATAGGGGACCCTGGGGCTGGGGAGGGGGGACCCTGGGGCTGGGGAGGAGAAGAGAAGGCCCGAGTCTGGAGGTGACGGAGAAAGATTTTTGTTTGCTAGTGGTGCATATATGTTGAGCAAAGTGTTTTACATTTTCTTAGTTGTTCGTATTGTTATTGATCGGTTATGATGTATGCGAAGCGCGAGAAGAGATGAACATTTAGTTGTAGTGTGTTCGATTTTCTACACATACTATTTGCACCACAATGAGTCAGGAAATGGGCCTGGGCTTCATAAAGTTTGTTCCGGACTGCGAACTCCAAACGCGGGCTGGGCGGGAGATTATATAGGCCCAGTTCTCGCGAATACCCTGGCCCAGAAATACTAGAAGTAATCTTTGACCTGGATGTAGGATGTTAATCCATTTCAAGAGCTCAATTAGGGAGAAGCATGGATCATAACCAATCTGCCAATACCATCAGTTGTTACACCAGATCATGAACAGAAATATAAGTTGACTCTCCATGTTTCCATGATTTCTTCTTCTTCTGGGTACCTTAAACTGGAGAGACAGACAAGGATCTTGTTGTCTCTGGTCGCATAAAAATTTAGTATTGTAAACTGTTTTTTTGTTTTGTTTTGTTGTTGCATAATGCATAGTTCATGCATCTTGTCTAGGGCATTTTCCCCAGTAGCACTGCTGACACCAGGGGGTGTAAGGAAGCAAGGTCTTTAGCACCAAAAATTGATAGTCAAACCCTATGCCCCCAATAAATTACATGCAAAAAATCTATTAGATGAAGGAGAGAAGAAGACAAAAAGAGAGATGACTCAGAGAAGAGAAGGAATGGCATGGGGGCAGTTTTGACTATCTTCTCTCTGTCAAGAACTGTTTTGTGGGCAGGGCCAGCAAATTAATATTTGAGGCCTTGAAGGTGGAAAAGGGAAAAGAACACTGTTGCTGTAAGCCTGGGGAAGAGAAGAAAACAGTGGGAAAATGTATCATCTCAGTACTGCTAAAATCTTCTTCCCCCACAGCCAGCCTTATAAATCTCTGCCTCTGTTTGAGAGAGAGAGAGAGAGAGAGAGAGAGAGAGAGAGAGTTGGGGATTGGCAAATGTGCTCTGAGCTCGGCTGTGAACCAACTACATTGTCGGCCCTCATTACCACCATCTTCATACGAGGGAGAGCTGACTTTTGTTAGAGCTACTTCTTTGGTTTGTCTTATGCTCTGTATTAAAATTAGGATCTATTTATTAACTTATCAATTTCGATTAGTTAAAATTGTTGAGAAAAGTTGAAAGATGATTAAACTTATACTATTATGCTAGGCTATGAATCATCACTTCATAGTTCATACAAGCCTTGAACAACATCTTTATGATAGCAGACCACATCATTACCAAAGTATTTAGCTGAATACAATCATGTGTATCAAATTTTCATTCTTTTGTTGAGAATGGTCGATTCTTTTGTTTTGAATCCTTCATATAACTTACATAAAATGTTTACTCAAATCATTAACAAAGCGAGAAACAACTTGGAAAATGGACTGCGTAGTAGCCATTTCACTAATTGAGACACATTAGTCAGAGCACCAAAGCTAAACCAATAACCATTTGAATTAGATGCAAGTTATCGTTAGCACAAAAAGGTCCAAAGAGTTTGCTCCATGACCATGAGATCTAGTCCCATGGTTTTGTATTTATTTTCTCCAAACAAACCAACAAATGCTAAGATCCATTCCCAAAGCAAAATGCAGAGAGAGAGAGAGAGAGACATGCACGCATACACATCCACATAAAGACTGCAGGTTTAGACATTTCTCATCTCTTTTCTCTACAAAAAACAATCCCATAATTATCTTTTCAAGTTCTTAGTTTTTATATAATCCTTTTTCCTCATCTTCTTCCATTGGCTTCTCTCAACTGTCTCGTCAGCCTCACTGTCTTTTTTCTCAAGTTGTCCACTGCCCTCTAACCAAACTTTTGCAGTTGCCCCTTTGTCAGAACTCCCACCTCAAGAAGAAAAAAAGAAAAGGAAAAAAGAAACAACATTTCCTTCTCTCCTTCACAAACCCAACCAAACCCATTAATAAAAACCCCAACCAAACCCTGCAGTAAAGCTTACTCACTTAACCAAAGTTAAAAAGAGAACAAAACCCAAACCTTCCCTTCCTTTCTCCCTCTCTCTCTCTCTGTGTCTGTCAATGGACTTCCATCTGAAGCAATGGAGGAACCAACATGAGTCAGAAATGGAAGAAGAACAACAACCACAGCCATCCACCAAGATTCCAAAACTCCTATTGGATCCCTCTCCTCCTCCTCCTGCTTCTGACCACCATCCTCCTCCTTCTACTACTCCTCCTCTCCCTTTGTTTGTACCTTCAGCTGATTCAACTACCAAGCTCACCAGCAACCTCAGCTACAGCAATCTGTCAGCAGTTCCCACAAGTAAGAAGAACCTCATCTACACTCTTCATTTCCCCGTTTGGTCTAATTTCAGCTAACAAAAGATTCCACCTTTACCTAAAACACACTTCATTTCTTTTCACCCTTCATTCCCCTTCTCTTTTGTTTGGCCCAATTTTGTGATAAAGTTTGAACCTTTACTCCACTCAACTTCATTATTTCCCCCCCCCCCCCCCCCCCCCCCCCCCCCCCTCTACTACTCTTTTTTTTTTACCCTCTGTTTTTGTATTTTGAATAGGGATGGGAAGTTACTTCAGCTTGGCGCAGTGGCAGGAGCTGGAGCTTCAAGCTTTGATCTACAGATATATGTTGGCTGGATCTGTTATACCTGCTGAACTCCTCAACCCAATCAAGAAGAGCCTTCTCCTTCACTCTTCCTCTGCTTCCCCTGCTTCCTTTTTCCTTCAGCATTACTCCAATCCCTATCAGCCTTCTGCCTGTAAGTTGTTGGTACTTTTTTCTTTTTCAACATGTTTTGTTATGGTATTGCTTCTCTGATTGATTCCTCCAATATAGGTGGGTAGTTAATTATTGAGAGTGTAACATTGAAGTCATAGATTATTTCTAGACTGTCTGTTCCTCATAGATATTTGAACCCTTTTCTGTGTGCTTCCCAAGTTCTTGTGGTACTCCTCTTTTTTTTGGTAAACGGGAAAAACATCTTTGTGTTTGCAGAAGAGTGGAATCTAAAGCTAAAAGGAGAAAAGTTTGTGTTTTTTTTTATTGTTAAAATCTTGAGAGCTATCATTGATCTTACATCAAGACTGGAGCTTTTAACGGTTTATGGATATGTTTTTTTGGTTTTTGTTATCCTAGTGTTGCAAGGAGGATATTGGGGAAAGGCTGCCATGGATCCGGAGCCGGGGCGGTGCCGGAGAACCGACGGCAAGAAATGGCGGTGCTCTAGAGACGTGGTGGCTGGCCAGAAGTACTGCGAGCGCCACGTCCATCGCGGCCGCAACCGTTCAAGAAAGCCTGTGGAAGTTACCACCGCCGCTGTCCCCTCCTCTCTTGGTGCTGGTACTGGTTTCAACTCCTCCACCGCCGTCCCATTTGGCGGTAGCTCTGCTCGCCCGCCGCTGGCGGTACCTCTAGCTAGTGGAATCGGCGGAGGAAGAGGGGGGTCTTTCCCTTCAGCTGATCTACTCCATCTGAGTCAAAGGTAAATAAAAATCTCATCTTTTTGATCAACCGATTAATGGGTTTTGGTGGGTTTAATTCGGTGATAAAAGGGTCTTGTCTCCTTTTCTCAAGCAATGGCGAAAGTTGTTTCCCCAAGTTGGGGATTTATGAGACGTCACTGTTTTCAGTTCTTTAGAGTGAGCACTAAGTTAAGAAGAGAGTCAGAGCGTTGCCCCCACCATTTTTTTTTGGTTGGTTGCTGGTGGGCAAAGTTACAAAGTAGGACCAGTCCCATTTATGTCTCAAATCTGGGGAGAATTTTCGGATCTCTCATGAATGGACAAAACATGGCCACTTTTGCCTTACCCTTATCTTCAAGTTTTTTTCAGTAGGTATGGAGGTAATGGTTGTTGTTCTCCAATGTAATAAATTCTGAAATGCTCTGTTTTTTGTTTGTTTGTTCTGTGCAGATCGTCGGGGACTGAGGCCGGCAACAACAGATCAGACGGCGGCCACGTCCTGAGACATTTCTTCGACGACTGGCCGAGAGAGTCGGAGGATAACGGCGCCGGAATCGGCTCCAGTCCGATGCATTCCGCAACCTGCCTGTCGATATCAATGCCGGCGCCGGCGGCTTCCGACGTGTCGTTGAAGCTGGCTACCGGGAACGACGAGGGGGCAGGGGAGGATGGAGAGAGTGAAAGGGTCCGAGCCCAAATGAACTGGGCCACGGGATGGGCTGGGAACCATATGGGTGGGCCGCTGGCTGAGGCCCTGAGATCGTCCTCTTCAGCGTCGAATTCGTCTCCTACAAGTGTTCTAAGCCAGATTCCTCGCGGCACTGCTACTGAGACCAGCTTCGTCAGCGCTTAGAAAAACACTCATCTGATTTCTCTCCTGCTTTGGAAATCTGTGTATACGACACCGTTTAATAATTGCCTCTTCTTCGTGCTTCGATTTGTGTTCTTTTGTATGAGATGTTAGTGGATTCGTTTCATTTTATTCGTAGGAGTTGTGCCTCTAGTATTTACAGTAAATTGCCTTTGTTCGATGAAAGTCGTCTGTCTTTCTTCTATCTGAATTGTTTCAAGTCTGCATGTGACGTTGCAATTTTATCGGATGACCCCTGAGGTGCGAAGCCTGTATGTAACATTATCGGACGGTAACTTGGTACAAGCTATGTCATCTTATTAACTTGGGAAGGAAGGTGGCAGAATAAGACATTATTATGATCTACTACATGGCAAGGCGCAGTATTATGACTTTTATGAGGCATTTCGCTGTACAATAGACTAATGATAATATAATTGATTACTAACATCATAACTTACGCCTCTACCTTACTAGACGTGGCCACTTGAAGCAGATTGACAGCTTCACCCCATACCATGAAGCCAAAGACGTCCACCCCTCCCTCCTCTGCGTCTTTGCCTTGTGTTCGGTTAAGTTATCACGTCATCTCTGGATGAATGAACTGCTTGGAGAGCTAGACTTCCGAGAGAAATGGAATGGCAAGCATCATTTTGCAGCTGCGACTGTATCTCTGGGTTTCCATGCAGCTGTTGTGCCATCGAGATCAGAGTGACGATGATTCTTAGCTCTGGACGAGCTCTGATGCAGCAGCATCCTCTGCTGCTGCCTCGGGTGCATCTTCTGGTTCTGGTTCTCGTTCATTGTCGTCAGCCAATGTGGCGGCAGTTTCGATCTTCAAGGGAGCGGATTCAGGTTTATCCTCCACCAAAGCGTATACTACTGCTGTTCTTGCTGGGGTGTACACCATGATGGATCGAGGTCTGTCATCGTACCAACCTTCCTGTCAAAGAAAACAGTAACAGTTGTTTCGTGAGCACATGTTTGCGAGGACTGTAGAGAAGTGAAGGGGAGTTTCGTACGAAGGTAAAGTATTCGGCGTTGTGATCAAGCCTGTCGAAGCCTCCGAAGAGTGCATCATCCGAGTCCAAAACAATCTGTGGAATGAAGAGAGAAAAGGTGCTTCGAGACGAGATGAGGAAATGCAATGATGGTACCGGGAACAGAAAAGCGTTGGGAGAGCAGACAAGAGAAAGAGGGTGCGTGTACCTTGTACTTTCCAGACTTGTGGCAGCCAATTCTGTAGTCGGAGTAGCTGTTGTTCCAGTGGAAGTTGAAGACGAACACAAGGTTCCCTCTCTCAAACACGATCACCCTATCACCTTCGTCTTTCCTCGATATGTACTGGTGAATGTCAGTCATGAACTGCAATAAAAACCAGAACCCACAGCTCAATTGTCATTTTCCATATCGGAAATAAATACAAAGATAACAAATGAGCAGATGAATCGGGGCATCAGCGACTCACGCCATAGTTTCCTTCAAGGTGATGCATTGCCCTATCAAATTCTTGCAACCCATGGTATCTTAGATATTCTGCATCCCCCTGTGCAAACAGGACAAAACAGAAAGGTGACTATTGTAGTGAGAAAAAGAAGCTAAAACCTAAAATACATCCAGTCTTATTGAGGCGAGTTTAATTTGTCCAGCAAAGGTCACTAAATATTGAGTGACTGTGCCACAAATTTCAAGGCCAGCTTACCAGATCAAATCTGCGTCGGCATTTATCAAAACTGTTGTTGTTCCCTGGAACAACTTTGCCATTGGGAAGATGTTGATCACCTCGTGGGAAATCAATCCACTCTGGATAAATAAGAAATAACGGGCACCATTATTATCTATGAATATGGTGAATTTTCTCATCAAACATTTATGAAGAGAAGAAGAGATAAAATATTACCAGGATGTCCGAATTCATTTCCCATGAAATTCAAATATCCTTCACCCCCCAATGCCATGGTGATAAGCCTGATCATTTTGTGCAATGCTATGCCCCGATCTATGAGAGGAGTGGCTGGCCGGTCAAGAGCCATGAAGTCATACATATCCTGAGAAAATGAACATATTTGAGCTGCATATTCCGACACAAGGCGGAAGGGCTAGGTAGTAAGTTATCAATGATACTACCAACAGGACAATTTACTGACACTCAAATGACAGGAACGCGAAAAAGTACTAGCTCTATTTGTTCACTTCCTGACGTAACATCTAAAATGGTCACCATATAAAATTAACAAAGAAGTATGACCTTGTCCATCAACCAGAAGGCAATAGTCTTGTCGCCAACAAGTGCTTGATCATGACTTTCTGCGTATGAGATACATTTTTCCAACCACCTTCTATTTGTCAAGGTGTGAATGATATCGCCCATTCTCCAGTCTTCATCTCTCTTCCTACAGAAAGCATGGACGCATTTAATATACAGTTCAGATATTCTTCCCAAGGAAACATCAAGCAGGCTAAAGAATTAAATAGATTCAGACCAAATAAAAATTGAATTCTATTATTGGTATGAACATACTGTAGAAGCTCGATCCATTTATCAGCAATGGCCATGTGAAGACGGTAATCGAATCCTACTCCACCATCTTGGATAGGAACGCAAAATGTAGGCATTCCACTAACCTGTAAAACAAAATGCGATTGGCACGCAATGAACCTAAGATTAGGCTGCATTTCAATCAATAGAGGAAATTCTAATGTCAATTTTCACGAGGTGGCAGCAAACATACATCTTCACCAATGGAGACGGCCTCAGGGAAAAGACCATGAATCATATCATTAACAAGCATCAGATAGACGACAGCATCTACATCCGTTGCAAATCCAAAGTACTCGTTGTAGTTTCCTGTAAAAGTCATCTATAATAAGCTTTTTATTAGCTGACGGTTAGACAATTTTGGAGCACAAATAAAAGTCATCTATAAGAAGCTTTTTATTAGCTGACGAATAGTTCAATGAGATAGGCGAAAAACTTATAATTTTATAACATTTATAGTAGAAAGTGCATGGTGAACTATGGGATTGATTATCTCAATTCTCAAGTGAGCCATGTGGTTGGATAGGATAAAACAGATAGTTATCTAGTAAGTGAATGCAAAAAAGCAGTCAATTCAGTCTATAGTATAAAATCACAGCTCGATACCTGCAATCCATGATGAGTGTACATCATTGAAGTAACACCATCAAATCTGAACCCATCAAATTTAAACTCATCCAGCCACCAACGCGCATTTGACAGAAGGTATCTAACAACCTGTATTAACCAACAAGTAGTCAATAAGTAGAGCAGAGAGGAAGCAGAGCATAGGCATTGGCATGTTTCTCAAGATCCCACCTCCCAGCTTCCATAGTTGAAAAGGCGAGAGTCCCACATCCAATGATGTCCCCGTGATCCAGAGTGGAAGTAGTGGGAATCAGTCCCATCAAACATATTCAGCCCATCCAACGTGTTATTTGATGCATGGCTGGACACAAGATAAGTATATGATATATTAGAGAAATCCATTTTAGAGTAATGAGTATGTTTGAATCTATTTAAGAAACAACACAGGCAAGCATGGTTGCATGATATTGAGCACAGGATACAAAAGCCTGGTTACTTCTTAGACAGCAGCTTTATACACTGGTAACAGGGTGCTTATTTATTGTTCTATGGCTAATCAGAGTCAAAGAGAAAGAGACTGCCAAGTAATCTGGTTCATAACCTACGGCAAATACTCATCACCAAGCTAGAATTTATGCACTGAGCTCGAGAACATAGATTAGCAAAGTAAATGGACCCGTGAATGGACCCGTGAGAGGAGGGAGAAACAACATCCCACTGTGAGAGAAACCTGATATTGGGAACCTTCTCTCATGGATCTGCTTAAAAACAGTTCAATCAATATAAAACTTATTTCTGTCTCACCTGTGAACAATATCCATGAGAACTAGTAGACCTAGTTCGTGAGCTTTATCTATCAGAGACTTCAAATCATCTGGTGTCCCAAAACGACTGCTAGGCGCAAAAAAGTTCGTGACATGGTAGCTGCAGCACAGAAAGATAACTTTTGAGCTAACAGTTCAATGTCCTTGAAATCAGCCAAACAATTTTACCTCTTTGACAAAATGAAAAGATAAAGGTGCTCAATGTTAAACTATTAAGGTACCCGAAGCTGGCATAATATGAGTGCTCCTGAATAGCCATGATTTGAACAGCATTATAGCCAAGCTTCTTGATGCGGGGCAGCATTTCATCTCTGAAGTTAGCATATGTGTTGATCTTTGGTTCCTGTGTTCAATTGCACATATTAGAAGGGAAGCTATATACAGTAGAAGGTAAAAGAGTAGAAGCATGGAACCCGTTTCTATTGTGTTAATAATAGTGCAGAACAAGACCCTAGTAACAAGTTTCACCATCAGCACTTTCCAAACTCTGGGGAAGCCCTAAAAGAATGTCATCTCCAGAAATTACATGGCAGAGAGTGGAGAAAACACACCGTACTGCTCATCCCAACATGTGACTCGTAAATCCTCAGTGATTTTGGTTTTTTTGGTTGTGGATGCTTGAATACATACTTCTCCTGTAACAAAGGAACACAAGATAAGAATCAGATAAGTTTTAAATATCCGTACTTAAGACAGAAAGGCACACTCGGCATTATACTCATATCAGCAGGCAGCAACAAGAATTAAGCTACCAATAATTTTGACAAAGAGAGAGAAAAGTGATCCGCTGCTGAAACTTAGCATCGGCAGAGTGGCTGCCAAATACTCTCTATAGTTGGTATTTGTTGAGGCATGATTAATAATTTATACACAGACTAGCATATGCCTAGGTACGATTAAGAGTAAAAACTTATCACTTTCAAGCTTAAGGTCAGTCTGAACTAATGCATTAATCAGATGCTATTGGTTTCACCTACTACAAGAAGTCATAAATTTCTTAGAGCATTGATCCCATCAGAAAGTTCTCTTAGTGTTTCCCGTGAAAAATATAAGTCAAAGGCAGAGCAACACCTCTTCTGGTGGGTCATAGTAGATGCCGTTGTATGGGATTTCGCCAGGAGCTTGTACAGCAAACTTAATCCAAGCAGGAATAGAATCCTTCAAGCCAGATGGAGTATCCATTCGTATCTGCATATTGTTGGACAATAATTCGTTATTCTCCTTCACAACTGTTAACAAATGGCTGTGTAACAACTGATTCATCAGGTTATGCAGTCACTCTAGATTCAGAGTACTTCAAGAGGCATATTACCTTCACCCTTGAACCATGGGGAATTGGCGATGAACCATCTGCATTGTTGGGCAAAAAGATCTCCCAGACACCAAACTCATCCTGCCCAGAAAAGGAGAAGGGGATTTTAGAGGATTTTCAGTCCAATAGCCAAAGTTGACCTTTGTACACATACATGATTTTAGATCCAGATACGCTCAATAAAAGACAATTCAGTATATTAAGAATGAGCTGGAAATTAACCAAGAAATTACGAAGGTCACATACCCTAGCCATGACATCTGCATTGGGATTCCAGTTGTTGAAATCTCCTATTAATGCTGCCCTCTGAAAACAGGAAGATGCCATCCATTCTATATCATTCATCAATAACAGCAGTCCACAATCATCACACTATCATAATGTTTCATCCTCTTATATAAGTCCGAAGGGCAATTCACTATCACCAGGTCCTACTTAGTGGCCACACACATATCTTCATTGCTACAATGTAATTCATTATATCTATACCCCAGAAAGATGTAAGTGCTGTGAATGTATTTTCAGCGGCAGTCTATTGGGTGGACAAAATGCAGAATGAAAGCAAGGGTACTTACTGTTGCTCCCGGTGCCCATTCTCTATATGTTATCCCTGTTTCACTGAGAATTACAGTTGAGATTAGAGCCAGAGAAAAGATCTGCTAATTAACTCATGGAATTGAACTTCCTTACTAGAACAATTAGAATATTAAAATGCCTGCTACAGCTGCAAATTTCCAGGTACACTAGATACTAGATGTGTAAATAAACGCGAAGACATGACATTAGGAACAGGCTTGGAGAGGTGAACTAATACTTCTCTTTCAAAGAAGTGAACCCAGTTTCACAGGCATCAAATATGATTTCAAATAAAGCACAGTACCTGCGTATAAACCCAAACTTCTCATAGCCACGTGAAAATTTCTCTAAACCACCTTCAAACTTGTCAATGTCCGCACGCATTCTTTTGTACTGTGAATATCTGTAGATCATCAGAACAGGGGGGGTTCACTAGGAGGTTTAAGGCCTGAATCATCACCAAACAATCTCCATCTTCTAGGACAAGCACAAAGGCATCATAACAATTCCCCTCAACCATTCATAGGGTGATCAGTGAGTACAAGGTTTGAGCCTTGAGCTTCCAACCAATTAACGAATTATCTAACATCGCACCTGTAATCAAGATGCTGACGGAAACTAGACAAAATTGGATCAATGTCATATATTCTCTGCCCAGCACCAGGTGGAGGAACGGTTCTCTTGTCAGTTTTCTCTCTGGTGTCAGGCAATACCGCAATTTTCTCCTGTTCGTCCAAGACCTCAGTACTCGTGTCACCTACCATGCTTGAGCTTTCTGGTACCTCACGAAGGACCTAGAAAAAATGATCATAAAAGAACCATGAAAACCCATAATTGAGCAAAAAGGTAAGAGTGTCATCGACAAATGGCAAATGTACAACAATTCTCAAACCTTGGGATCCTCTGAAACAATGTCTGAAGTCTCTAGTTGATCTGTCGATGAAGGAGGCTTGGCTCCTGGAACAAGAACATTTGTTGTGAAAGATGAGTCACCACCAGGAACGAGAACCTTTCTGGAAGTGGCTGTCGTTGAGGCCTCAGAATCATATGAAGAACTTCCAGCAACAATCTTCCCTACAAACAAGCACCAGATTAGTCTTCTATAACACAAAAGAACCAACCCCGCCAGCTACAAAAAAGAACCACTCTACACAATTCAGTCAAAACCAAATGCACCGCACATACAGACAATGTAATGCTTCAATTCGTAAGTATTCCACCGTTTTAACTCAATTCGTTCCCCGTTTTACCTCGTAAGTATTACACCGGGATCAGTCAATCAAATACTACTGTTTCATTGAATTCACAGAAAATTCAAATTGACAAACGCATTCCACTGCGGTACAAACGAGAAGAGACGCTGAATCATTTCATAAGAATTAAGATCACGCCATTGCTATTCGCGCATTAGCTCAAAACACTTTCCACCCACCAAAAGCTTCAAAATCCAAACAGAAAGCCGCTACTAACACAATTTCATCGGTATCAACATGCACTAGGCGAAAACACAAGCAATCCTGCGATCAAAATTCAGTAGCAGCAGACCAGTAATTCCGAAGCAAACGAAAAAGAAAACCAGAGGAGTATAGCGAGAAATAGAGGAAGTACGTGAGAGCGAGTGCTTCTTCAAAGGGAAAGACAGCGCGGTGGAAGCGTTCCCGGCGACGGATGAGGAATTCCGGTGAGAGCTGGAGTTGTGATGGACGGACGGGACGCAAGGCAAGCGGATTCCTGAAATGGTGTAGTACACCATTTTTTCCCCCCAGCTTTCCGCTGTCACTACTCGCTTTCTCTCTTCTCTGCAGAGAGAAATCAGATTAAACAGCGGGAGGGGAGTGAGAAGTGGAAATGAGCGGAGCTCTGTGGGGCAGATCTAGTGAGCGAGTGATGGTGGAGAAGCCATGAGAAGCGGGGAGTGAGAGAAAGAAGAGGAGAGGTTAGAGATATTTCTGCGCGGAATTTTCTTTTCTTGGGTTTACGAAATTCTTGGGAAAGAAAATCTTTCGATAAATAGAAATAATAATTAGTAAGTAAAAATTCAGTTGGGAGAATAATTAATTGGCTTTGCTTTGCCACGATAAAATCGAACGAACGAACGAACGAACGAACGAGCAAAGGAGAGCGGTAAGTAAGTACGTGGGCCGTGGGCCCGGCCCATTTTTGCCCATGCACTACTCACCGTTAATTTTTTTGGTTGATTTTATTTCTTTTGAGATTACAGAAAAATAAAAAAAGCGGGACCCACGGAGTGGGTCATCAATCATGTGTGAAGCGTCGTCGTTTACAATGGCGGGTGGCTTTCCGGTAGACCGGTACTGGTCCCTTCGAGTTTTCGCGCTTTTTGCTTTCGCGGAAAAAATAGAGAGGCCTTTTGGGAGATTTTCCTTTCTTTGAGAACCTTCTTTCCTTTTCTATGAAATCTTTGTGGAATCTTTTGTAACGTGAAAGTTGAATTACGGTTTCCTTTCTCTTTCGGGGGACGAAAATGACAGAAGTAGAGCAAGATATTAATAATGTCGAAACAGTACTAATTTGTTCTTTACTGCTTTTCCAGTTCCCCATCAAAATGGACTGGAATATGCCAGAGCACAATGCCAAATGATTCCAACCCAAATTCACACAGCCTGTGACTGTGAGATGGAGTTCTTATGTCATATATATAGTCCTCTTACACTAGCTACAGTCTTAAGAACACAGAGGTTTCCTGCCCACAGGAGCGAAAAGGGCACACAACTACAAGGTTACAGCACACAGTAGTAAATAAGTCATACATGATCGGTAGATGGTTGTCTCGCAAATCAATCTGGCCTATTATTTCGACGAAATGTCGTCAGTGTCGCGGACTAATTTCATCGAGGGAAGGATGATTGCAGCGATGGGTTTATCTGGCAGGCCGCCACCTTCGTCAATGATCAATCGAAGACCTTCAATGTGAAGCTTGCCATGGTGGCCGCTAACCACGACTGTTGGCTTTTCGGTCAACTCCTGCAGAGAAAAAAAGGATTCACAAATTCAGCTCCATCGTCTGATCATTGCTCAACTAAAGGAGTTCTCTGTTGAGAGTTGAGAGATTCACCTGTGGGATGTTCCATACGTTCTTCCTCCCGCTCAAAGGCTCGATCTTTGGCACTAGGGTGTCTTTAGCTTTCAAGAGCTTCAGCTGTTCCTGCACGTCTTTCCCCTTTTCCAGACCGGCATGGACTGCGATCAATCTGCAGTGTTTAAGCTGTCCTTCGTTCTCTATGCACACATCTTCCTGTTTCAGAAGAAGCAGAAGCAAAGCTAAGCTTTGAGCTATCTTGCACTAACTTCACAAATTGGCACAACAGGTATTTCAGAAGAAACAAAAGAGGGTTTGCTTACTTCTTCATGGACCCAAGCCATATTAGCCAGAAACTCCCTGTGGCTTTCAGGAACTGCCTTCCTCAAATCTATAGCACAATCAGCAGCTCAAGTCAAAAGAATAATAAACCACTTTCCAAATCCAATCCTAAACCACTTAAACTATAGAGAAACCCAGGAAACTACCAAAAACAACTGACAGAAGTATCAGTCATTGACAATTTGAAACAGCATCATCCACCATAACCAAAAACCGCACTTCTAAATCAAACAACCACCAAATTGACCCTTTCTAGTCTACATCCAATCCTAGTCCACACTGAACCAGAAGAGAAGAAGCTGGAACCAGTGGCTGAAAACAAAACAGCATAATCCACCATACAATAGGGACCCCATTTCTAAAACAACCAAAGCATCAAATGAGGCTTTTCTTCAACCAGAGGAAGCTCAAAACCAGTTCCTCAAGCGAAAAATTGGATCTTACACTCATTCCCTTACAAGCCCCCCAATACAAAGAGCCATTTATTGGTCTTGAAGTTTGCACTAGGGGTTACTGGGATTGGAACACACAGTTTATCTATCATGAAATGAATCTAATATAGTCCCTCACGTCACAAAACAATCGAGCAGCCACATCTTTAACATCCAATTCTTACAAAATGAACCAGAATGAACTCCAAAACAACTCATGAAGAAAAAACAGAACAAAAGATCAGTCATTTGCACTTGGAAATGAAAGAAAAAAAAAACAGAACACAAACCCAAATTACCAGAAGATCCATGCTCGACGCCGTACGACTCAAAAGTCGGGCCAGCATCATAAATCGAACCCAGGTAATCGGTCCCTTTCGCAACATTCACCTTCACAGTGATCTTCCCAGCCCACCTCCTCCCTTGCAGATACATTTCCTCATATCCATCCCCTTCGTACCACCCTTCTCTCTCCTTATTAGCCTCGTACTCTTTCCATCCTTCACGGAAAGACTCGGCGTTCCCCGGAAGAAGCCCGAGGAACGCCCCGAAGGCGAGGTCGTGGTTGCCGGAGAGGAACACGTGGCTCTGGTTCGGGTACTTGGCAGGGAGGCCGATTAGAAAGTCCATGACTTTCTTGGTGTCCGGGCCGCGGTCGCAGTAATCGCCGAGGAAGATGACGAGTGCGTTGGAGAAATCTGCCGGGTCGGTTAGGGTTTCGAGATTGGACCAGAGGTTTTGGAGCTTCGTGATGTAGCCATGGATGTCGCCCACGCAGATTACGGTCCTCGGCCTCGAGTTCGACATTGGACGGTTGCTCTGTGGTGGGGAGATAGTTTGTACTTTGCAACTTTATTGCCGATGTGAATTTAATTCGTGCCATAGATATATATAATTGTTGTTTTTTCCCCCTTCTACTACATTTAAAATTTGTGCATTTCTTATAAAGTAAAAAGATTCTCATTGGCAAATTGTTGAACTTTGTTTATTTCAACTATAAAAACAATTTACCATAGTCAAAATTAACCGTTTAAATAATGAACTAGAAAAAATGCCCGCTGCTACGCCGCGGGGAAACTTAAGTTGCAACAACATACTCATATTGTGGGCAGTTTAGATGAAGCGTATAGTATGCAAAGTTACGTGTACATACCGTCAAGTATGTTGAACAAAATCTAAAAATCACTTTGGTAATAAGCTTATTATCCAGTCTCTGAATCATCCATTTTGGCCACTTTGTTTGTATTCACAATTCAAGATCGAGAAATGGGCTTGCTTGGTGATGGAGTTCTGCCCTGGTGGTGACCATTCCCTCGAGCAAAGGCAACCTGGAAAGTTCTTCACTGAGCATTCTGCCCTATTCCGATTCTTTTCCTTTAATTGCTCTTTTTGGTATTTCTCTCCATACTAAATAATGGCTTCAATCCGAGTACGGACAGAAAGAACCCATTGATTCAGCAGTAGCAGGAAAATAGATGCTTCAGCTAATTACTCTGATGAATAAGTGACATTCAATCAAACTCTGTCCAAAAAATGATCCAGAAGTGGGGACGGTAAAGTTACACAATATACATACTATCATGTGAATTAAACACATAAGTAAAAATCAGTTGAAATCAGCATATAGAGCTTTGCTCTGTCTAAGGAAATGAAATTTTAAGCACCAAGATTTTTTACCTTCTCTCTATAGTCAGAAATTGCATCATGCTGTCCAGATTTCTGTTTGTTCGAAGGCAGAAGACTCTTTAGGCACCTCCTCTCTATCTTTGCAGCTTCCAAACACGTTAAAGGCATGGTATAAGGTTAATGCTAATCGAAGTACCTACAACCAATAGCAGAAGATCATAGAGAAAAGTATGACCTAGGCATGAGGAAGAATGTATAGATTCGGTTGTAGCCTGGAACTCGGTATGTGCATTGTTTAGAATTGCTATTATATGTTCTCCATTTCAGCAAGCATTATCATCTTAAACTTGCTCAGGAGGATCTGTTATTTAGGAAGTACCTAGTGGTCAGAAATTGTATCAAATGAGTCTTTTTTTTCATTCCAGGAAACGCACCATGACTACCTGACTTGGACAACACCAATTCAAGTTGAGATCTGGCAGCCTTTTTAAATGGAGATACAAACATGAGTTTCATGAAGATGCAGATTAAACCGGGGCCAAAGCATCGTTGAATAAACATGGCAAACAATGATAAGAAGTTAACATGTGCATGATTTAATTCTTTGGAGTTGGTTCTGTTATGAATGAGCAATAACAAATCTGTTTTGACTCAATATGAACAGAAAATGAAAAGAGGAAAAATACCTACTGGACTGTGAAGGTGCTCTTCCGACAATGCAAAACCATTTCCCCAAACTTATATTACTTGTTGAAGTGATTTTAGCCTCAAGAAAAACATGCTAATACTACATGTTGAGCATAGGAAATTGGAAGCGACATTTTTGCCTCTCGTCTAAAACGTTCTCGAGCTTAAGGTCTCGGTATATGGTCCCCAGCATGTGTAGGTAATCCAAAGCAAGGATAACCTCTACAACATAGAACCTGCAGAAAGACACAATAAACTTCATTCACGTAGCTCAGAGAACGTTTCTGAGGAGAACAATATATAGCTCAGTAAACTAATTCAGAGGTTGTTGAATTAGAAATTGATAGAAATAAGGTGGGGACTGTTTCTGAGGAGAGAAATCAAGCAATAAGAAGGGCACTGATTCTAAGAAGCTTCAGATGGGGAAGGACATATATGTATGAAAATCTAACATAGTATACGGAGAAAAGAAAACATGAACTATTCAGTAATGCAATTCCAGTGTATATTAAGTCCAATACATAATATAATGATATTTGTTTTAGAAACTATCAAGTTTATCAGGAAAAAGGCAAGACTTGTTAAGGTAGAAGCCAACTTACTTATATTGCTATGGAGAGAAAAGCAAAAAAGACCAGTTAAGGAGAAGAATCCGAACAGGGCAGCATGCTCAGGGAAGAACCTTCCAGGTTGCCATTGCCAGAGGGAATCGGGGAATGGTCACCACAAGGGCAGAAATCCATTACCAAGCAAGTCCATTTCTTGGTCTCGAAGTGATAATACAAAGTGGCCAAAATGATGATCTAGAGACTGCAGAATCTCCCTCTCCGTCTGAGCCATCAAAACCTTCTTCTGAGCCGCCAAACACGAATCATCCATTACCTTCATCGCAAAATACGTCAAGGTGTTGGTCAACTCAGATAGGTAAATATTACATATGTCCCCACACTCGAGCTTCTTCACAACTCGAAAGTGATACAGCTCGAGAGCTCCTCCAACGTGGGCTCTGCTTCGCGCCTCACATCACCATTTTCCTTGTGAGGCTTGTACAACGCGCTGCTGCTCTCATCACTGATATCTCTCCCACTGCTGGCTCTGCAGATGCTGTTAGTCTTTCTGCTCCCAGTGTTCGTTCTTGCTTCTTCATTGTCGTAAAGCTCTCTTTGGCCTCTGCTTACAATGTACCTGTGTAGACACTATTCGAAGGGCTCCGACAAAGGCCTCCAACAGGTCGAGATGGAAACGGTGCATGGTTGTTGTTACTCTGACCACTGTCCAAATCTCTTCCAGACTCGGGCGAGTCATTTAAGGTAGTACTGGAAGTCTCATGATCATAACCACTGTAATCTACTACTACCACTGAATCCTTCTCATCAACAGCAGAAGATGGCATAAAGAAGTCTGGCTCTTGTTCCTTACCACTTGAGGTGTCTAAGTGTTTAGCATTAGAGTATGAACCAATTTTCACTCCATGATAGAACCATTAGAGTATGAAGGCATCTGTTTAAGAGGCTGAGACCGAGATGTGGAGCAGGAGCTTAATGGAGGGCTGTTGGGACTCTTGGAATCCATGATTTCTTGCTGGTCTTTGTGCACGGGCCAACTCCTCCATCATCAACCACAGACTCCTTGGAAAGCCGAGCAGTAACTCAGAACCAGAACTGCAACAACAACACAAAGGGGCTGATTGATTATATGAGATGGCAGAGCTTGCAGGCTCTGAATAAAAAGCATACGCTGAGAAGTTCAAAAGAACAAACTGCAAATGACTAATTGTGCATATTCATCCACTCCCACCCCGCAAAAACAAATGAATGGAACGTCACAATTTCTAGGACTCTCGTACCATACAAAAATCAAGTAGGGACAAAACAAAACCTTCGATATAATATAAGATTTTCTTGTCAACAGTACGAAGTCAAAACATACCGATAATTCTGTGGCCATTGCCAAGAGGTGAAAGTCCCCGCAAAATCAGTCCATAGCTCGTTGAGTGTCTTCTTTTCCTTCTCTGTGTTTTCTTTTGCAACCTTTTCTGCTGCTTTTCTTCCACCACCAAGACAAATAGAGAGTCCATAGCTCATTGAGCAGTTCTTTTCCTTTTCCTTCCATGTGTTCTCTTTTTCAGCTTCTCCGCTTCTTCGTCTACCAACAAAACAAAGAGAGAGGTGGGGAATGAGGTGGGGAAACGCTTACAGGGGGAGAGAAATATTCCGTGATGCCGCTGTGTCTGGCGGATCGACTTCCTTCTCGTCACCTTCCTTCTGACCGTGCTCCAAATCGATCTCGTCTTCCTCTGCTTTTAGGTTCCCGATGGCCAGCATCAAGGGTAAATTTTGGGGCTTACTTTGCATGAGAGAAGGAGGGAATCATGGAGGGGGGAAGATGGGGAAGCATATGCCTCCATCCAAGTACAATCAAACCCGATAGGAGGAGCAGAGTGAAAGGGTGAGAATGAGGTTGGAAGGCTGAAATCAGAGGGGAGAAAAGCTCCCCTCCATCCAACTTACACTCAGGCGCTGCTTCCATACGCTACCGCCCATGTCTACTACAGTGCTAGTCGTACTCCTCTCAGAGAGAGACTGCTCTGCTTCTCTGCCTACATCTTCTCGGCTTGGGCTTTAGCTCATAATGGAGTCCTCTCTCTATTGGAGCCATGAGTGTAAGTTCAATTTTTCAAGCTAGTCAATTCACGTACGGAAAGAATGGGCCGAATCGACCAAAAGGAGGCGGTGGGAGGGCGGTGATTTGAGAGAGGCAAGGTGGCCGGAGCTGGCAGACGGCAACGTTCGTTGCGGAGAGCTAGTTGTGAGAAGAACCAGAATTCCCTTTTCAGTAAACGATAAAGAATGAAACAGTATTTGGATGTTTGGGGCAATAAAGGGTAGTCCGCTATTATATATTAGATAATTCTAATGGATCAACTTAATATACTCCTTTAGTTTCGATACAATTGTTTCATACTGATCCATTTGACAGTATAAAATTTGATCGAAACAATTTTGTAGGAGAAACATCAAATTGACTCATTTTAAGACAATTACAATTATATGAATTGATGCTCAAATGCTGGTCAAATAAGCTGCAAATCTATATTGCATTATGTACTAGTATCTATATTGCATTAATCAGTCAAGAATATTCAATTTCTCGTTCCAATCATGAACGCCGCATTACTTCGAACATAGCAGTCGGAAACCCATACAAAAACTTGTCATAATTTGTGTATGATAGTGTCGATAGTTTTTTCGGTAATTGTTTGTGTTATCCTCCAACTTGATCTAACCATGATCAAGTTCTGTCGAAAAAACTATTACACTATATACACTATGCCATTGCTGGCTATATCAAAACCAAAACAGCTATAGCTACTACTTCCCTACATACACAGTTGACGAAATCTGGATCCATGGAAGTCAACAGAGAAAACTGGAAGCCCAAAAGTCATGGCCTGAAAGCCCAAAATAAGCCACTCTTCAAACCAAATCCAGGACACAGTCCAAGTATCTTCTCTTGGAAAAGCAAACACGGAGGGGGGAAAAGAGAGAATAAAAAAGTTCTACACTCTGCAGCTTGCAGCCTGCAATCTGATCGTTCACATACGTACTGAAGAAGAAACAAGTTCTAATTCAAGGAATTCTGTTAGTTTACAACAATCAGCTTCTGCTAGACAAGCTTGTATCGTTTCTGGACGACTAACTGGGGCAGGCCAGTACCTTCCAGCGTCTAACAGTAAGAAGCCTTCATCAATCTCCACTTGCACATCCCCTGCAGCCGCAATGGACGCATTCTATGACCTCTTCCTCCCGCAGGTTCTTGGGAACTCGACAAACACATGTAGTGGCAAAGTTATGATCCCTTGGTTGCATGCATCTCAGGCAGCACAAGCGCTCATAACCAGGCTGCAACAAATCCAGGGCGAAAAAAGAGAAAATCAGCTTGAAGATTACTAAGGTCTCTTGAAAGCCTATATAACAATTACCAAGGACAAAAAGACTTGGGATTTTTAAGAACTAAAAACAAATGGAGTTATATTCTGTCTGGCCCAATTTGATCTTGACAAACACTTGGTCTAGATTCAACAAAGTCAGGACCTGTCCACCTCTATTCAGTATGTTCATTGCCCACCATAATATAAGCAGTAAGCAGTATAATAGGAAGACGAAGTCCCGATCAATGAAGAGCATTTTGGAAGTGATACTAGGCTATTGAAGTAAACTAGGTTTGACACTCATGCATAAACCAACGCATTAAGTACTCAGCAAGAGGCAAGAGGAGAGTCGCCAGAGGAAGGGTAATAATACTGACCTTCTTCCACTTTGCAATGAGATTACGGTCTGCATAACCCTGATCCATACAGAACTCATACAATTCCTTGGATATTTCCTTCCTCCGATGATAAAGGTCGAAAATATATCGGCTCTTTTGATGCGCTATTTTGAAAATAGGCCACAGTGCCTCACATTTCCTCTTGCCATCATGTGACTCGTTCTCAGCTGTCAAATGTCAAGATTAAACAACCATCAGCTATCGTAGACCATGCCACACATAGAGTTAACATGGGGATCCTCGTCAACGTTGTGTATATGGAAGTGAATTTACCTTCTCTCATCTTCGCCTGCAACTCGCGAAGAGTAGGCTCGATCAATTCCCAGCCCTCTGGGTACTTGACTCGATTTGTCTTCACCTTTGGCATCTCTGCGTTCTGCATAAGAAAGGGTAGCATTAACCATTCCATTTACTCAACACTAAAGAACAGAGAAAATACAGACCAATCAACTATGTACTAAAATTATTTCACATCTCAAAAGTACATGTTTTTTCCCGTATGAACAGGGAACATAAGCAACCAAACTGATGACTCCTACATCATCTATGCTACACCTATGGGCTATGGAAACATAAGTGGGATGACGGCTTACTCAATCGACAGTCTCTTGATTCAATTTCATTGCAAAACGTTCCAACTATCAAGTATCAACTTCTCAAAATGGAGAAACAACTCAGACAATCAGCAGGCATCCTTAACTACATACGCGATGAAGCTCATAACACTAGAAAATTTCTGATACCAAATAATGAACCAAGTTCCCAACTGAAATCACTCATCATATGAACAGTTCATAATAATCTACCTAACTGACCAACTGGAGCTGAGGCAATTTCCACCATCCGCATACCCCAAGCCAAAAACAACGAAGTGAACTAAGAACCCCCTATTACCAGCTTATCATCGCAGGTCAATCATAAGAACAAGAAGAGGACCACCAAAGGCGAGCTAAATTTCTAGGTTTTACTTTGCTAATTCCTAATAGCAACAATAAACTGCAGAACTACATAAAACTACCGAGAAAAGTTCTGACCTATCCGCGGGAAACGACCGCGAAGATATCAAAATCGAAAGAAGAAGCGGCGAGAAGCTACGAAATCTTAGCATACCTTGAAGCAGGAAGGCGAACGAACCCAATTGGCAGGGACGAATGCGAAACTATCTCAGGAGGCGGCTATGCTGGAGACGATTGCGAAGAAAAGTAAACGAAGATTGAAGATGTTCGAAACTCCAAAATCGAATCTGGGTTTTCTCCGGTAGTCGTGAACACGGCGGTCCGAGAGGGAGACTGGAATGGAAGACACAAGACAGATGAAGCGATGGAAAACGGACTTCCCGCAAGAGAAAGCCGAAAGGAAAGAAGTTGATCTGAGTGATTATTCATAACCTTCAACTTAATAACAACGTGGTTGGGCTGGACATGACCAAAAGATTGGGCTTCTTTTGGGGCCCAAGTAGTGTAACTTGGAGAAAGAAATGAATTAGCCAAAATCTCTGCAGTCTGCAGTTTTTCTCTTTTCTCATAGATAATCTGGGTGATCACATACATAACCAAATTAGTGACTATAATTCAAACACTTAGCCGTGCTAAGCATGTAAAATTGTGCTAACTTCTTCAGAACTAAATCAATACGACCGATTAGTGCGACACAATTCACTTTGAGAAATATTCGCGAAACTTGCACTTAGCTTAATGACAAAATTTATCTTGAAAAAGCATCCCCTCCGGCTGACCTTAGTCTGAGCCATTAGCCCATTACTATGTTTCAGATGATGGAATAATGATGAGAACAAACTGAAGAATCTATCTTCTCATGGACTAATATATTTGAATGGAGACTCAATGCAAGACAGGCTTAATACATAATTAAATCAACTGAGAACAAACAGAACTTTGGCCTAGAGTCTAAAATTCAAGGTTTAAACAAACAAAGGGACTTCTGGTATGATTTCTGACCCTTTTTTTCGTATCAAAGGAGGCATAAAACAAAATCCTATGCAAGATGCTGAAGTGAAGAACTGGAAAGGAAACAAAACTTACTTCTGGTTTGGCGATGTTAGGCAATGCTGTTCCCATTGATCAGAGGGTTTCCTTCCTCTCCTTTAAATTCTCCTCCCACCAGCATGCTCTTCTCACCATTCGCTCTCTGATAGAAAAGTAACATAAACACAGAGTTAAAGAGGATCTGAAAAGCTTTACTTGGGTTGTGGGAAAGAAGAAGATAGAAAATGGGTTTTATGTGGGGTGCTTCACTTCTGGTTCTAGCTTTGGTCTCTTCAATGGCGGTGGCTGACCCGCTAGTTCCATCACTTACAATCTTTGGGGACTCGGTTTCTGATGTGGGAAACAACAACAATCTCATCACCCTCATCAGGGCAAACTTCCCTCCTTATGGAAGGGACTTCGCTGAGCATAGACCAACTGGGAGGTTCTCCAATGGGAAGCTGGCCATAGACCTCACTGGTAAAGAGGGGATAAGATTTAACTTTTGGTTTCTCCATTCAAGCATCAGCTCCTGGTTTGATTCTGGTCTAATGAAAGTTCTACTGGTTTCGTTTGTTTCTTAAATGCAGCTGAATTTTTGGGTTTCGACACATATCCTCCACCCTATCTAAGCGAAGACGAAGCCAGTTTGGGAAGCGTCCTCACTGGAGCCAATTTCGCTTCAGGTGCTTCTGGCATGCTCGATGCGACAGCTCACCTATATGTAAGCTTCCTCAACACTACAAATTCTAACTAGAGACTGTAAAGGAGATTTAATTCTGAACCTCTCGCTCTCTTCTTGTTGGTGGGCTGCAGGGTGCCGTTTCATTGACAAGGCAGCTCGAGAACTATAAGGAATACAGAGCAGGAGTGGAGAGCAGAATTGGATTTGAGAATGCAACCAACACGTTCTCCAAGGGGATTCATCTTTTGAGCACTGGAACCAGTGACTTCATCCAGAACTACTACGTCAATCCTATTCTCAAAACCCTCTACACACCTGATCAGTGGTCTAACAAGCTCATGAAATCTTATGCTAAATTCATTCAGGTGTGCTTTCAAGACTCATTTTAGCCTTTCTTTCCTTAATATGAAAACCAGTACTAACTAGAAAAGGGTAATGAGACAGAACCTGTACGGGCTTGGAGCGAGAAAGATTGGAGTGACAACCCTGCCACCAACAGGATGCTTGCCTGCAGCCATCACCCTCTTTGGCCACGGAAGCAACGATTGCGTCGAGAGGCTGAACTGGGATGCTAGTTCCTTCAACCAGAAGCTGAACACAACTTCCCAGAGCCTTGTACAAGGCCTCCCGGGGCTTACACTTGTTGTCTTCGACATCTACAATCCCCTACTGAACTTGATAAAAAATCCTAGTGACAACGGTAATACGAAAAATTCATTCAGATTCTTTATACAAACTGTCAATGCACCTCTTGCTTACATAAAAACATGCTGACTCACAGTTTCCTTTCTGCTGAAATGCATGGCAGGGTTCGCCGAGGCGAGGAAGGCTTGCTGTGGAACAGGTGTCCTGGAGACCTCATTTCTGTGCAATGCAATGTCACCGGGGACATGTTCGAATGCTACCGAATACGTGTTCTGGGATGGATTCCACCCTTCTGAAGCTGCTAACAAGATCCTAGCCCAATCCCTGCTCTCACAAGGATTGTCCCTCATATCCTGATTCCACAGTTCCATCAATACCACAAAGCTCGATAAGATAAAATAATCAATTCATTGTTCTGTGATTCAATAAGTGTACGTCACAATCTGCAACTAATATATCAAATTCATTAATATAATGTTTCCACAAGCCTCAAGTCTTGGTAGTACTTTCTTCCTTAGTGTCCATTCTCCTCATTCTCGGCTAGGGTTTCCACTAAGGACGTTGCATCGTGATACACTCAGTACGCTATGACATATCCATACGCCGACCAAATATTAGCAAGTAAAGCAGCAACAATCGAGATCATCAGGAATCAGACCGCAATTAGAAAGCTAAACCAAAGTTTTATCGTATTGAAGAGTGGAAACTGATCAATTCAGTACCAATTTTGAGTTTCTGAAACGGACACTTCCAATCTCTCGAAACAACAATCGAACGCGCGATGCCGTGAATTTCAAGCGGAGAAAACGCGAGGATGAAAAGCTCACCAGAGAGGTAAGAAATTCCTTTCCTAAGGTAGAGACGCAAGTCGAACTTTCCGATAGCATTCGACGAGCGCATCGCCGATGAGATATCGCTGGCCGCTCAAAGCATCCGGCATCCGGCATCCGAGCAACTCTTGATGGCGGGAAAGAAGAAATGAAGGAAAGGGGTGACCATTTCTGTATTTATACGCTTGTTTAGACTGTACTGGGCTTGGTGTAGTTGGGCTGTTTAGTAATAAAAGCCCATTGCGACTCTGTGGAATAAAGGGCTTTTGTCATCTCTAATCAAACTAGCTTTGTTCCCAGCCTTTGGCCGGGTGAGTTTCGTGTTTTATCTTATCAGTCAAGTAATTTGCAAATAACTATTTAATTTGTTAAGTTAATTTATTTCGAGAAAATATTTGTAGTCTTTTAATTTAAATTTATGAGATTGTATCTAAGTGATTGTTTATTTTTCAACTAAGCGATCGACATTCATCATTGATAGTTAAGTTAGACATTCAATTTCTAATGGTTGGATATTGACATACGACTAAGTGTAATATAGGGAATTTTGAAGAAAGATTGTGGTGGATAAGAATTTTTTTTTTTTTGAACAAACTCCTTAATATATTTTTTGTATACATATTCTGAAGTTACATATATCTATCATAAATAGGTGAAAAATTATTATTATATATTTTTATAAACAAATAATTATTGTTAATTATAAATAGATAACCATTCATCATGACAAATATAATTTCTTAAAAAAATGATAAATAATAATATTTTATTCCATAATATCTCATATACCTCTACAAAACTACCAAAAGAAAAGGGGAAAAAGAAAGCTTATGTGAAGGAGGAGTTTTAACTTGTAAAAGAGAGGATATTAAAAAATATAAAAAAAAAATCTCTCACGGGTAGGAAAAAAGTTATAGAAAAAAAGGATCGGTTGAACTTTGAAGGAAATATAAAAAAAAAATCTCTCACGGGTAGGATTGGGGGAGAGGGGAGAGAGACAGAATTCTGATGGGAGAAGGAGATTTAAATGCTGACGTGGAGGCATGTATGGCAATAGATTTTGAATCCCAACACTGACAGTTTGGGAATATGTTTAAAGGTATTTTTAGATTTTAGATTAGATAGATAGATAGATAGATATGAGTATAAAAAATTAGTGAATTAAGGGGTTTATGGTTTTGGCGATAGTTAAATAGATGCATTGCCATCAATGCATGCATAATAACATACATGTATATAAGAAACTCGGTGTATTGTAGTTTGTATCCATTGGTTTATGTGATAATTATTGTGTTATTTAAATAAGTTATCTTACTTTTTGGGTGAAATGTCACTTTTACCCTTTGTTTGTAATTTGTGTCATATCAAGCAAATCATTTTGAGTGATAATTTGTGTCATATCAAGCAAACAATCTCACAAAAAACTTGAGATTTAACTATCACTCATTTTGAGTAATAGTTTGTGTCATATCAAGCAAACAATGCATGTATTGTTTGTGTAGAAAATTCAAAATAACGATGCATTGTGGACAATGCATGTATTGTAACTATTTCAACCCAACAATCACTAAAACCAAACCACCCCTAAATATGAGTGCAGGCTGTAATTATCTGTCTTTGACTACTGAATTGGATGATTTAGAGAATCACATCTACCATACAGGGAGGGACGCTTTGATTGGGGTTTATTACTTGTAGGAAACGTTCAACAGAAGAACACAATGTGGAATAACACACCTGGGAATTGAAGCAGTGGAAGCCGCAACAACAGTTTCCCCTATTTAATCGACATCACCGCGTCCACTGGAAATTTCTTTTTCCTCTGAACTCTCTCTAAAAACCCCCTCTTCCAGGCAGTCGTGGGAGCTGCCGCTGGTGCCTCTCCGGCGACCGGTGGCAGCTCTCCGCCCTTTTTGTTTTTCTGCTGTCCTTTCCGTTTTCCCAGCTCTGGTTCCTTGCTTTGTTTTCATTTTTCTGCATTTTCGAGTCCTTGTTGCTTTGCTTTCATGCATGTTTCCTCCTCCCCTTGTGGGTTGTTGTCCTTCCCCTCTGATGGGTTGATTTTTGGCCCTCTGTTCTGGTGATGCAGAACTAGAGATGATTGTCCGATCTAAGATGCAAGGAGGCTAGATCTGATTTCATATCTGGCTTGTCTTCTCCTCTCCTTTCCAAAATCTACCTCCTTGCTCTCACCTTGCAGATCTTGGTGGTTCGGAGATGCAGCCCTTGGCGACGGATGCGGTCTGGAGAGCTTGAAGACAGAAGATCGTCTCCCCTCTACTTCCTCCGTTGTCCGACTGTTCGAGTTTGTTTGGCTTCCCATGGGATCGTGCGGCGGGAGGCGGACGTTTCGAGCGGCTTGGGGTGGGTTTCGTTGAAGATCGTCTCTCCACCAGCCTGCCATCCGGGTGGTGGATCCTTTTCCTCTGCTTTCTCTTCCTCTAATGTGGAGGCGTTGTTTGGTTCTTGTCATTCGACGACAGTGGCGGCGGTTCCATCCTTGGCGGCGGAGTTTCTAGAGGGGAGCAGTGGCTGCTAGGGTTAGGGTTAGAAAATGTTTGTTTGGTCCTGGTCTTTGGGCCCTATTGGGTTCCAGGCTTGCTGGGCCTTGTTTTTTCTGACTTTTAACCCTTGTAGTATACTGCTTGTATCTTTTCCTTTGGGCTTGCCCATTGCATTCTTAATGAACCACACTTTCAAAAAAAAAAAAAAAACAGTTTCCCCTATTTAGGATGTTGTTGTCAAGCACAGAAGGGGAAACGTCGACTTCAGAGAGTACAATGTCGGCGGGATAAAAAAAAAGAGATATAAAGTCGGCTGTTGAACGTGCGGAGTCTGGTCGCTGGGATCAAGTCAAAATAGGTAGAATCACAGAGAAAGGAGTGGGGTTGGAAAGCTTGCGAGGGAGCGGCGTCAATGGAATGGTATTTGCGATAACGGAACCGACTGAGAGCTCATGCAGGAAGTGATAATCGTGAATAAAATGGCAAGGGGAAGATGGAGGAGGTTTGATTTGGAAATTGCCCGGCAAACTTCCGGCGGCAGATTTGGGAATTGGGGACAACAAATGCCTGCAATTGAAGGGGAAGAGGGTTCGTTGGGCTTTTTTTTCTTTTCTTTCTTGGAAGATGTCGTTGGGGTTGGGAACGGAGAAGGAAGTCTGATGGGGAAGATATTAGTTGACGTGGAGGGTTGGATGGCGAGAAAATTTGAATCCCTAAATGGCAGTTCTGGAAAACGCTTAATATTTTCTTTAGATTCTTTGGGCGGGTATAATTATTAGGCTTTCAAATTGACCAGAACCATATTCCATTAGTAATATTTCTGTAACAATAAAAATATTTGTAATCTTACCACTACAGAAGTATATATACTACAAATACTAATATTATTTCATATTTAAATTATTAAAAGATGCAATCTTGTTATACAAAATCGTGATCCATTAAAAAAAGTTTGCTATATCCCAGTTCAATTGACATAATCCGCTATCATTACAAGGTTTAAGTCCAAGTACACCCGATATAGAGAGATAAACCTTTCCAAAATATTACTCCTACAAAATGACTGTACTGTAACTCATGCTACACTGCTGTCACAAGCGAACAAGCTTGAAAGAGCAGGAAAATGTTGGCTTACAAGTTACAAACGTATCAAGGAAGAAGTTCATGGCCTTGAAATGTTCAACAGGCCAGCTTCCACCTAAGTTCCAGTCCATGGCGCCTTCATGAATCATGTTATGCTTGAATTTCAGCCTACGGTCTTGTCCAGTATAAGAACTTGAGCCCTGAAGCTCTTTTAGTGCATCATGGAGAACTCAGCCAGTACTGAGCTCCAAGTGTATCATAATGAAATCCAGTACAAGTCCCGATGTCTAACAGCCACCAAACTGGGATACTTCTCGAGCATGAGATTTGGCAACACTACCCTTCCTTAGCTGACCAGAAAATCATTCCCCATGGAGTTTGGTTGAGTACCTGAAATGCTGAAACCAAAAGAACCCAATACTACACTCAGCCTAATGACAAAACTTCGTCTGAAACAGCATATGCTTTAACCGTCCTCCCTTGCAAGTTACAATGCTTCAGATGATGGAATAACGAACAGAACAAAATAAAGAATCAATCTTTCTCATAGAATATTAAAATATATAGTTTCAATGGGGACTACTGCAACGCAGAGGTAATCAGCTCAACTGAGAACCAACAGAACTTTGGTCCAGTCCAAACACCAAGAAATGGTACCTCTGGTATAATCTGTGATCTGGGTTTCAATCCAAACTAGGCAAAATGCTGAATAATAGAAGAATGGAAAAGGAAACAAAAGTGGCTTCCTTTGGCAGTTTAAGGGGATTGCCGATTGCATGTTCCCACTTTGACAGGCCTTTAAATAGCCCTTCCACCAGCCTGCTTTTTCTCATCATTCACTATAAGCGGGTTCTGATAAAAACAAACATAGACACACAGAGGTCAAGGGGAACTCGGAAGAAGGAAGAAAGAGAAAAATGAGTGCTGTTTGGGGAACTTCACTTCTGGTTCTAGCTTTGGTCTTTTCAATGGCGGTGGCTGAACCACTAGTTCCATCACTTACCATATTCGGGGATTCCGTTGCTGACGTTGGAAACAACAACAATCTCATCACTCTCATCAGGGCAAACTTCCCTCCTTATGGAAGGGATTTCGCCGAGCATAGACCAACTGGGAGGTTCTGCAATGGGAAGCTGGCCATAGACATAACTGGTATAGTAAAAATAAGATTACTTCTTGGTTTTCTGCTATAGGAAGCTGACCATTCACGAAAGTTGCTCTGGTTTGGTTGTTTCTGAAATGCAGCTGAATATATGGGTTTTGACACATACCCTCCTCCCTATCTAAGTCAAGAAGCCAGCTTGGGAAGCGCTCTGACTGGAGCCAATTTTGCTTCAGGTGCCTCTGGCATGCTTGATGGAACAGCCCACCTATATGTAAACTTCTCAACTCTATACAAATTCTAATTAGATGAAGTAAAAGAGTTAAAAGCTTGACACTTCTTTCTCTTATTGTGGCTGGGTCTGTAGGGAGCGGTTTCATTGACAAGGCAGCTGGAGAACTACAAGGAATACAGAGCAAGAGTCGAGAGTCAGGTGGGGTTCGAGAAAGCCACCGACACATTCTCTAAAGGGATTCATCTTTTGAGCACAGGAACCAGTGATTTCATTCAGAACTACTATGTCGACCCTATTCTCAACACCCTCTACACACCTGATCAGTGGTCTGACAAGCTCATGAAATCTTATGATACCTTCATTCAGGTGTCGTTTCAAGATTCAATTTAAATTTTGTTGCTTACTACGAAAACCTAGGTGATCTGGTTTGTACTGAAGAGAAAAGTGGTAATGTGAACAGAACCTATACGGGCTTGGAGCAAGGAGGATTGGAGTGACAACTCTGCCACCAACAGGGTGTTTGCCTGCAGCTATCACCCTCTTTGGCCATGGAAGCAACAATTGCGTTGAGAGGCTGAACTGGGATGCTAGCTCCTTCAACCAAAAGCTGAACACAACTTCTCAGAGCCTTGCACAAGGACTCCCGGGGCTTAAACTTGTTGTCTTCGATATCTACAATCCTCTCTTGAACTTGATCAACAAACCTAGCGACAACGGTAATACGAAAAATCAGTCGATGTCAAAATATCTGCTGTTTACATACAGAATAACCGACTCACTCACAATATCTATGGCAGGGTTCTTCGAGGCAAGGAAGGCTTGCTGCGGGACGGGTGTCCTAGAGACTTCATTTCTCTGTAATTCAATGTCATTGGGTACATGTTCTAATGCTACAGAGTACGTTTTCTGGGATGGATTCCACCCTTCTGAAGCAGCTAATACGATCCTAGCTCAATCCCTGCTTTCACAAGGATTGTCCCTCATATCGTAGATTCCATAGTTCCATCAGTGCTACAAGCACAAGCTTGATAAGTCAAATCAGCAATTCTTTATTCCTTGGGTCAATAATGTATGCACCATCAACAGCTAATATATCAAATTCAATAGAGTGTCCTATAAGTCTCAATTTGCTGCAGTACTTTCTTCCCCCTTTTGGAGGTCATGCTAACGTTCAACAACTCAGCTTCCCCTACAGTATCAGAGCTAGCACAGTCAAGGAAGATATTACTCAAAAGAAAGTTCTTTGCTGAAACCATGGAGAATTCTGCAATTTAAGCTCCAAGGTTCTACTATTAAATCCAGAACATAAACTTACATGATCACTGCTTCTAAGGAATTTATTCTATATATACAGCTCCAATGCCAACAGTCACTACCCGGACCTACTTATCCAGCATGACAATTCAACATTTGGAAAACACTATCCTACTGTAGGTTACAACAACAAAAAAAAACGTTTTGAATATCTCACATAGCAAGTTACGAAGACGAACACCACTCTACCATCTTCTTAATGCATCAGAAGTTGGAACTTGTCATCGTCAGTTACAACAACGAAATCGTATCCAAGATCATTGGCGCGGAGGTAGAACTCATCCATCTCCCTATGCTGGACTTGGATTCCCACCAGCACGTTAGCGCCAGTCTCTCCCTGTCAATTTGGAAAATTCCATATACAGCAGACTGAATAGAGTAACATCAATCTAAGAAAAAAAGGAAAGGTCTTTGAGGACAAACAAACCTGGCCTCTGTAATGGAACAAGGTAATGTTCCATCGGGGACTGAATGCATCAAGAAACTTCATCAGAGCGCCAGGTCTTTCTGGGAAGACGAATCGACAGAGAAGCTCGTCTCGGACAGATGATCTGCCGCCCATCTGTAAAGGACAAAGCAAAACCTCAGCTGTGAAACCAAAGCAGTTTAGACTTCTGATGTCGGGTAACAAGTTTGCCATATGTGAATAAGAGGGAAACAAGATCAACTAATAGAAGACTTATATGCGAGAACAAATTACCAAGTAACGCAAGTGGTCTTTAACCAAATCGCTTTCCGTCAGATTGTAAGTTTTTAGCTGAGCAGATTCCATCCGCTGCTTCATCGCTTCAAGTTCAGATACCATATGGAGGCCAACACTGCATACAATATCATCGAAAAAATGAAGGGTCACTCTATCATCATTATTTCAAAATGATATAGCATAATATATTGCATACTTGTGGTACAGGTATTCCCAGAAAAAGGGTATAAAAAAAAAAGAAATTCCTCTTGAGATTTACAGTTTGACCATTGATAACACAGACTTCCAAATACACCGACATTTTCACAAATTCAATTCACGGACCTGTACAGGACAACAGCTTCCTTCTCAGAACTACTCCTATACTTGAACTCCGTTATATTGATAGGACCCACCTGTCACACCAAAAGTGAGAATCAGACGCCTAAATGTCTATACAGGAATACTGCAAATCCAAAATTATATGTTAACAAACCAGTTCACAGAAATCTTTGAAACTCCCAGGTTCCTCTGGCAAGACTGTTGCAAGCACAGCTTCCTTTTTTCGGCCAACATTGGCAAGCTCAGTCACCACTCTCAGTTTATCAAAGTTCATGTTCGCCCCACTGGTTATTGCCACAATGTCTCCTCCTTTTATGCCATAGTATTTGCAGTACGCTTCAGCACCAGCGAGCGCTAGAGCACCGGCTGGCTCTAAAATGCTCCTTTTCTCTTCAAACATGTCCTGGCGAAAGTAGTGTTGATGTTATTAAACATTCACTGGGAACTTTAGAAACAAGAAAGCAAGAATGCTTACCTTAATCGAAGCACAGATAGCATCACGGCTTACTAGAACCACGCCATCTATCAACTCCTTGCATAGCCGAAAAGTTTCTTCCCCAACCTCTTTAACAGCCACACCATCTGCAAACCCTCCAACCTGGTCCAACATCACTCTCTCATTGTGATGCAGCGACAAAGCCATAGCATTTGCATCAGCTGGTTCTACTCCAATGATCTTCACCTGCATTTTGAGTGATCGGAATGGTTGGTCTTTACCCCAAGTAAACTCCTGCCAAACCAGAAGTTCCAATGGCAACATGGCAACTTACATCGGGATTAACTCTTTTAACATATGCAGCAATGCCAGCTATCAATCCACCACCACCAACAGGCACAAAGATAGCACGCAATGGGCCTTGCATCTGGCGCACAATCTCCATTCCGATAGTTCCTTGTCCCATAATCACATCCGGGTGGTCAAAAGGAGGTACAAAGGTCAACCCTTCCTGTTGCGCTCTCTGCTTAGCATATATTTGTGCCTCATCATAAGAGTCTCCCACCAAAACAACTGTAGCACCCAATCTCTCAACTGATTGCCACTGCAGAGAAAATTTGCTGACAATTATAATCACGAGTGATTGCAAATAAAGCAGTATAAGTATAGAAAGGAAAAGTAAAACAGACAATCAAATTCCCACCTTGATGTCAGGGGTAGTTACAGGCATGGCAATTATAGCATTGCAACCAAGTCTTTTTGCAGCTAGTGCTACTCCTTGGGCATGGTTTCCAGCTGATGAGCAGATCACTCCTCTTTCTAACTGCTCCTTTGTAAGTTTTGCCATCATGTTGTACGCACCACGCAGCTTGAATGAAAACACCTGCATTCCAACGATGAAATTGAAATGAAACCAAACCTCTGAAGCTCGGACATGAACAAGCGAAGTAAAACTCCCATCCCCCAATTTGAGAAGTGAAAGAGAAATCTAGTACTACCACTATCAGAAAAATCAACCGAGCTCCAAAATGTCCGTTCCTGATAAAGATTAAGCATAATGGAGAGTGAATCGAGCGACAAGATCTTGGTTTTTGACAATTCCTTACCGGCTGCAAATCTTCCCGCTTGAGCCAGACCTTGACGCCGAGCTTCTCCGAGAGCTTAGGCCCGAACTGCAATGGAGACTCAATCGCCACGTCGTACACCTTCGACGAGAGTATATTGGTCAAATACCCCATCGCCCCGATGACATCGTCGCCGCCACCACCTCCTCCGCTCCGGTCGGGCACCGCCCCGAGGTAACCGGGTGGGTACTGTAGCGAACTCGGAGATACCTTCCTCCTCGGCGGAGCAGCAGACACCTTCACCGCCTCCGCCAACGAATTGTCGCGAGAGCCGACGGCGGGCGTCGGCAATGGGGAGATCTCGGCGGCAGGTCTCGACAGGGAGGCGGAGACATTGAGCGGCTTGGACGACGCTCTTCTTGCTCCTCCTCCAGCCAGCGCCCTGGGAGCGCGGAACTCGGCGGCTCCCTGCAGCCGGAGTAGCGGCGGTTGCGGCGGCGCGACGCGGAGAGCCTCCATTTTCGTCCGGGGGGAATTGGGAGCAAGTGGTGACAGAGAGAGAGAGCGGCGTTTTGTGGCGTAATTTGATTTTTTGCTTGTATAAATTATTTTTGGAGGGAGGAAGAAGAACAGAGGGGTTTCTTATAGAGAGGAAGTTTTTGAGGGGTTTTTGTCATTTCTGTTACTTGGCGCATTTTTTAGTAACTTTATGTGGACCAATCGGAGAGAGACGCGTGGCGGTTCTGGAAGTATGAGAAGGCGGGCGCTTGTGCGAGTTCCGGGTAACGGGCCAACGGCACAGTGAGTTTCGTCTTTTTTTTTTTGGTTATAAATATTGACGAGGACTGAGTTCAGTCCATAGGTTTGGACTTTCTCATGGGCTTTCTTGCAGTTTTCTCAGCAAGTTGTGGGCCAATATAGCTCCGGACCAATTATGTTAATTTTATCTTTTCCCTTTATATTGAAAAATGGCTCAATGAACATATTTAGCTCACAAATGGTTAGTATTAAATGTGAATGTAATTTGGAAAAAAAAATCCCAAAACTATTCTCCATTAAAAGGATATTATTGTACTTGTGATTTTCGGGTTCAAAACTCATGCATATGTCAAAGTTAGTGCACATTTAAGCATCATGAGAGAACACATATTAATTATAGTTCACTTCTCAATAATTGTATAGTTTTCAGGCGACATTCATCACAAAAATCCTAATAATACCCATAAAATAGAATATCATTATAGTCTTTTACTCTTGACATGAATTTCCACGTCCATGTCAGTCAAGATCAATTACAATATGGAAGTAATTATTCTCTCCTCTCATTTTCTTTCTTGTCGACCGTAGGAAATTTATTCTAGTGTATGATACAAAATTGGATCTTTCGACTGAAGTATAAATAATTTGAAAGACTTCCCATTCTTAAAAAAATATGAGCGTCAACTTAAAACACTCTAAACTTTTAGTCTTATACTAAGTGTATTCACATAAAGTTGATAAACTTACCAATAATGGAGATTACAACCATTTTTTCCACGAAGAAATAAGTCTTGTTTGTTTTAACCATTTTGGTAGGTAGGTGAACTCTACCATCAAGCTTCCACCTACATTCAAACTCCCAAAGAGATTAGATTATCAATCACAATATACCATGAGCAAACGAGTGTTTATTGTGACAGATTTTGTCACATGTGCATTTAATTCAATATAAGAAGGACCCCAAAAAGATTCCTTGTTACGTGGTCACGGGCTCACGGCCAATATATTTGAGTAGGATTTTAGCTTGACTCATAGTGGCGCTAATAAAAAACGACGGTGCTCAAAGCTAATAAAAAAAAACTACAAGATTTTAGGTGCAATTTCGAAGAATTGATAAACAACGACCAACCAAACAGATCCTTGTCCTATACTGCGATTTCTAGTGATACTGTTGATTTAATATTAGGAACGGGAAGGGTATAGATATTTTGCATGTTGATAGTTGATACACACAAAGAGCATATGCTTTGTTTCTTGTTTGTGCCATCTAACTCGGGACACGAACAATGATATTTGTTGTGTGGGTCGACTCATCATCCGTTCGTCTGATCTCGTCGGGAGAGAAGAAACCTGTGAAAGAGTCGGGGTTGCCCCCCCGGATTAAGCTCCGACGACCAAGTCAGTGTATGTTTGTGGAGAGAGTTGAGAGAATAGATAGAGAGATAGTAGAAAGTGGAAAGTGAGAGGAGAGAGGGAAGTCTCCTCTTTGGGGGGGGGGGGGGGGGGGGGGGGGGGGGGGGGGGGGGGGGGGGGGGGGGGGGGGCTTCAAGCCCTTATATACCTGTAGCGCGTATCGCGCGTCGCGCATCGCCGATTTTGCGCCCTACTATTTAGTTTGTGAACGGAGTATTTAGTAACACCCCAACATTTCTAATTGTGTATCTTAAAGACTAGTTAGCTTAATTTATTTGACTTCATTTCCAATTCGCAACGTGTAACCTCTGATGTAAACCAAAGGGCAATTTCTTCTTCACCAAGTAGTCCCATAACTGGGAGGGTTGGAGATCATCACAGGGTGAACTGTGATGATACTGGAATATTCTTCTTCTCATAATCATAACTGAACCACAAAGTACATATTTATAAGAAAACGTAGGAAAACCTAATAGCTAACCTTATCCTACTCTATCAGGTAACAAATAACTGACTCAATAAGACACAATAAACTGATACGAATATCCCTAAATAATCACAATAACATGACAGCTAACTAATAATAATATCCTAACGACTAATCCAAACTCGGCACCAAGGCTCAAGGATATTATACTGCATCAAGAATATACTTCCACCAAAAAACATCCATACGGTATTTTTGTTCCTTTTGCTCCTCATAATAAGAGAGGATTTCACTCTTTTTTTCGTCATTCCATCTCTTCCGAAAACAAAATACAAATGATCAATTCAATTCGAAAAAATAATGTATATGTTATACAACTATGATACAAACTCGAACCTCTGGAACATATGAGGAGACAAGAATAGAGATTTACGGGCCACCGAATGAGCCACCCTATTACCATCGTTACCAACAAACTTCAACATATTCTCCTTAATTGTATCCAAAAGAAGAGTGCTCTTACGAAAAGTAACTTCGATCATTGCATCCTTCAAATCTCGAACTTTACACTTGTCAATAATAACCTTAGCATTATCACGAAGCAAAACATTGTGCAATCCAAGTCTGTCACACTTTAGAAGCAATCAGACAACATCCGACTCTCCAGAAGCCAAGTTACTCCTTCATAACGTTGAGCTCCTGAAATTATGATACCACCATGAGAATCCTGGATTAAGATCCCAGCCGAAACATCACATGTTGTAGCGGTTGCACCATCGAAGAAAGCTCGCACTTGATTCGGTTGCACGCCATCTCCAACACAACTGCTATTTGCTGCCTATATCCAAGAGTCTGGGCTTTCAGAATTTATGCTAGGCTCTTGTAGCAGGCCGGAAGCCCAGACTCTGGAAGCCCACTTTCATAATCCGCGGGTCTCGGCCCAGACTTCAGCTCACCACTGCGCGGGAAAAGTACCTACCCAGCGACGCGGCGGGAATAATTCAGTCAAAAAGCAACGATCGACCAAAAGGCCACAAAGAAAACGAAGAAGAAGAAAGAAAGAAAGAAAGAAAGAAAGAAAGAAAGAAGCCACCGATAACAAAGAAATGAAAATCTCCCTTCAAAGTAAGGAAAGCAAGGAATCTCTCGCCCAAAACCCACCATTATATTAGCTTCAATTCACAGCAGAAGGAAAACCATAATGCGCCCCCACGAAGGCCAAAACCTCATCGGAATTCCCACGCTAGTAACCTCACACGTGCGATTACCCAAAATTCCGGCCGCCGTCGATGAAGCCAGTGTACCTCCAGGCCGGAATCCCTCTCGCCATCTCTGTTGCCGGTTTCGCCGTTGCCCGAATAATTTCACGGGGGAAAGTTTCACCCCAATCCGAAACCGAACTCGAAGTTGATTCAGAAACTGATGATGAAGAATCAGGGTTTCAGGAATTGAAGGAAAGAATCGAGGAGCTGCAGAGCAGGGAAGTGGAACTGGAGCTTCGATTCCTGCGGTACCGAATAGCGAAAGAGCAGGAAATGGAGCTGATGGAGGCGAGGAGCGAGCTGGAGATCGAGTCGACCCGGGCGGAGTTCATTGCGCGGGAGGTTAAGTTTCTGGAAGCAGAGAAGCAGAGATTCGAGGGTTTGCTGGAGGCGTGTTGGAAGATCGTGCAGCGGCTGGAATTGGCGAATTTGGGGAATGAGTTGCTGGAGAGGAAAGTTGGAGCCATGGAAGCTGAGGTTTCGAGGTGCTTGGAAGAGAAAGAGAAAGGGAATTGGCTGATGGAGAAATTGGAAGAAGAAATTGTGGATTTAGGGAGGGTTGTGGATCGATTGAAGGAGGAGAAAGATGAGCTTCTGAAGCTGCAAAACTCTGTTTCTACGTCGAAGCCAAAGGTCGAAACTTTGCAGAATGGGGATGGAGAGTTCATATCCATGGAAGACTACAATCGGTTAGTAAACGAGCTGGAACAAGCAAGAAGAGAACAAGTGGCGGAAATTACAGAGGTGACATACTTGAGGTGGACTAATGCCTGCCTCAGGCACCAACTGATGAGAAGTTATCAACAGCAGCAAGAGAATGTTAGAGAACACAGTAATGGCCGTGAGAGTGAAGGAGGAATCATGGCAACCAGCAGCGTTGATCATCATCATCATCATCAGCGTGGTTCCAGGAGGAAGAAGTTGCTTAACAAGCTGAAGAAATGGGTGGAAGGGAGTGAGAATAAGCATGAGGGGAAATGCATTGGATGGGTACCAGAAGGCCATGATGATGATGATGATGAAGAAGAAATGGTTCCACACAGAAGATCTTGTTCTAGTTTCTGAAAATAATTGTTACGAAATCGGATAGTCACATGTTTAACGTAGATGTCTAAAATGGTTAACATAAACGTTTAAATTTGTTAACAAAATTGTGGGGAAAAAATCCACGGTCCTACTTGGAGTTATGTGGACGATAATGGTTTATGTGGACGACATTGACCATCTTATCCTCTATCTTCTCCCACGTTGAAATTTGTCAAAACAATTTGACTACCACCTGAAATACAAATCTTTTTAATTTGCTCCCTTCTTCCTGATTCCCGTTAAACCAACAGAAATTATGGAAGTTTTTCCCTTCCCCTGCTGCTACCAGCACAGTTCAATCCTCCCCCGAAAGCCGCTAGCTTCATTTTCAACTGGTATAAATCTTGTCCTCGTTAACTTCTGATGAATGCTACTTGGGTTCATCTTAAAGTTGAGAACTTTTGCACTGAATTTTGCCCAGGGAAGAGCCAATCCATCACAAGAAGAACCTCAGCCCTTTTCCCATGTCGCTGTTCTTTGCCTTCTTCGGAGAAACCTCAGCAGCAGAATGAGGGAAGGAGGGCGCTTTTTGGCTATCTTCTTGCATCAACCGGTTAGTTTCTATATGTGGGAAGTACTGGGATTAATGGGTTCTTGTTATCTTATAAGAGCTTTTGATGATCCAAAACATTCTACCATCCAACCCTAGTTGAATTTTACCATTGAGTTGGGCTCGATCTCTGCAAACTTCAAGCAGAAAAAGCATGCATTCATGTAGTGGTCAAAATCTGAATCTTTTGTGTGCCCAGCTGCAGGAATTGCTGCATGTGATGCTGCTGAGGCTGTTAGTACCAGCAGAAGAGCGGTGAGTTCCTTTTTATCTTCTCATGATTCACCTGTAAAAAAGGGTTAACATCTTTTCTGAGAAATGATAAAACTGTTCTCATTTTCTGGTGTTGGTGCAGCTTAGAGGAGCAAAAGTACCAGAGGATGAATTCAAAACCCTTCCTAATGGTCTGAAGTCAGTACACCTAGGAAATTCTCACTCCTGTCTATGAGCAAGTGACCTTTGCAAATTAGTCACTTGCATGACGTTTCATCCATAATTCTGATGGAAGACTGGCTTCTTTCAGGTACTATGATCTGAAGGTTGGTGGAGGTCCAGAGGCTGTAAAGGGATCTCGGGTTGCAGTACGGTTTGTGCCTTTGATTGCTTGTCTTCAGCTGATGCACAACTTTTCCTAGAAAGTGCTGAACTTTAGATTCATGGAGCAGATTCTTCTTCAAATTCTAGGTTCACTATGTTGCCAAATGGAAAGGAATCACATTCATGACCAGTAGACAAGGAATGGGTGTTGGTGGAGGAACGGTGAGATTCGTTTTAAGTCTTTGGATCATTTCTCTTTGCTAGATACCTTATATTCGTTCGATTTGGTGTTGCTTGAAGCCTTATGGATTTGATGTTGGCGAATCCGAGAGAGGAAATGTTCTCAAAGGGCTGGACCTCGGTGTTGTAGGAATGCGCGTTGGAGGCCAGGTGAGAGAGAGATAGCATTTATCCCTGCATAATGACATTGCTGATTCTGTGCTTGATGATCTCTTTTAGTTCATTAGTGTCTGTTGTTTGCTTTAAAATCCTCAAAAAGCTGAAATCTTCAACATAAAAAACTGTTTCCCGGCTTCCATGGATCTATGTTTCCTCATTCTATCCTGTATAATCTTGCCAATGGCTATTAAGAGGTTGTGGAATTGCTTATATCTTAAGTAAACCATCATTAATGCAGCGTCTGCTGATAGTTCCTCCGGAGCTGGCATATGGAAAGAAAGGAGTTCAGGAAATTCCTCCAAATGCAACCATAGAGGTACAAGGTTTAAAATCCCATTTCAGTAAGAATGCTTAAAGCAATAGAACTTACTGATCTACCCTTGGAATTGCAGATGGATGTTGAACTTCTTTCCATCAAACAAAGTCCATTTGGGTAAGTTGCAGTCTTGTAGAAGTTAACTTGTCTCACTAAATCTGATAGGCCTCCATAGTCTGCCTTAACGCTACTCAAAATTTTCAATCTGGCAGGTCCCCTGTGAAAATTGTTGAAGGATAATGAGATCAACTCCACGGTTGGAAGCCCGTTAATACAGGCCAGTTGCTTCAGTTTCAAGAAGTTGAATACCCACCAATCTGATATACTGAAATCACTTGTTCTTACACCTTTACCAAACATCATTTGGTTAATCCATCTTTTACACGTTGCCAACTTCTTGTGAGCAGCTAAGACTGCTGATTAGCCACTGTTTAGTTTGTTCGCCCATGTCTGAAAATTCATCCAAATCTACTTTGCTGCCTGTAGAAGGGGAACTGTTAAGATTATGCTCTGAAGAAACAACATGTGTCATAATTGAATGGCTTGATGTTCTATTGATTTTGATCCTGAGCCACAAGAATACTGATCAAACAAGAAAACCTTTTCTTGGTGCAGAAGAAAGGGCCAGTGTCCTTCCTCTCTACAGACCATACAGTAGGAATCCAGCAGGTCGAGTAAAATGCCAAAACACTGTTCAACTTTTTCCCTCCACAATTAGATTCTTTTATCCCTTTTCTCTAAAACAATCATTTCCCTCCCACTTTATTCCTTTCCCCTCCACCCTTTATTTACCCCTTCAATCCACCTAAACCCCTTGAACAAGCAAAAATGACAACATTTCCAATACATACAGTTCTCTTCTGTTGCATTCATTTCCTTATTCACTTCTCACTTCACACTCACTCCCAGAAGCTCTGCCCAAACTGTGGTCCCATCCAAGTCCCCTACCCTCTGAGCACTAACCCCAACTGCGGCGACCCAAGGTACACCCTACGTTGCGACTCGAGCTCTCATGCGCTCTACCTCGATGCCTTGAACAGTAGCTCATACCTTGTGCTCCGAATCATAGCATCCATCCAGCGGTTGGTGGTGCAGCCATCGCCATTTGTGGTCGATGGGCAGAAGAAGGACGAGTGCATCACCCGGGACATGCTTGTCAGTGAAGGTTTAAGGCTGAACCAGACGCTGCCATTTAATGTCACTTCATCAAACACTGTGTTCTTGTTCAATTGTTCTCCAAGGCTGCTCAACTCTCCCTTGAACTGCACTCCTGCCAGCCTATGCCACGCATACCTCGAGATGTCTGGACACGTGGACGGGCAGAGAGCCGTTCGTTGTGCCAATGTTCTTGACCCTTGCTGCACTTTTGTGGCAGGAGGGATGCCCTCAGCTTACAGGTAAGCATAAGCATGTGATCTTAGAACCGTATAAAATGTAACATTATGGGAGCTGACTCGAGATTTTGAATACCAGGATCCGCCTTCATAGTTCAGGTTGCAAAGCGTTTCGAAGCATCATTCATCTGAACCCTGACACCCCTCCTTCTCAATGGGAAGAAGGGTTGGAGATTCAATGGGCTCCACCACCCGAGCCACCTTGCAAAACACAAAAGGACTGCTACGGAGCTTCCAAATGCTCACCACCATCAACCAAAGATGAACCCTCTCGCTGCCTCTGCAACAAAGGCCACCAGTGGGATAGTATCCATGGGACTTGCACGAAGAAGGTGAACCGTAGGGTTGCCTTCATGTTAAAGCTCTCACTCGGCATGATCCCTTTCATCTCCATTGCTCTAATAACAGCTGCAGCTCTCTTCTACAAGTCGAAGATGCAACGAGCCAGGCTTGCGAGGGCGAGGCAAGACATGTTCATAAGGTCAAGCAATGGTGGCGCTGGTGGGAAGACAGCCAGGATGTTCCAGCTGAAAGAGCTGAAGAAGGCAACCAACAACTTCTCCCCAGACAATTTCTTAGGAAGTGGAGGGTTTGGTGAAGTCTACAAAGGGGAGCTCCCAAATGGAACCGTTGTGGCTGTGAAATCAGCCAAAGTTGGCAACATCAAGAGCACCCAACAAGTCCTCAACGAGGTAGGAATCCTGTCCCAAGTCAACCACAGGAACCTCGTACGCCTCCTTGGCTGCTGTGTCGAATCGGAGCAGCCATTGATGGTCTACGAATACATCTCGAATGGGACACTCCATGACCATCTCCAAGGCAATGAGGTATGTTCTTTTTATAACATGGATCACAAAATCTCACTATCTTTAAGTTTACCACTATTTTTGTGTTGCACGTTAAATCTCGATCACTGCGTTGCAGGGAAGGTTCAAATCCGCGACCTTCCTGGATTGGACAACCAGGCTGAGAATTGCTCTTCAAACTGCTGAAGCTTTGGCATACTTACACTCCGATACTCACAGTCCGATCTACCACAGGGATGTGAAGTCCACAAACATACTTCTGGACGACGAGTTCAATGCCAAAGTCTCCGACTTCGGACTCTCCAGGCTGGCACGGCCAGGGCTGAGCCACGTGTCGACTTGCGCGCAGGGCACTCTGGGTTACTTGGACCCGGAGTACTACAGAAACTACCAGCTGAACGACAAGAGCGATGTCTACAGCTTCGGAGTCGTGCTGCTCGAGCTTCTGACTTCTCAGAAGGCCATCGACTTCTCCAGAGACCAGGATGACGTGAACTTGGCGATCTATGTGATCCACCACAGTGGAAATGATGAACTGAACATGGAGGTTGTGGATCAACGGCTCTTTGGAAGCAGAGGATTGAACGACGTGGTATCATCCATGAAAGGAAGTATGGTGCTCTTCTTGAAGCTGGCTTTTGCTTGTATACAAGAGAAGAAAGTTGACAGGCCTAGCATGAAGGAGGTTGTTCAGGAGCTGGAGAGGATTGTTGGAATGGTTGATGAGGGAAAAGGGTTGTCGCCATGATGTTGGAGTTGAGTGTTCAAAGAGAGAAAGATCCATTAATGAGACCTTAAATATTCCCCATTAGCTCCTAATTCCTAAAGTAATTAGGAAGGGCGGAAAATGTTCCCATAAGATAGCTAAAAGAATGCAAGATTAGAGTCTAGATAACATATGGTTGGGATCAAGTGCCGAGTCCCTTGGTAGAGTTGTTTTCATCCTAGTTGAAACAAATATCATGTAATAATTTGAAGTGTTTATGACCAATTGTGATATGGTTGCATATATTGAAAGATTCAACAAAAGAGAATAAATCAATTTCTATATTAGTGAAAGAATATGTAAAGTTATAACATTTCTAGGTATAATCGTGTTATGATAACATTATTTTTCAATGATTTTATTATTAAAATTTCAATATCTTGATATATCGAAGAATAAAGATATGGGTATAACTTGAAATAAACCGAGATCATCATCGTCCAAATCAAGTATATCTCCGCACTTCCTCTATGCTTTTGGGAATGGTGGCCAAAGAAGGAAATGTCACCATCCTTTCAATGGGTGAGCCACCATGCATATACCCCCACAAGATGATTCCAATTTCCATGGGAGTGAGTGGGTGGAAAGGGTGGAGAAAGGAGCAAAGACATTGGAAGGATTAGATGCTCCCTATCTTCCAATGATTTTCTATGTTGATAGATGGTATATTTGGTAAGTGATCCACAATGAGATTGTAGGGTAGTGGGAATTCCCTAGGATATGTGAAAGTAACACTTAATTTCTAGCCAATTGGTTGAATTATCAATATAAGGAAATATACGATTTATTAGTAAAATGTTTTGAATGACATTAGTCAAAAGCAAAGTGATTCTTATACAACAAAGACAATAATGATTGTACGTTTGAAAATTTACTCTAGATTTTATTTCAATTCAATCGCTCTTTTTTATTTTACTTGTTCAACAAATTCTACTGTGAATTTCAGTACTCCAAAACATGTCCATCTAATCCAACATCCATTCTACTTCTAATAACTACTTCTTTCATTCTAATAACTACTTCTTTCAAACCATTCGATGGATTTACATTGTATTGAATTTAAAAATATGGGTATAACTCGAATTATATAAAATGAATTGCTTTTCTTCCATTCTCCTTCCTGCCACTACCGTAAATTGATGAATCCAAGCATTTTCTACAAAGGTCGACGAATATGGAACCAAAGAGTTAACAAACCCATGTTTCCTGGATTTCATTCCCCATTTCCTGTGCTGCCAAACATTGGATTTTGTGAAACCATGAAAATGAGTACCAAATCAGCACCCAAAACCCAACTATCAAACAACCCGCAATAGTTACTTTCGAAATACTCAATGCTAAGTTTGTAGGCTCAAACTTAATGGTTCAATCCAAAAGTTACATAGATTCACAAAATTACATAAAAGATGATACCATACACTGATACAAAAACAAGTCCGTAAGATCCTAAGTAGTCTCTACTCCAAAAACAAAAAACAAAAATCTGCCAACTCTGCTCTAATGGCAGAAGGAAATATAAAGTTCCCGATAAGGCTGCTCGTAAATCATCGGCGGTAGCGATGACGTTTGAAGTTGAAGTAGACATGCAATATCCCACGCTCAAACGTGCATTTGAATCCCTTCTTGTGAGAGTATTCCCACTCCTTGTTCACAATCCGAAAAGCCTGCATAAAGAATCAAGTGATAAGATCAGTATGCAATCGAAAGTCTATCACAAACTCGGGATTACAAGTATGGGTATGAACACCCCTCTACTTACAATGTCCTCGTAAGGTGGTCCAGCATGGAACCGGATGATGCAGGTCTCATCGCTGCTCCCGTCCCTCTCAATCGTGTATATTGGAGCCTTGATCTTGTCGACGAGGTCGGGGTAGAAGATGTTGAACTTGTAACCCTGAACTATTTTCGGAGGCGGGTTGTCGTGGTCATAGTGGGTCTGGTTGTACTTGTTCCACTCATAACCGGTGTGCACTCTGTTGAAGTACTTAGGCTTCCTGGGCCGGTACTTGTCGTGCCACCAATACACCTGCGAGTCCAGACTCACTTCCGCACCAGATCCGAACACTGCATCGCCTTCCTCCATCGTTCCCATGGCTTTGAACGCTTTCATCTCAAATTGGGTCTCCTCCGGAGGTGGAGGCAGAGGCGGTTTTGATGATTTCATCGCTTCTTGGATTCGTCTCTGCTGCTCCTCCAGCACAGCCATCCGCTTCTTTTCCTGTAAACACGAAAATTGAAATCAACTTGTGGTTAGAGCGTGATTAATGATTATACATTGCACTATGATGAGAATGGCAATATACCAATATAGCCTTGTCCTCTTCAGGGTCCACTGCTTCATCATCATCATCATTGCCATGTAAGAGCTCTGGAGAGAATGATCCAGCCTCTTCTTCTTCTGGCTCTTGAGTTTCCTCCACAAGCTCCTGGGGAAAGGGCTCAAGATCTTCTACAAGATAGTCAAATATGATAAGATGAGTTTCAATGTAGAGGTATATCTACCAACTTAAAACCAATCTACACAACCTCAAATCTATTAGACTCAAATCCATTGGTTGGTGGGTAAGTGGGATGGGGTTGATAGATTTCAGCAAAATTATCATTTAGCACCTAAATCGAGTCTCATATTCTATAACCTAAATTTTCATGTACAAAAAAAAAATCACCAAAATTGCGATTTAGCAACTAAAACAACTGCCAGAGGTAGGTATATACACAATGAAAACAGGAGAAGAGCACAAACCTTTCTCCTCGGGCTCACTTTCCTCCTTAATCGGCCTTAAATCATGGTCGCTTTCTGACTTGTAGTCAATTTCTGAAGTTGGTTCAAGACGGTTCAAATGGGTTCGCAACATCTTAGCATGGATCTCCTTCAGAATGGCCTGTTTCAGCAAAATATGTCAGGCAACACGATATGATTCGGCCAAAACTAGGAACATGAACCGAATTTGAGATTCAGTATACCTTTGCCTTGTAAATCTGGAGTCGCTTCAGGACAGCCTGCCAATACTCGACGACCCTTGCTTCTCCAGAACTCAACAACAGCTCGATCTTGGATTTGGCTGCATCCAGCTCGCTGGAGGTCTTACCTTCCAAAAGATCTCTCACATCGGATTCAATGCCACGATGCATACCTCTTTCTTCTGCAAGCAACTCTGCAGGAGGTTCTTCACCACGTACTCTTGCTCGATCAAGAGCATCTTTTTTCCTAGCTTCAGCTAGTTCCCAGTTACAAACCACCAAGAGGGCCTGGAAATACCACACACGTTAAACTTCAAAGGCTAACCGCTGAATACTTAGACGACCTTTCATGTGAACTATCATAAGAAGAACAAGGCAGTCTACTTCATCACCTCAAGGCATAAAAAGTTGAATGACCAGCAGTAAATGACGATCAAGCTATGGTTTTAAGCCATGAAATGTGAGCTGTTACTTGAACAAAGAGCTATTCTAGGAGCCAAGCAGTAAGGAAATGGATAGTACCTCCCAATAATCCACTTGTGTTTGTGTTGTTCGTTCCATATCCAAGTGCATCTTGATGTCATCATGAAGTTCCTCCATTTCTTTAACTGTCAAACCCTACATCAAGCATGCCAAGATCAATGTCTAGTGAAATTGCACAAGTGAAGCCAAAATAAAGACTGATGCAAAGTGCAGATATCTGGAGAACAAGAGAATACTATATGTTTACCTTAAAAACCATATATGGTTCATTGATTTCGATGTCCAGATCATCTGAGACATTCAAGTGCTTTGCCAAAACATCAATTGGTTTAACTCGCCCTTCACGAACCCTGATCTCAGACCTGACTTTGCTTTGCTCAAAATGGAACTGCAGGGAAGCAATATTAAAGCTCGTCAAACAACAGAAAACAACATGCTGAGTGAGTAACAAAATCAAGAGAACTTATCCAACCACTCACCTCATCCTCCTTTTTCTCCCAGTCTTGGAATTCAGCCCTTGCACGTTCTCTTGCCAACAATGCCTGCAGGTCAGAACAAGACATCAGCAACCACAACCAAAGTACATGTCAGTGGCTATAAACATTATAACATAGAGAAAATTCAAAGTTATTAAGATGGATCATGCTTTCTCAGACAGCACAGGACGTACCATTTCTTCCTCGTGTTGTGCTTTCTCGAGTGCCCTCTCCTCCCTTCTCTTTTTCACTTTCTCTATCTCCGCCTACAAGATGAGGATAAACCACATCAACCAATGTCGATCAAGTACGGAACAACTGCATGAATTCAGGTACGAAAGAACAGTAGCATTGATCTTCAAATGGACCGTACTGTGAATCAAGTTGCTAAGGAAGGATTTGACAAAAATGAGCCAATCGTGTTCAGGTCGAATCAAAGCAGTATTAACACTAACCATCATTGATCCTCCAAATGGACTATACTATCAATCAAACCACTACCGAAACAATTAATTCAAATGACTCCCTAATTGCATTCAAGTCAAAATCTAAGCAAAATCACCTGTAAACAGCACTAATCCTTCTAAATGTACACTGCCAGTCAAGTCGCTATTTACAGATCCAGCTTAAACAAGTCCCAATTGCATTCGGGTCAAAACAAAAGCTAAAATGAACACTACGCATCTAAACTTTTTCTATTAGCATTACTTGCATGAACAGGAGAAAACAAAACTAAATGTCAGGCTGCAAGGGTCCAATACGACTCAAGAATCTTGTATTCAGACCAGCCATAGTACTGCCAGTCACTTGCAAGTTCAATCTACTAAGTGCATGGTAACTGAAAAATCATATCGGGTGCATACCATTCTTTCCTTTTGCCTCTTTTTCTCTGCTTTCATCGAAAAATCATCTAATGGCACGCCTTGGCCAACATCACGCTCAATCTTCTTCCTCCATACAAATCTGAAAATAACATTCAGAGAAACATTAAGAATTGGGAACTAAAATGCAGTCCCCAGAACACAACCATCCAAAATAAAACCAAGTAACCAGAGAAGAACCTTACTTTTCATTCAAATTCGAATCACCGAAAGGATTGGAGTCATTCGAATAGCCAGAGACGGACTGTGCCTTCATTTTCTTGGCAACTTTCATAGCCTAGTCGAGAAAACCAACGAACAGGGCGTAAACCATCGATAAGCTAAGAATAACAAAGCAGAAAACAGTGAAAAATGTTCATACATACGAATAAATACCTTCCTCTGAGCTTTCTTCGCCATGTACTCGGCAATTTCTTGTTCAGAAACTTTTCTCGACGATTTCTTCCTCTTGCCTCTATGATCGTCGCTATCGCTGTCGGAGTCACTAGAGCTGCGGTCCTTGCGAGTACTCCCACGACGGCTTCTGCTCCGGCCATGGCTGCTACGCTCTTGGCGGCGACTCCGGGAGCTCCTACCCCGAGGAGAGGAGTCGCGACTCGCCGACTCGCCGGAAGAAGATTGCGACTCGGAGTCGTCCGATTCTCTGCCCTTGCCTCGGTTCGAAGTTGATCTTCGGGAATCCCTATCTCTCTTGCTTCCGCTCCCCATTAATTTCAAGCTCCTCGATTAGAAAAGGCACAAATCCACCAACGAATTCTAAGAACCCTAATGACCAGATGACGCTACTGTCCTCCTCAACTTGGGAGTGGTACCACGGCCTCCCAATGCTTCGAATCTTCTTGGCACTGCACCTCCTATGTTTTTTTACCCTCGATTTTTTTTTTTTTTTTACAGAAACCTGCTTTTGTTAAAAAAAAATCTGAGAAAGGATGAACACAGGAGGCCTAAGGCCCAAGATTCTGAAGAGTCCCAATTACAATTCGAGTGGGCCATTAAATGGGCCGGTTCATTCCTAGCCTTTTTGTGAAGCTCCACCTGATCTGTGGCCCATCGACCTGGCCCGCTCCTTCAGCTCTCTAGCAACCATGCCTGCTTCCAGCCTCGATTCTTCCTCACCCTTCATTTTCTGGATAGCGGTTTGACAGTCACTCTCCATTTATCTTGGTACTCAAGTGCAAAGTTCAGCATCCGGTCAAAATATAAAGTCAACAAAATGGTCATATGGGCCAGGGCCACAAAGCCCATGGAGCAAAGGATTTGTAAGTCGCAGTCTGCACTAGGCAACCAAATCGGCTTCGCCATATAATAAATTCATCGCTTCACTTTGCTTCCACTCTCCGCCGCCGAGCTTCTTTTCTTAACCCGCTGCTCGCCGGAAACCATCGCCGATATGCCGGGTCGCATCACGGCAGCTCAACACCCTGAGCTACCAGCCCAACTTCGCGCGAGCGCGAGCCGCAGAGGCCGCCGCCTACGGGTATTTCGTCCAAGCCTTCGATCGACATTCATAAAATTACAAGCTGATCTTCGTTTCGCCACACACTAATAACAGTAACAACAATAATAATACCATTATTATAAGTCGTCATGACTTCGTGCACTGTTTCTTGATGTCAAGAGTAACGCTATACGTAGGAGAATCATCGTGGACGAGGATCATTGGATCTTGAATATTTGTGTTTTTTATTTGCAATCCGATTTCGAGAGGCTATACGACATCGATTTGTGCAGATGGAAGGATGTTGTTTCCCCAATCGATCCGCTGTATTTCGAGGAGTGCAAGACTAATTATGTAATATTACTGACGTAGTCAGAAATGTAATTTGGTAGGTGGTCCAATAATACGCGTGGATTGGAACATAAAATTAATCGTCAAGTTATGATTTAAGCTTCTACGTACAGTGTTGCTAGCTAGTAAAATATTATGAATTGTAGTTGTATATTTTGCATAGACCCACCCAATTTTGGTGGGTGATTAAAGAGTTATTTTGATGGTTACTATTTGGCTTCAAAATCGAAATAAAGGTGTGAATTCCATTCCAATCTCTTTGTAGTTTTGACTCCTTTATAAAAATACGAGTTGCATAGTTGATTCTTGTTGTCACACTCCACTCCTAAAATCTTTCTTTGCTTTACCAAATTTCTCATTGGGACCGTTGATGAATTCCTCACTTTTTTAGAAATTATTTTACTTTATAACCCATTTCCCACATCATGATTCATGGATCGATTGTTCTAAACTTGCATAAAACAAATATAATTTGTGGCTAAATTTCGGGGTATTAAGTTTCTTTCACGGCTCCTCTATTATGGCTATAAGATTAGCTAAAGATAGTCAAGAACCCTATTGCATGCAAGCAATCAATCATCCAGTATAAAATAATATAATTTGCAATGAGTAATTATTACATTTGGGATCATATACAATTCTCTCATGTAACCTCTATTGACTCAAATTACTAGGTTGGCTACAAATTTTACAAATGGAAATTGTAATCCATACATGAGATTAGTAAAATGCATTTAAGATAGGTGGAAGCTCGTAAAATTTATCAATGTCCAATCTATAATCCGACTCATTTGAAGGACCAAACCAAAACTTCATATAATGTTACTTCCTATCATAAAGTCACGAGATACGATGATAACCTCTTTATAATACTGAGAATGCAAAATAAATCTCTTAAATGTCACATATATTATATGGGAAATTGGGATGCAAATTAATCATCAGAATTCAACAATGTTTTTTAAATCATTAGAGGTATTTTTCAATATCTCTAAATTGAATTATAACATTGTCGAATGTCTATCAACTAAACATCAATATAAACTCTTTGACACGGTTTACACTGTTAGTAAACAGTAAATGATCCACGATGGAATCTCTCCCAACAACTTGAGTTATTGAGATTAACTGGTTCTTGACATGGTATCAGAGCCTTTTGTGACCGTGAGGTCTTCTTTTCGATTCCTGGTGACCCCCATTTATTTCTGTTAAGCACATGGTGTCCCGACATATGCCTGTTCAAACTCCAAGCCTATCTAAATGGCTTGAGTTTGAAGGGAGTGTTGATAAACGGTATATGATCTACGATTGAAACTCTCCAAACAACTCGAGTTTATTAGTATAAACTGGTTCTTAACATACACATTATCATATCAATGAAAATATTAATAAAACCCCCTTATTTTGATGTGTGGCTATCACTCATGTTGTATTAGCAACAAAATTTTTTTTTTTTTTTTTGTATTTTGTTCAAACATAAGAAGCGAAAAATGACAGAGCTCAAACAATTTTACCGCCTAAGGCCCTAGAATCTGCGAAACCCCAAGAGAGGGTTAGGGTAATAAAGTCCTTTCTCTCTCACTTCCTTTAATTTTTATTTCAATTCAGTATTATACGGAAAATCCCAGTTGACACCTCAAAGCAGAAGAAGAAAAGAAAAAATAAAATAGAGAGAGAAAAGCTTCAAAACCATCAGCAATATTTTCCTTCTTCCCGTTCCTTCCTTCTTCTGCTGCTCATTTCCGCGGTTCTCCCATGTCTAATCATCTCTCAATGCGCAGCAGGAGCAAGCGGCACCAAGATCTCTGAGTCTTTCTTTTCTCGAGCTGAAAAGCCCCCCCTCCAGTCCAGACCGAGAAAAGAGTCGAAGAAAGAAAAAGAATGCGGGCTCTCCTCACGCGGCCTTCTTGGCCGGTACTGTTGCTGATCATACTCGCCGCCGTTCCTCTGTCGACAGTTCACTGTACTGGCGTTCTCCACCTGGAGAGGGCTCTGCCTCTGAACTATCCGGTTCCCATTGAGCAACTCAGAGCTTGGGACCGGGCAAGGCACGCCCGCGTCTTGCAAGGCTTCGTTGGCGGCGTGGTCGACTTCTCAGTCCAAGGTTCCCCCGATCCTTTCCTCGTCGGGTAACCTTCTCTTTTGCTAGTTTGCTCTGGGTTCTTTTGGTCTGGATTGAAGAGGGAAAGAGGAGTTTCTTATCGAGTGGTGGGTGGATTTTGGGCATTTGTGAGCTCAGCTAATTTAGTTTTGTTTCTGCGGGGGATTTGAAGTTTCCTTAAGTTATTTGAAATTCCTGCTTCTTTAGTGAGGCTTTTCAGTGATGGGGTGCCTCTGGAATTCGGCAAGTCTCTGGTAATTTTGGGGGGGTTTTGGTAGTTTGCTTACTGTTGACCCGTGGCACTGGAGAAATCTTGTTCAAGTTCTTGAGAGAATGGAGGTGAAATGAGAATTTTTGGCCATGTGGTGTCTTGGGTGTGGAATTCGATGGAAGTTTGTGCAGTTGCAAATTGGATTTGGTGTTATGTTTGTACTTTGTACAGTGATTACCTAATTTGGATTCATGGTTTCTTTGTTGTCTAGTTATTTGACTTATTCTGTTGTTTCTTTACTGTCTCCCATTAGGGAGGTGTCCATTTTTACCAGGAATCCATGCTTCTTGCTTCCGTTTGTGGTTAACTTTGCCATGGTGTCCTTTGTGCCCGTCCACATTTTCTTGTTTGAAATTGACATTAGAGTGTCTTTTTCCACTAATTAAATGCAGGGCACTGACTGTTTCCTTGAATAAATTGGTTTTGGCAGACTTTATTTCACGAAAGTGAAACTTGGCTCTCCTCCTAGAGAGTTCAACGTGCAGATTGATACTGGCAGCGATGTATTATGGGTGAACTGTGCCTCCTGTGGTAATTGTCCACGTTCTAGTGGCTTAGGGGTGAGCTCTTGCTCCTGTCTTCTTCAAACTATTTGCTTTCTGTGATCTGAAATTTGTTAGTTGCATCTCATGCTTTTTTGGTATCCTGCAGATTCAGCTTAGTTTTTTCGATGCTGCGGGCTCTTCCACTAGTGGTCTGGTTCCGTGTGCAGACCCAATTTGTGCAGCAGCTGCTCGAACCAGTTCCACACAGTGTTCGGAGAGTGGTCAGTGTGGCTACACGTTCCAGTATGGAGATGGGAGTGCAACTTCTGGTGTTTATATAACTGATACGTTCTACTTTGACTCGATTTTGTCGGGTTCAATGATTGCCAACTCGTCGGCGCTTATCGCATTTGGGTAAGTTGGTCTATATTGGTTTGTGAATTTGCTATGTATATACATGTATTGCCTGAATAATGATATCGACAGAGCTATTCAGGTTTGAAACCTCTATTTGATTGCACTTGCTTCTTATGGGATATGTTAGGTTTACTGATTTTGATTTGTTGATTGTAAAAGAAGTAGTAAATGTTTAAGGATTGCCCTTTTCATTCCCTAGAGCTCTTTGTTTACAAATGCATGTGTTGCTGTGCTACCTCCTTACAATTCTTGATTTCATTTATCCAAATTGAAGCTTATTTGTATAGTCAACGGTGTTTGGATATAGTTGTAGCACGTACCAGGGTGGTGACTTGACTAAGACGGATAAAGCGGTTGATGGAATTTTTGGATTTGGCCAAGGCGCTCTCTCCGTAATATCTCAATTATCGTCCAGAGGGATAACACCTCGAGTTTTCTCTCATTGCTTGAAAGGAGAGGGCAGTGGAGGTGGTATATTTGTTCTTGGTGAGATTTTGGAGCCAGGGATTATCTATACTTCACTTGTCCCATCACAGTGAGTAGTTTTCTTCTTCATCTAATTGTTCCATCTTTTATTTTCTGCAAGCTTTTGCTGTAAAATTGACAAATGAAACAAATATTGATGTAGTTCATCTATCGATTTTCAGGGCTCATTACAATTTATATCTACAAAGCATAGCAGTCAATGGACAGGTGTTACCTATTGACCCGGTAGCCTTTTCAACGACAACTAATCGAGGGACGATAGTTGACACTGGAACAACGTTGGCGTACCTTGTGGAGGAAGCTTATAATCCTTTAGTCAATGCTGTAAGTAACATTTATGCTTTCAGCAGCCTTGTTTAACATTGAATCAAGATAAAGTCCTTAGCTTATGATCCTTCAGCGGCCTTATTTTACATTGAATTTGTTTCCTGAGCTCCAGTAACTTATCACGACTCACAAGTTAGTTTCTGCACTTCATAAATCTAGTCCTGGAAGGTGAATCTATAAACATGCCACCAATGTATCTTGTATGATAGCAAACTAGTTATATGGTTCTTGTTCAGTAAAATGAGTTGATTGTATCAGCTGCAACCTCCTGCTAGAGAAAGAGAGCCAGGTGAACACTAGAAACCAGGTGATTTGAATGGAAGAAAACAAAAATAAAATAAGATGAGTAAAGAAGAAAGAGAGCCAGTAAATGATATGTGAAATTTTTATATTGAGGATGCTGTTGCAGTAGTAGCAGTAGTAGATTTTTGTGTGAGATTGCTATTGAAACTTTTGGAGCACTTTCGTCTGTTTGCTGGAAAAAAGTGACATCTTGTTGAAATTTTAGGTCACTGCTGCCGCCTCACAGTCTGTTACTCCCACAATAAGTAGGGGAAACCAGTGTTACTTAGTCACTTCCAGGTATGAACATTCTACCATGAAAATGACTGGGTTTTCCACACCTATTTTTGTTGTGAAAATGGTTACAAGATGGCTTGTTGCCACTTCCTTTTTTTCTTAGCAATGTTTGTTTTCTACCTTCATATGCAGTGTATCTGATCTATTTCCACTGGTGAGCTTTAATTTTGCTGGTGGTGCTTCTATGGTACTAAAACCAGAGGAGTACCTTTCTCAGCAAGGTTCCTATGTAAGTTGTTGACGATTCAAAACCTTAGCTATCTGGTTCTTCTACCATGTATACTGAATTCACGTGTTACATCCTAACTCTTGGCCATAATTTCTTGCAGCAGGATGGTGGTGGGATGTGGTGCATAGGTTTCCAGAAGGGTCAAGGACTAACCATTTTAGGAGGTTTGAGACTCACCAATCTGTGTGCTTCGATCATTAAGCAATGCTTTTAAGAGTGTCTGATTTTGATTTTGAAATCTTGGTCTCGTGTCCAGATCTTGTTCTCAAAGACAAGATCTTTGTGTATGATCTGGTCCATCAGCGGATTGGATGGGCTAACTATGACTGTAAGTTCGTTCCATAAAATCTGATTTTCTATCAATATCAGAATCTTACTTTGTCATTTCCTTTTTCCTTCCCACTCTGAATCTCCGATAACCTCACAATCTCCCCCCTTTTTCAGGCTCGTCATCAGTAAATGTCTCTGTAACTTCTAGCAAGGACTTCATCAATGCCGGACAGTTGAGTAGTGTAAGCAATTCTTCTAGAGACCTGCTCTTGGAGCTGCTGCCTCTAGCCGTTGCAGCCCTCTTCTTGCACATATCACTATTGATTGAGTTCAAGGTTTTCTGATTTTAACTCACACGTGAACTAAGAAGATTAAACAACAAGATGAATGAATATCATCTATCTTCTAAATTCGCCATTCTTTGCCAAGTTGTTTCCATTGGCTTGCTGAGAGGGTCTTCTTGAGATTGCAAAGGTAGTCGGTTTTGCCTCCCTCTCTTACATATATAGTGTTCTTCCATGTCTTCTGCCCTTTGTTGATTGGTGATGGTAACTGGTGAATTAGGGCATATAATGGGATCTATCCATCTCTTTTTTCTCTTTTCTTTTTTGAGGGTGTTAGAAAGGTACGGTGCCCAAGTAAAGCAATTGGCCTGAAAGTGTAAATTATGTAATGGTGTTCAATCAGGCAGCAAGGTTTTTTTAGGTGTTGTGGTTTTTGTATCATTGGCATCATCCCACCAATTAAAGGTGTGGTTTCGTAATCAAGGGTGAAGCTTTTGTAACTAGCACTTCTCTCTTCTCAACTTTTGTAGTTAGAGCTTTTTGTCACGGGACAACTTTCTGGAACGCAGCTTGTAAAATTGAGTACTAAAATGACGAATAGTAATTTTAGAACAACTTTTAACGATTCTGAAGTTATAACCCCAAAGTTACAAGCCCTTTCTTAGCTCAACCCCGTAATACATATTTGATTGCTTTGGCCAAATTGATTTCCATTCCTTGCCGTGGTTCAACCACATGAATAGCCGAATCTTGTGATGATAGATCGGCGGCAGAGCGCCGGCAAACGTATCTTGGTAAATTATGAACTACAACACCAGTCAAATGAACCAAAACGGAAACGACGACTCCCGTGAGGGAGTTTACACTGAGATCGGCGGCGGAACTTGTGCCATTAAAGAGCGGAGGACGGCCGGAATTCCTTCCTCGTCGACCAAGTTCCTCACTTTCACGGTCGCGGCGCCGCTGATTCTGTGCACGCTCCGAGCAATTCGAATCAGATCGCTTCCTTCCATCTTCTTCGCCGACGGGACCAGCACCAGCTGCGTCCCCAACATCTCGTCACAAATCCTCTCGAACTCCATCAGCACCTCAGCCAAAACTCCAACCCTGTTTCTCCCAGCCAACACCTTCACAAGACCCATCAGAAGCTCGCCGGTTCCCCCTCTCTTCCCCAGCTCGTTGACCAATTCCGCCTTCTCTTCGCCGCCCATCATCGGGTCGGCCAGGAAATTCCGGATCGGGTCGGGCTTCAGCAGCCTGGAGAGCCTCCGTACGTCCCGCCGGACTCTGTCGAGGGCGCCTCTGCAGCGAGCTATGTCGACAAGCGCCGCCGCGTAGCCGCTCGCTGGGCTCCGGTGGGTTTCCGGAGCAGGAGCGGCGGGGGTAGCGGGAGGTTTGGGCGTGCGGAGGGAGAAGGTTGGGGAAGCGGTTCGGGATTTGGAGGCCGGGCGGGAAGAATTGGGTTTGGCGGCGAGGTGAGGATGGAGCGGGTGGAGGGCTGCGGTGGGAGTTCTGAAGGGATAGGCTTCGCGAGATGGAGGATGGACGAACGGAGCTTTGAAGGTGGAGATGGAGCTTGAGAGGGTTTCCATGGCGGATGAGGCTAATTCAATTGGAGCTGGGAAGAAATTTCAGCCACTCCATTTTATCTATTGGGTTTCAGCCATATCGTGGAGTTTCAACGATCAATCAGAAACATGAGCCTTGCTTAATTAACTTAATGAGGAACATGCCACAGTATCACATTCCCCATCTCGCTAATCTCATTGAGATAACATCTGATATCGATATTCTTATATAAGACTATATTTGTTCCGGTTGAGATCGACTTGATCATGTAATTTTTTTGAATGATGAGTAAAAGGGGTTTGCCCAAATATGCCCTAAATACTCAACCCAATACCATAGCACTAAAAGTCTAAAACTAATATTTAGATTTTCACAATACATGATTATCATATCGACTTAGCTTGCAATAAATGGTTTTTGGGTTTAGTACATTTGCATTCTGCTCCTTTTTGAGTAACGTGTGACTCTGTTGAAAGTTTTACTATCGCAGTCGTAATGAAATTACATATTAACCATTAAAAACATAAATTGTGTCAATATTTTATTCAAATTGACAAATGTGCTGGATCCTAAACATAAAATGGGTTTCGGATGATTAGAAAAATTTAAGTTTATAAAAAATATACATAATTTCATTTTTTAAAATTAGATTACCACTTAAAACTATATCACCATAATTTGACAACTACCTTTTCCTATATAAAGAAAGTTGTTAACCACGTATATGATTATTTTTTTAATTTTGACTTGAAAAATTCAATGTATATAATTTCTCTTTTTTTTTTTTTTGGAAAATCTCAAATAGAGTTATTCAATCCAAAGTCTTAACTTTGAGTAAATGGATCCTTTCTTACAAATAATCTAAAAAAATTCATGTAAATTTCTTTTGTTAGTACACAAAAAGAGGGAAATTATCCTTAATAAATACATGAAGATTGAAGATCTTAAAATGTAAATACAAAATTTTTTAAAGGAAAAAATTGCATTAGTTGTAATTCTATTACAAAAGAAGTAAAAATGAAAAAAAAAAAACAAAATAACCAAAGTCCAAAAAAAAAAAAAATGACAGTGCCCGCAACGCGACAAAAAGGCGCGTGTGGAATATTAAGAAACTTCGGCCCCCTTCTAGGAAAACGTCCAACTAACGCCCCATGCAAAATCCGCACACACTCTCCACACTACCCACACAAGAAACAAACAAACAAAACTCTTCCCTTCGTTTCCCAATTCCCCTCCTCCACCGCCAACCGCCGGCGCCGCTGCATTCTCCCCGTCTCCTTCACCGCCATTTCTGCATTTCCCTTTTCTAATTACATCCTTCTCTCATTTCCTTTTCATCAATCCAGTCATTTAATCTTCTGCCTTCTATAACTTCCCAAAAAAAAAAAAAATCACCATAAATAAGCCAAACATAATCGCAAGAAAGTGACGCCAGAAAGCGAAGAAGAAGAAGAGAAACGCCGCTTTCCCTCTCTCTCCGGCCCTTTCCTTCGACTCTCTCCGTCTCTCGCTCTCAATTGTTCGCTGAACTTCACTCCTCCGCGCGCGATCGCTCTGCATTTCGGTGAAGAATCTGAACGGAATCGATCGACCGAGCGAGAGAAGGGATCAATTGATCAATCATGGCGGCCGTGCCTACATCGACGGTTTCGACGACGGCGCTGTACGTCGGGGACCTGCACCCTGCCGTCGACGAAGACCAGTTGAAGGCGGCGTTCTCCAAATTCGAGAGCGTCGCGTCCGTGCGCGTGTGCCGGGACTCCACCAACGGGAGGTCCCTCACCTACGGTTACGTCAACTTCATCTCTCCCCAAGACGGTATACAATTTGGAATTGATTTTTCCAGTTTTGTTCTATGGTGAATCGATAATGTGGATGCCTCGGCTTTCATATTCATCGCTCAATTATCTGATCAATTTTCCGATGTGCGCCTTAATTGTCGAATCGGTTTGCTATCTTCTCACTGTTCTGTTCTGTTTGCTTCTCGCGAAAATGCGGGCAAGTGGAAAGGAAAATCGGAGGCGATTTTCAGAAGTACAGATGCAGCCTTTTGATGATGTATGACTGGTTGTTGGATTCTGATTTGGAGAGGAGCGATCGACAGCAATGGAGATTTGTTTTTTTTTTAAATTATTATTATCATATTTTTCCGTCTTAGATTTGTCCTTTTCTCGTAATCATTGGTTTTTCTTCGTTGTTTATGTGGTGTATGTGTTTGATGAGGAATTTGACGATGAATTTGCCTAATGCTCTGCTATTTGCTTTTGTTGGTGGAGTGGAAATGGTGGCACTGTGGCCTACTAGTCAACTGTAATGGAGAACAGTGTCATCATCATGCTTGATAAACATATTCTTGCGATAGATGGGTAGATGGAAATCCACAATTCATTACTGATCAGTGTGACAGTGAAAATTTATGTTCTTGTGCAACTGTTCAACAAGTTGCGGATCAGTGAATGTCTGAATGATTATTTTTTTCTTTCAAATATGTTACTGTTCATATGCATGAGAATTTAACAATTCCTTTTACTTTGTGATTGTTGGTCTCTGTCTGAGAAGCTCTGGAAGCCCTCGAAGTGATGAACCACACTCCACTGAATGGGAAACCGATGAGGATTATGTGGTCAACCCGCGATCCTGATGCGAGAAAGAGTGGAGTGGGAAATGTGTTTGTCAAGGTAATTGTTCTACATTAGTTCGATCAGAAATTCAGAATTTATGGTGGTTAGTGGGAGGGTGTGAGTGTGACTGAAACAAAATGTGTTATTTTCCCCTGGTGCAGGACTTGAGTGAATCTGTCACTAGTGCTGCGCTGCAAGAGCTGTTTGGCCAGTATGGGAATATCGTGTCTTGCAAAGTTGCAACGACTGATGATGGAAAGACTAAATGCTATGGCTTTGTTCAATTTGATAATGAGGAATCTGCTAGTACTGCAATTGAAAAGCTCCATGGCACCATGTTTTATGATAAGCAGATGTAAGAGGAGTTTCATTCTGTTGTTTTGCTTTTCCAGCCTTTTTTCTGCTTCCTGTTTGCTACTACATTTACTCTCCTGCCTCTCTGTATGTTCCTGCTTCATTGTTAGATAAATTTGGTTCCAGTTTAACTAGTGGTTAAAATCTATGGTGCAGTTATGTGGGGAAGTTCATTAAGAGAAGTGATCGAGCTTTGGCTAGCCCCGATGCTAAATACACTAATCTGTATGTCAAGAACTTGGAGCTAGATGTCACAGAAGACGTTCTGCGTGAGAAATTCTCCAAGTTTGGCACAGTGTCTAGCTTGGTAATTGTTAGGGATGACAATGGATCCTCTAAGGGTTTTGGCTTTGTGAATTTTGATAACCCAGATGATGCCAGAAGTGCTTTGGAAGCGATGAATGGGATTGAACTTGGTACGTTGTGTATATTTTTGGCCATTGATTTAGCAGTACGATCTGCATTTGCTTGGTAACAGGTATGACTGGGATTCTCTGTCCTTCATCTATAAGCAGGATCAAAGATCCTGTACGTAGGAAGGGCACAAAAAAAAGCTGAGCGGGAGCAGATTCTGCGTCGTCAGTTTGAAGAGAAACGCAAGGAGCAGATACTGAAATACAAGGTACTAATAGACATTTCCTTTCAAGGATTGAGATCATCCAAAATGAAAGTGTTGGCATGGATTTAAAAAGAACTCTGTTCCAATAACCTTGATACTTGCATAGCATGCTCTATTTTTTGTTGCCCTATAACCAGGATATGGATTACATTCCCATAGAAATAGATTGGCGATCAGTGTCACTGCCAAGCCAACCCGTCAATCCCTTTCTCCTTTAATCCTTGCACTGCTCTATCGTAAATGCAGGGTTCAAATGTGTATGTTAAGAACATAGACGACGATGTCACTGATGAAGAACTGAGAGATCACTTCAGCAAATGTGGCACAATCACTTCCTCGAAACTTATGAGAGACGAGAAAGGAATGAGTAAGGGATTTGGCTTTGTCTGCTTCTCCAATCCTGAGGAGGCGAACAAAGCAGTGAATACATTTCAGGGTAAGTTGAGGATCTTTCTTTTACATGAGAGATTATAGTAGAGATAATCCGTCCTGTACTATGTTTAATACATTTGTGCCATCTTTGTTGTGGATAATCATGGATGCTTCTTACGGATCTGACAAATTAGAAAATACCGTAAAGAATTTCGTTGAACATGAAACCTGAAGGTTTGCTTCGGATAGCTTGAAACTTAGACAGACATGAGGTTTAATAATTGCTAACTGAAAGTTGCCTGAAATTTTTTTATCTTACATTGATGTTCCAGGGTGCATGTTTCACCGCAAGCCATTGTATGTAGCTATTGCTCAAAGGAAGGAGGATAGACAAATCCAGTTACAGATGCAGTACGCACAGCGCATGGTTGGACTACCTGGACCTTCTACTGGTGTCATGCCGGGTGGATATCCTCCGCTTTACTATACTGCTCCACCTGGTCTCGTTTCACAAGTCTCTCCAAGGCCTGGACTTATGTACCAGCCGTTGGGTATTAGGCCTGGATGGAGGCCAAATGGCTTTGTTCCTACAACCAGACCAACCTATCAACCAGCCCAACTTCCCATGGTAAGTTCTCTTTGATTTCTTCTGTTTCGTCGAGTTCCGACTGATTAACTTCTCTCATTGTCACTCAATTCTTTTTCTTCCGGCTTCTCTGCAGATGCCTAATGCTCAAAGGCAGCCAAGGCAGAACAGGGGTAGGATGAATGGCAACATGCTTCCTCCTCAAGGCATTGCCAACTCTGCTTCCTATTTACAACCTGCGTCTCCACCTCTGCCTTCACCAAAAGATCAAAACAACCAGGTCATTCTCTTTCATGTGTACAGCAGTTGCATTGCAGCATAATGCTACTCTCTTTCCGATCGTGGAACTTGATTCTGTACTATGCCATATCAATCTTGCATCTCCACCAGAATCTGATATGTACCAGCCTTTTGTGATTTCATGCAGCGGGCTGCCCCAGTTAAGCACGTCCCAAATGGTCGCTCACGCGAATCAAGTAAGTCTCCTGGAGTCCCGTCAGCTGCTCCAAATTCTTCTGGACCTGCGCCACAAGGATCAGAAATGCTGAGTACAATGCTTGCTTCTTCTACCCCTGAGGAGCAGAAGCAGATTCTAGGAGAGCGTCTTTACCCTCTTGTCCAGAAGCACAAGGTAATTCTTTCTTTCTTTCTTTCTTTCTTGTCTTCAATCCCCCTAGAATATTGTCTTCTTTCATTGTGCACCGTTGGATATCTCTATCTCTACCTTGTCCAATGAATTGCTTGACTATGCATAATACGCAACAAATGCATGCTTTGTCCATCTTTGAACGATCGAAGTTCTAACCAATGAGGGATTTACCATCTGCTCTGCCTGCAGCCTGATCTTGTGGCAAAGATCACCGGAATGCTGCTGGAGATGGACAATGCAGAGCTGCTTCTGCTGCTGGAATCCCCGGAATCTCTGGCCGCCAAGGTGGAGGAAGCCGTCCAAGTGCTCAAGCTGTCCAAGACCAAAGTCTCCGGCGGTGGCCAAGATAGCATGCATTCCGGCTACCATATCTCCGCCGAGGTTGCTGTCAACTGAGACAAGGGAGGATGACTTTATTCTGCCAATATGCTTAGTGACGATAGAGCACCAAAGTTTTGATACACAGGAGAAATCTTTCCCTTTCTTTTTTCTTTCCAATTCTGGATTTACCTTAGTGAGGGAGACTTCAGGTTTTTCCATTTCCGGTTTGCTGGATTTTTTGGTACAATGGTAGCTTTCTTTGATTAGTTCTCTGGAGACAGAACGATTTTTTTTTTCAAGTAATAGCATGGACGAGGATTTTGGACAATTCTGCATTTTGCCTTGCAATTTACTTTGATTTTTATACTGGGCTGACTGCTTATGGGGTTTCTTATTTTTCCCCAAGGGTAGGTAATAGGTTGGGGGTGATCAAGTAATCTAACCATGATTCTAAAATTACACATTTTACTTTTTCATTTTAGGATATATATGATGATATTAATGCATTATGTAATTTGAGAACTCATTTCAACTTATGTGTGTCTCATCATGAACTCATTTTCAATAAATTTTCTCATGAACATAAGTAAATGACAATATTCTCTCTAATTTTTAACGTTTTCTCGGTCAATTACTTGTACCTCACTAAGTGCCTCACTAGCGACTTGTAACATGCACTTGCTTATCCAAATTCCAATCTATTAGCTCATGGTGAGAGTTCTTGATTTGAGAATAAAATTTAAAATATACAATTAATTTTAGAAGAAAACTTCTGAGTTAGTGTGCTAACGACCATCAAATTGAAAACGACTTCTAGAAGAGTTGAGCACAATAGAGAAGGCTCTAGCGCTATCCAATTTTACCATTATACATTCTCAGCTGATATGCAATTAGATCATGCAAATTAACATCTTCAAAATCCTAAATTTTATAGGCCGAGTGAGAGCACAAAAGTCTAGAAATTGTTATATGATCGAGATAACGGGTGCTCTTACCTCCATAGTACTAGAAAGCATGAAGAATACAACTAATTAATTAGTTTATTTGGCGAATTAATGACTAGGGGATATCGTTTTAACAGTTTGTTTATCGGCAACCGTAATTTAGTTTCACCGGGAAATTTTACCGCTTAAATTGTAAGCTAGGGACTAGAGTCCATTTCCAAAGGGGGAAACGTGAAATGTACGCTTCGCACGGTATAAATAAGTAGCTCGGTGTTGAAAGTGGGGAGAAAAGCGCTTCCAGCTCTCCAGTACTTTCTCATATCCGCTTCTTCTTCCCCATACTTCGTCCGATCTCGGAACTCCGTTCGCAATGTCGGACAACGCTGCTGCTCCCGCCCCCGAAGTTGAGAAGAAGCCGTCGCCGCCGCCGGAACTGAAACGCTCGTGGGGCGACGAGGCGGAGGAGGAGGACGACAAGCTACCGCCGCCGCCGTCCCCGATCGGCGAGGGGCCTTCGAAATCCGAAGTCTCCGAGCTCGACATCGAGACGCTGAAAATCGACGAGAGCAAGAAGAAGGTCAACGAGTTCCTCGAGGAGCCCGAAGACTCCACCATCGAAGCTGTGAGTATCTCTCCCGTCTCTTTTCTCGGTTGCCTGCGAAGTTCTCGAATTAGAGAGAGCGGAAATCAATTGAAGCTTTGAAATTAGGGGGTTTTTAATCTGATTCGTTCGATTTCTCTTTCCTGGATTTGGGGTGGAATAGGTGACTACCGGCGAAACGCCGTATACTTCTGCTGCTACGTTTGAGGAGCTGAACCTCTCGCCGGAGCTGTTGAAGGGTTTGTATGTGGAGATGAAGTTTGAGAAGCCTAGTAAGATTCAGGCCATTAGTCTGCCGATGATCCTGACCCCTCCGTACAAGGATTTGATAGCTCAAGCGCACAACGGTTCAGGGAAGACCACTTGCTTCGTGCTCGGAATGCTGAGTCGTGTAGATCCATTGATCAAAGCGCCTCAAGCGTTATGCATCTGCCCAACTCGGGAATTGTCTATTCAGGTCAGGAGCAAACTTTCGTCTTAAGTTGGATCCTTGCTATGATCCTGTATGCAGAATCAATTGGAAGTTTGGAACTTTGTGAAGTTATGTAGTCTGGTTTAGCTCATTGTAATTGGTACTTGCAGAACATAGAAGTTCTAGAGAAGATGGGGAAGTACACTGGGATTACATTCGAATGTGCTGTGCCTGTGGATAGTGGTAGTGAGAAGTTCAATCGGAATCCAGTGTTTGCTCAAGTTGTCATTGGCACCCCGGGAACCATCAAAAGGTGGATGTCGCAGAGAAAACTGAGTGTCCAAGAAATGAAGGTTCTCGTATTTGACGAGGCAGATCACATGCTGGCAAAGGTAGCTTGGAATTTCTTGCCCCTATGGAATTTTCATCTATTTTGCCTCGAGTCTGTTGGTTTACTTTTGATACGCCAGTGTGCATTGGTTTAATTGCTGAATGATCATTGCTATGTTCTGGTTTCTGGATTGTAAAACTGCTGGTCCCTCTTGGATGACTTTAGGATAAAACTTAAGAGGAACCTTTTAAGTGCTAGCACAATTCTGAGTCATGCTTGATCTTGGAGTTATACGTTGTGGTGATGTCTTGTTGTTTTGATTCCATTAATGGGGTTTTCCAGTGCATATGAACTTGCAGTTGGTCTGATATGTTCTTAAGTTTTCTGTGTTCTTCTTACTGATCTATTGATGCAGGATGGCTTTCAAGATGACTCCCTCAGGATCATAAGAGACATCCGGAAAGCCCAACGGAATGCTCAGGTCTGTTGTTATACTTCATAAGGTTACTCTCTTCAAGTTTTAGCAATGATTGACATGTACCATAGAATTCTAACCAGTTCTAATTTGGATTTTCAGGTTCTTCTATTCTCAGCAACTTTTGACGAGAATGTCAAGAACTTTGTTTCGAAGGTTGTCCACGACTACAATCAACTTTTTGTCAAGAAAGAAGAACTGTCATTGGAGTCTGTTAAGCAGTACAAGGTGTTCTGCCCTGATGAGCAGATCAAGATTCGGGTGATAGGGGAGAGAATCCTCGAACTCGGCGAGAAGCTCGGACAGATTATTATCTTCGTGAATTCAAAGAAATCTGCTAGCATGTTGCACACTGCACTTGTGGAACTCGGTTATGAGGTTACAACGATACACGGTGCTCTTAATCATGAGGACCGTGACAAGATTGTCAAGGAGTTCAAGGACAATCTTACCAAAGTTCTCATTTCGACCGATGTGCTTGCTCGAGGTTTTGATCAACAACGGGTATGCTGTCTCATAGAAGTATAAACATGAATGCTGAATTTTGAAAAAAAAAGAAGATTAAAGGGCTCACTGATTCTTCTTTTGCAGGTTAATTTGGTTATCAACTTCGACCTGCCCATCAAGTATGATAATACCGAGCAGCCTCCAGGCCGTAGAGTTCCAAGAGAGCCCCATTTTGAGGTGTACCTGCACAGAATTGGCAGGGCTGGGCGTTTTGGCAGGAAAGGTGTGTTGAGTTGCCTTCAGTGTCGTTGGTGTTCTTTAATCTTACCTTTCTAAATGCCGATATGATTCTAATTGCTTGTTGATATGATGCGTGCAGGAGCCGTTTTCAACCTAATCATGACGGAGACCGATAGAGTCCTGATGGAGAAGATAGAGCGCTACTTCGACAGTCCCGTCACTGAGGTAAAGATGATCACATTCTTTGGCTTTAAGAATGAACGAACATCCATTAACACTTGGTACTTGATTGTTATATAGTTTTCCCATCTTAAATTGTTTTCCTGTGCATTGTGATCTCAGGTCCCGTCTTGGAAAAGCGAAGAAGACTTCGCTGTGGCTCTTAAGTCTGCTGGTTTGCTGTGAGGCTGCTCTAGTGAAGGGGTTAGAGAGTGTTTATTGTGTAGCCATTTTGTGGTAGCCTTTCCTGTCTTGTTTATACCGGTTTCGGTTTGTGTTTGTTGAACTCTGTAGAGTCAGTTTCGAACTTCCGATTCAATACTATTGTGCAACATGAAATTCAGTTTAGAAATCAATGAAATTGTTGCATCAGCTACAAACATTGAATTTTCTCTTTTCATATTGTCTCTGGTAATATTACTATATTGGATTCCAAGCCAGGTTGTAGAATGAGGTATGCACGTTGTGGCTGAGTGCTAATCCACTACCTGCCTGGTTGGTTCTATATATAAATGCCTAGTATGGAACCATTTCATATCTCAAAGTCCTCAATTTGGGAGAAGAAAGACAGCGAACTAGTAGCACCATTGACAGAAAGAGAGGAATGGCAACAACCAGCTCTTCCATCCTTGCAGCCACAATCCTCGTCTTGTTCGGATTAACTTTTGCTGCGGCGAATTGGGATGAGGAAGCACCCACGTCGGAGCTGATCCATGTCTCCGGCAAGGTCCTCTGCCAGAACTGCCAGATGAGCTACAAGGACTGGATCAGCGGCGAACGACCCATCAAAGGTAACAACCACCGTTGACCCTTGCCTTCATTTCTAACCTCTGGTCGCCATTGTTGCTAATGTGGCAAACACCAATATAAGTTGTAACCCACTGTTTTTTATTTTTATTTGCAGGCAGCACGGTGTCGTTGACATGTATGGACGACCGGAAGCGGGTGCATCACTACGACAGCGACGTGACCGACGAGCGAGGGGAGTACGAGATGGTTGTGAGCAAGTACGTCAACGGGAAGCGATTGAACGAGAAACAATGCTTGGTCAGGCTCGTGAGCTCCCCTGATTCCGACTGCAACGTCCTCACCGACTTTGCCGGAGGGAAGTCCGGCGTCAAGCTCAGCCAGCCTACGTCAGTGTACCGTGGCACCACCAAGTACGACGTCGGATCGTTCTACTACACGCACCCGAGGTGCGAGCGCCCTGAGGTCGGCGAGTCTGATGGCAAGTCCGGCGGTGATGATGATCAGGAGTATTACCGTTACCCTGAAACCAAATACTGATCCTTTCTGGTTTGTGATGTGGATTAGTCCACCATTTTCAATGAGTTAACTCGAATGATTTTGTAACGAAGCAATTCTTAATTAATGATCGATATAGTGATTCAATGAATCTTGTATTATAGCCGACTACTTGATTGGATTAAATCATTGGGAGAGATTTAACAAGAGCCAAAATGCTTATGAAGTTTGATCATCTCGGCACCTACTTAATTATAACCAAATTGACGGAATTCCGAGTTCATGTCCTGAAATGATCAGAATGAGAAACTCAAGGGGTCAAAGTTAACCTTTTCCGTTGTTCCCCTGAAGTTATCCCGACGAAATGGAAGGCTCATTTTACCGCCAAAAACGTGGCAGGGGCCGGGAGCCACACGTGGGCGCCCACCATTCAAATTACTGAACCAGAGAAGACCTCTTAAATCCGCAGTTCCGCAGAGCTGCTTCTGATCTACCTCTTTCTGGCTCCTCCGCGACATGGCCATCGCCCGGGCCGTCCGAGCTCTGGCCCAATTGGTGGCGGTGGAGAAAAGAGTTTCAGCTGATTGCATCTCTAGTTGATAATGTCAGGGGTAGCAAGTAAAGCAGTTTCACTTCCAGTTGAACTCAGAATTATGGTAATCTTTTAAGATTGGTCACTGGACATTGATTTTTGCACAGTTATACTTCATTCATCTCTAGCAGGTTCATTAGGGTACAAACTAGATTAATACAAACGTTTCTTGTAATAGCATAGATTATCATGGCAAGCATTCAAAAATTTATAACAAAAATGTGATTGAAGAAAGATTATACAAACTAGAAGTGCAGACCGCCTATAGTGACATTGTAAAACATACCCAAAACAGAGCAAAGTTCACAAGTATCTCCCTTCATTTTTACATCCGTTAGCCTGTTGATGTCTTCGCAGCTAAGTGGATGAGTGCTCGCTTGTGGTACGTGGTTCGGAGCTTCTTGTACCTCTGCACAAACGTGGGGAGATCGATCTCTCTGTCTAGAAACTGTCTGTGTAAGGCTTCGGATTCGTCCTCTGCTTTGGCCATTGCCTCTGCAAAAAGTACATGCCATGAGTTTTCGTGCCAACTTCACCAGGTTCACAAGAGAGAGCACTGAACATTAAAAATTGAAGATAGTTATGGTAATTTGTAAGAGCTTTACCTTGAAGCTTGTGGAGGAGGGAGGCTGGAGAAGATGACCTCAGCATCTCATCTTTCTTTCTTTCGAGCTCGTTGAGTTTCTCTTGAGCAGCAGCCAGCTCAGTCGTTCGAATGATCCGGCACTAGCAGAAGGACATGGGGTTAAAATGGCACCACCAGAGAGGATTGACCATTAGATGGAAGAAAGGAAACTTAATTAGAGAAATGAGTAGTCTCACTTGATTTCGTAGCTCCATTGTGCGAGGCTCCTTGTCCAGATTTTCCCCTGTTCATCAAAGAATGGAAAATATTAGCATTCCTCAGGTTCAGTTGGAAGTTGTAAGAGAATTGTTTTGAGAGATTCAGGCCACTCACTTGCAAGCTGCAAAGTCTCCTTGCGAAGTTCATCTCGTATCTAATCAGTTGAGGAGAAATAGTTAGAGGAGAAAAAGAACCGTAAGATGAGGAACAACATGGTAATATGCAACTGAAAGAGCCAGTCTTTGTCAAGTCATGCAATATCACAAGCTCATACTTGCCCTTTGCAAAGTTGCTACTTCATTTATGGATCAAAGTGAAGCAAGATCAGACAATGAGCCATTTTGGCTGATATGGCATGAGCAGAGGTTCAACATAGCATCATAGATGACAATCCATGTACAGCGGTAATTCACAAACGAAACCAGGAAGCAGAGGCTATGCAGTAGTGACTTACATTGTTCTGGATTTTGACCTGATCAAGTGAGTACAGAAATTGATTGTATGCATCCTTGTCCGAGAGTAGCTTCCTTAAATCATCAACACTGCATGTATAGTAAAGGAGTTGATCAGAAAACAACCATAAATAGAGACAAGATAAAATCTTTATATGCATAAGCCACTAATAAGCAACTGACATGGATCAATTAACATCAAAATCAAAGTCGTAGACTACATCCACTGATACTGAGTAAACAAATGAACATCTAGAGCACGATAGTCAAAAGAAGGGTAATGCGAGTACACAGGACGAGCACAATGACATCTGATAGATCACTAGTAGAGAACAACTATGGACCCCTCCCTCAAAACTCATCGCAAACTTGTATTACAAAACTGCCAGAAAGGTGCCAAGATTGCAAAGAAAACTACCTTTTATCCTTTAGAAGAGAGATAACACCTGCAGCTTCAGCTGGCGATACATGCACCGCAGGAGAATCTGAAGGCCTATTCATTCCAAATCCACTTGAAGAGCTACCAGGTGTCCCCGGGCGAGAAGAGCCCGGAGAAGATCCAACTACGGATGGAGGGTACCAAGACTGAGAAGCTTCCTGCGGCCGTGGCTGCTGAGCATCCTGCTCCTGCGAGCCCCTGCACCAAAAACGTCAAGAACATAAGGACCAGTCCACAGGCAATTCACATACAGAGAACTCCAACAAAGCTAAAATATGGCAAAAGAAAGAGAACCACTTTACGAAAGCCATCTTCACATAACTCTTCCAACTACGAAACCCAGAAGCTTAATTCAAATCCCTAGGGCTAGAAGTCCTCAATTCAAGCCAAACCAATCAGATAACATTTCCGAGAACCAACTGAGCGAAGTACCTCCCCCCGCCCCCAAACAGGTAATCGAGCTCCCAATAAATACTAAGGCTTTCCAATCCAACCGAATTCGAATCAGTAAATTGAAGAGGAAAATCGGGATGAAATACCAGAATTTGAACATGGATTCCCGAAACGATCCTCCCCCCAGATCGTCCGACGTTAACAAAAAGAAAGAAACTTCAAACGAGAGCTCTCCTCGCAGAGACTCTGGCGGCTGAAAGTAGATGAATCGTTGATTGAGTAGGAGAGGAGGGAAAGATCTTTCCCGCTCCGGAGGAAGTCGCAAGCAATAACAAGGCACTGGATTTTATTCGGTGGTCTGGTCGTTTTCTTCCGAGACCGATTTGGGGAATTGGCGGATAGTAATATAACAACATTGCTTTGAAGTTGTGCCACGTGGTGGCTTTTTGTTGGTTGGACGCTACCATCGAAACATAAACGGTACCGTTTAAGGAGGTGTTGGAAAATTAAATTTGTAAGGAATCGCTTAAATTATTAATTAAAGAAGATAAATGATAAACTGATCATATAGTTGAGTAAAGCCAATTACGAACATTAAAACATGCAGATAAAAAGGTACCTTTAAGCCAGAACAAGTATTTTGTTCTCCTTATCAACAAATCTATAATGCACTTCAAAAAACAAATCTATAATGAACAAAAAATAAAACACATCATCATCTATCTATGTGAATGACACATATAAATAATATAAACATCAAACTTTGCCGGTCAATAGGCCATGTTAGTAGATATTAATCACAATGTTGATCATTTCTAATCAGCATTAACCATCATATAACAATAAAATGAAACCTCCCCTTGATTACGGATATCAAAATTGGGCCTCCATACCATATTTACGCGACATTTTCGGGAGTTATCTTCAACTTCTTCCTAGCGGGCCCATTCATCAGATCATACACACTAGTGGGCTTTTGAGCTGATGACGATCGATCACCAATGGAGGAAAGAAGAGATTTGATTCAACTCATAACGGAAGATTTATAAATTTTCACATAATCAAACCCTAATCTTTGGGTAGTTTTAAAGTGTTTCGAAATTAGAATCAAGAATCTGAAATTCCACTGCATGGAATGATAACAACTTTGAATAGCCTTATAGTGCATGAACAACATCAACCATCATGCCAATTACTCATCTCCTTTCCTTCTATTCATAAAAAAAAAAAATCATCTCTTTTCCTTCTAGTCACACAAATATAATAATAATGTATTAATTTCTGAAGTCATCCATCATGTTTCTGTTCGCCTTTCCTCAACTTCGTTTGCTCTGCGCCCAACAACTATAGCTTCCATCGTACATAACCCGATACTTTGGAATCGGAGTGTTCCAACCAGTTAACTTAGGTTGCAATTGTAACATCCTCCAACCAGGAACAACTTGCAGTTCAGCTACGAACTCCATCTCTCCCCCTGTCCCCAAATTGCACGACAGTTGACCACATTCACGACCAGAATCCAAATGCTGGAAGAAGACAACTTCTGGTTTCTGTGGATGGAGAGCAGCAACTAAACACAAGCCTTGGAGTCTAAAATTGCCCAGCTTCACTGGCCCATCACATACTTTCCTCCAAATTATTGTACCATCTTCTTCTTCATCTAGTCTCCAAACACTCAACACAATCCTCGCACCTTTAGGTGCCGTGCCATCTTCGTATACAATCATGTGCAGAGCACCCTTGGAGACGGAAATATTCCACCACTGCTTGCCGCCAGAGAGCGGGGTGGTAACATCAATTGAAGTGGGAGGTGCATCGAGGCGGAAAGGATCGATAGCCGCAATAAAAGGTTCATACACCTCATTTTGTGCTATACGATACGGCAAAAATACAACCCCATTGCACGAGACGACATTGGCTCTTCGATGTCGGAGAACGCCATCAAGAACGAGAGCCTCCTTCATCCATTCTCCCGTCTCCGAGCAAAACACGTCTAACTTGATAGAGTTTATATGTTGATACGTGCACACCACCCGGAAACGATAGTCGAGATCGATGTGATTAGAAACGCTACCACTACTGCGCCGTTCACACGCCAGACTCACGACCAACTTCTCGTACCCAACCGGCCTTTCGGGCGCCAGGGGGAGGGCGACCCACTGCTTCGTAAACGGGTTGCAGAGCAAGTACGACCTGAAGATTTCATCATGGGAACGGATTCCACCTGTCTCCGCGAACCCGCATAAAAGCAAGTCGTCCAAGGAATCCCAGACCGTGAAATGCTCTGGGCGGCCGACTCGGTCAATACTGGGCGTGGGGAGGAAGCCACGGACGACCGATTCCGGGTCGTTGGTGGCGACAAGGACTGGGGGTTTCGGCTCATTGTTGATGCTCTGATGGTGGGAAACGAAACGGCGGTTGAAACGGGCGCTGGAGATCAGGGTTTTCCATCGCTTGCAGACGGATTGGCTCCGGCAGGCGGAGCTGGGGTCCGGGAAGCTGCGAATCAGAATCTCTACGAGAAGATCGTCTCCGAGCTTGCTTATCGTCATCCGAGATTGACAAGTGGGTTTTACTTCTGAAATCAGCTGCGCGCCGACAAAAATTGTATTTATAATAGTACGTAGATAGATATATAAAGTGATTGATTTTTAGAGAGGCAGACCAATCCGTTACGGAAAAGGATACCCTATGGTTTAGCATTTATATATTTTTTTTTTCACGTAATGAATCTCTAATTCTCTATTATTATGGGATTCATGAAATCTTGAAATATCAAGAATCTCAAATACACATTTAATTGTCATATATTGATGGATTAACCGGCTGCATTTGATACTGCGTATTCATACATGAGCACTATTAGTCGATTAGCTAGACAAACGTACTTGAGTTGCTCCGAGTGGTGAAGCCAGAATTTTTTTTATGAGTGTGTTTTCTTTTAAAAATTAAGTTAATAACTAAATAATTATTCAATAATAAAATATCTAATATAACAAAAGTATCCAACGTGTTTTCATATTCCGAAAAAGTTGTAAAAGGCACTCGGTGTCTACACCTCTCAACAAATCTTTGTCTTACTATACAATCATTCACGAATTTATCGCTTATTCGATTCCGAAACTTGTTTTTAAAGTATCGCACAACTGAAAATGTTATTTCAACACTTGGAGTTGCAATCAGTTACATTAATAACTTTGAGAAGCAAGTAAACCAATAAATATGATAGAATGGAGGGAAAGATACCCGTAATTGGGTTTAATTGTTAGATTTTGCAATGATATTTTTTTTTATATCTACCACTGCGGATTAATCATCTCCTCTCCTTACAACTCATAGCTAGTAATGTACATCTTATCTTATGCATCCATCATATTGAAATTGAAATTTTGAATGGTGTGAATAGAAATGAAAGGGGAAGCAATCAAGAACTGGTGAGATGTAGAAAAGCACGACCTTGAATTCGGTATGATTTAATACATTGATATTCAATTAAATTGGTTTGTCTAACGTAACCAACCCGAACCACACCAAGTTGAATTTCACTGATGTGGCGATTGGATTGAATTAGATAAAAAATTCTTCAAACTCTAGTTTATATCACGACAATTCTTTCAAGATTTAAAATTAACACAACTAGCAACACAATGCTACATACCGTAATAAGCAATTCAACTACTTTAAATATCCTTTAGTACATCAACAATATCATACAATACCTACTACACCAATCGATGAAATTCTTCCCGTTCAAATGGTAAATAATGATGTCATTCTAATTTGCTTTAAATTAAGAATCTGAAATAATTCACACACCACTACATGAAAGATAAATACTTTAAATAACCTTCTAGTTCATGAAAAATATATACCACCATGCCAACTAATCATCTCCTTTCCTTCTAACTCATAGATGATAATGTATTTCTTACGTGATCCATCTTATTCTTGCTCGCCTTTCAACACCTTCGGCTTATTCCAAGAGACAAACTGTTGAATTCCACCATTAGGTTGGCCTTCAATTGATCTAGAAATCAAATCAATCATAGCAAATTACGATATGTGAGATACGGTATAAAATCGGGTCACAAAAAATAATATTGTGCGACATTAATCCCTTCATTCAAGTTAAGTTTTTAATAGAACAATTTTTTAGTAAAAGGCAGTTTAAACAAACACACTTGTCAACTTAACTTCATAAAACACTATTCACCCATTATATTATCCATAAGAGAATGAGTACCTTTTATGAAAGGAGTGTCGATTTCGTTGTTGCCCTGTACCCAACAGCTATAGCTTCCATCGTACATACCTCGTAGCACCTGATACCTTGGAATCGGAGTGTACCAACAATAAACCTTAGATTGGAACATTCTCCAACGTAGAAAATATTGCAGTTCAGACACGAACTCTATCTCTCCCCCTGTCCCCAAATTGCAGGACAATTGACCACCTTCAGGACCAGAATCCAAATGCTGGAAGAAGACAATTTCTGGTTTCTCTGGATGGAGAGCAGCAACAAAACACATGCTCGGGAGTCTAAAATTACCCAGCCTTACTGGCCCTTCACATACTTTCCTCCAAAATGTAAGATGATCTCCATCATCCAGTCTCCAAACACTCAACACAATCCCCGCACAAATTGTAAGTGTCGTGCCATGATCTTCGTACACAATCATGTGCAGAGCACCCTTCGACACAGAAATATTCCAGCTCCACTGTTTGTCAAAGAGCGGGGTGGTAACGTCGATTGGAGTGGGAGGTGCATCAAGGCGGAAAGGATTAATAGCCACAACACATGGTTCGTATACACTAGCCTGTGCTCTAAGATATGACAAAAAAACAGCCCCGTTGCACGAGACGATATCGATCCTTGGAGGTTTGAGAATGCCATCAAGAACAAGAGCCTCCTTCATCCATTCTCCGATCTCGGAACAGAACACGTCTAACTTGGTGGAATCGTTGTGTTGATACATACACACCACCCGGAACCGATAGTCGGAGCTATGAGTAAATACTTGGCCATCACCAAGATCAAGATTGATATTAGAATCACAAACCAAGCTCGGAACTAAGCTCTTGTACCCAACCGGTCTTTCAGGCGCCAGAGGAAGGGCTACCCACTGCTTCGTAAATGGATTGCACAGCAAGTACGATCTGAAGATTTCATCATGGGATCGGATTTCACCTGCTTCCGCAAACCCGCATAAAAGCAAGTCGTCGAAGGAATCGAAAACAATGAAAGGCTGTGGGCGGCCGTATCTGTTGGCACTAGGAGCGGGCGTCGGGAGGAAGCCCCGGATGACCGATTCCGGGTCGTTGGAGGCAACAAGGATAGGGGGTTTTGGTTCGTTGATGCTCTGATGGTGTGAAACGAAACGGCGGTTGAAACGGGGGCTGGAGATCAGGGTTTTCCACCTCTTGCAGACGGATTTGCTCCGGCAGGCGGACCTAGGGTTCGGGAAGCTGAGAATCAGAATCTCTACGAGAAGGTCGTCTCCCAAGTTGCTTATCGTCATCGGAGATTGACAGGGCAGACGGGGTTTACTTCAGAAATCAGCTACCGACGATTGTCGGATTGTGTTATTTGTGTGTATATATATATATATAGTATAGAGATGCAGATCACCTATAAGTAACGGAAAAGGTTTACTTCAGAAATTTGGATGCGTATTTTGTTACAAGAATCGAATTGGATTAATGGTCCGGCCAGGTCAGCAGAACGATCAAGATAGTATGGAGCAAACGATTTTTCACGGTTCAGTATAAAATTATATGAACCATCATGATTTAATTGGCCCACTGGTTTTACTATTTAATGAAAAAGAATTAGAAAAATACTTTAATATAATATTAGGTTAAAATCATGCCTGGATTGCAATAATTTTTTCGACAAAGAAAAATTATTGCCCATAGATAATACGTGGAAACCCAAATCATCGATAATAGGCACGATTTTAATTTTCTGCTCGATTCTTATGTGAGTATGAGTTAGGATGGCAATTTGGACCTGACCCGATTTACCCGACTTGTTTGACCTGTTTTGGGATGGGTCCGACCCGCCCCGTAAGCGGGGCGGGCGGGAATGGTTACCTCTCATCAACCTGGCCTGCCCTGACCCGCCCCATTCTCGACCCGTTCTGGTCTAAGTTACATGTAATCTTAGTCAAATTACTTAGGATTTTCCTCTTATTACATCATATTTTAGGTATAATAAAGGTGTAAATAAGTGAAAAACTCAATCTCTCCAATAATTTAACTATATTTTATCAAATTATGGTTTCTTTCTTGGTCTTTTAATTAAAATAACGAATAATTCTAAGGTTTTTCGCATAAATTATATACCCAATGGGTCGACCTGCCCCGACCCGCGCCCCATGACAAATTACCCGACCCGGATCCGACCTGCCACGGAGCGGGTATGGGTATCGAGATACCCGCCCCGGACCTGCCCCATTGCCATTCCTAATATGAGTATGGGTAAAACCGAACTATTCTAGGTAGGATAATGGATATGCACTATCCGCCCCGACCCAAAAATGTCTTAAAACTACTTTTAAAATTGGTGAATAGTATGTTAAAATGCAATGTAAGATGTAATGATGTTAGTTTATTAAAACAAAATAATACACACAAATAACTAACTAGCAAAGTAAAAAATTAAAAAACAATGCAGAAAGCCACTAACAATTTTGAGTATGCCAAAGCTTTCGTGTTTGATATTGTGATTGGATTAGAAGGCCATTTGTTGAAGAAAAACCATTTGAACTTCTTTCATATGAATATTCTTCATATATGGCAGACGTGTTATATGTATTATTCTATTCGTAACAAGATTCAACATTTCATGTAAACAACTAATTGCAATTGCCTCTTGCGTAGCCAAGTTAACCGACTCCATTCCCTTCTTTGCCTAATTCGGTTAAGGTGTTGCTGTAAACTAACGTTCTTGAATTCTATCACGTGTGATTCAACGTGTATTAAATATTTTAAGCATAACGGACATTATAATGTAACCTGATTCGTTTGTGTCAATAGATACCAAAAGAAACATTTAAAACACAGAAACACGAGCCCGGTTCAACAAGGTTCGAAATTGGACTTTGTAACGAGATAGGTATAGTATCCAGATTATATAGAAAAAACAAACGAGAGTTAAAAACTGGACAAATAATATTAGGTTATATTTCGCTTGTAATTGCTTATGTTTGATCCATTTATGTCTTGGTTTGTAGGGAATCAAAGCGTATTATAATTTAGTCTAAAATTTGAAAATCAAACCAAACCAAACCAAATTGTAAATGAATATGTCATATATGTAACAATATACCGGACAAGTTCGACTCAGAAGAAATTTCTTTACATTTTCAAACTTATTAATTTATTCACGTTGTATAAGTTTACCTAACAAAGAGAAGAATGAACTAAAATGTAACTCGGTTTATATGCGCTGAAAATGCTTAATGATGAAATGACCATTACTATCGAACACCTGATATTGGTTCGCCCGACCGAAATCCAACCCGACAGCCCGGAATCAATCCCCCAGACCAACCCTCGACCCGGTCGATCTCGACCGTCCCTGTGCAAAGTTATTACCGCATTTATTTATTTTCTAATTATTTCCCCCCCAATTTTGTCAGCTTTGTCGCCAAGAAATCCCCTCGTCGTTTATTTCCAAGTTTTCTCATTTCCGGTCGTTTTAGGTCTCTCCCTCCCTTTCCATTTCCCCCATTTCTCTCTCTCTCCTTCCCTCTGTTTCTCTTTCCTTGGTGCCGTTTCGCCATTCCTTCACCCCGCCGCCGCCGCTTCAGTTTCTTCAGTCGGGGAAGAACGAACTCACATTGCTCCGTCGACCGAATTCCTCCTCCGTCAAAAGAAAAGTCATTGTTGCCGAAACGGTAATGCGGATCGTTTTCCGCATAGACAAACGACACGCAATGCGCGGCGGCGGCTTCGATTCCTTCTAGCGCGGTCCACTCTCCACCACCCTCAATATTGTCCTCTCAGTCAACCGCTTTTCTATCTCCGCTGCCGGCGACATTATTTAATCAACAATGTCGGTGCCGGCGTGGCTGGAGTCGCTGCTGAGCACCGCCTTCTTCTCCGTCTGCCGCCTCCACAGGGACGCCGCGAGGAGCGAATGCAACATGTACTGCCTGGATTGCAAGGGCGATTCGTTCTGCTTCTACTGCCGCTCTTCCCGCCACAAGGATCATCAAGTCATCCAGGTCAGAGAAGAGAGTTTCTTTTCGATTACCCAATTCGATTCCTTCCGATTGGGGAAAAGGGTAAATTGCTAATTAGGGATTTGGGGGGAAATGCTGCAGATTCGGAGGTCTTCGTATCACGACGTGGTGAGGGTCGGGGAGATAGAGAGGTTGCTGGACATCAGCGGGGTACAGACGTACGTCATAAACAGCGCCAGAGTGATGTTCTTGAACGAGCGGCCGCAGCCCAAATCGAGCAAAGGAGTCGCCCACATTTGTGAGATTTGCGGCCGGAGCTTGCTCGACACATTCCGCTTCTGCTCGTTGGGTTGCAAGGTAAGATTACAGAGGAAAATCCGCCATTGATGTTTGTTAGGCCCGGCATTGCCTAAAATTAGGCAAAAGTTCAGAGTGGGGTGATAGTAGAAGCAGAGTAGTATTGATTGATGAATATCTGGCTTTGGAATGCTCGCATTTTGATCTCTTAAGCATCATCATCGCCATCTTTTCTCTGTTTTTTTTGTGTGTTCGTCGGACGGCTAGGAATGGAGCCACATTTTTTGGCAACATACCACCATCAGCATCGTAACCACCAACCACCACCACCACTCTGCCATTCGTAGACATAGACATATGGACATGATGAGATGCCATAATATTTTTTTTTCTTTATAAAAAGATAGACAGAGGGAGGTAGGAACTAGGAACTAAGGAAAGGGTTTTATTCATAGAAATTATATGGCATTGCATCATCACCCCCATCATCATCCATGTTAGAGTTGGCATTTCAATGTTCGTCTTGCGTTAGCATGAAAATTCAGCGAGAAAATGTTAGGTTGATGGAGATTACTTTAGGGTGTTAACTAATGGTGTGGGTTCTATTCTTGTGTAAAATTCAGAGATGTTTCGACTTCTAATCTATTTTATCGAAAATTTGAATTTTTATATGAAAATGACAAAAAGTTTGAAACTTTAGATAAAAATGAGATTCAAGACACTTGTAAGTATTGACTAGTTGAGTCGGATTTGTATTGTTTAGTGGGCTATTTATCTAACCGTGTCGACATTACCACATTCTTTTTTGTTATTGTTTGTTTGGTTGTCAATTTGTATCGAAATAGGTCAATAACAAACTATTTGCAATGGAATTTGTTGTCTTTTTTTATTGGTATCGATTATATAGCTTGTAAGGATAAAGAGGAACGGAGATGCTAGCTTTAGCATGGAAGGAAAGAATGCAGGAGGTGAAGGAGAAGCCATAGAAGAAGAAGAAGCCTCTACATTGTTAGGAATGCAAGAAAGAATAATAATGAGGAGAAGGGAAGCTCAAATGTCACCAAGGCTAACGAGTACATCATCGTCGAGGGAGGACGATCAAGAATTACGCGAAAGCACTCAACGAGACATCTACTCGGCCACTCCTCCTCCACCGCCTTCCAACGCAAGGCGAAGAAAAGGCATTCCCCGTCGTGCACCTTTCTTTGCTTCCTAATCCTTCCTTAATCTATTGTTGCTATTGTCATTATCATTACACCATTCGAGTATAAAGTCATCCTACACAAAACTCAAACACACACACAAAAGACTCTTTTCCCTCCCCAACCCTTCCTTTCTTGCACAAATTCATCCATCTTTAGTGGGTAAGAAAGTGAGAAGACGAAGAAGGAAGAGGGTGTACATATGGCCTTATAGCACACTATACATGTCCTTATATGCCCTTCTTTTGCTTTTGTTTCTTTAATAACCAAAAGGGGTGATGAGTAAGTTTCCCCTTTTGGGTTGGAGGACCCATTAGGCCAACATAACACAAAGCTATGAGAAGAAAAGAAAGGGAAGACAAAGAAGAATTCTTCTTTCTCTCTTGTGAATTGAAGAAGTAGCAATAATGCAACCCCAAAATTATTTGTTATAATGTATACACTTGTTAATTGTTCTATAGTGATTGATGTTTGCAATGCAAGGTTGTACATTGGCGTTAATAAAATCTAAAAAGTCTTCTTCTTTTGTGGAATCCGTTTCATATAAGGGTTTCTTTCTTGTAGTTTGCTTTCTATTTCCTTTTCTTTTCGTTGGGTCCACTAAACCACATGGGCCTTTCACATAAAGAAAACTACATTTCTCCCTTTCCTCTTTCTTTATTACATGAGTGCACCTTTCCTAATCACTATTATTGTTTACTTAATCATATAGTATATGTGTGTATCATCTATACACATTTCTATGTCTTTGGTAACCTAACCAATACCACTTAACCCTCATGTGCTTATAAGAATATCGATGTGTTTGCCCTTTAATTTGATCCATGTCACTATGATAGGCCCTAGTGTGTTATTTGATGGGTAGTTATCAAATTCGATCGAACTAATATAAATGGCGCACTTAGAGGACTGCTATCCAATTATCAGTAAACAACTCTATCGCTTTGACATGTCAAGATGTGAAAATGATTGTGAAATATTCTCACAAGATGTGATGTTTCCAATTGTCTGTTTGTCTACTACCACAAGAATTCCTATCATCAGTAACAAACTCAATTATCTCCATATAATGACTTCATTATATGTATGAAAAATGAATGAAATCCAAATTGGATTCACATTTTTTACATTGTATTTCATACATTATCTATATTGATAACCCGAATGTTTTACCAAATGAATGGGTGTGCACTCATGTACATTAGAGTAAGGAAATCTTAGCCTAATAACAAGATCATCTACTATAAATTTATCGAATATTCATTATTAAAATTCACCTCCTTTTTGTCGGTAAATTCCTTGTTTGAAATGTATAATGAACACTCCTTTGATTGTGAGGTTAATTTCGGTTACTTTGAGACCATATTGCTTTCTTAGCTTTTGATGAATACAACAACTACAAAAAGTGAAAATACATGTAAATTTTTTAATTTTGGACTATACAATACATATGGTGAACGATAGATAACTAGTAATTAACGAAAGGTATAACATAAACATTAAATAGCCAATTTAGTAGGTGGAGAGGGACGTGGATGTGATAGTTAATTAAAATCCTAATCCCTTTCGTTATGATTCATTTGAGCGGGAAAGTAGTAGTAGGTAAGTTCATTGGAAGAGAAATGAAGTAGGTAAAAGCACTAAGCAATGATTAATAATATACTATAGTTTAATGATCTACTTTGGAATATTAATTGAAACCTATTCCATGATTAGTAGTTACAATTATTCTGTAATTAATAAAGAGATTACTAGCTAGAATATAACCAAATTCCAAACAAAAGTACTATTAGTCCAATTACAAATAGGTAACAAGGTAGCTTCGGGTCTTAATTTACCCAATGTGAAGAGTTCAAACCTAGAAAAAATAAATAGAGTATGTATGTAGACATTTGTACATCCAACAAAAGAAATGAAGGAGTCCTATCTTGCTTAAAACAACATATGTGTCTTTCTTGTTTATGTTTTGTCTATATGTAATGTAGATGAGATAGTTCTGTTACTTAACCCAATTTACTATTTTACTTACACTTATCAATGATGTGGTCATTACAAAATAGGTAAGTTAGATTCATTTATTTACTATTTTGTCTTTCTTGATTATCAGATTATAAGATTGTAAGTTAGATTCATGGACCCAATTCTATTTATCAGATCATAAGTTAGATTTATAGACCCAATTCAAGTTACCATATTATAAATTAGATTCATGGACCAAATTTGTTACCGCTTAATTGAGATTGAGTTTGTTTGTAATTGTCGGTTGCCAAATTTTTTTTACTTAATGGGTTCTTCTTCTTTTTTGCATTTTATCTATGAAAAAGATTGTGTAGTACTGCACCGCTAGTGGATCGTACCTTTGGCTCTTTTTATTTTGCTTCCTTATAAGTGACTACCATGACAAGAAAATGCTACAAAGCAAGAGGATAAAATTCGAATGGTGGGTGGTTGGCATGAAGATCATAATCCAATGTTCATGTTTTAGCATCCATATCATCCAATCAATCTCCAATTATTCGATAAAGATCTCTAAATAATTGATTGGTGACTTGTACCTACATACACATTCATGTGGTCCAACTCCTTAGTCTCCTAAACGTTACAATTAAGAAGCTATCGGGGCAATAATGCAACTCTCCTCATTGTTAGGTACCCTTGACATTTAGCAAAAGGTTAAACAAACAAAAATAAAAATAAAAATATAAAGAGAGGCCGGTTGTCGATGTACATTGTTAAACCTTGAAATTGTAATAACAAAGCCCTTTAAAAGTCCGATCCATTTTCTTTCGTCGAGAAAGATTTTTGGTTTGAACGAGCTAGTTAGAGATTCACTTTGGTGTTACTTTTTTCCATTAATTTTGATGATGGTAAATGAATCAAATCGGGTTGGATCATATAGAATCATGAGTTTTATCGAGTTACATATAAATGTCAGGTTTGAAGTTTGAGAGACAATAATTGAAAGATATTTTGTTTGTCTATAGAAATTTTGTAATAGGGGTTGGGAGTATGTGAAAACAAATTGTTGACGAGTGAGAGATGATAATAATAGAAACAAATAGGAAAAGTCATGTGAGGGTTTAATTTCTTCACTCGCTTCCTTGATTTTTGTTGTGAATTGTGATTCTTATTGTTGAATGTTTTATTGCAAAAACACATATCCAAAAGGAAAACAAAATTCTCAGAATATACCCAATTTTTAAAAGTCATAGATTTAAGCCATTCATATTAAATCCAAATCTATTTTTGTAAGTTGATTAGAATAACCATGTACAAAGGTAGATAAGCCTCAATACATTCTCTACTACAAGTATTTTTTTTTTTTTACGACGGGGAACACCCTCCACGATCACTACCTTTGGTGATGTTGTAATCGGGCAAATCACGAGACCTCCGTCAACAGCCCGGACAAATGCGGGTCCCTCCGAGAACACCATGACATCGATGATGATCAAACCTAGGACCTCTCGGTCAACAGTTCGGCTCCCTTACCACCAGGCTTTGTGACCTTTGACTACTACAAGTTTAAGTCCTTACGAATTTCAATACAATCCCTCACATTGTGTAATCCTTTATAGCTACGCCATTTATGCCTCTTCCTTTACTTGATTAGTATCCTAAAATTAATATTTTTCAAATAAGTAAAACGTCAAATATATATATATATATCGTGTTATATGTATTATAAAAATGTCAAACATTGTCTTAACTCTTAAATATTGCTCCTCTGTATATACACTATAGTTCTATACACCTTTTCCCCATATATAGATAGACTAAGCCCCCTATTTAACCATATTCCCCGTCGATCAAAGAAGCATTATATAAATAGTTAAATACTCAAACCAAGCTATAAGATAAAAACGACGACTAGCTGATCAGTTAGTCTCCAAGATACCTAGCAAATGAAGAAGAACAGCTGCCCTAAAGAACGACACCGTTCTATGCAATCCCGGTTGTGTGGCTAATGGCTATCACAACCTCCGGCGGCGGTGTTTCGAGTATCCCGAGGTTTCATGACGTCATCACGACGACCAGACAGCGCCGGCGGCGGGAGTACTACCGGGGCGCGACACGTGGGGAAGCTGGAGTGAGCGGAAAACCAGTGGTCAACGCAGGCAGCGTGGAACACGTGGCCGCAGCTCGGCAGGAACCGCACCGTCGCGCCTTCCTCCAATTCCACTATGCAAATCACGCAGTCATCTGACGCCGTTGCCGTCGCAGCGACGTTATTATTTTTCTCATCTTCCTTCGAGTAGCTCAGGATCGGGATCGCGTTTAGGACACGTCCGTCAACTCCCTTTTTACCGCAACCGCCGGCGCCCTGCCGGCGGAGGCAGAACTTGACGATCAGGAAGTGGTAGGCGAGCAGGACGAGGAGCGTCAGCGTAACGCCGGCGAAGGAGATGAGTAGCGGAGTGACGATGGATGACGTGGGAGAAGATGGCGTCGTTCCAGATGGCTGAGAAGCGGCGAGGTCCGTCGCGGTTGCGTAATAATCCGACTGTGGGCTGTCGTCCATGGCTGATGGCTCATTTGAAGCTTCAGAGAGATGTGAGAGAGAAAGTGAGAAAGAGCAAGCGTGATTAAGCGGTAAAGCAAATGGATTTAAAAGAGCCAGGGATGCTAATTAATCTTGTTCGAGGGCCCCACGTGGTTAAGTAAGTGCTGGTCAATGGGAGAGTTGCACGTGGATAGAGATTGACACAAAAAAATTCAGGCAATCTCAAGCAGATATTTTAACCTAGTATAATCAGTGAAGTCAAATTATTTGAGAGTAATAGACTAATAGTTACGTTTTTTCCCCGGAAATGAACATTTTAATATAATTATATTGTATGTTGCTATTTTAACAAAAAACAATTATGAGTTATAGTCCAGTGAACTTGAAAATCGGCAAAATATAAAAACATAGAAGTAAATATTAGAGAGAATTGAGAAGATATGGATTGATAACAAAATGAAATTAGAAAAAGTCGCATACTTTACCGTATATTGTATATAGATTGACTGCTATATGTTTACATAGATCGAGCAGATCATAGAAAGCAAATCAATAATCATGTCGAGATTGTCATCAATAATTTCAATAGTGATATTTTATCCAAAATTACAACGGATCGTCCATTGTCCACTTACCCTCTCTATTTACACTCTAAATGTATATTTTTGTGCCTCAACTACAAAATACGTTCAATCAACCTTTGCTAATTTCCGGTGGGCTGTAGGGTGAAAGTCAACGGGTGGTTTTGCAGAGGGGGGCAAGTGGAAGGGGACAGGTCACTAGTTAATGTCATTAAGGTACAAGATTAAGTAAAAATCAGTCATTGACTAATGGTAATGCGAATTTAATGAAGATTTGAGAGAGTGGTTAGAGATATTTTTCCAGCCATCGTCGCCGGGAACTTTAGGACCGCTAGCGCGGTGGCATTATGTGGTAGTTGGCCGGTAGGTATCGCCTGACGTGAAGGACGAAGAGACTAGAGAGAGGCCAGAGAGCATGCAACGTGTCGTTTTCCTTTGTCGTTGGCTCAGTGTTTGTTGGATTCCAAAACGGCTTGTTTCTGGATGTTTAATTTGTTCTGTTTGGTTTATGGTTGGGGATTGAGACAGGTGGTGCGCGGGAGAAAGAGAATCGAATGTGTTTATCCTAATCCCCATATATAATTATCAGCCAGAATTGTGGTCAACATATAACCTGGCCGGCTGGATTAGCTGTTAGCTACTGAGTAATGACGGTATTAAGCTTCTAATGAGAATGATGACTTCAGCAGTGATCTCAAGAACTAAGTTGCGGTTTGTGTTGAGATTCCTAAGTTGGGACAGTGAGAGATGATTAGTAAGAGTTTGAATTTATGGGGTGAAGATTCATTGAGACATTTAGGGAAGGGACAGTTCTTCAACGCAATGGATATCTAGCTAGTTATGAACTTATGATTGTGTTTGCTCGAGAGTCGTCACCATTAGAATTCTTTCCAGTGATTGAATTAGTGACTACGTTGCATTTAAAAACAAGTGGGAAAGACAAATCTGTTGGATCCTTGTTCGAATTATATGATCTTTATCTTCAAACCGTTGAAGATGTAATGGATCTTCTACCATCAATGATCCTATGTCTTGCCTTTAAACAAAAGAAGGTCGAAAGACTTGAACCTTTCGTCTTTATCAAGTTTTAAGATCGTCTTCAATTCTAAATGAACAAGTTTAGAATGAAAGTTGAACAATCAATCTTTTATTCATATTACGTACTTGATGAGGACTATATATATAGATAGTGTTTCACCCTTTTCAGTATCAAGTTTCCATGAGCGTTGTGGACCGTAATACCCTTTATAGTTTCTGCGACTAGTAGGGATGTCAATTTCGACCTGACCCGTTTTACCCGACCTATTTGACCTGTTTTGGGACTGGTCCGACCCGCCCCATAGGCGGGGCGGGGCGGGCATGGGTACTCTCATCGATCCGACCTGCCCTGACCCGCCCCATTCTCGACCCGTTCTTGCCTAAATTACATGTAATTTTAGTCAAATTACTTAGGATTTTCCTTTTATTACATCAATTTTTAGCTACAATAAAGTTCTAAATTAGTGGAAAACTCAATTTCTCCAATAATTTAACTATATTTATCATAATATTGTTTGTTTTCTTGGGTCTTATAATAAAAATAACGAATATTTCTAATATTTTTCATACAAATTGCATACACATTGTGTCGACCTGGCCCGAACCGTGACCCATAAAATTACCCGACCTGTCATGGAGCGAGTCTGGGTACTGACAAACCCGCTCTGTACCTGCCCATTGCCATTCCTAGCCACTAGTCATTATAATTGAAAAATGAACAAAAACGTGTATTACGTAAATAAAACCATGTGCTGTCATAGAGCCCAAAGGCCCGAATAACTTTAATTATGGGCCTCTCTGTGGTGGGTAGATGGACTAGTTCCACTCCATAGGCCCATAGTTTAGTCATCCCATTAGATCAATTCCAAGGCCCAAGGGATAAAAAGATATCTCACATGGCTAACCTTCTCGTTATGATAATGTGATACCTTAATTCAATAGATAGATTCAGACGTGAATAAGAAATTGTCTGTGATTCCATCGTTAACGTGAATCTCGATTTTTCTCTTAATGCAACTTCCTAGTTGATTCTGCTAAGCAAACAAAGGCATCATTATTATATTTACTAAATAAACAAATAAATCAAGAAAGATTCAACCAGACTGGGCCTAGCCCAATCTCCATTGATATCTCCTTTCTCCTCAGTCTCTCTCCCACTTGCCTGGCTCCATCTCTGTAATCAAAATCACAAATAGACAGCCGACAAATCACCAGCCACACACACACAGTTCTTCTTCTCAGGCCCTATCTCTTCAGTAATCACCACCACCACAAAAGAGAAAAAAAAAAGTAGAAAAAGGGATCTTTCTTAACAGAAGCTATGGTGTCCAGAGTTTCCAGCCTCCATCTCCATTTCTCCCATCCCTACCATTCTTCCTCTTCTTCTTCTCCAACCACAAGATCCCTTCTTCAAACCAACTCAACCACCAAGCTTAATTTCCCAATCAGAACAAAACCCAACAGACTGAAATCCTTCCTTCCTCTTCTCCCATTCATCCCACAACAATGCTCCAAGCCCACTCCTCCAATGGCAGCACCGAACCCGGGTCAACCAGCCGATCCGGATCCGGCCCTCATCAACGAGGATCTCAAACCAACCGAACCGGGCCAACGAACCTTCACTGGGTGGGAGATGGCCAGTCTCTGGGTCGGCCTCGTGGTTGGCGTCCCAACCTACTACCTGGCCGGAAGCCTGGTTGACTTGGGGATGGCATGGTGGCAGGGGATCGCCACGGTTGTCCTAGCCAACGTGATCCTCCTGTTCCCGTTGATTCTCACGGGTGACCCGGGAACCCGGTACGGGATTTCTTTCCCGGTTCTGGCCCGGTCCTCGTTCGGGGTCCGGGGCGCCCACGTCCCGACCCTGCTCCGAGCACTGGTCGGGTGCGGGTGGTACGGGATCGAGACGTGGATCGGCGGGGAGGCGATTTTCATCCTCCTGCCTCACGCCATCAAGCGGTCGTCCTGGTCCAGAGCCTGGCCCTGGCTCGGGACCAGCCCGCTGGAGTTCGTGTGTTTCATAGCGTTCTGGGTAGCTCAGTTGATTATAGCGTTGAGGGGTATGGACGGGATCCGCCAGCTCGAGAAGTACTCCGCCCCGGTTCTGATCCTCCTCACCTCGGCCCTCTTCGTCTGGGCCTACGTTCGAGCCGGTGGGTTGGGCCATATGTTGTCCATGTCCTCAAAGCTGACCGGTCCGCAATTTTGGGGTCTGTTCTTCCCATCTCTGACCGCCAACCTTAGTTTTTGGGCCACTTTGGCTCTTAACATCCCGGATTTCACCCGGTTCGCTAAGAGTCGAACCAATCAAGTTACTGGTCAATTAGGTCTTCCCATTTTCATGGGGTTGTTTACTTTTGTTGGATTGGCGGTTACTTCGTCAACCAAGGTGATATATGGGAGAGTGATTTCGAACCCAATTGAACTTCTGGAGCAAATTGGTGGGATATGGACCATGGTTTTGGCTATAATTGGAATCAGCTTGGCTACTATCACGACCAACATTGCTGCCAACGTCGTAGCTCCGGCGAATGCCCTAGTCAACTTGAGCCCCTCCACATTTACCTTCAGGTAATAAAAATTATTCTGCCTTTGGTTAAATACTTTTTACGCAGTTAGTTACTAGTTTGTGGATAGTAAAAATGGTGCTGTAAAAAATTGAGGTCAACTTTATACTACTGATCTGCCTTGGATGGAGGTTGGAAATTATGTTCTGATTGTGTTTTACATGTTGATATTAACTAGCTATTTGTGAGACAATGTATCGTATGATAAATCAAATTTGATTGTATCGAGTAACGAATTTGATGTCAAACTTTGAACGATTTGTTTCACCGATTTTGACCCGAATCCTCTGCCTTCAGGAGGGGAGCCCTGCTGACTGCTCTGCTGGGAATCCTGTTCCAGCCATGGCGGCTCCTGAAATCGAGCGAGAGCTTCGTGTACACGTGGCTGGTCGGGTACTCGGCGTTGATGGGTCCCATCGGAGGGATTCTACTGTCCGATTATTACCTAATTCGCCGGATGAAACTGAACGTGAGTGATCTGTACACGTCGAGCCCCTCCGGCGAGTATTTCTACACCGGAGGGTACAATTTGGCGGCAATGGCAGCTCTGGTCGTCGGAATCCTGCCCGTGGTACCGGGGTTCTTGCAGAAAGTTGCGATTTTCCCGGGAGCTCCGGGAGTGTTTGTGGGGATTTACAACAATGCTTGGTTTTTCAGTTTCTTCTTGAGTGGGTTCCTCTACTGGATCCTTTCGGTTTGGTTGGGGAAGCGCCGCGGGTATTGCACCGGCGGCGGTCCTCTGCTGGCCGGAGAAACATAAGATTGGCTTTTTGTATTTACAGCCATTTAAAAGAGTTAAAATGGTGTTTTTAAGTGCATAGTTTCAGCTCTGTATACTTTTGAGTCCTCCCCTGCTGTAAATTGTACTAAATTTTTACACTATTCAGAAAAAAGTATAGATAAGTATATCAACGAATTTCTAGTTTAAGTGCATTCTAGTTTAAGTGCATAACTGTATCTGAATAGATACGTAATTTCAAAATTGTCAGTTCGAGTCTCTACAAAGTACAAACTGTGCTCATTTTCTATTTCTTCTATAATTTTTAGTATAATAGTAGTGTTAAGTGTACCATTGTAAAATAGCTTCATTCTCATAACTAAAATATTATAGTATACTTATGTAAAAAAAATAAATATTATAGTATACTTAACTCCATGGGCTCCTAATACTGGCTTTCCCTCCCTTAAAATAAAGTGGGCAAGTAGATCGGACATGTAGTTTCGGGGCCAGTATTGGGCTCAACTTGAAACTTGTTCAGAGAGCCCAGCCCAAGCGTGCGGTACAATTTATCTGTTTTCTCATAAGTCATATCTATACTTGTGCTTGTTGTTTCTTATTTCATAATAATTGCTTTGAATATAAACAGTAAAACAGAGTCAAATTTCAAATAAATTAACATAAACCTCTAATTTTTGAACTAATTGATAAAATCAAATGTTAGTTATATAATATTAGCATGGAAACATCGTTTTCATATGAGGAGAATGATTCATTTATAGTTACATACATGTACAAAATAAACTAACCTAATAAATTTGTCATTTACCTAGAATAATAATATATATTTATCGTAAAATATTATCATGGTAATATAATGTTGGCCAATCCCTTATCTCTAAAGTAGTTGAGATCAACAATCTAGTAAATGATATCATTTACGAGTTACGACTCAATCAAATGTATAATATTTTTTATTTAAATAGGTAGATTTTAATCTTTGAATCATCTTCATCACATATATATAAAAAGACAAACTATTCCAAATGCTAAAAAGGCTGGCAAACTACCTAACACATTTGTCAATTTCCTCAAAACATATGTTTGGATTGTGACTGTGAAAACTCAACAAGTACCTTATTACAAAATTAAGTTAGAAATTGACAAATCAACAAACCAAAATGCGACAGGACAATATAATGGCAATAATATGCTCCCAATTGTACTTTTTTCCTCCTTTCATTTAATTCCATGAATATTGGTAATTTTTTTTTAATACACCGCTGTCCCCAACCCTACATATTCTTTTAATACATAGTTAGGGAGAAATTTAATAGTAAGAACAAATCATGATGGCTACACATGAAAAATTTGAAGCTACGTACGTACTCTAACAAAAAGTCAACTTATGGCTGTAGTATAATTTCATTAATTTAATTTTTTTGCTGTTTTGTCAGCATATTTTTCTGGATTCTAAGAAGTTCTTTCTCTTGGGCTCGCACGATGAGATGTATTGAAGGAACGTGGCGAAATCCGTGTCTCTGTAACGCTTTGGGTTCTGTTCGCCGATCAGTTTCGGCCACGGTCTAACGGTGTACTCGAATGGCAGACTATGCAGAGATGCGACGGAGATACGATTTCTTGATTGATTCGTCAGGACTCTGTGCAACACGCTTTTGTATCTCCCGTTGCTAAAAATCTGGAAAAAAAATCATACCAGTGAAACACAATCAGAGAATTTCGACGAGAAGTACAAAGAAACGAGCATTTAACGAAGATTTCGATCTTGAATATTGCTAACTATATATATAGGGACTAGTTTGAGTTAACCATCAAAATCCAGGGGCCGCATAATTACCTCAAGATGATCGCCGACGTTGACGACGAAGGCGTTGGGGATGGGATCGACGGTGACCCATTTGTCGTTGTGCTGAATCTGGAGCCCTGCGACGTCGTCTTGGAGGAGAAGGGTCAGGAACCCGTAATCGGAATGCGGCGGCATTCCCAGCGTAAGGTCAGGCTCCGGGCAGGGCGGGTAGCAGTTCACCACCATTAGTTGGCTCCCTCCTTCCATTAATTCCTTCTCCATCTCATCCACGACCTCGCCGTCGGCCGCTGGAAACGCTGCCGTTTCAGGCGCCGGGGAGAGGCTCTCGAGGATGGCTTCCATCAGCATGACGAACAAGTGTTTGGTGTCTTTCGCGTAGGTAGCCGCCGATTTCCTGTTTCCGCCAACAAAAGTTATAGATTGTTCATTAATTGTTATTCTTATCTAGCTAATACATGGTTTAGGTATACTATATTACATGAAGAGCAAGTTGAAATTAATTATTTTTGGAAAGCTGATGGGGTCTAGCTAGCTAGCTAGTTATGTAGTAGATAATAATTGACTCATATGTATCATGTAACTTAACGTGACCTGATTCGTATTATAGTGGAAGGATTCGACTCTTGATGAGCTGCAATTAAGATAACTTATGGTAACATATCGATTTTTCGTGCTTGAAGGGTTGTGAATAAGGATAGGGCTTGATGAACATGTGTTGGCCAATGTGTCTAGACCAGTTGGTCTCAATAATTCAAGTTTTTTTAATATACTCAATTATGTATCTTATATCATTCACTAGCTACCACGTCCCCTCAAATGAAAGGCAATTAATATATTGAGTTTGAAGTTTGCACAGGTCTGAATAACTTACATATGCTTAACAAATCGGGAATAGAAAATATTTCGATGACGAAAGACTCTGATATCATGTTAAGAATCAGTTAATCTCAATGAATCAAATTGTTGCAAATATTTCAATTATTAATCTTATAACTATTTACCATCACTAAAAATTACTTGATATGCAATAATCTGACTCATCGATATAGCTAGTTGTTAAGTATATCCATTAAACATTGCTGACCTAAAATCATGAGGGGAAGAAGGCCAATGAGGAAGCACATCCGGCAGAGGCTGGCACATGAGCTTGAGGAAGTCTCGCCAGCAGAACACATTGTCTTTGTTCTGGTTGAAGCTCGTCCCGTACCGGACCGGCGCCTTCATGTTCGCCGACATGTACTTGGACCTCTCCTCGAACGGAAGCCCGAAGAACCTCGTCCCGACGTCGATCATGTCGCTGATAACTCCGTCGCCAATGTTGTGATTCACCACCTGGAGAAGAAATTTGTGTCCATCAAGGATATGTTGTAGCCGCAAAAGAGTTTCAATCGTTATTCCCGTCGCTTAAAACTCTGTGATCGGCGATGGTTTTGGCTCATTTAAGACGGAAAACATTTTTGTCCATGTTTTAGTAACGAAACACCCTATAGCGACCACTTAATGGTCGCTAAATATGTTTTGATGATTGGTCGCTAAAAACATCTATAGAGTTTCTTGCTTTTTGAAGCTTACCTGGAAGAACCCATAATTCTCGCAGGCATTGGCGAGGGATTTGAGGACCTGGGCACGATTGGGACCTTGGAGCTCGGCGAAATCGATTACCGGAAGCTGGATATTCTGCTTGGCGCCACCATTTCTCTTCGTCGCGAAATCCTTTGGTGCTTGATATTGATGTTGGTGACCATTATTGCTAGTGATATTGGGTCGTTCATGAGAAGGCAATATGTACTTTCTGGGCAGTTTTCTAATCCCTTTCTCGTACAATTGCTTCACTCCCTTTTGATATTCCGTCTCCTGCTCGTCGACAATATTCTGAATCGCCATTGCCGGAGCCATTGTAGAGATAGGAAGGAGAATAAAATGAAGAAAGAATGGGAGGAAGGGAATGAATGAGGAATAATGTGAAGAGGAAGAAATAAAGAGGTGGTTGTATTTATAGGGGGGAGAGATAAAGGGGGAGGGAATTGGTGAAGTAGAGTGGCTATGGAGGTTTTTGGGAAACCGGATCTGGTTTTCTATTATTGAATCTCATCTCCCAAACGACTGACTTTTTTCTTAATTGGCGAAACCCGTTGACAAATATTCAGGAGTCAAGAGAGACCCAAAACGAAGAGAAAAGGAATATATCTATATTGGGAGACTTTTTCATATATAAGATTTGAAGATGGAGCCTAGTTTGGAGTTTGGACAACTTTTTGGGTGTGATGAGTGTTAAAACAAAGCTATGATTCGTTACATTTGTTACTTTAATAATGAGCGATGAATGCATATAGTATAAACCCATGAATGAGCAGCCTAGCACTGTAGTTATAATGGCTAAGTTATTGCACATGTTTAATAACGGTTTCAGGTTGGTAAGATTAGTGATGGCAAAGCGGGGGGACGGGGCGGGTATCTTAATATTCATTTTGTTTTGTACTAAGTGTGGGTCGGACCGGATAAATATCTGTGTGGGTACGAGGTGGGACAGGTCGACCCATTATTACATATTATTTGAAAAAAATACATATAAAATTTTAATTTCTACGATAAAATAAAAGGAAAGCACTTTATGAATGAAAAATAGTGATAACAGAGTGGGTAATTGAGTCTAATAAGTTGAAAAATCAAGTCTAACTACTTGAAGAAAAGTCACAAAATGATAAATATATGTATAGATATTGTAAGAAATTGAGATAGAATGAGCCAAGAATGACCGACAGGGTGGGTTGGAAGTAGATACTCATACCCCGACCCCCCATCGCGGTCAGATCGAGTGATATATCCAGCGGAGCGAGATCAAATTGCCATCGTTAAATAAGACATCAGGTTGATGAATATGAATGATAGTGGGGAAGGTCAACACAGGTATCTCGATACCCATCCTATAGTAGGTCTGTTACAGGTAAGGTAATTTATAACGAGGTGGGAGACGGGGTAGGTCCCCATTTGGGTATATAATTTAAAGGAAAAGTCTTAGAAATATTCATTTTTCTATTAGCAAAATAAAAAAAATTAACAAATTATATCATGATAAATATAATTAAATTATTCAAGAAATTGAGCTTTTCACTTATTTACAACTTTAACATTAGTAAAACATGATCATAAATAATTTGAACAAAATTACATGTAATTTGAGCATAAAAGAAACATGATCATAAATAATTTGAACAAAATTACATATAATTTAGTGGAAAAGCGGATCAAGTATGGGGCAAAGTTAGGTCTAAAAGAATACTCATATATGCTCGGCCCCAAAACTAGATAAAAAAAGGTCAGCTCAAAATTTTCATCCCTATATATTATCCTCTTGTGCATTATATATGTGACGACTCATATACCCTAAACAGCTTCTGATTGACTTCCTTCTCTTCTTGTGCTTTTGGAATTTTCCTTTTTGGTTGATGCTCTGCCGGAAATTTCTTCCTGTAGGCTATAGTCTCTACTAATCGTCGTCGTAGTCTGTGGACAGTTTGTCCCCAATTCCGTTTGTTTTGGCTTGCTACGTACTACTGAGTGTCGCTTTCCAACACATAGGGACGAGAAGGAGAAGAAGAAAGGATTGACGAAAGCTGTTCGGCTTCGGCCTTATGTTTTCACGGTGAAGAAAACTTAGAATCTTGGCCGGCCGGCCAGTTTTGTTTGGTTTCAGTAACTTCATCTGATCATCAGCATGTATATATTGGGAAATTGGTAGTTTTATATAATTCGAGTGGTTAAAATAGCTCATGTATGAATTATATATGATTTTCATACATATGTCACTTGAAACGAAAGTCAATTTATATGTTGAAATTTGCACATGTCCACCATATTATTATTATATATGTGCTTATGTACGTATTATATGAATCTTATACTACTTTCTTATACCACTTTTTTATACCGTGAAAAACTATTACACAGTTCATACTTCATAACCGTCATGACCCCCGTCATATGTACCGTGACATCCCTACAGAAAGGGAGCTGGTCGGGGGAGTTGAATGTGCAAGGAGATTGTATATGATTCATTCTATCTCGAATATTTCTCAGTAGCACTCGACTATTCAAAATTGCTAATACTAACTAATTCTTGATAATACAATATCCGAATATTTTTTATTGAGAGGTCTCGTGTTCTAATACTCACTACCTAATAAATTCGTATGGTGTTATAGATTTGTCCATTATGGGGTAGCTAGATATGATGTACATACCAAAGTCCATATATATAGTATATAAAACATCCGACATCTAATGAAAAAGGGATGAGATTAGGTGCTAACCCTTATAGGGGTTAGCACCGTGATAACTAGCAAAAAACGCTACTAAAAATAACGAAATCACTACGGATTATTATAAAATCAATACAACGTCTAAGCTAAATCACTACTTTATTATAAAATCAATACAACATCTAAGCTAAATCACTACTAATTCAAACTAGTAGTAGTTTTTCCCTTGGTTAGGACGGTGCTAACTATTGTACAATTAGCACTGTAGCCGTTCCCAATGAAAAGCATCACATATATCATTCAACTCCAAGAATTTACAGCGCCGTAATTATATGATTACAATATTAATTACTAACCCCGAACCAAAAGGTTGACCCTTATATATTAACCAAGGTGAAAACCGCTGTGCATGTAATAAGGATAAATGTATGTCAAATCATTGTTGATGACGTGTCCATCGGCCTGCACGACTACGTATGATAAACCGACCAACCAATGAACACTTCGAGTTACACGTAGGTTTTTGGCCGGAAAATTATTATGAATTACATTATTGCTCGACTAATTAATGTGCTTTCTACTTTCTCCCCCTTCATTATGTAATAATACATGTTTTCTACGGGGAAAAAAAAAACGTTTCGTTGTTCGAAGAATCAAAATGCATGAATGCAGATGCTTTTTTGTGTTGATGATTAATGATGGTGGCTATCGTTAACAGCTTATCATAATATTGTTTTATGTGCCATAATTATTTATATGCTCTCTCCTATCGTTGACAAACAACAGCTTCAACGCTTAATTTTAAAGTTTCATCGGGTCACATAATAAAAATCAATTTCATTTGGTCACAAAAAAATCTGGAATTGTTTAAATGGTCAGTTAGCATTGCTAAACCAAAATCCGGTCACAAAATAGTGACATTTGGCACCAAGAAGGAAATATATATCGATAGTTTATGGAAAAAAATATACTAATTATATGTATACACAATTACCCTTTAATTTGCTTGTGAAGTTTGGTGATGTAGTATTGTAGCTACATTAGGTTTCGAATATTTTTAAAATAATTAAAAAGAAGTAGGTCTAATTTTCTTTAATTTATGTATTAGGTAAATGCTCCCCTTGGACATATCCGAACCATAGAATCTAATATAAATTTAGGAATATGGACTCCAGCTCATTATAATTTACTGAATTTCCTATCTACTACTTCTTATGATAGTTATTATATATATGCATATAAATTTGCAATCATTACTTAATTAGGTCGGATCGTCTTCATCCCGATCTCATACTTCGGTTCTATTTAGTGTGTTCTTCAGTTTGTAAATTGGATTTGGATTGTTCATTTGACACGAAAGATCCTCGATTTTCTGATTTTTTTTGTCTCGGAGTTTCATAAACCTTCATACAATTAATTAATTGGCTGTGTGAAAAAATAAAAATTACGAACCTTAATGTTTAATAACCAGTTGCTGGATAATGACACTTCCCCATGGTTGTCACGCTGCCGGCGTGCAACCGGTTGTACCGGGTTCAACCGGTACCTGTCATAAAACCGGCGTGACACCACTGGTATAATCGGCATGATCGATATACGAATCTCTAAGTAAAATGACCTTATTTTAGTGAATTTAATTGATAAAAATTATTTTATTATTTATTTATTAGTATAAAAGTTAAATATTGATGTTATTTGTTGGATTCAAGTATAAATGTTTAAGTATTGACGTTAAATGTCATGTTTAAATATGAGTATTTACAATTTTATTTGTAATATTAACCGGCATGAACCGGCACAAATCGATATGTGCCACCGATCGAACCATTTCACTTGCTAAACCGGCACACTGGTATAAACCGGTTTGACAACCTTGCACTTCCCTTTTGTACCAATACTATAGTGACACTGTTTGCATGTGAAGATGGGTACGTTTACATATAGCCTATAGGCCCCAGTACATTTAACAAATAATTAATCGCCATTATTTTAGATGAGAATTAAGCATAAATCGTGGATTACAGCTGTTGACCTCAGAGATTTAAACAATCGCTTCTTGCAAACGTGACTGTTGGTTGAGGCTGCGCAAGTTATTATTTCCCATGTCATATTTTGCAGGCTCACGGAGCTTTCTGACCGATCCCTTTTCTGTGCCTTTACCAAATGTTTACTGATAAGATTTGTAGTGTTAATAACTGGTATAGCATTTATTATTGAATTTTTCATATGGTTGTTGACATAATATTGGAGTTATCTATAATTGAGAGGTTTTATGTTCAAAATTTAACGACTCATTTGTTAATTAATCACATGGTATTCCATATAAAGTGCAAATTTCAAACAATATGAGTGACTTTTGTTTGAGGGGGCGTGTTAATATGTAATATTAGATTCATTATTGAATCTCTATCAACAACTTGTGTTATTGGGATCAATTGATTCTTGACATTGACATCATCAACTATCACTCTCATAAGATCATTATCTTTTTTCATGTGGTTACGTTGGAATCATTATATGTAACGTACGTACGAATCACTTGTTTTAGAGTTTCGTATAAAAGATTTTCGTTGAGGGGGTCTGTTAGTATGTGGGATAGGATCCTAACCACTCGAGTTATTAGATCAACTGGTTCTTGACATGTACATTATCGACTATCACTCTCATAAGATCGTTATCTTTTTTCACATGATTACGTTGGATACATTATATGAACTTACGATTGAGTATCTTCAAATACTTTGTGTTTGATAGGCTGATACCACCATTACAAGTATGTTACTCTATATATGAACTCGACACACCTCTTCTTTGTAATCTTGAGTCTAATATGAAATTCTGAATCTATATATACAAGGAATCTTGCCACGCTATAACATCCACTTCTTCATGCTGAATTTTTTTAGCGAAACTGAATCTCCGTTAAAACACATACTCTTAACTTCTAAACCTCATCAAAACCTCTCTTCCTTTAGCTAGCTAGATTGCTTCCATGTGATTGTGCCATGAGTATGCATTCAATATTCCAGCAAACAAAAAAACATGGTGCCAACTATTAGCTACTTCCATTGTTTGTTTCTATCCAAAATTTCAATTCATTCCCCCTTTTGAGTGTGAGGTCACTGACTCTTAGGTCTTATAGTTTATTAGTTGGTGAGGCACGAGTGACCTATACCCAATCGTGTCCCGTCCCTAATGAAAAGTCAATGCCTATATTGTAATGTCAACTCCTAAAATTAATTTATTTAGTATACAAATTTGACATAAAAATTGAAGCCTATCTCTAGCTATTCCTTTCTGACTTTTTGTTTTTGTGTATACTAAATATTATTTTTAGGACATATTTGAATAATATTATTTCCTTCACCCAAAAAACTAAATATTAATTGTTCTAATATTGAATAATATACTGTTATTTTTAGGAGATATTTATTAATACTGGGCTATGTGTGGTTGGGAGTGGGTTCAAGCTGTGGATGAATTGATTTAGATTTTGTCCTTTCTTCCTCATTCGGTGCATGGGGGATTCTCCACCCTCCACCCTCCACGTCAGATCCACATCACACAATAAAAACTATTTAGGGTTTACCAATTAATATTTAAGACGCATGACTAATATTTGTTATTTGATTTAATTTATGCAATTTAGTTGGTATACTACTTGATTAGCTCTCGTAATGATAATAAAATTACGTATAATTTAGTTGTTCCTAGAATATTCCAACTTAGATGGATGTATGCTTAGAAACAAGTTCTACGTACAATTATTTTCAATATATTTAATTGCCTTCTTATGATCAGAAACTCTAATTTCAGTAGTTTTAAATGGGTACAATAGCTAGATGCATGAATATTAATCTTCTCGAACGAGAAGCAACAAGAAAACGAAGCAAGATTTTAGATACAGTAGATAAGTTATACATATGGTTCTATATGTCCCAGTTTGAATGAGATAACTCGCGCGCGTATACTACAACCTACAGACTTGTCATTTTGGGATAGGCTCAAAACCTCGTCTCCACGTACCGTTTGTCGGTCTTATTAGACCGTTAGAATGTGATCTCAACGAGTTCAAGCGAGAAGTTGCAATCGAGACATACTTTTATCAGTTGGCTAATAATTACATTACCCTTAACACTTATCTGTACAACCAAATGTGCAGATATATGTATACATTACATATTTGCCGTACAACCAAATGTGCACTTATCTGAATTTGCATCGTCAACCACTAATAGGCATCATCGATCGAACCCGCAGCCAACATTGTCAAGACATAGAAGCCATTATTAGCTGATAGATTAATGCATGCTTCCCTCAACCTACTTAACTGATAATTGAGCTCTTGGATTCATGAACTAGCTAGAGTATGCATGCAATCATACTACTGTTCAAGAACAGATTCGTAGTGTTGGTTGATAGTTGTGAAGGCGTGCATTCATTAATTATTCAATCGATTCGACAGCAAAATTATTAGGTGAAAGTACATAATTGAGTAAATAATTGCATGCAAGCTTAATTATATTGTTCGCTGGATATATTCTTAGGGTTTATTCTTTAGTCATACTGCTGACTGTACGAATAGGGTACGTAGATTAATTTATTAAGCAGACAAATTTTACCCAGAAAACTAATTAATTAAAGCAGACAAATTATTTCATTGGTTGAAGTTTCAACGAGAGCATGCACATGGGGGGGAAAATTCACGTGCATGCACGAAGAAATTTGGAGAAACCCTATTAATATATATCACGTCTATTTGGCGAATCATTTATATAGCTCGGTTTGGTGGGCTGGCTGCTATTTCCACGAAAAACCCCTCCATGCAAAAAAGCTTTGATATATATTTTCTTGAGTTTCCATGCACATGATGTATAATTAATGTCTGTGTATTAGCTAGAATCGGTATGCCAATATGGTCAAGTCTCAAATCACATGCTCTGTGTTCAAATCGCGACCATTGGAATTTTCAGCTGTGGCCCCTCATGTTGTATAAGTATAACCATGAAAAAACCTTATGATAAGGCTCAGGGCGACAATCGATCCGAGCTGAGTCGAGTTTATATATCTTATTTGAGTTTCATTTGTTTGATGATTGTTTGGCTCGAACTGAAACTTGGTTATGAAAGATCAAGCTGCTAGATCGAATGAAAACAACGTATCTTGGTAAATACCATAATCGTAGTACCAAAATAATGATAAAAAGGTAAATATTATGAAAGTACGTACTTGCACCAAGTTAGGTCGGATTGCAAGCCTGAATGGCTGAAGCACGGGCTATCTAGCGAGACAAATGTCAAAACGGATCCCCCCCCCCAATCCTGATCCGATGTGACGTACGAAGTTGATTAGATGTGACTTATGAGATCTAATTTCCATATGTCTTCGAAATAACTCGCATCATTTCGCCTCATCGGTCTGACGTACGGTGACAATGTTACACATACAACCTTTCAAACACAACGTTTATAGACTTTTTCAAAGTACGTGATCATCATCCGGCCATCACCCAGAGACCGAAAAGGTTGAACATGAATTAATTAACATGATTGGGATCCACAGTGTGAAAATCATGGAATTCTTCTGCTGAACTTTGGGAGTAGAGAGAAAGAAGTAACTCCTTAAATAAACAACTAATTGAGAAGTTTAAGCCGCCTGCCCCGGTGGATGATCGACAGACTCGAGATTCAGTGGGAGACGACGACGACGACTTTAGCTGACTTTTGAATTTTGATAGACAGACACCGGTGGGACAGTTCGTCTCTCTTCATTCTTGCATTGACTCGATCGACCAAACCCTATAAAAACAAACAAAAGGGAAAAGAGAAGGAATTTCGTAAAATGAATAAATAATCAAAGTATAGGGAAAACATGGGCTGCTTCGTTTGACTTTAAGGGGCATGGAATATCGACCAATCAGGTCTCTTCAAATTCCCCTGGACGTACGTAATAAAAGACTTTTGAGGGCCATTTTTTGTAGTAAATGACTGCTGGCTTTATTAGACGGACGAAGACCGGCAACTTCCAACTAATCTGCGGGCAAGCACTTTCCTCATCCAAGTGCTACGTGGAGTGCATTGGGTTGGATTCAATATTCATTACCTAACCCGAAATCCGTTATTGTTGTGTCCAATGGTAGTATGATACTCAATACCGGTATTTTTACAAAATCGTACTAGCGACCCAATCAAAAAACTTGTTTATTATTTACGGTTTTTGTCAAGAACCAGTTGATCCAATAGGTTGAGTTATTGGGATCAACGGATTCTTGACATGGTATCAGAGCTTTTTGTGACCGTGAGGTCTTCTATTCGATTCCCGGCGACCCCATCTGTTTCTGTTAAGCACACGGTGTCCGGACCTGTGTCTGTCCAAACTCCAAGCCTATATGAATGGATTGGGTTTGAAGGAGAGGTGTTGGCAAATGGTATATGATCCACGATTGAACTTCTCCCAACAGCTCGAGTTATTGGGATCAACTGGTTCTTGACAGTTTTATCTATTGGTACAGTATGATTTTAAAACACACACAGAAAATTTTGATTGCCTGTTTCAACCTTTAGGTTCAAAATCGAAGAATTGACTAAATTACTAATACCCATATTTTTTACTCTATCTATTTTTTTGAGTGAAGCTTATATAAATTTGTACAATTTCTTAGTAGTACAAAATTGAAAATCGGCTTGCCGTTTTTTCACTTGTTATAAATAACCGGCTAATTACTTTCCTTGTACCTATTTCGACCCCATCTAATTATCGTGTGGTCCGCCACCGTCTCTACGTACTCAAGGTCAGAGAGCATGAAGAAAGGTACAATCTTGATCTATATTTTTCAACTGACAGACGCGTTCGAAGAAAATAGCTTCTCTTGTTGGAGTCAAAGTCAAGGCTTTTAGACCAATTCCAACATGAAATTTTTTTCTGGTAAAATCAATAGCCAGGTAGTCGAATCGGTGGACCAATGGAGAACAGTTGTTGTTCTTCCATGATTTACCTATAGTTAATTCAGTGCATATTAACTGTTTAAGCAGACTTTATAGTTGTTAACCAAATGTCAAAAGTCATTGCCCTCCCCATTCCCATTTGTGAAAGCTAATTATTTCCATGTGTATATATGGTTTTAACCATTGAGTCGTGTACTTAGACATAAGTATTCTTCTCGTTCAGATTACTGGCTCCGCCAATGACAACACTATTAGTAACTCTTTCTTTATCTAGGTTTAGAACTCTCACACTGAAAATTGGGTGTATACCATTACAAAACTACTCGCAATAGGTTATCTCTAACAACACGGGTTTCATCATGAATGTTTTCACCAAAAGATAAGTATTTGTCTAGGTCATAATGCAATTTATGAGGATATCTTGAAACTTATCAATGTCATCATTGAAGAATGATGTGCAGGCAATCACGACACATTTTTTTTAGTGTCATCTACAGGGTGTTCACTGCAAATAAGAAAAGGTTATATATCTTCGATAACTAGTAGATAAAAAGTTGTATTCTTGACCATATGATTTACAAACAAGGTAATCTGGCTAAAGCTAACATAGCCCAGAGGTGAAACTGTTGGTCTGGTTGGCTCAAGATGTGGGGAGGTCTTGAGTTCGATCCCCAACGACGCCGCTTGAGTGTTCCCAAAGGCATCCCTAAGTGTTCGGGACGAAGTCTCCCAATATTGTGTCTTGTACAAATGCTAGGTTTCTGGGTTATAAAAAAATAAGGTAATTCGTAATTGCTTTTATATTTATACATAAATTATAAATATGCTAGTGAATCATTGCATTTCTCTCTTCAGGGTTATTATTGAAATGTTAAGAAAAAAGGGGCACCAGAAGTCAATTTTGTACCAGAGAACCAAATAGCCCAAGCCGAATTGTGAGAAGGCAAAGCAAAGGCCCATAAACAAGGAAAATTAAGCCCAATAATACTAGAACGTACAGGCCCACTCTCCGAAACCTTACGGACTAAATCCCGCCAACATTTTCTAGCGCGCAGCACCGTCTCAGGCTCTCAGCACTCAGCACTCAGCAGACTGAAAACTTCAGAGGAAACTGCGAAAAGCATTAGAAGCAAAAGCCGGCGGCAGGCCACCAAAGGGGGTAAGAATTGAAGATTGCAGGAGTTCTCCGTATTGATTTTAAAAGGTATTTCCATCCTCTCGTCTTCTCTGCTAGATTCCGTTGCTTCGTTCTGTTTCCGTAATGGGGGAATTCGGGAAATCGCCGGTTTTAGGTTTTGCTGAACGAAACTTTGGAATTGGAAGCCATCTAACCGTCATGAATCTAGAATCCCAAAACCTGTAAAGAGTTTGACCAGCGGTATCTGTATTCGGTTAGCCGATGGCTGTAGCAGATCCGGGAGAATGGTTTACTGTCCAATTTTGTTAAGGAGTAGAATTGGAAGGTACGGGAGAGTTCTAGTAGATGCCGAATCTGATTAGGATTAAGTTTGATTGGATGGTTGAAACTTGAGAAACCATACTGATTTCGTCTTGTTTCGGATTGTCAGAGTAAGGAACTCTGAAACTTTGCCCATTTCAAGGTTAAATGTGCTATCTCAGCAGTATGGCTATCATTACAGCTATTAGCTTGCTCATTTGGGTTATTGAATCGATTTCGTGGATAAGTGCAGCAACTAGAGCGCTAAAATAAGGAGCAGTATCAGGGGTTGATCTGCAAAGTTGCAAGTAATATAGTACTAGAAAGTTTGTAGGCATGTTGAAGGGTCAAACTTAGCAGGTAGATAGAACTATGTGTAACTAAGTAATCATCAAATGCAGTTATCAAATCCTTTTTAGAGGGTTTCATTGCTTAGCTGTTGAAATTGAACTGGGTTTGGTTGCATTCTATACTTTGGAGGGAAAGGTCGTTCAAATTTCATAATGGCATATTGATTACAGTTGAAATGGGTTTAATGAAGGAAAGATGAAGGCAGGAAGGAAGAATTTGAAGAGGGCAGTAGCTAATGAAGATGGCTTAACACTTCAGGATGGTCAAAGCATCATGCGGGTGCTATCACTCCGAGGCTCCAACCTAATCGAGGTATGGTCTCCTTTTGCTCTGGGGAAATAGCTTCCTTTTTCTGCTAAATTGAGTGTTAATACTATGTATGTGTGGTTCTTTCTAGGTGTTGGACACGAAAGGAGAGAAGTCCTTAGCTTTGTTTCCAGCTAAGTTTCAGAAGAGCATGTGGATCAAGAATGGTTTGTTACTGAATAATTCAAATTCAGATCGAGTAGCTCTCTTAACTGCCTTTCAGTTGCTTTACTTCTACTTGCTGTATTGATAACTGGCAGGAAGCTTTGTAGTCGTCGATGGAAGTGGGAAGGAAAAGGCGATCGAGTCAGGCAGCAAGGTAACCTGCATTGTTACCCAAGTTCTGTTTCATGAACAAGTCCGCAAGCTTCAGAAATCTCCTGAATGGTTTGTAATTCCTACCCCCAAACATTGTTCCTTCTTGTTTTCTTTCCCAGTCTTGCTTTTCGGGGTCATATATATTTGGCCTAAACTTGCAGGCCTGAAATTTTCAAGGAAGATAATATCAATGGAAGAGCTCATGCAGAAGCCATTACAAGCCAAGAAGCAAACCAGCTCAAGTCATGTGGTGATGATGAAGAAGAAGAAGATACGGATGATGATGGGTTGCCACCATTAGAAGCCAACACGAACAGGGTCCAACCACCATTTATGGATTCAGGTTCAGGATCTGATTCTGACTCTTGAATTTACATTTGCTTCAAACACTTCCTGATCTGAATTTACTTTCTGATTCTTAAATATGAAGAATTTCTCTGGTTGTGTCAATCTTCTACTGGCCTATATCTAACCGCATTTTTACTGTTAATGTGCGTTTATACGATACTCCCAACTTCATAATCTTCATTTTGATCATAGGATCCAGTGATCCAAATTGCCCCCATTTGCATGGATACTAAAAGCTACGTGTAAAAATCAGCACAATACATACAAAAACTAACGTGTCATCCATCTTCCTTAACCCTGGCTCTCTGACTCCCACCATACACGTACTCTTCATGCAAAACCCTCATCGATCTCCGCTATATAAACATTTAAACTCACCACCACCACACTTTGATTTGCTCCCTGTTTCATGCCCCGATAACAAAACAATCAGCTGAGAAACTCGACCATGGCTGCAATGCTCCGCTTCACCCTACCAATTGCAGCGGCGGCCTTCCTACTTGTTGCAATCGCCACCACCGAAGCCTCCTCTATGCGCCGCACCACTGTGATTATCGACCAGCAGAACCAAGGCAGAGGTGGCGGCAGTGGGACGGGTGAGGAGGGCGGCGGCCGGAGGTGCAGGGAACAGTTTGTGGAGCAAGGCAATCTCTGGCACTGCCAGAGCTTCATGGCGGAGCACACGAAGCAAGGCGGCGGGACCAAGCACCTGAAGAGCTGTTGCAAGCAGCTGAAGAAGATGGACATGGAGTGCACTTGCAAGGGGCTGGAGCTTTCCATCCGCCAGATGGAGGCCGCCGCGAAGCAAGGCGAGATGCAGGGGGAAGATATGAAGCTGATATGGCGGATCGCGAGTAACCTCCCTGGCGCCTGCAAGACTTCCCCTGCCACCTGCGACGAGTTCGCCGGCCACGGCGGCGGAGGCAGCCTTTATCTCGCTCTTGAAACCTTGCTGTAACTTTTGTACGACGTCGTAGAAGGGTGGTGATGAATAATAATAATCAATTTCCAAAGGTTACAACCTTTGGTCTTTGATGTTCTTTTTACTTTTTACCTTTTACCGCCAAAGGCCGCGGTAACGCTAACTCACGCATCACGCATGTCGCATTAATAGGATAGGAAGTTAGGGACAAATAAAAATCAAATTTTGCGCCACCCATTTCAAACGGCCGACGAATTCAATTCCCCAAATCGGGAATTCTTGAGAAGGGCCGACGTCTGCCATGGCGTTCGCAGCCGTAGCTTCTTCTCCGTCCTCTCTTTCTCTCTTCCCCACCGGCCGCAGCAGCAGCTGGACGTCTATCCACAAGCTCAACAATGGCTCCTGCGCCAAAAAGACCTACAGTCTCACAGTCAAATCCTCACTGGATGACAAAACCCCTAAATCGACCGCCGATAAGCAGAGCTCCTGGGTCAGTCCCGACTGGCTCACTTCCCTGACTCGGTCCCTAACTCTCGGTGGCAGAAACGACGATTCCGGCATCCCCGTAGCCAGCGCGAAGCTAGAGGACGTTAGCGACCTCCTCGGCGGAGCTCTCTTCCTTCCTTTGTTCAAATGGATGAACGAGTACGGACCCATTTACCGTCTGGCCGCCGGCCCCCGGAATTTCGTGATTGTTAGTGACCCGGAGATAGCCAAACACGTTTTGAGGAATTACGGTACTAAGTATGCGAAGGGGCTCGTAGCTGAGGTCTCCGAGTTCCTCTTTGGGTCCGGTTTCGCCATTGCCGAAGGCCAGTTGTGGACGGTAATGTACTGCGCTGTGTTTACATTACAATTAGAATCATGAATCTCGTGGTTAAATAGACTATTGGGAGTTAGAACGCCTCAATTCGTTGGTATGATTTGAAAAACGAATCTCATACTATTCTGTTTCCAATGGCAGGCGAGGCGGAGGGCGGTGGTTCCATCGCTGCACAAGAGGTATCTATCTGTGATTGTCGACAAGGTGTTCTGCAAATGTGCTCAGAGAATGGTGGACAAGCTACAAGCTGATGCTATAAGTGGCAATGGTGTCAACATGGAAGCCAAGTTCTCCCAGTTGACTCTCGATGTAATTGGGTTGTCAGTGTTTAACTATAACTTCGACTCTCTGAATACTGATAGCCCAGTGATAGATGCTGTCTACACTGCTCTGAAAGAAGCAGAAGCTCGTTCCACTGATCTGTTGCCATATTGGAAGGCGAGTATTCATTTGGATCTTCTTGGTGTGTGGATTGTGATGTTGTCTTAAGGGTTTTGATGGTTATGGTTTGTGTTGCAGATTAAGCCTCTGTGTAAGGTGATACCAAGACAAGTGAAAGCTGAAAGAGCTGTTACTGTTATAAGGCAAACTGTGGAAGAGCTGATCGCGAAGTGTAAAGAAATTGTGGAAAGTGAGGGTGAGAGGATAGATGGGGAGGAATATATTAATGATGCTGATCCGAGCATTCTTCGGTTTTTGCTTGCTAGCAGAGAAGAGGTAAGACAATGGGGTTTCATAAGTTGTGGTTTGCTTTCTTCCTCTTTCTCATTTTATACTTGCTGTTGCTTATTATCTTGCTGCTGAACTGGTTGATGTAGGTTTCGAGTGTACAATTACGAGATGATCTCTTATCAATGTTAGTTGCTGGACATGAGACAACAGGATCAGTATTGACCTGGACATTGTACCTTCTGAGCAAGGTATGCCATCTGTTGATACTCTAATGCTTGTGTTTAGCCTTACAAACTGAACTTCAAAGCCTGACACTGGTATAAAAGGAATAAGTAGGGGTCAACGAGTCGTGCATGTTGGACTGAATTGGAGCGAAGTGATCCAGATTGAATGGGATCTCATTAAATACAGAAGGGGTATCTTTAGTTCTTTCAAAAGCCAAATCCTATGTGAAGATTGTGGGCTTGCATATGTCAGCTGCTGTACAATGCATGATCTTTTCATCCTGAAAACCATTTACGCAATATTGAGCCATTCTGCTTCTAATATGACTTCGTGCAGGACTCTTCTTCATTGACGAAGGCACAACAAGAGGTCGATCAAGTATTAGAAGGAAGACCGCCTACCTATGAAGATGTAAAGAATCTAAAGTTTTTGATGCTCTGCATACTTGAGTCTATGCGCCTCTATCCACATCCTCCTGTAGGTTGCATTTTCTTCCTGGCTTTGAATTTCAGCTTAGCTTGATATATAGAAAGAAAAGGGAGAAGATAAAGTCGCATGTATAGTTACTGTCCAAATTGTTTATAGCTTCTCTTGTCCCTGTTCCAGGTACTACTGAGACGGGCTGAAGTTCCTGATGTGCTTCCAGGCGATTACAAGGTCAATCCTGGTCAAGACATGATGATTTCAGTGTATAATATCCATCATTCCTCTAAGGTAATTGAAAACATTACATGCTTCCCAGACTCCCCATCTTATATAAGGTTTAGCCTTCATGGTGGAGCCTTTTTGTGCCTTCATGTGTGCCTGCATGTATCAAGTTGCTGATGTTCTAATCTGACTCTTGCAAGGTGTGGGATAGAGCAGAAGAGTTCATCCCAGAGAGATTCGGCACAGAAGGCCCTTTACCAAATGAATCAAACACAGATTACAGGTATTCTTTCTATGAAGTCATGTGTCTAACTTCTCACTTGCCTAGCACCCAGGCGATTCTGATGTCTGAACTTTGCCATGCAACACATTTCAGGTTCATTCCATTCAGTGGAGGACCGCGTAAATGTGTTGGTGACCAGTTTGCTCTACTGGAAGCCATCGTTGCCCTTACGATCTTCCTCCAAAACATGGATTTCAAGCTTGTCCCAGATCAGAAAATCAACATGACCACCGGAGCAACTATACACACCACTAACGTAAGTGTACAGAGATCTAACTGCAGAATCTTTATGTAACAGTTTGATGAAGTCTTTTCACGCAAGGATTATATACTCTTTTGGTCGTTTCCAGGGATTGTACATGAAACTCAGCCAGAGGCAAAGTAAGCAAGCATCGTTAGCTTCATCATCATCTTCTTCTTCAAGGTAAATCACAGAATTGTACATAATATACTCTACTCATATCTATACCTGTAAGCGTGGTAGTTCGCTGAAACTGGAGATGCATTCCTGCCATTTGTCTCTTCCTGATCGATCATAAGTGATCAAAGGAAGAACTTCCTATATGATTCTCTTCGATAAGTAGTAGCATCATTGAGTTTTGCTTGCCTAGTAGCCACTAGTGCTCTGAAGCTCATTGAGTGAGGAGTTGCTTTCTTGCGGCATTAGAATCTCTGGTGAGTTCCTTCACCTTCCGAATTGGAAGAATGAAGAATCAATCCCCTGCCCCTCTGCAATCTCCGGTGGCCTAGGCGATCTCTCGTTGCCATCAACGGCAGCAATGTAGCTCCTTCTGGATCGCTTTTCTCGCTTTGATTGAGGTATCAAGCGTGAAATGATATCATGGATATTCCTCATTATGGTCTTATTATTAATACGATTTAGACGCTTGTCGTCGACTTTCTAAAAAATAAAAGCGTGAAATGATAAAATGTCAGGCAAACGTTGAGTAATAAATGGATTTCAAAATGTCACTTCTCCTAGGAGGTATTTAAAATCCAACCATTATAACACGAATTCGGCTCAAAATCAACCCGCTAATGGATTTTGAGAAAGAATCCATGAGTCCAAATTCACTACCCCATACTGCCCCTATAAATCGGAAGTAAACATCACACGTGAATCCTGTTTCCACAAAAAGCTGATACCCTCATTCATCGGTCGCGGAATCTGCCAAACACACTCATTTTGAAGCCATCGCATGATCCAATCAATCGCCTTCTCTCTCGCGGGTTAGTTTTTGATAAAAGCGGGAGGGGAGAGAAACGAATTGAAGAGAGAGAGAGAGAGAGAGAGAGAGAGAGAGTGATCCAATCCAAGCAGCCAGCAGCCATGGAAGATGAGAGCTCGGAGAGCCGGAAGAAAGCCAAGCTGGCGATAATCGAGCTGGCCAACATGATCAGCGTCCCCATGTCCCTTCACGCCGTCGTCCGCCTCAACGTCGCCGACGCCGTCTGGCAGGGCGGCGCCAACGCCCCTCTCTCCGCCGGCGAGATCCTCTCCCGCCTCCCTCCTCGGACTATTTCTTCCTCCGCCGCATCCGCCGGTGATCCGGAGAACCTCCAGCGGATCCTCCGATTGCTCTCCTCCTACGGTGTGTTCGACGAGCACATTCTCGCCACCGCCGCTGGCGAGGCCGGAGAGAGGAAGTACTCGTTGACGGAGGTCGGGAGAACTCTCGTCACGGATTCCGACGGGCTCTCATACGGGTCGTACGTCCTCCAGCACCACCAGGTCGGCCGCTCATCACCTCTTTCCTCCGGTTTATTATTGTGAATTTGCCACCTTATTTTGGTGAGAGGACAATTTGATACCTTAACTTTATTAATGTAGTCGCTTGGAACCAACTATGTTTAGTTTTCTCCACTTGATCTTTTCTGTGTATTATTAACTATAGAAGTGGTTGATAAGGGTATCAAAATGTGATACTTGAATGGTTGGTTATGTCATATGATAGTATTACATGTGAAACTATTGGCATTGGTAAGTCGGGCGTCCATGTTATTTAGCTCGTCACTTAAAGATCATTAGCAAATTCGGGTTAAAATTTCATCTTCCGAGATTTCTAATGTTACTAGACTACTATCTTAACCTAGTCTTCCTAGGTATACCATAACCTAAAAACTAGAGATTCTAATTTCATACGTACTTATAAGTGACTGTGCTTTGTAACATTAATTGAATTAGGATTTGTATTTTCATGTAGTAACCTTGTGAAATCGACCCCATCGTCAATGACGCTAATTATGTCTATTTGTGTAGTCTTCTTCAAATGCACAATCCACCTCTTTAACTAGTGTCCTTATTAGAGTGTAAAAAAATGTAGAATTTAAAGGTACCAAAATGATCAAATCATGAAAGTTATAGGACTAGAACGACATCTTCCCTTTTCCTCGCTACTTACTATTCACCTAATGGCGAGGCGGCAAAAATGAAATTGACTGGTCAAAGAACTGACGGCGTTCGAGCAGGACGCGCTGATGAGGGCGTGGCCGCTGGTTCACGAGGCGGTGGTTGACCCCACGACGGAGCCGTTCGCGAAGGCCAACGGCGAGCCGGCGTACAGCTACTACGGGAAGCAGCCGGAGATGAACGAGCTGATGCAGAAGGCCATGTCCGGCGTCTCCGTGCCGTTCATGAGATCCATGCTGGACGGCGGCTACGACGGGTTTGACGGCGTCAAGAGGTTGGTCGACGTCGGCGGGAGCGGCGGGGATTGCCTGCGGATGATCCTACGCAAGCATCCCAACGTTCTCGAAGCGATCAACTTTGATCTGCCCGAAGTTGTGGACAAAGCGGCCTCCATTCCCGGTGAGAATCAATTGTCAGCAATTGTGTCATTTTTTTTATGAATAAATAAATAAATCTAATTAGTGTCAGTGATAATATAAATTAGTATATAATATTAGTTTGTACTATTAATAATTTTGGTGGGTGTGGAAATGGGTGCAGGAGTGACTCATGTTGGTGGCGACATGTTCAAGTCCATACCTAACGCTGATGCCATCTTCATGAAGGTCAGTTACTTTACTCATTTCCTTTCTATACCTCTAGAGCGAATCGAGATAAGATCGGATTATTTTTTTCCTTGGTCTTATAGTCTTCACATTATCTTCATTTTCGATTCGTGGTCCAATCTTGTTTGTGTTTTTGCAAATTTTTATGCAGTGGATTCTGACGACCTGGACCGACGAGGAAGTGAAGGCGATACTGTCGAACTGTTACAACGCGCTGCCGGAAGGAGGGAAGCTGATAGCCTGCGAGCCGATGCTGCCTAAGGACTCCGACGACAGTCACAGGACGAGAGCCCTGTTGGAAGGAGACATATTCGTGATGACCATCTACAGGGCCAAAGGCAAGCACAGGACCGAGGAAGAGTTCAAGCAGCTTGGTATGGCTGTTGGGTTCTCAAATTTCAGGGCGTTGCACTCTGTGGATTACTTCCACACCGTGCTAGAGTTCCAGAAGTAGTAGTAGTAGGGAGGGAATTAGTTCTGTGACTGACTTCCATTGGTATGTCTCGTTTGAGTACTTAAGTTATGTGATGTGGCTAATCGATAATATTGGCTTTACGGAATGATGTTATAAGTTCCATAGTTGAACTGGATCAGTAATTAAACCCAAAAAAGGCACGAATCACCATTTTCCCACAACGCTAAAGTAAAAACCATAATCGTGTCATACTCATACATAAACCAACATCGAATGCCTGTATCTAGTGGCTGTGCAGCTGAAAGAAACCCTCTTTTGTGGTTGTTTTAGGACCATATATGAACTAGACAGACAATGGTGGGGCAAACAGGGCAGGCTGGATTCAGATGGATTGATGGTGGCTGCTGCGATGAGACAAAAGAAAGAACAGAGAAAAAATCAGTGGCAGACTCGTTGTTCTCGCCGCTTCTTTCATTGTTTCAATGGGTGGTGGGTGGGTGTCCCATAAATTAATCTCCACGTGCTTCCAATTAAGGGTGGGTTTAGGTCGACACTAGAGGTGGCAATTTGATCGGATTCGTGGATTGGTGGATCCATGGATCAGATGGATTAGATCCAATGGATTGGTGGATTCATGGATTGGATCAAATGGATTGGTGGATTGATCCATGAATCCAAATGACATCCAAGACTTGGACCAAAATGTAAAATTTGAAAAGTTTTGGTACTAAAATGTCATAATGAAAAATTTTAGGTACCAAAATGTAATTTTCCAATGTAATTTTTTGTATAAAAATATAAATTTTAGGTACCAAAATGTAAAATATAATATATGTAGGTACCAAATCATAATTTGTCATTTGGATCCATGGATTGATTCATGAATCCACCAATCCAATTGGATTTGGATCAAATATATTGGATTTAAATGGATTGGATTAGGTGGATAATTTGGTGGATGGATTGGATTTATGGATTTGGATTCTAATTGCCACATCTAGTCGACACGTTATTGGATTGAATCACACCAAAGTATGTTTGGTTCATTTAATTTCACTTGGTCCCGTTCAAATTTAATTTCGATTCACTTTTCTTTTATATTTAAGGACATTTGTAGGATTGAAACCGAACAAAAATAAATTTAATTCAATTTGATACATCGATTCGATACAATTCACTCCGAAAGAGACCGGAATGTTGCCACTCCGAAAATTTTCAGATTTGATGACTTAAATGCAATATACACTCAAAAGCTAGCATGTTTTGTACAAAATACGATCCAACAACATCAACACGAAATTGGTTTGCTTCAAGAGTTAGCCAAAGTGTCCTCCCCTACCAATAAAGTCCTTTAAAAAAAAAGGTAAGGGGTGAGGCAAGAAACAAATGACTAAAGAGTGAGACACAAGAGAGAAGCGAGACCGCCATTAGTTGAGTCAAAGAGGAGCTACTTTGCTAGCAATGGCCGGCGAGTGCTCGGAGAGGCGGAAGAAAGCCAAGCTGGCAATTCTGGAGATGGCACACATGATCACCGTCCCTATGTCACTCACCGCCGTCGTCCGGCTCAACGTCGCCGACGCCATCTGGCAGGGCGGCTCCAACGCCCCTCTCTCCGCCGCCGAGATCCTCTCCCGCCTCCCTCCTCCCGCCTCCGGCGCGTCCCCAAATCCCCGGAGCCTCCAGCGCATCCTCCGGCTGCTCTCCGCCCACGGCGTGTTCGACGAGCATATTGACGCCGCCGCCGGCGGCGAGAGGAAGTACTCGCTGACGGAGGTCGGGGAGACTCTGGTCACGGATTCCGACGGGCTTTCTTTTGCCCCGTACATCCTCCAGCACCATCAGGTGGGGCCCATTTCTTTTTCATCCATAATTTTCTTTTGTGCAAATTTTATTAAATTAAAATACAAGTTTTTCATTACAACCACAAAAAATTTAGAAATTGGTCATCCTGTTAAATAATAAGACTGTTTGTTTGTATCTTTTTTAGAATTTTAGGAATTTAGAAGTTGAAAGGTCAGATTTATCTATGTACGGTTTGGACGTGGAATTGTAACCGATTAATTTAATTTAAAATTGGATTATTTTGAGTTAATTGTATCAAATTGATCTGATTGTCAAAAGAAAATTTGGATGGATCAATTTACTTGGGGTCGTTTGGGTGGATCATTTGAAAAATGAAACAATTTGGCCAATTGTCTCGTTTTACAAAACGAGTCATTTAAAATGAGTCACTTCGAATTGTCTGCCACCAGCCCACCACCCAAGACAGTTGTAATTGACTCAAAACGAGTCAATTTGAAATTTTCCAGGCAGAATAAGTTCGTCTAAATTTGGCGAGATTATCTCAAAACGAAACAATTGGGTCAAATTGATTAATTTTGAGTCAAATTTCAATTGTCTGGAGTGTGTGCAGTTATTTCGAAATGACTGATTTCATAAAATGATATAATTGATCAAATTGTCTCTCCTTTTCTAATTCATCCATCCAAATAACATTTTAGATAAAATCAGGTTGGTCCAGTAGAAGTAATGTAAGTATGATCAAATTCTAACTATATTATGAATTCAAATCTTGCACTTGAACTAATCGATTCAGAATGGTCGCGATTGAGCAGGAGGAGCTGATGAGTACATGGTCGCTAATGCACGAGACGGTGACGGACCCGACGACGGATCCGTTCGTGAAGGTGCACGGCGAGGCGCCGTACGATTACTACGGGAAGCGGCCGGAGATGACGGAGCTGATGCGCAAGGCAATGTCCGGCACCAACGCGCCCTTCATGAAAGCCATGTTGGAGGGCGACTATGCTGGTTTCGACGGTGTCAAGAGATTGGTCGACGTCGCCGGGAACAATGGCGATTGCCTACAAATGATCCTCCACAAGTACCCTCACATCGAACAAGGAATCAACTTCGATCTGCCGGAAGTCGTCGGCAAAGCGCCTGAAATTCCCGGTGAGAATAATCACCCACCACTCACAATAGTTGTGTATTTTGGAGACCTCATAAAATACCTTGATTCGTGTCAACTCGACTGAGTACGTGTTTTTAAACGACTGAACAAGTATGTCATCAACCCGTCGTGTGAATTATTTTTGTCTTCATTTGACAGCTTAGCGCGTTGCTTAGTTGAAATCCTATCTAACCCAATTCAATTTGTGGTTATAGATTTTACATAAAATGCAACTCGGTTACCGGGTAAGTAGTCCGGTTAAGCCGAACCGGAATGTTTTCCACCCATACTTGAGAGTTGAGATGACAACCATCCACTAATATGAAAAAGAAAAATAATACATTATTATCATTAATACGTTGATTTTTGCCCCACTATTATTTTCAATAATGCAGTCCGAAAAGGGAAATCCACAATAAAATCTTATGGATGAGAAAAATGGTTGGCTGAAAATGGTGCAGGAGTGACGCATGTGGGTGGAGACATGTTCAAGTCCATACCTAGTGGCGATGCCATCTTCATGAAGGTCAGTTCATCACATTATCCCATATCCCAAATATTCATTTGTAAATAGTTGCCCTAACACTCTATTCAACAATATAAACACGTGCTCACAAAAGAGACATAAACAATTTAGGGCTGGAGGTTCGGTTATCGGTTGCCGGTTAACCGGCCGGTTAAACCAATAACCGGAAATTATATGTGTCGGTCGGTGGTCGGAGCTCCTAATAGGTAATTCGGTTAACCGAGTAACCGAAAACCAGTTATCCGGTTAACCGATAATAACCGACCGACCACCCCCCTCACCAAAATGACGTGAAAATACCCGGTTATGAAGTTTATAACTTTATGTTGTTGAATTTGAGACATTAATTTGGTGATTTAGATGTATTTTCTATGCAAAAGTGATTGAGACTTTACTTTGGGTGTGATTTAGATGTAGAAATGTAAGTTAAAACCTTTCATTTTAGGCGATTCTAATAATTTTACCTAGTTAAAACCGAACCACCATCATTTTTTCGGTTATCTCGGATAACCGACCAACTAACCGATAACCGACCGGTCAGTTATTGGTTAACCGAGGCATTGGCGTCGGTTTGTGTTCGATAGGGGGAGATGGTGGTTCGGTTAACCGATAACCGACCAATCGGTTATCGGTTATAAGTTATAGCCGAACCAAACCGAATCCACCCCTAATAAACATTATAGTCAAATTTCATGTCATGCTAATAATTTTTAAGTTTATCAGTGCATTTCAATAACTCTCATTATTGGAACATATTCAAGAACGAAGTCGATATAATAGTCAAATTTCGTCAATGCATCAAAAAAATAACTCGTCCGTCATCAACTCATGCAGTGGGCTTTGACGGCGTGGACGGAGGAGGAATGCAATAAGATACTGGAAAACTCCTACAAGGCCCTGCCGGAAGGAGGGAAGATGATCGTCATCGAGCCGGTGCTGCCGGAGCAGAGCGACCACAGTCTCAGGACTCGAGCCCTGCTGGAAGCCGACATTTTCATGATGACCATTTACAGGGTCAAGAGCAAGCAGAGGACTGAAGAAGAGTTCAAGCAGCTTGGTCTGGCTGTTGGCTTCTCGAACTTCAAGGCTTTCTACTATGTTGATTACTTCTTCACTCTCATGGAGTTTCAGAAGTAAACAGGCTATTAAAAGAGTGCACATGTTTATGGTACGTACTGAATTTTGGATCCATACACAAGTGTATCAATTACGAGATTGTAAACCTTTATATCAATAGCACTTGTCTATTAGGCTTGTTGAATTCGTATTATTAATAAGACGAGATTCGGAGATCCGTATCGTATTGTACATGAATCAACAAGCTAAATAACAGTATCAGCTCGATGTTGTAGATGTTACGTGTGTGTGGTTAGTGGCGTTCTTTGTCTACGTGTCTAAGGCTCCAATGACATTATCATAATCATTCATCATTATGATGAGAAAACTCAGGAGCAAGTTTTGCTCTTTCAAGCCATTGATCTCCATTGATGAAGGAAACATCCATGAATGGAGCAGCTTCATCTTGGGTCACAAACCATCTCATGCTACATCTAACTCGGAACCGAAAACCCTAAACCAGAGAGACTGCTGAAAATGAACTACTAGACTCACTAGATCAAACTTGATACAATCCTCAACGGGAAGGCAAGCATTATAGCTCACAAGCAGATTCGGCCATCGTATCTTTCACAAGATGGAGATGTCGTCGCGACTTAAAACAAGTTAAGCATGTTAAGAGCTTTGAATACATGGATTGAGCTAAAAATGGAAACAAAGCTTATGTAGGGTGTGCTCTACGTTCCGATACAGGTAGGGAAGGAGTCTCTTAGTAGTCATTGGTCTGGTCAACTATGTACTTTTCCCTCCCCTATATGATCCCTAGTCTATACACTTGAACAAGCCAAGTCAACATACATCCTTAGAATTACCATGAAAAAACTCACTAATAAGCTCATTTCCCTCTTTACAAGATAAAATTAATGATAAGGAACTCACTGCGCATCATTACGAGACCTCCTCTTTACTACTACTTTGGTTAAGAATTCGACTATCGGTGGACGTGACTGGTTTGTGCAGCATCGACGTCCCTTCGAAGCACACCATCTGGCAGAAGTTCTTTCGGTACCTGATTAGCTGCATGGGGGATGGAAGGATTAGAAGAGACACAAGACGTTTCAGCATGGAGGAGGGAGATGGTGAGGTTAATTCGTCCGTACCTGGTCTGGTTCTATCCTCTCGAAACCGAACTTCTGGGTCCATATGGACTTTGCTTCCTCCGCGGCTGGGAGGACAAGGCTCTGAACATTCAAGAGCGACAATAGCTTCTCGATGCAGGAAAATAGCAACTGGAAGTATCCCTGCGGAAAGAAGAGAAACAGTTTTCATCCATAAGAGCCTCTCTTTCTGCCTCAAGGGAATGCATGCATTGCTGAGAGGTCTCACCTTGCCATGGTTAGTTTTGTTAGTCGCAACCAACGGAAGCTCAGCAACTTCTTGCCCAAAAACTCTCAGTATTCCAGCCGACACAACGAAAGAGCTGCAAGGATCAGGGAGGATAAGAAATGGGATTTGTCAGGACTCAAAATCAAACCAAAAAAAGTGGGTTGTTTATGTGAAAAATAACTCAATAAGAATCCCTACTTGACTGTTAGTAGTGCACAATACATTCCACCGTAATCTTGGCCTTTGGAGTTCTTCCTGAGAGAGATGAAGTTTGAAAGCTCATCAGGCTGAAAATCGGAACTGAAGAATGTTATATAAGAACATGTAGAACTTACCCATAGACCATTAAAGGAATCAGATCACGGCCAGTTGTTAAATCTACAATTGGGTCGAAACATTCCTGCCAAACATAAATAAAGAAATTAAGTTAATGGATACAAAATTTCCCCTGGTCATAGTAATTGTTCCATCTGGATATTGTTTCAGCAGAATAAGAACTCAAATATAAGTTGGAACACGCACATTTCTTCCCTCTAACTTCGAAGAACTAGTCATGCACTTAACAATTTTAAGAGCCGATACCTGAAAGATTGCCAGGGCTTGAGACAACAGCAACTTATTTTCAGGAGAAGCAAATTTTCCACTGACCACTCGCCATCTCACATCAATATTCTCAGCGGCTCCCAATCCTTTCTCCACGTACTTATTCTTCATTACGTTCAAAACAGAGTCTTGGAGTTTCTCAGCACCATGACTTAACAACTTCTGTAGAGAAGAATGAATGCTGCTGCACCCCGAGCAACAAAACCATTCTCCTTTCGGCAATTCCTGTCAAGAAACATAAGCACGAATATTCAGATTTTCAGGAGAACAGAATACCATTATACAACAGATAAGAGCGGACAAAACAATGTGATTTAGATGTTGCACCTTTAGATTAGCCACTTTGTGACTCCTCAAACAGCCAACATGAAATTCCTTCTCACACTGAATAACACAAAAAAGAAAGTTAAAAACAGTAGAGCAGAAAAAAAGGAAGCCATTTTCATGGACCTTTTCCATATTCATCAAAGGAACTTAGGCAAGGAAAAAGAGATTGTAAAGTAAACTACCTGATCACAAATTATGATCGTGCGTGGACCAAACCCTGATCTGCTGAAATCATAACCTCTGCAAAAAATCGAAATTTGCATATTCTGAGGCACATATCAACCATCAAACTAGTAGTGTGCAGCAATTGTAATTCAGAACTAGTCCACAGTGGTTCTATACCTGCATAACACACATCCACTAAGATCAGCTTCTATGTTTTTCACAATACGAATGCATCTCTGCGCTATTTCTTCTATTGGATCAGCTCCAGGTATCCTTCCAGCAGCAACGGCATTGGCTTTATGCTCAGCAAACTTTTCCTTCTCAAACATGTTCTGGCAGTAATGGCAATACCAGTCACCACGGGGAATATTCGACAAAGATGCACAGTCTACATAAAGCCAAAAAATTCAATCGTTAATCAAGATTGAGAAAAAGGTGTAGACACAGGATTGACAAGGTGGAAAATAAATTTACATTCTCATAGAAGTTTTGCACTTTACTTTTATGAAAGGCCCGAGGGCATCCATCACAAAGCACCAGATTCCCACCATCTGCACATATAATGCAGAGGTCATCATTGTCCTTGGCAGAGTACTTGCGACGCATGGAGAGAGATATCGCCAGTTCATGGAGAGACACGCCATTTGATGTGTAAATGTATGCATATCTGCCAAGAAAGCCAAAAAAGCCTTCAGCATGAGTAGGATTAAAATTATTAGAATATTAAAAGCTTGTATATTAAGAATAAAGCTTACGGTTTCTTCCGAGCAGCCCAGCCGGCATGGCTTTCAAATAATGATGGGCTGACCTGCACGTTCAGAATGAAATATGTTAGGCATTTCTCTCCATGCCTAAGAAACAACAAAGCCATCAAAGCCCACTATTACCTCAGTATTACAACATTGACAGAGTATTCCAAAGCCCCTCTTATAGCCAGCTAGCAATTTCTGTACAGAATAGTAGCTCGTATAAATTTACGCGGTTATAAGGTAGGATGTATCTAAACAAGCTAAGTGATGAGCATACTGACCCGGCCACGTGCGTAGTATCCCACTTCGGTTCCATCAGGCAATCCATCCTCCTCAAAGACCAGTCTGTGCAACCGCTGATCTCTAGACAAAGAATAATCCAAGAGATTAGCTTCTAGTTCCTGTACAAGCTTTCTGGGTACTTCTAATTAATATAAAGGAGACTATAATAATGAAATATTATAATAAGACAAGAACCACCCAAGAAAGAATGAAAACTAAGAATAGGTTATCACTCAACTGATACTATAAAGTTTTGAGCTATTGATCTTTAGAAGACCACAGATTCCTATTAACAAGTGCCCTTTTATACATAAGGTACAACGAGAAGTATAAGAAAGAAACAAATTAAGAAGAAAGGAAAGATTTAGTTACCCAGAAAAACAAAGAAAGAAAGGGTGGAAATGAAACGGAAGAAAGGACATAGATGAATATAGAGACCCAGCAAATCAGTGTGAAATGTACAAACCTCATTGAGATCTTCTGTTGCTCCTTATTAGTTGACAACGAAGTATTTCTGGAGTGCTTTCCAGCCAATTCCCGCATCAACTTCCTAAGTTATACAAGAAGAGTTCATGGAAATGTCAAAGCAAGAACATAACAAGAAGACCACAGATTGAGGGGACCCCTGTAATCAGACCCATATCTTTTAGTAACAGACAACGATTAGAACTCAGTACATGACTTGAATAGGAACATCAAAGCAAGAAACCAACTTTGGAGTTATCTTCAATTGGCTCTTCTTTGTTGAAGCCATGCGAGCAGGGGTAGTCATGGATCTCACTGCTTTTGATTTTGAGCCTGATACTCTGGAAGATACCCCAAAAAGTAAGAATGGAATATCATGCACCACAAACTAGTGAAATAATATCGAAAGAAAATAAATGCAAGCAAGTTAATGATAGTCCATCCATATATGCATTTAGAAAGGAGGACAAGGCCAGTAATAGACTGACACAAGGCCAGTAACAAAAGAAGAAAAAGGTGTCCTAAACCACTTATGTAAAACAAGAGAACATAGAAACATAAAATAAAAGGCTACCAACTTTCTTTTCCTCTTGCGTGGAGTGATTTCTTGTGAGGGTGTAGTAATTAGCATACTTCTAGAAGACTCTGAGTTCAGAACAGGTTCAGCCGAGCTGAAATAACACATAACACAAATAAAAGGATATTGAGAATGAAGTTCCAGGATCATATTTCCTTCAGTTACAAATTTAGTAAAACAAAAGATTATGCCGAAAGAACAAAAAATCTGAAAAGAGATCATTTCTATCCTTTACAAATTTTAGTTGAAGGCAGCCATAACAGATCATTCTATCCGAGTTTGGTCAACAGGATTGAAGACACTGAGTTAATTGGTTATCGGTTATTTAATTGCCTAACCATCTCACAACTTATAGCCTATGTACTTTGGAACCCTCATATGTTCTGATTATTATGTTCTTCCACAAACCATCACGACTTTATTTCGTAATGATGCTATTCAGGGGGTTTATACTACCTTTATCACTTAATAGTCTTTATATAATTTTTCCACATAAGGATTCATTATGCGAAAACAATTTACTAACACCTATTTAAATCAAGGTCAGGGGATCACTACTCAGCCCATCATCTACAAGCAACTGTCTCCTGAATGTGAAGCTTCATCAGCTATCACCCTACAGAAATCTAACACCATCTTAACAAGTTACCAGACTTTCCAAATGGACATCAAATGAAGGAAGACTAACAACTCATCAGAAACTCAAGTACAGAGAAAAAAATGTAACTGGTGATAGAAAGAACTTGCGTACCTAGATCTCTTACTCTTTTTGCAATTTGGGATGGCATGAGATGCCTTTGTGTCTGTGCATGAACTACAGAGTGGCCCTACTTTACCAACACAAGCAGAGGGGAAAGTACCTAGAGCATCAGCAAAATTGAATCAAAGTAATTAGTCCAACACCCTCTGTAAACACTAAATACTTCACTCTGCTGACATTTATATATATATATATATATATAAAAAGATCAAGACTAAATGCACCTTTACATCTTTTACAAGTGAAAGTTCTCTCTACAGGGCTACCACTAATGGCTTCTTGAATGGTTGCTTCTAATGAATCAAGAGGAGAATATCTGCATGCATTCAACACATCAAGCAGGCTCTTCCCGTTCTCAAAACAAATATATTGAGATGCCCTCCTGTATTGGTTGATGGCATGTATCTCAAATTGGGAAGGTGGAATAACCTATCATTGTTAAAAAACAAACAGAAACAACATAAACTCCATAAGATCCCATCCCGTTCAAAAAACTATTAACTGCAACAGAGAAAATTTCTACTTACTGTGACCCCATTGCAAATAGAGCAGAAGCATAGAATCCCCAGATCCTTAATTGTCCCCCTTAGTTCAAATGCCTCAAACTAAAATGTCCAAGCAGGCCAACAACAGGGAAAAAGACATAAGTCACAGCCCAAACAGAAACGGAGAATCCAACCAAGCAACGTAAACCAGTAGGTTATACCAAAGAATGCAAACCTTCTTGCCACCCATGTAAACAACTGGCACTCCCTCGAGAAACCCAGTCTCAAAGAGCTCCTTCACCGTCATCGGCAGACTCTGCGGGGCAATCTTCTTCGACATTTTCAGTTCCAAATTCTTCTTAGGCGGCGCTACTGCACTCCCTTCCATTCCGGCACCAATCGCCTCAACATTTATCGTCGAGACCGATCCGCTGCCTACGGATTCCAATCCACGCACCTCGACTTCTACCGTCTCTTCTACCTTACGTTTCTTGATAAACGAACGCTTAAACCTCCTTATCTTGTTGTTCGTCTTCATCTTTTTTCCTTTACTAACATAGATCCGCACGCTGCCGTTCGCCGCAGCTCCCTCAACCGTCGACTCGCTCGGTTCATCTTTCCCCGCCAACGTTCCTCCATTATCGCACCTACCTCGCTCTCCATTCTCACTCTCAACTTCCACAATCTCCACCTCCCGTTTCTCTCCAGCCGAGCACTTAATCCTCTTGCTACTCCGAGCTCCCTCATCCGTCATCCCATCACACTCCTCGGCTCTAATCTTCCTAACACGAGAATAAACGAAGAAACCGTTTACCTTAGCAGCGCCGAACCCCTTGCAGCCGACTTCCGTGAGCTCAGTCGCCGAGCTCGAACGCTGCGCGAGCCAAGTAGTAGCTGAAGTAGTCACAGCGGCGGCAGCCAGCTGAGACTGAAGCAGCTCCGATGAATCAGCTAGCGCCATTCCTCGACTCGCCCGCCCGCTCTTAATCGGTCCGAATCGTGGCGAGAACTGGAATTGGGGCTCGAAGCATCGAATCCGAGACGGATTCCCCTAGGGTGTGACGGGAGGAAGCGTGCCGACGGTTAGACGGACGGCGACCGGAGGAGGAGCAGCGAATCGGAAGAGTCAGAGATGGAGGAGTGAGTAAGAGCTTTGATGCATTTCCACGGAGCTCTTCGTTTGAATTTTTTTTGTTTTGAATTTTTCTTTCCTTTTTTTAACAGATAAGTGGAGACAGTCAGACCGAGACGAACTGACGAAAATGGTGACGGAGTGGAGAAGGTGAGATGCTGATGGCGTAGTAATGGAGGCAGTGGCAAGGTGCTGTAAATATATACTGCTTTCAGTGTTTTTCTGTAATTACCTGTAACCATTGGGCTGGTGGCCGTGTACTGCGGCCTGCTAAGTCGGGTTTGTCCTAAATTGGAGAGACGGAAGTCCACAATAAAGTCAATCTGGTGGGAAATCCAGTGGACTTTTTAATTGGGCTCGCCAGAACGACCCAATACAGCTTCATTCTATATTTCTATTGTCTCGCGTACACAATGGTTGTGGGCTTATGCGCCAGCCAGGACGGCCCAATACTGTATTATTTTTTTTTTTTTTTTGATGGTCACCTGTATTCCAATAACTCAGAAACTCAGTTCGGCCCAAAGCTGGCCTGGCCCAAATCGGCCTGTAACAAAAGTAGGAGAGAAGTGGGGGGATTATCAACCCACACAAATTGCCTATCCCAGCAGAAGCAAGAGTGTGCCAGCCAGTGGGCTATAGAGTTGTTCTTTCTATGTGTATAACCCCATCTCGTCGATACTCCCGAGAGAACCTCATTTGCCTTCGCCAATTTCTTAATTTCCTCGCACCAGATGCCCAGCTCGGTAGTGTCATTCTCCTCCTTCTCGAGTTTGTGGATAAGCCTCAGACAGTCTGTTTCCACAATGAAAGGACTCAAACCTCGCCTGTTTGCTTCCCTGATCCCCATAATAATTGCTTTCGCCTCGGCTTCAATGGGTCTGCAGATCCCCCGTTCCTTCTTCGCTGTAGCCCCACAAAAGTTGCCACTCGAGTCCCTGATTACACAACCAAACCCCACTCCCTGCTGACCGAGCAATCCAGCGTCTGAATTCATCTTGAAAACTCCGATCGGGGGAGGAGTCCAGCCTTCACGCCTATCAATTTGACTATCATCACCAGAAATGGGAGGAGGAGGGTGGGCATCGAGAAAAGATTGCAACCAGCCCAGAGCTTTGGGTATAACCATTTCTTCGTCGATCTTGGCATTGTTAAACAGGTGGTTGCACCTCTCCTTCCACAGGTACCAAAGCACCACACTGAATTTCTGGATTAAGTCATTCGGGCATTTCCCCCAAACCTCTTTGAGCCATTCATAGCTTGATTTTCCCTCACCCAATTCAAATAATTGCTTTCCTTCCCAGGCCTGCCATCGACGACGGATCCAACTGCACTCCCGCAGAGCATGAGTCTGGGTTTCAGGGAGCCCGCAGAAGGGGCATTCAGTGCTCGCATCGTCCATCCACTCAACCAAATTGCGGCCCACCGGTAAGATCCCCCTGCCAACTTTCCATAGAAACTGTCGAATCTTAGGAGGGATGTGAGTCTTCCAGAGGGTCTTCCAGAAATCCAAATCATCCATAGAGAGATTCAGCGAATAGATTGTGTTGCCTTGATTTTCTCGAATCCTGCTATATGCAGACTTAACAGAGTATTTCCCATCATCGGTATCAGTCCAAACTTTCTCATCCCTGTTCAGGGGATATCTTAAAGGTATTTTCGAAATCAGCTCACAATCCCGTTTGGAAAACTTTTCCTTTAACAATCTCTCATCCCAGCATCCACTATCTTCGATGATCAGTGATGATACCTTCTCCTCCGAGTCCACCCCTCCTGGCTGCGGATCCGCAAAGAAATAGGTTTTGCCTGGGATCCAGGCATCATCCCAAATCCTAATCAACTTCCCATCCCCCACACGCCATCTAAATCCCTCCACTATTTTATCCTTGGCAGCCATAATGCTCCTCCAGATGAAACTTGGATTATAGCCAGTTTTTGCATTGAGAATATCCGACTTTGGGAAATAGCTCGCTTTCAGGGTTCTGGTCAGCAGTGAGTTTGGTTGACTGATAATCTTCCATACTTGTCTTCCGAGCATAGCCAGGTTGAAAGAGCGAAGATCCCTAAAACCCATCCCTCCATACTCTTTCTCCTCGCATAGATCCTCCCAGCTTAACCAATGAAGCTTTCTTTCCTTCCCCTTTTGACCCCACCAGAAGTTAGAGATCAAACTCTGAATCTCCTTTAAAGTTCCTTCCGGGATTAGAAAAACCGCCATAGGGTAAAGAAACTGGGCTTGGGCTACCGCTTTTATCATTATCTCTTTCCCAGCTTGGGATAGCGTCCTGATTTTCCAGTCTTTCAGCTTCTTACGAACTTTCTCCTTGATATCTTCAAACATCTCCTTCTTCGATCTTCCTACAACGGTAGGCAGGCCTAGATATTTAGGATGTTTAGTCACCTCCTTGATTTTCAATGTACCACCAATCTCTAGTCTCCTGCTTGTCTTCACATTAGTACTGAAAGAGATTTCAGATTTGTTATAATTGATAAGCTGCCCTGACTCCTCTTCATAACATTTCAGAATCCCTTTAAGGGTATCACATTCACTTAACACTGCTCTTCCGAAGACCAAACTATCATCAGCAAATAGGAGATGGGAAATAGTTGGAGCCTTCTTTCTAATCTGGATCCCATTGAGTTGACCTTCCTTTTCTGCTTTCTTAATCAGAGCAGACAGACCCTCGGCACACAAGAGAAACAGATAGGGGGAAAGGGGATCCCCTTGTCGTAGGCCTCTAGATGGAATAAAACAGTCTGTTTTGTGACCATTAACAAGCACCGAGTAGGAAACACTAGTTACACAACTCATAATAATATTAACCCATCTTCCATCGAACCCCAGCTTTCTCATAACCTTCTCCAGAAAACTCCATTCGACTCGGTCATAAGCCTTAGCCATATCGAGTTTTGCCGCAAAATACCCATCCTTCGCCTTTTTTCTGTTCTTCATAAACTGAAAACATTCGAAAGCAATAATAACATTATCAGTAATGCATCTTCTAGGCACAAAAGCACTCTGTTCCTCAGAAATGATGTCATTGAGGATAACCTTTAATCTGTTGGCCAACACCTTCGAAATAATCTTGTAGATTACTCTGCACAAACTAATGGGTCGAAACTCCTTAGCTGTCGAGGGAGACTTCACCTTAGGAATAAGGGCAATAAGGGTATGATTAAACTCAGGGGGCATTATACCAGAATTTAAGAAATTTAGAACAGTCTCAGTTACCTTAGGCCCTATAGCATTCCAGTTTTTCTGATAGAAACCCGCTGAGAAGCCATCAGACCCCGGAGCCTTATTAGGAGCCATTTGATCAAGGGCCAGCTTTACCTCATCCGGCTTAAAAGGTCTCAACAATTGTTCATTCATGCCAGGGGTAATTTTCTGCTCTAGAGCTTGGATTACTTTATCAGAATCTGGGACAGATCCCTTTTTGAATAAAGTCTGGTAATAATCAGAGAGACAGCTCATCACTTCCTTCTGTCCTTTATAGATTCTCCCCCCATCATCTTGAAGCATCCTTATAGTATTTCTTTTCCTTCTAGCAGAGGCTTTTGTATGAAAAAATTTTGAGTTTTTGTCCCCTCCCTTTAGCCAATCCATTCTCGACCTTTGCTTCCAGAACAGTTCTTCTTGGTAGATCAATTCAGCTCTTTCAGCTTCAAGAGCTCTTCTTTGTTCCAAAACAATCCTAGTCTTTGGTTTATACTTGAAAGAACTTAACAAGCCTTCAACTCTTTCAATCTTCCTTCTTATATCCCCAGATTTCTGTCTACTCCACTTTAACAAGTCAGCTTTGCAGATGTTTAATATGTCCGAAAGACCAGCCCCTGCATTAGCTTCACAAGTCTTCTTGATAATCTCGGCACATTCTGGATCTTGCAACCATAGGGGTTCCACCTTAAAATACCAGCCCCATCTGATCTCTTCTTCCTCCTTTCCAGCTGTTGTCAGCAGAATTGGACAGTGATCCGAACCACACCAATCAAGATGGGAAACTTTGTGGTTAGGATAGTTCAACTTCCAGTCCCAATTTGCCACACATCGGTCCAATCTTTCCTCAATATAGTTCTCATTTTCCCTGCTATTCTCCCACGTGAAGGGGTAGCCCTCGTAACCACAATCTAAAAGACCACAGAATTCCAGAGCCTCCCTAAATTCTAACGCATTAGTCTCATCAATAGGGTTTCCACCTCTTTTTTCTTCTCCAGATAGGATCTGATTAAAATCCCCCATGCACACCCATGGGAGGTTACATCCATTTCTCATGCTACGGAGCAGGTCCCATGATTTAAACCTCTCCCCTCTCTTAGCCCAACCATAGAAACCCGAGAATCTCCAATGCTCTTCCTCGTCGCTAGAGGTAATGCTAACGTCGATATGATGGAGGGATGTGTCCAGTTTTGTAACCAAGATATCATCAGCCCAAAGCAAACACAAACCACCTGCCTTCCAACCCCTTTCGTTACAAGCTGCCACTCCAATGCCTCCCGAGTAACCAAGTTCTTTCTGTATTTCTCTCCACCCTTTCTCATCCTTTCTAGTTTCCATAAGAAAAATAACATGAGGTTTAACCCCCCTGACCAGCCTTTTGAGTTTAGCAACTGCCGAGGTGCTGCCCAAACCTCGACAGTTGTAACTTAGGATTTTCATTAGGCTCGGCGGCCTTGCTCCTCGGCAAGGTCCGCCACTTCGCCATCCTCATCGTTAATGGTAATTCCTCTAGGTCGTTTTTCAACAACAGGTATCTCATCCACATCCATAGCCTCTGGTGCCCCTCTTTTCCCCATAGCTGATTGAATCTGGTCTTGCTCTCCATTAGCGGGATGTTTCCTGGCCAGTCTCATCCATTTCCTTCTGTCGACACCCTTTTGCCCCATTTGAAAACTTAACTGAGGGAGGTGACCCTGCTCCCCCTGTTCACTGTCAACCCTTCTATCCTCCTTTTCATTTGCTTCAGCCTGTTCAGTTGTTGGTAGATCAAGAACTGAGTCTTTCCCTTTGTTATCGTTCTTTTGGGACTCCTCTCTATCTTTGTCCTTTACTCTGGCTTCCCGCGTTTCCCTTGATAGATCCTCATAAACACAGAGGGCTTTATCTGCTACAATAGTCTCCTTAGCCATCTTTTCTTTTTCACTCTTTGCTGCTTTAACCTCTTCCCACAGTTTAGTTAGGCGCTGCTGCTTGCCCTTTTCTTCAAGCGGTATTTTCCTTAGAGGGGAATCGGCTCGGAGCCAGGGACCATAAGGGTCTTCATCCTTACCATTTGGATCCATTCCATTAGTACAGGACTTCTTTAGGTGTCCGAAAATTCCGCACCTGAAGCAGTAGATAGGCAGACGTTCATATCCCACCCTGAATGAAGCCTGACCTTCTGCACCTTGCAATTTGACCACCCTTCTCAATGGTTTAGTAATCGACAATGACACCCGGATCCTCATGTAATCACTGCTAACACTAGAGTGAAGTTCGTCCCATCGGATCAGGGCCCCAAACATATTTCCAATTCTCTTTGCCATTTGGTCGTTCCTCAGCTTTAAGGGAAGTTTTCTGATACGTATCCAAAAATCTGCTGTAGAGAAATCGATCCGTTCGAGATCTAAGTCTGGAGGGATCTCTTTGAAAATAAGAAGTTGTCGCTCCAAGTGCCAAGGTCCCCCATACAAGATCTTATTCTTGTCTTCATAACAGTAAAGCTGAATTCTAAGAATGTTGCTTTTAGTAACCTGGACATCGAACTCTCTTCTTAACTTCCAAGCTTCACTTAATATTCTTTTCAGGATTTTCTCGGAGGGGAACCTACCAGAGACAACCTTTCCTGCCACTCCCAGCTCTTTAATCGCCTCTTCAACTCCTTCACTCGTAACAGACTCATCGATACAGATGAGAGCCTCTTCATCTTCTGTCAAGTCTATACCGGAAAGCTTCTCAACAATCTCCTCCGCCATTGACACTCCTGAGTAAAGACCAGAGCCCGAGGAATCCACTACACAGAGTAGGCCAGGAGGAGGAGAATCAAGCGAAGAACATCAGAAAATGAGACAGAGATCAGCGCTGCCAGACCGTCGGGCTGCGCGGGAATATGAAACGTCACACTATTCAAAAGAGATGAAACGAGAGCTCTCCAGGGACGAGAGAAAAAACCCTGTAAACATAATCACCCAATACTGTATTATTATTCATATAAAAATACATGTATTATTATTATTAGTTTATAAAAATACAAATGTACCGTTAGGTGACATTCTGAGATTACTCGTCATGAGGAGGAATTAGTCTAATACACGGAGAGAAAATTTTAAGTGAAATTTCCAAATATGGACTTAATTTGAGGAAATTATACATTTTGAAGCACCAAAATTTTGTTATCTGAACAACAATACCGTTAAAGATGACAAATTTGAACTCACAATGTGTTTCCATATATTTCAAATCCAACCTTTTCTATGTTTTTTTGCTACTTATTTACAATGAGCATGAGATAAAAATGAGGGCGATATATTGTGTTCATTCTTTTCTCCTTCTCGATTCGTTTTGATTCGATTTCCTCTAATAGTTTTACGTATTTGTGTTTCCATATATTTCAAATCCAACCTTTTCTATGTTTTTTTGCTACTTATTTACAATGAGCATGAGATAAAAATGAGGGTGATATGTTGTGTTCATTCTTTTCTCCTTCTCGATTCATTTTGATTTGATTTCCCTCTAATAGTTTTACGTATTTGTGTTTCCATATATTTCAAATCCAACCTTTCCTATGTTTTTTTGCTACTTATTTACAATGAGCATGAGATAAAAATGAGGGTGATATGTTGTGTTCATTCTTTTTTCCTTCTCGATTCGTTTTGATTCGATTTCCTCTAATAGTTTTACGTATTTGTGTATATTTGCAAATATCTTTGAGTTGTCATCCAATCTGCACCTAAAAATTATTTACAAAATCCATTCAATTTAGTATGTATATAATTAGTTTCATTTTAATTGGGTTAGATATAAATAATGATGTATGACCGTATATCTAACTTTATGTATTCGAATAACCTATAAAACAAAAACACAAAAGCACTAACAACAGAAACCCAAAACACAAAAGTAGAATAATGGAATATTCGAACGAACATTTGGCCACAAGCCACAAGGCCTACAAGAGGTAAATAGAAACGCCAAAGGTAATACACAAGCTCAGAAGATCGTGGGCAGTTATTGCAATGAGAGAGCATAAACAATGCTCATACATAGGAAGAAAGAAAACAGAGCTTCATCAACATAATATAGCTAACAAACGTAATAACAACAGTAGTTAGAATAATAATCTGCATTGCAGTAGCAGCAGCACAAATATTTCAGTTAAATTTTCGGATTCGCCCTTGTCGGTTTCAGATCTGGTTGTTAGTGGAACTAGTGTTGACGGTAGTGTTGCAATTATCAGATCCACCAGATCTGAAACCGACAAGGGCGAATCCGAAAATTTAACTGAAATATTTGTGATGCTACTGCTGCAATGCAGATTATTATTCTTACTACTGTTGTTATTACGTTTGTTAGCTATATTATGTTGATGAACCTTTGTTTTCTTTCTTCCTATGTATGAGCATTGTTTATGCTCTCTCATTGCAATAACTGCCCACGATCTTCTGAGCTTGTGTATTACCTTTGGCGTTTCTATTTACCTCTTGTAGGCCTTGTGGCTTGTGGCCAAATGTTCGTTCGAATGTTCCATTATTCTACTTTTGTGTTTTGGATTTCTGTTGTTAGTGCTTTTGTGTTTTTATTTTATAGGTATCTCTAATACATAAAGTTAGATATACGGTCATACATCATTATTTATATCTAACCCAATTAAAATGAAACTAATTATATACATACTAAATTGAATGGATTTTGTAAATAATTTTTAGGTGCAGATTGGATGACAACCCAAAGATATTTGCAAATATACAAAAATGCGTAAAACTATTAGAGGAAATCGAATCAAAACGAATCGAGAAGGAAAAAAGAATGAACACAACATATCACCCTCATTTTTATCTCGTGCTCATTGTAAATAAGTAGCAAAAAAACATAGGAAAGGTTGGATTTGAAATATATGGAAACACAAATACGTAAAACTATTAGAGGAAATCGAATCAAAACGAATCGAGAAGGAGAAAAGAATTAACACAACATATCACCCTCATTTTTATCTCATGCTCATTGTAAATAAGTAGCAAAAAAACATATAAAAGGTTGGATTTGAAATATATGGAAACACATTGCGAGTTCAAATTTGTCATCTTTAACGGTATTGTTGTTCAGATAACAAAATTTTGGTGCTTCAAAATGTATAATTTCCTCAAATTATGGTGGCGTATGGTTCCATTTTTTGAAATTGAATGAGGGGCAGTTGCACTACATGGAGGATGCGAAGGCAAATTTTCAACCAAGCGACCACAACACCACGACTTTTCTGGACAATAAGTTCTACTTCCTGGATAAGAAGAGAAAACTAGGTGTTTTTAGTTGTCGTCGTGGCGTTGATGGGCTATACGAATGGGAACGCGACGTGTACCCGTGGAAGCTCCTACCCCCATCATGCCGAGAGCATTATCGTGGATTCTCATGAGGACCGTAAATTTAAGAGGGAGTATCTAGTGGAATGTGGAGGTGAAATCATGTCTATACTAGTGGGTGATCTCGGCAAGTCGATTCTAGTTTACCGGTTTGATCGACAGAAGAAGGGTTGGTGAAGAGTCAAGAGCTTGGGATTGAACATGGTGTTTCTGAGCAACACTTCACGTTCCTCGACTATGGCAAAAATTCGAGGAATGGAAAACAAAATATACTTCCCTAGACGTTCAGCCAAAGGAAGCATTGTGTTTTATTCGCTAGATACGCGTAAATATCACACGTTGGACTACGATGATGAAGCAATGGAAGACTTCCTACCTACTAGTGAAGTGCACATTTGTGGTTGGATAGAACATAAAGGCCATGAGTGAAAGAAGTAGTGATTGTTGAAGATTTAGTATTATAATAACATATTTTGGTTTATTGTTTTCCCTACATTATATGTAATTTTTATACACATATGTCACCGTTGCACTCTAGTTCCTATGATAATTAAGTGAAATAAATTATTAATTTTGGATTTTTTAAATGGTCCGATAATACATCATGTTTATTATTTTAAAGGATTTATTGCAAGATTGATCACTGTGATTATTGAAAGGAGATTGCTAATTGTCGCACTAAGTTTATTATAATCGCCCTATATTAAAAATTAAAATCACCTTTTTATCCTTATATCATTTTTATTTTTAGGATATATTTTATTCAAACACCATATATAAGTGTTTGGAAGAAGAAAAAAACACCATATATAAGTAAGAGGTTCTGATTGTTGTGATATGTCTTAAACAATCTTCTCGTTGAGAAACTGCTCGGCGAAGAGCGGCCACGTTACCATGGGAACCCCGGCGCAGATCACCTCCACGGTGGATTTCCACCAGTGAGTCAAGAACCCGCCGACGACCACGTGGGACAGGATCAAAACCTGCGGGGCCCACCCTTTAAGGACCAACCCCCGTCCTTTGACTCGCTCCTCGAATCCAGAGCCCACCAGCCAGTCGTCCAGCTGGGCGGGCCGGCGGTCGGTCTTTGCGGCCCATACGAATACCTTACCCGAGGCTTACAGGCCCAGACCCAATTCTATCAATTAGGACGCCAGCAGAGAGATGAGTCTTATGGCTCGTATCTTCAAAGCACTCAACAAGGAGAAACAAGACATCCCGTGAAACACAATGCTGTGGGAGTGGGAAGAGTGTTCGAGTGGGTTTCTAGTAAGGATGGGAAGTAAATTGATTCACTCACGATCTGGTCCAATAAATTACGATTTTGATCATATTAGATCAACAACTTAAAACATTCCATAATACAAATCACGCTCAAAATCAAATCATATTTAACGATCTAGGGTCTGGATTGTATGATATGGTTTTATGCACAATGATAGCCTTAAATCATAAAATCCCCCATCATCCGTCACTCCAATACAACGCGACCAAACATATACTTCAAATGACATTGTTCCTGGTCTTAAATGTAATAGACTAATAGTCAATCGTCTTCGTTAGGGATGACAACTTTACCCATACCCATGGGTTTCTTACTATCCAACCCAATTGGGTTGGGTATGAAATCCAAATAGATGGATATGGGTAGAGTTTGATGGGTTTATACCCATACCCATTTACTTTGGGTTGAGTTGGGTTTATATCAAATGGATTTGGGTTTGTACCCATGTCCAAATACAAATTACAGTTTGGTACCCAAACTTAATAGACATGCATATTTAGTACCTAAATTTAATTTTTTTTGCATATAAATCCTCAAAATATCGATGGAAAATTACGTTTTGATACCTAAATTTTTTTGGTCTTACATTTTGGTACCTAAACTTTTCAAGTTTTGCAAATAGGTCCAATTTTTGCATGTGTAGTTAAAACACCCTCAAGTAAAAATGGATATCCATATCCAACCCATACCCATTTAGATTATGGAAGCCCCAAACCCATCTATAAACCCCCAAATCCATATGCACTTCACCCATACCCAACCCATTATCAATGGGTCTACTTGGGTTTGGGTATAATTACCCATGGGTGGGTAATTTGCCATCCCTAGTCTTCGTCATATCGTTTTTCAATGCTCGATTACCATAAGATCTATATTTTGTAACCTCAACATCACTTCGGCACTTCCCACCCATGAGATACACGTAACAACTCTACAAGTGATGATATTGGCAACTTAATTAGGGGGTGAAATCTCATTATTAGAAAGCCACATAGTCATCACCACCATCGTCCGTGTTTCATCCTGAGCAAGTAAACTGTCCGACAAAACTGATAAGAAGACTAGATCAATAGCCTGTCTCTGTTCCCACATATCCCACCGAGCCGGAGATTAGAATGTGATAAATTGGGTTGATACAGAAACCTAGCTAATGGTTTCTGTTGGAATAATTGGGTGGTTGGGATATAGGATAAGCCGATAAGATCCTATACGTTTACATGCATTACACAGAGCCGATAATAGCAACCATACATCCCAAGATTTCTAAATCCGTCACTCGTTATGGTGGGCGCAACGAATTATGCATTATTGTGCCCATAATTTGCTCTTGTGTGGTGCGGGCAACTATTGCTTCCATCAGCTTGTCGTGTCGTCGGCGATTCCCTCCAATCATGCATTGGCGTTTCAGCTGCTTTTACATGATTTCTCTCCAGACAGCTCGGGCCTCACGATCAAAGCTTGGCCCTCATGATCCCACCAACTGTTTCCACGTTGTTCTCATTTCGCTCTCATCTTGAGAAGCAAACTTCGCCACGTCCTCAATCAACATCCCGACGCCGGCAAACGACGACCCTCCTTCCGCCACCGCAACCCTCGCCATCTCCATCAGCTCCGCCGCCTTCCTCCTCCTCTCCACACTCCCATCTCCGCCGCCCATCAGCTCCTCCACCGCCGCCGCAATCCTCTCCTTCCCCACCTGAACCCCGTGCTTCTCCTCCTCCCCCAAGTGGACCACCACCTCCGCCCCGACCCGGACCCCGATCCCCAGCACCTGGACCACCAGCTTCTCGTTGTAGAACTGCTCCGCGAACTGCGGCCACGTCGCCATCGGCACCCCGGCGGCGATCCCTTCCAGCGTCGAATTCCACCCGCAGTGCGTCAGAAACCCGCCGATCGCCGGGTGAGACAGAATCAAAACCTGTGGGGCCCAGCCTCGAATCAGAAAACCTCTGCCCCTGACTCTGTTTTCAAATCCGGTCTCGGAAATCCAATTCTCGATCTCTTCCTTCTTGTAGCCGCCTCGAATCACCCAAATAAACGGCCGATTCGTCGATTCGAGTCCGGATCCGAGTTCCGCCGCCTGCGGCGGCGTAATCCGATTCAAACTCCCGAGGCAGGCGTAGATTACAGACTTCTCCGGCCACGAATCCAGCCACCGGAGGCAGAGTGACTCATCGCCACCGCCGTTATTAACAACCGTTTTCCCTCTTTCCGCCCTGTCCACGTCATCCGTGTTGCATAGCGACGCGGGGCCCACGCACCAGATCTTTCTCGTGCCTCCCCGAGTTTTACGGCATTCCGCCACGTACTCATTCTCCAGCTCCTCGAATGTGTTCAACACGACGCCGTACGCTCGGTCCACGGACTCCCTTATCTTTTCCCGGATCTCGCTGACGTCTAAGTGGGCCCCCGGGTTGAACAGGCCCGAGAGCTGGGCCCGTGTGAACTCGACCCGGTGGGGCAGCCCGGGGACGACGAACCGCTCCGACTCCGGGATCCCCTCGTGGATTTTGGAGGTCTGGAGGCTGTGGGAGCAGCAGAGCGTGAAGCAGCTGGTGCCGTCGAAGATCAGCCGCGGGATCCGGCGCCGGGCGGCGACCTCGGTGGCCCAGTGCATGGCCTGGGAGGCGATGATGCAGCTAGGGGGCGGGTCGACCCGGTCGAGGAGCTCGGATGCGGGCTGCTCCAGGGTCCGCACCGCGTCGGAGAAGTTGCGGAAGAGGTTGAAGGAAGGGAGGACGTCGCGGTTCTCGCAGCCGGCCGGAAGACTGAACCGGGCGGCGGGGAATTCGAGGGTGAGGACGCGGATGGGGAGCCCGGCGGCGGCGACGGCGCGGTCAACGATGGGGGCGAATCGGGCGGCATTGACGGGTGTGGTGATTATGGTGACGATGGAGCCCCGACCCGCGAGGATTTTGGCCAGGTCGATGGTGGGAATCAGCTGGCCTTGGCTGAGGTATGGGATCAAAATGAAGTGAGGCTGCTGACTGGTGGAAGCCATTTTTTTTGTTTTTTAGTTTTGGGGGGTTTTAAAGGAGAAAAATGGAGAGTTGAGATTTTGGGGATCATAATAAGGATGGAAGTGCTTAAATTGTGTTTATAGGGCAAGGGCCAGGTGAATCTGAATTGTGGGAATCTTATCTTGTAATATTTGGGGGGTGGGGGGAGTTTCTTCTTCTTAGGTTTGTGTCATTTGTTCAATCATTGTTTGGGTTTTTTTTTTTTTTTTTTTTGTCTTTGGGATGGGCATGTATTATTTTGGTTTTGTGTCATTTCCAAATGGTTTGAGTATATACATTGGATATGTAACCATCCAACTTCTACAGTCTAACCCAAATATATCGAAAAAGCGTATTTCGATTGGTCGCAAAGAAGTTCACGAAAGATACGCTTCCTTTTATGTGACATATCAACTATAATCAACCAAAAGTAACTTCATGGTTCATTGACAATCAAATTCATGAAACTTCATGCTAGTAGAGACTTTTTAGTATTATCATGTCATGGCCCTAATTGTTAAACTCGTTAAAACAATTCGTCATGTTCATGTCATATCATAAATAAGTAATATAACTAAGCAACCTACTCCTGTTCGATGGGATGAATTGTCTTCCAACGGTCTATATGCCAGCCTTCATACATGTGCCGATAAGACTCAGAAACTAGACTTTCATCTACAAACATTGATTCGAGATTAATACCAAAGATTGCAGGCAATCTCGAGAATCATTTGCTTAGAGTACATCGAATCTGATTTTGATATCGTACCATATCGTTGTGTCTTATTCCTCTCATACTAGCTCAACCAGTGGGGGACCGGAGATGTGTGATTTTCTTCTTGTTGTATCTTCCCTGTTCTCCTAGTAGCATCTAGCAACCTTGTTTGGTGTCGTATATGGTGAGCAGAGAAACAGAGCAAAGGACGGACAAGTATCCGTTAGTTCCTCTGCCTGCCTCCTCCTCCAATACTATTTGGCGTCCTTTCTTCTCCACTTTCCATGGTTGGAGAGTGAAGAAGGATTGTCTTTATTTGGATAATTGGGATTGGTCACTTTCCTTTCTCTTGTCCCGTTGTTTCGTGATGGGTTCTTCTCTTTCACTTGGTTTGGCAACTAGTAAATTAATTACTATGCATCCAACGACAAATGTTCACGACGTCGTCGTGTGCTCATCGTGAATGTTCGAAGGATGGATTATGAAGTTTTTTGGCATGAAAGTGGATCATAGAATACGTTTGAAACTTAGTCTGTTGCGGGCCTAGACGTTAAGGTTTCATAAGGGATGAAGACGACAAGGTTATTAAATGTTATAGTACTAAGTACGTTGCATGAGAATAGATAAAAGGGACAAAAATGATGAAGGAAGAAGTTGATCCATTGGTGGTAGGATGGCTTTGGAAGGGTTCCTCGTCGAAGAGGGAACTCAATAGTATCCGATGTTTTGGAAACTCTACTATTAGATAGAACAAAAGTGACAATAAAAAAATAAAACTAGATGTTTTTTTAATTACTTTTTCTAGATGATTGGAAGTCTGCAATAATGTTACAAATACTTGGAGCTCGTTCTCAATATTTGATAAGATCAGAATGATTTATCTAAGATTGGGTTATAGGTATAATATGCCCCTCTATCATGACGTTTTATCAAACATGCCCTTATACTATTTTTTACATCAAACTTGTGAAAATGAAAGTCTATATTAGTTGCCGACTTTCGTTTGAGGAAATGTGTTATTATAATCCATTATTGAACATTTTCCAACATCTCGAATTATTGAGACCGATTGGTTCTTAACAGTCTATCAATGTCCTTTTGTCGATTTCAATTTCTTTGATTTTCCCTATTGAAAAGAGGTATTCATCATTCATATAGAAAATGCCTATTATTTAGATGATTAGATTACATAAAAAAAAGGTCCAATTATTTGTTGAATTTGTGAAGATAAAGGCAAAACATCCTCGATGCTAACCGAAAGACATACCAAGATATTTTCCTGGGCCTTGTAATGGCAGAGCAGGTTTTCGTGTTGGCCCGGACCCCCTGCAGAAAAGGCCGTACTTGATTGGATCCAAACTTGGCCCACAATCAACCTCACTCACTTCTCAGATCGCAACAAAGTTTGGGGGCCCAGAAAGCAACCCTAAAGTACACTCACACGAACGTTCCGGTCGAGTCAGTAGTTAAGGACTTGGGTGCGTATGGTCGCAGTACAAGATTCACGTGGATTACCCAACAAAAAGAAAAAGGCTACTAAATTTGACGGATGATGAAGATAATAAGCCAAGAGGTTCTGATGTACACAAACCCATACCAAGATATTTTCCTTGGGGCAGCAGGCAGCAGCAGGTTTCGTGTTGGCCAAGCAGGCCCTCCTGCAGAAAAGGAAGTTTGGGCTTTTCTATTCGTACGGACTTGGGTTATTATCCGGTGCAGAAATTATATGGGCTTTATGCTAAACAAGCCCATTCACCCCATCAGCTAAAACGAAACAAACGGAAGAACCAATAGAAACAAACGGAAGAAGAAGACGGAATGCTTTTATTGCGATCACACGAAGTAGCAGAAATCCAGAACAACAGAAACAACAAAGTTGCAAGAAACAAAACAGCGGGTGCAACAATATCACACAAGACATGCGCGCAGCAAACGACAATATTCAAACCTATGTTATCATATTGTACAAAATACAAAAAATTATACTATTTAATAGAAAATTCAAAAAAATTTTATTGCTGCGATTTACGTATCTCGTCGGATCTTTATTATATCTTGCTTATAACTACTTTTAATTGGAAGACATAACGTGTTTTTATTACGGTATGGACCAGCATAGACAGTTATCATCAAAAGGCACGGGCCACAAGTAGCGTTGTCGTCAAATGGCACTAGGTAATTAGTCTCTATAATCAATAATAATTAATAGACTCACTCACAGCGACATAAGCCATGCATTTAAGTGCATCGTCTTTGAATCTCAAAAATACTCAGACTGTCAGACATGACCGAGAAGTGTCTTAATTAGCAAGAGGAGGAGGACGAAATAGTTTTATTGAGAACACGCAACATAACAGATAGTAGTAGATCGAAGAGAAACCGGCCGGGAACAACAGAGAAACAAGCAGAAAGCGGCATGCAAGAAACAAACAGCTAGCTACCGGGTGCAAGTGCAACGTAACAAAGCAAATACAACGTACAACACATACAAGAGCGTGCATGCAAAGCAGCAAAGAAAGGTCATCCTCCACGAGAACCGATGATCCGGCTGGCAGCTTCAATTGATCTTGGGGTTGAGCGGCTTCTCCGTGACTTGATACTGGTAGTTGTAGCTATTCATGCCGGTGTAGATCCCGTCGTCCCTGTCGTAATTGGTTTTCTTGCCATCATAGCCAACATCGGTGACCGAGTACGAGAACGGGACGTCGCATTTGCCTTTGGTTGCCAACAGGCTCACATACGCCACGCTGTGGGGGCTGACGACGGCGTCGTACTGGTTCGTCAGCGTGTCCTCGGTGGTGTTGGTCTTCCCCCAGGTGTAGGATCCGGAGATCTCGCCGGAGATCTCAACCTTTGCTTCCTCAATGAACGGGATGCCAGCAGTTATGCTAACATTGAACCCAAGATTGAGGCCTAGGCTGGCTTCCCAAGTGCTGGCTGTGGTCTCTGTGTGGGTTAGGGTCACCGTGTGGGTGACGGTGTTCGGGGTATCGTTACTGGCGGAGGTTTTGGTGGCAACGACGACGGTCTCGTCGTAGATCCTGGCGTCCAGGAGGCGGAAGACTACGTTGTAGATTTCCCTCGAGATCACATGCTCCTCCACCCGGATTTTCGACTCCTGGCTTATGGTCGACACCGTAGCGCTAAGAGAGTCTGCGAAGCCATTCACTTCGTCTCGCCTCAGGAATTTGTTGTTGCCCTGGCAGCGCAACGCGATGATGTTGTCCTCTACCTTGACGGGCCAAAGCACTGTAGACGGGTCATAGTCGGCTGGGGTGAGCATGCTGGAGCCTGGGGAGACCGAGTTTGTGAATCTGAAGAAAAAAAAAATATATATACACATATAAATCAAAATTGGGAGATGATATGGACAGACAGAGACAGATAATAGATAGTTTGATAGATAGATAGATACCCGACGAAGTAGTCATGGCCGGAATATTTTTCTCTGATTTGAACGGCTCCGTCTGGGGTGGGGAAGACCTGAAACCCTACACTCGGGTCGCCAATGTCCGTGCCCGAAAACGGTAACGGGGTGCGGTCAGCACTGAGGTACTTGCCGTTGTCGGCCTTGAGCGCCACGTATCGAGGCAGGACGAGGAGAGATTCGGAATCCACGACCTGGCACACGTCCATGAGGAGGTCTTTGTTGGGCTCGGCCCAACCGGCGTACAGGAAGTTGGCGTAGGAATCGCCGCTGCTCATCAGGCAGGCGTAGTGGTTGGACTGGACGTGGAGGAACCGGATGAAGAGGGCGTCCCCCCCGTCGACGTCTGCCGCCAGGACGGGCTTGAAGAGCGTGCACGACCACTTGGACTGGTCTTCTTCGATGCCGTCGGCCGCCGCGGCAATCCACAGACTTTCCTGGCTCGATCTCAGACAGTACTTGTTGTTGGAGGCGCACCGGATGTGGACCAGCCCGGCTGGGTTCGTGGTGGAGGGTTCGATTGCGAACCTGGCCGTTGGGATCGTGGCTTCGCCGGTGAACTGGAGGAGCCCGTGCTGCTCGGTGTCTTCGTTTGTGTAGCGCAGGTACTTGCCGTTGTTCTTGTTCTTCAGCACCACGGATCTCGGCAACCCTAGCGGAAGCTCCAACGCCATGGCTGGCTTGGCTAGCTAGAATAGAATATGGGTTGGTTAATTGTTAATCCTGTGACCAGATGATGAGACGAGATGAGACGGCTAGGAAATGATAACACTCCACACTTTTTTCTCCCTTATTTATAGCCAGCCAGCCATATATGTTTTTCTTTACGAGCTAGCCCACATATGTTTTTTTCCCCTTCTTTTTACAGTTGATAGCTCACATTTACCGCCACTGTACATAACCATAGACGTCAGCACATACGATACGACTCCTTCTCCTTGATAATTGCAAGATAAACGTTTTTTTTATTAATTAAGGAGGTACGGCATGGCCCTAGCACGGACCACATCGTTTTATCAAACATGCCCCTTTACTATTTTTTACATCATACATGCCTATGTACTTTGAAAAAATTATCAAACATGCCCTTCTGTTAAGATTTCCATTGATAAAATCGTCAATCATGGTTGAACCATGATTTAGACGACCCGACATCGGCAAATGGGAGCGAAAATGTCAATTTTCACTCCCGTTTTATTTCTCTGGGTCTCTTCAAAGTGAAATTATTTGAATTATTTGGCTATACAAAAGACAAAAAAAATTCTAAAGTGAAATTATTAGGGATATTTTAGACATTTGTGCCGCCCAAACCAAAGTTCGACCTTGGTTAACTGTTTTTGGATGAAAATTTAAACAAAAGGGCATGTTTGATAATTTTTACAAAGTACAGAGACATGTTTGGTGTAAAAAATAGTATAAGGGCATGTTTGATAAAACGTCATAGTAGATGAGCATATTATACCTATAACCCTAAATGTTGCTATTATTGTTTGTATTATTATTGTGCGGAAGCTGTCATTTGGGTTAGAAACATCCTACGTATTTTAGGGTCCATCGTCCCACTACATACCCGAGTCCCGACCTACCCCGGTTCCTGTTCGGGCACAATTTGTAGGATTGATATTTACTGAATTGCTATTCGTCGCCCTAAGATTTGAAAAAAATCACCCTAAATCACATTAAATTGACACATATACCCCTAATTTCAAACCCAAACTAAACCTATCAAACGATCCATCCCCAAACCCGACTCTCAAAATCTCGGGCAAAAAAGTCGTCATCCACCCCGGAACTGGTATCCGCCGCCGACCAAAGAACTGTTTCTGTCGTGTTGTCCTGTTGCCGGATTCGCTCCTCGTCGCCGCTACCGCCGCCAGGAGTTGCTCCCCGTCACCGTTGCTGCCGCCAGAATCGCTCCCCGCAACCGCTGCTTTGCATGGTTGCTGTCGACCAGGAGGAAGAAGGAGGGCGAAGAAGAATGATTAATAAACAATTAGGCCCATTGAGAATCATATGATTTAATAAACAACCTTTCTTTGAGAGCTTCTTTGCTTTGTTTCAGAGGATTCGTCAGCCAATTATATTCTGCATCCAATATTTTGTTTACTAATTCTATCTGTTTGTCTGTTTTTGGTGGGGGTTGAAGGACTCATGCTATACAGAAGTTGTTGGTGATTATAATTAAATAAATTGTGATGCATTTGGTAAACTAATATGTGATCATCTTCTGCTCTTCTTCTTTCTTCATATAGTGATAACGTCTATGATTATGCCTCTGATGAGGTGGCCGGCTCCGGCAACTAGTGGGTGTATTTGTTTGTTTTAGGGTTTAATTGTTTGAAAAACAAACAAAATAAACTAGGGACATTAAAGTAAATGTAATATAATTAGGGCGACGAATAAGGATTTTTAGGGCGACGAATAGCAATCCCCGATATTTAAAAGGGTTGCTATTCCTCGATGTTTAAATATTTTAACAAGATGGTTACAACTTTTTCACGATGTAACGAAATCGCCATAGAGATTTTGAAAATGATTATGCAATATCAATTCGGTCTGGGTGGATTGGTTAGTTTGAATTGCGAGGTGTAAATTTTTATTAGTTTTATTGATGACTGACTGGTAGGGATTTGCAACTGTTTAGTTCATATCCGACACCAAATTATACCGAATATCAATGTTGTCAGTACCATTTAATAATTACACATTTATATATATATTAACTAAAAAACCCTAACCCACCCCACTCAAATGGCAGCGCCGCACCTTCCCACCTTCACTCTCTCTCAAAATTCAAAAAGAAAAACACTCCATCTGCTTTCTAGTTTTCTTCCATGTATTTTTTTTACGATCCGTCTTCACAAAACCCTACCCCCACCATGCCACGGTGACACACATCTAGCCTCACTGCCTCTGATCCGTCTTCATAATATAGAGTATAATATTTTTCAAATTATTATCTTCTAACTCTTATACATCTATTAAGTAATAATTAACTAACATAATCTCGTAGACAAGGGGAAAAGTGAAAGAGTGAAAGGGGAATTGAGGGAAATGAATTAGATTTTGATTAAAATGGTCACTCAATTGCATTTTTACTATTTATTTTCTTGAGTTATCCTCATCACCATTGATAGATTACAATTTAATCCACATATTTTTTTATATGTGAAGAAATTCTCTTGGTGGAGTGGGTATAGGTATGGGGCGGGGGAGGTCAAAACCATACCCGCCCCATACCCATCAAACTTTTTGCGGGTTTTACCCATACCCGGTCAAAGCGGGGATTCCCCGCGTTGACTGGGTCGGGGGCGGTTGGATACCCGCGACCATGGGTTTTATTGCCATTCCTAATGGTATTGAACACTTTAATAACATAAAGCAGAATTGTTAACAATAGTAACCAACATAAGTAATAGCGGAGGGGAGCTGGACGAGACTTGAGAGTGCGACGTCGGACGATGAAGAACTCCAGGCAGCAGGGAGAAGAAAAACTACACGAAGCAGAGACGATAGAAGCTTGAAGGGCCGACGACTGAAGCTTGAAGGAGATGCCACTGCCGAGTGTTGAGGGAAGGGAATGGGATTACGACGGCAGGGAATGGGAGTACGACGACAGGAACCAGAGTACAGAAGTAGGGGTTGGCGGAGCGGAGACCAGCTGGCGGGAGCAGAAAGGACAGCCGGCGGCTGCACCAGACAGGATGGGCGGAGAACGTCCTTTGACGAGAAGAGAAACGGTTCGGCTGCGGGTGAGAAAAAAATAATGAGGGTTTATAGACAATTAGGGTTACATTTTTTAATTATATACAATTCTCTTAACACCCTTAACAGCTAATTAACTAATAACTCTTCACTAACTACCTAAAATTGAATCAACCAATCACAATTCTTTAAGAGGGTTTAAGGACCTGAACTTAGGCTTTCCAAAATGAGATCCAAAACTTTTTAATACAAAATCTATAATTTTGTCTTTGTGACCGCTCATAACAAATATCGTTGATATTTATGTACTCTTTATAATTGTCTTCTTTTAATTGGAAGAAAAACGTGTTTTTATTAAGCAATGGACCAGCACGGACCACAAAGGACGTTCATTAATTAATGGTTGTTGTTATTGTTTGTATTATTATTGTGGGCTCTTATCCTCTCTTCGTCGTACCAGGCCCAGTCCAGCACGCCGTCGACCATAGCCATGGGAAACTGGCCCTTCGTCAACTCGACTTGGCTCCAACCGGTCGAGGAACTCTCTGATGGTTTCCACATTGCGGACGCACAACGGGGCAAGGCACGAGAAGCCATTGAAGCGAATTCTAGGAATGCCATGTTTCTTGGCGAGAAAGCTAGTGGAAGGGAAAGACATGTCGGAGATGATGCAGCTGGGCCTGGGCTCGAGCCCATCGAAGAGCTTCTCCACGGCCCGCTCCAACAACAGGCCGCTCTTGTCTTGTTCGTGAAGGAGACCACTAGGCCCAACGAAATTAGCTAGTCCAAGCTCTCGCATTGAAGTTTGTATAGACTATCTGACTCATCATACCATATAATTAAATCAACCGGTAATGTCTTTTTTAGTTCAAGATCAGAACACAAGACCTCTTTGTCAATAACTTCTCATCATACACAAACCATATTTTCTTAAAGAACGCTTATAATGAAAATATCGAAATTAGACCCATCAGTGGCAGAGCTGGGTTAAAGTTAGGAGGGGCTATAGCCCTTCTCGACTTTGTAATATAGTAAAATTACATACAAAATTCGTAACAAATTTAGAAAATAGAGTAGTCAGTAAGACCTTAGCTCTCCTCCCCAATTACCACCATTCAAATCAGCCCTGACCTCTCATTGAAATTTCCAACCCCACAACTAAATCCAATGACTAAATCCAATGGATTATGCCTCCTGAAGATCAGAAGAACACCCAAGTGGCCGGACTAAACGATCGAGAAGGGATTGATAATTAAATTAGTATACCTACTGAAATTTTCAAATATGTTATTATTCATACATAAGTAGATACATGGAATGTGGGGTTTCATTTGTGCTTGGTAATATGTTGTCCTCAAGATTTTCGGCTGCTTGCTTGATCGCATATGTCTTGTATTAGCAGCTTGATATTGATATACGAAGAACCTCCCTCTTCTAGGGCTAATTTCGACATTTCACTAAGCTCCTTAACCCTATTCCTCCTCTTTTCTATCTCCTCTCCTTGCCCCATCAATTCCTCAATAACTATGGTGACATCTTCTTTCTTCACCATCACTCCAATCTTCTCCTCTTGGCCCCATTTCATCGTGGTGTCCACTCCGCTCTTCACTCCGATCTTTAGCACATCCGTGACCAGCCTCTCGTTGCAGAACTGATCTCCGAAAAGGGGCCACGTCATCAGTGGTATGGCGGCACATATGGATTCTAGCGTCGAGTTCCAGCCACAGTGCGTCAGAAACCCTCCGATTGCGGGGTGGGATAGGATCACGATCTGCGGGGCCCAACCTCGAATGATAAGTCCTCGGCCTTTAGTCCTCTCCTCGAAGCCGCTCTCGCCCACCCAGTTCAGTAGATCCTTCGAGGTTTCTCCACCGCGAACAACCCACATAAATGGGTGGTTCGACGCTTCGATGCCCAACCCAAGCTCTATTAGTTGTTGAGTTGGGGTGTTACATATGCTTCCTAGACAAACATAGATGACCGAACCGGTTTGTTGCGAGTCAAGCCACTTTGAGCATTCGGACGCATCCATCGCTGACCGGTTACCTCTTTGAGACTGTTCCAATTGATCTTTATTACACAAGGACACCGGGCCTACACACCAAGCTTTGCCTCCCAACGCTTCTTTACACGCAACAAAATACTCAGGCTCCAACTCTTGAAACGAATTGAAAATCGTTCCATAAGATAACGCCTCAGCGGCTCCGATCCTCTGACCGACTCGGCCGAACCCATTGATGGCCACAGCCACGGGCAGCTGGTTCTTGGTTAGCTCGATTCGATCCGGCAACCCGGGCACCACAAAAGGTTCGGAATCTGAAGCCACACCATCGAGAAACTCCTTGTTGACGTTCCTTGTACACAACGAAGCAAAACATGAAAACCCAAGGAAGCTAATCCTAGGGATGCCATGCTTTTGGGCAAGGAAGCTGGTGTAAGGAAAGGACATGTCAGAGATTATGCAATCGGGCTTGGGCTCGAGCTCGTCAAAGAGGTTATCCACGGCCCGCCCCAGCAGCTCATCGGCCTTGTCCATGAAATGGACCGCCTGATCCAACGACGACAGCTGGTCCAAATTCTCACAGAATTTGGGCAGTCCAGTTTCTTCGCATGGTAGCTCGACCTCCTCCATACGTATTTTGACGTCTTCGTCGAAGGACTCCATGGCACGTGCGAGCGTGGGCCGGACCCGTTCTGCGTTGACCGGGGTGGTGAAGATGGTCACTGTGGCGCCGTGTTGGGCCAGGAGCTTGGCTATGTCGACCATGGGGATCAGGTGGCCTTGGGCCAAGTAAGGCGTCAAGACGAAGTGAAGTTTTCGTGGAGATTCGAACTCATGAGCCATGGATGTTACGAACTAGCTAATATAAGATCAGGAAAAGGGAAAGAGAGTTTGATAGATTTGATGAAGATTGGGTAAGTGACTGAGGGTATGGAAATTGAATTGGGTATTGCCGATATATAAACTGTTTTTTTCAGGAGATATGCCGATCGAAAGCTTTCATTGGTATGTAACCAATGACTGAAATGGGATAGTTTTTAACTAATTTTCATGAGGTTGAGAGCCTTACTATTATATCGATCGAGTTTGTAGTATTGGAAATAGAAACATTGTAGATGCGTTTGGAAGGCAGGGAAAGTCCAATAACAAGAAAACATAACTAAAACTATTCAATAAGATCACCAACAGCGTCTTCTTTCTAAAATGGAATTGGCTCATTGCCAAAGTCGGCGAACATCCGTAAACCTTTGGAGAACGATCGATGTGATTATGATGGGTAAGGGAATTGACAATGATATAAAACAAAACGTATGAGTTGTCTAGCGTTATGGAAATTGGGTTTGATCACGTCTAATTTGATGGGCTATTGGGGGCTTTTGAGTGTGAGAATTAGCATAAAACTCTGCTCGTCGAAATTGTTAATCCGAGCGGATTCGAATAAGAATAATTTAACTTGTTGAAAAATGCGTATAAATATATCTTATATTAATTTTGTTGGACATTAGTTTAAATGAAAGAGAAATTTTACAATACTATATAGTATTGGTGCTATAGGACTTTATCTTTATGGTACAACTTAAAATTGTACATTTACGTTATGGTACAATTTCAGATTGTACCTATACTTTTTATACAAATTCTTTTATGGTACAACTTGAACTTGTACCTTTATGTGATGGTACAACTTCAAGTTGTAAAGTTGTACCATAACATAATGGTACAAATTGCTTTATGATACAACCTAAACTTATACATTTAATGTTATGGTACAACTTTAAATTGTACATTAAAGCACCAATACTATATAGCATAGTAGAAGTGCTATAAATGAAAATGGATCGATGATTTAGAAGTTTGTACAAATCCACAGTATCATATGTTAAAATCAATTATTAATATTGAAGGTCGTTTATTAAAATTAGAACGCGATCTTTCAATCAGGAATTTAATACTATGTACAAAAATCAGTCGATTTCCTATCATATATTTTCCAATATCACTTACAAAGCAATTTCGGTATTCCTTCATATATTTGCAACTTATACAATGTTTAATCGTGCCAATTAGGTTTAGATTTAACTACTCCATCTGATTGGTATGGTTATACAATGTTAATTACGTGACATCATTTAGGTTTAGATTTAACGATATTTTTTTATGTACATAGTTATGGTAGTTAATCTTCCTCATTAAATAAAACGGCCTCTCCTCGTCCAAAAAAATTACGAAAATGTCATTCGAAAAGAAATTGGCACAATTCGGTGCTTAATGGACTTATCATCTATGGAGAATAGGATCTATAGACTGCATTATTAGTGGAGAATAGTCTTCGCCTTATTACGTGATCTGTAGCTTTCAGAATCAAAGGAAAATGACATTTCAAAAAAATCGCCCGAAATCTGTGATAGTACCCCTTTGGAATCTGCCAAAAATCGACCCGGAACAAATTCGCCCAAATCGGTGTCTGATGGACTTAATCATTGTTGAAGAATAACCTCAGGCCGAATCCGTGATATGTAGCCTTCAAAATCCTAATAAAATGGTCTCTCCTTGTCCAAAAAATTACGAAAATGTCATCCAAAAAGAAATTCGCACAAATCGGTGCTTAATGGACTTATCATCTATGGAGAATAGGATATATAGACTTCATTATCGGTGGAGAATACCCTCGGCCTTATTCTGTAATCAGTATCCTCCAGAATCGAAAGAAAATGACATTTCGAAAAAATCGTCTGAAATTTGTGATGGTACCCCTTTGGAATATGCCAAAAATATATAGACACGGAAAAAATCCGCCCAAATTGGTGCTTGATGGACTTAATCATTGTTGAAGAATAGCCTCAGTCCGAATCTGTGATCTGTAGCCTTCAAAATCCAAATAAAATGGCCACTCCTCGCCCAAAAAATTACGAAAATGCCATCCGAAAAGAAATTGGCACAAATCGGTGCTTAATGGACTTATCATCTATGGAGAATAGGATCTATAGACTTCATTATCGGTGGAGAATACCCTCGGCCTTATTCTGTAATCTGTATCCTCCACAATCGAAAGAAACTGACATTTCGAAAAAATCCCCTGAAATCTGTGATGGTACCCCTTTGGAATCTGCCAAAAATTGACCCGGAATAAATCGGCCCAAATCGGTGCTTGACGAACTTAATCATTGTTGAAGAATAACCTCAGGCCGAATCCGTGATCTGTAGCCTTCAAAATCCTAATAAAATGGTCTTTCCTTGTCCAAAAAATTACGAAAATGTCATCCAAAAAGAAATTCGCACAAATCGGTGCTTAATGGACTTATCATCTATGGAGAATAGGATCTATAGACTTCATTATCGGTGGAGAATACCATCGGCCTTATTCTGTAATCTGTATCCTCCAGAATCGAAAGAAACTGACATTTCGAAAAAATCGCCTGAAATCTGTGATAGTACCCCTTTGGAATCTGCCAAAAATTGACCTAGAATAAATCGGCCCAAATCGGTGCTTGATGGACTTAATCATTGTTGAAGAATAACCTCAGGCTGAATCCGTGATCTGTAGCCTTCAAAATCCTAATAAAATGGCCTCTCCTTGTCCAAAAAATTACGAAAATGTCATTCGAAAAGAAATTCACACAAATCGGTGCTTAATGGACTTATCATCTATGGAGAATAGGATCTATAGACTTCATTATCGCTGGAGAATACCCTCGGCCTTGTTCTGTAATATGTATCCTCCAGAATCGAAAGAAACTGACATTTGCAAAAATCGCCGGAAATCTGTGATGGTACCCCTTTGGAATCTGCCAAAAATTGACCGGGAATAAATCCGTCCAAATCAGGGCTTGATGGACTTAATACTTGTTGAAGAATAGCCTCAGTCCGAATCTGTGATCTGTAGTCTTCAAAATCCAAATAAAATGGCCACTCCTCGCCCAAAAAATTACGAAAATGCCATCCGAAAAGAAATTGGCACAAATCGGTGCTTAATGGACTTATCATCTATGGAGAATAGGATCTATAGACTTCATTATCGGTGGAGAATACCCTCGGCCTTATTCTGTAATCTGTATCCTCCACAATCGAAAGAAACTGACATTTCGAAAAAATCCCCTGAAATCTGTGATGGTACCCCTTTGGAATCTGCCAAAAATTGACCCAGAATAAATCGGCCCAAATCGGTGCTTGACGGACTTAATCATTGTTGAAGAATAACCTCAGGCCGAATCCGTGATCTGTAGCCTTCAAAATCCTAATAAAATGGTCTTTCCTTGTCCAAAAAATTACGAAAATGTCATCCAAAAAGAAATTCGCACAAATCGGTGCTTAATGGACTTATCATCTATGGAGAATAGGATCTATAGACTTCATTATCGGTGGAGAATATCATCGGCCTTATTCTGTAATCTGTATCCTCCAGAATCGAAAGAAACTGACATTTCGAAAAAATCGCCTGAAATCTGTGATGGTACCCCTTTGGAATCTGCCAAAAATTGACCTAGAATAAATCGGCCCAAATCGGTGCTTGATGGACTTAATCATTGTTGAAGAATAACCTCAGGCCGAATCCGTGATCTGTAGCCTTCAAAATCCTAATAAAATGGCCTCTCCTTGTCCAAAAAATTACGAAAATGTCATTCGAAAAGAAATTCACACAAATCGGTGCTTAATGGACTTATCATCTATGGAGAATAGGATCTATAGACTTCATTATCGCTGGAGAATACCCTCGGCCTTGTTCTGTAATATGTATCCTCCAGAATCGAAAGAAACTGACATTTGAAAAAATCGCCGGAAATCTGTGATGGTACCCCTTTGGAATCTGCCAAAAATTGACCGGGAATAAATCCGTCCAAATCAGGGCTTGATGGACTTAATACTTGTTGAAGAATAGCCTCAGTCCGAATCTGTGATCTGTAGTCTTCAAAATCCAAATAAAATGGCCACTCCTCGCCCAAAAAATTACGAAAATGCCATCCGAAAAGAAATTGGCACAAATCGGTGCTTAATGGACTTATCATCTATGGAGAATAGGATCTATAGACTTCATTATCGGTGGAGAATACCCTCGGCCTTATTCTGTAATCTGTATCCTCCACAATCGAAAGAAACTGACATTTCGAAAAAATCCCCTGAAATCTGTGATGGTACCCCTTTGGAATCTGCCAAAAATTGACCCGGAATAAATCGGCCCAAATCGGTGCTTGACGGACTTAATCATTGTTGAAGAATAACCTCAGGCCGAATCCGTGATATGTAGCCTTCAAAATCCTAATAAAATGGTCTTTCCTTGTCCAAAAAATTACGAAAATGTCATCCAAAAAGAAATTCGCAGAAATCGGTGCTTAATGGACTTATCATCTATGGAGAATAGGATCTATAGACTTCATTATCGGTGGAGAATACCCTCGGCCTTATTCTGTAATCTGTATCCTCCAGAATCGAAAGAAACTGACATTTCGAAAAAATCGCCTGAAATCTGTGATGGTACCCCTTTGGAATCTGCCAAAAATTGACCGGGAATAAATCCGTCCAAATCGGGGCTTGATGGACTTAATACTTGTTGAAGAATAGCCTCAGGCCGAATCTGTGATCTGTAGCCTTCAAAATCCAAATAAAATGACCTCTCCACTCCCAAAAAAATTACGAAAATGACATCCGAAAAGAAATTTGCACAAATCGGTGCTTAATGGACTTATCATCTATGGAGAATAGGATCTATAGACTTCATTATTGGTGGAGAATAGTCTTGGCCTGATTACGTGATCTGTAGCCTTCAGAATCAAATGAAAATGACATTTCGAAAAAATCGCCCCAAATCTGTGATAGTACCCCTTTGGAATCTGCCAAAAATTGACCCGGAATAAATTCGCCCAAATCGGTGCTTGACAGACTTAATCATTATTGAAGAATAACCTCAGGCTGAAGCCGCGATCTGTAGCCTTCAAAATACTAATAAAATGGCCTCTCCTCGTCCAAAAATTACGTAAACTGTCATCAGAATTTTTTTTTGCACAAATCGGTGCTTAATGGACTTATCATCTATGGAGAATAGGATCTATAGACTTCATTATCGGTAAAGAATACCCTCGGCCTTATTCTGTAATCTGTATCCTCCAGAATCGAAAGAAAATGACATTTCGAAAAAATCATCCGACACCTGTGATGGACCCCCTTTGGAATCTGCCAAAAATTGGCGAGAATAAATCCGCCCAAATCAGGGCTTGATGGACTTAATCATTGTTGAAGAATAGCCTCAGGCCGAATCCGTGATTTGTATCCTTCAAAATCCAAATAAAATGGCCTCTCCTCGTCCAATAAATTACGAAAATGCCATCCGAAAAGAAATTCGCACAAATCGGTGCTTAATGAACTTATCATCTTTGGAGAATAGGATCTATAGACTTCATTATCGGTGGAGAATACCCTCGGCCTTATTCTGTAATCTGTATCCTCCAGAATCGAAAGAAAATGACATTTCGAAAAAATCGCCTCAAATCTGTGATTGAACCCCCTTTGGAATCTTCCAAAAATTGACCGGAATAAATCCGCCCAAATCGGGGCTTGATGGAATTAATCATTGTTGAAAAATAGCCTCAGACTGAATCCGTGATTTGTAGCCTTCAAATTCCTAATAAATGGCCTCTCCTCGTCCAAAAAATTACGAAAATGTCATCAGAAAAGAAATTGGCCCAAACCGATGCTTGATGGACTTATCATCATGGAGAATAGGATCTATAGACTTCATTATTGGTGGAGAATAGTCTCGGCCTGATCACGTGATCTGTAGCCTCCAGAATCAAAAGAAAATGACATTTCAAAAAAATCTCTCAAATCTGTGATGATACCCTTTGGAATCTGCCAAAAATTGACCCGGAATAAATCCATAAAAATCTGGGCTTGATGGACTTAATCATTGTTGAAGAATAGCCTCAGGCCGAATCTGTGATCCGTAGCCTTCAAAATCCAAATAAAATGGCCTCTCGTCATCCAAAAAATTACGAAAATGCCATCTAAAAAGAAATTGGCACAAATCGGTGCTTAATGTACTTATCATCTATGGAGAATAAGATCTATAGACTTCGTTATCGTTGGAGAATACCCTCGGCCTTATTCTGTAATCTGTATCATCCAGAATCGAAAGAAAAGGACATTTCGAAAAAATCGCCCGAAATCTGTGATGGTACCCCTTTGGAATCTGCCAAAAATTGACCCGGAATAAATCCGCCCAAATCGGGGCTTGATGGACTTAATCATTGTTGAAGAGTAGCCTCAGGCCGAATCCGTGATCTGTAGCCTTCAAAATCAAAATAAAATGACCTCTCCTTTCCAAAAAAATTACGAAAATGTTATCCGAAAAGAAATTTGTACAAATCGGTGCTTAATGGACTTATCATCTATGGAGAATAGGATCTATAGACTTCATTATTGGTGGAGAATAGTGTTGGCCTGATTACGTGATTTATAGCTTTCATAAATCAAACGAAAATGACATTTCGAAAAAATCGCCCGAAATCTGTGATAGTACCTCTTTGGAATCTACCAAAAATTGACCTGGAATAAATACGCCCAAATCGGTGCTTGACGGACTTAATCTTTGTTGAAGAATAAACTCAGACCGAATCCGTGATCTGTAGCTTCCAAAATCCTAATAAAATGGCCTCTCCCCGTCCAAAAAAATTACGAAAAATGCCATTCGAAAAGAAATTGGCACAAATCGGTGCTTAATTGACTTATCATCTATGGAGAATAGGATATATAGACTTCATTATTGGTGGAGAATACCCTCGGCCTTATTCTGTAATCTATATCCTCCAGAATCAAAAGAAAATGACATTTCAAAAAAATCTCCGGAAATCTGTGATGATACCCCTTTGGAATCCGCCAAAAATTGACCCGGAATAAATCCGCTCAAATAAGGGCTTGATGGACTTAATCATTGTTGAAGAATAGCCTCAGGCCGAATCTGTGATCTGTAGCCTTCAAAATCAAAATAAAATGGCCACTCCTCGCCCAAAAAATTACGAAAATGCCATCCGAAAAGAAATTGGCACAAATCGGTGCTTAATGAACTTATCATCTATGGAGAATAGGATCAATAGACTTCATTATCGGTGGAGAATACCCTCGGCCTTATTATGTAATCTGTATCCTCCAGAATCGAAAGAAAATGACATTTCGAAAAAATCGTCTGAAATCTGTGATGGCACCCCTTTGCAATCTGCCAAAAATAGACCCGGAATAAATCCGCCCAAATTGGTGCTTGATGGACTTAATCATGGTTGAAGAATATCCTCAGGCCGAATCCGTGATCTGTAGCCTTCAAAATCCAAATAAAATGGCCTCTTATCTCACAAAAATTTACGAAAATGTCATCCTAAAAGAAATTTGCACAGGTCGGTGCTTAATGGACTTATCATCTATGGAGAATAGGATATATAGACTTCATTATTGGTGGAGAATAGTCTTGGCCTGATTACGTGATCTTTAGGCTTCAGAATCAAAAGAAAATGACATTTCGAAAAAATCGGCCGAAATCTGTGATAGTACCCCTTTGGAATATGCCAAAAATTGACCAGGAATAAATCCGCACAAATCGGTGCTTGACGGACTTAATCATTGTTAAGAATAACCTCAGACCGTATCTGTGATTTGTAGCCTTCAAAATCCTAATAAATGGCCTCTCCTCGTCCAAAAAATTACGAAAAGTCATCCGAAAAGAAATTGGCCCTAATCGGTGCTTAATGGACTTATCATCCATGGAGAATAGGATCTATAGACTTCATTAATGGTGGAGAATAGTCTCGGCCTGATTACGGGATCTGTAGCCTCCAGAATCAAAAGAAAATGACATTTCGAAAAAATCGCCCGAAATCTGTGATGGTACCCCTTTGGAATCTGCCAAAAATTGTCTCGGAATAAATCCGCCCAAATCGGGGATTGTTGGACTTAATCATTTTTGAAGAATAGCTTCAGACCGAATCCGTGATCTCTAGCCTTCAAAATCCAAATAAAATGGCCTCTCCTCTCCCAAAAAATTACGAAAATGTCATCCGAAAAGAAATTTGCACAAATCGGTGCTTAATGGACTTATCATCTATGGAGAATAGGCTCTATAGACTTCATTATTGGTGGAGAATAGTCTTGGCCTGATTACGTGATCTTTTGCCTTCAGAATCAAACGAAAATGACATTTCCAAAAAATCTCCCGAAATCTTTGATGGTACCCCTTTGGAATCTACCAAAAATTGACCTGGAATAAATCCGCCCAACTCGGGACTTGATGGACTTAATCATTGTTGAAGAATAGCCTCAGGCCGAATCCGTGATCTGTAGCCTTCAAAATCCTAATAAAATGGCCTCTCCTTGTCCAAAAAATTACGAAAATGTCATCCGAAAAGAAATTGGCCCAAATCGGTGCTTAATGGACTTATCATCCATGGAGAATAGGATCTATAGACTTCATTATCGGTGGAGAATACCCTCGGCCTTATTCTGTAATCTGTATCCTCCAGAATCGAAAGAAAATGACATTTCGAAAAAATTGCCAGAAATCTGTGATGGTACCCCTTTAGAATCTGCCAAAAATTGACCCGAAATAAATCCGCCCAAATTGGGGTTGACGGACTTAATCATTGTTGAAGAATATCCTCAGGCCGAATCCGTGATCTGTAGCCTTCAAAATCCAAATAAAATGGCCTCTTCTCTCCCAAAAAATTACGAAAAATGCCATCCAAAAAGAAATTTGCACAAATCGGTGCTTAAAGGACTTATCATCTTTGGAGAATAGGATCTATAGACTTCATTATTGGTGGAGAATAGTCTTGTCCTGATTACGTGATCTGTAGCATTCAGAATCAAAAGAAAATGACATTTCAAAAAAATCGCCCGAAATCTGTGATAGTACCCCTTTGGAATCTGCAAAAAATTGACCAGGAGTAAATCCGTCCAAATCGGTGCTTGACGGACTTAATCATTGTTGAAGAATAACCTCAGGCCGAATCCGTGATTTGTAGCCTTCAAAATCCTAATAAATGGCCTCTCCTCGTACAAAAAATTACGAAAATGTCATCCGAAAAGAAATTGGCCCAAATCGGTGCTTAATGGACTTATCATCCATGGAGAATAGGATCTATAGACTTCATTAATGGTGGAGAATAGTCTCGGCCTGATTACGGGATCTGTAGCCTCCAGAATCAAAAGAAAATGACATTTCGAAAAAATCGCCCGAAATCTGTGATGGTACCCCTTTGGAATCTGCCAAAAATTGTCTCGGAATAAATCAGCCCAAATCGGGGATTGTTGGACTTAATCATTTTTGAAGAATAGCTTCAGACCGAATCCGTGATCTCTAGCCTTCAAAATCCAAATAAAATGGCCTCTCCTCTCCCAAAAAATTACGAAAATGTCATCCGAAAAGAAATTTGCACAAATCGGTGCTTAATGGACTTATCATCTATGGAGAATAGGCTCTATAGACTTCATTATTGGTGGAGAATAGTCTTGGCCTGATTACGTGATCTTTTGCCTTCAGAATCAAACGAAAATGACATTTCCAAAAAATCTCCCGAAATCTTTGATGGTACCCCTTTGGAATCTACCAAAAATTGACCTGGAATAAATCCGCCCAACTCGGGACTTGATGGACTTAATCATTGTTGAAGAATAGCCTCAGGCCGAATCCGTGATCTGTAGCCTTCAAAATCCAAATAAAATGGCCTCTCCTCTCCCAAAGAATTACGAAAATGCCATTCAAAAAGAAATTTGCACAAATTGGTGCATAATGGACTTATCATCTATGGAGAATAGGATCTATAGACTTCATTATTGGTGGAGAATAGTCTTGGCCTGATTACGTGATCTGTAGTCTTCAGAATCAAAAGAAAATGACATTTCGAAAAAATCGCCCGAAATCTGTGATAGTACGCCTTTGGAATCTGCCAAAAATTGACCAGGAATAAATCCGCCCAAATCGGTGCTTGACGGACTTAATCATTGTTGAAGAATAACCTCAGGCCGAATCCGTGATTTGTAGCCTTCAAAATCCTAATAAATGGCCTCTCCTAGTCCAAAAAATTACGAAAATGTCATCCGAAAAGAAATTAAGTTTACCTTCAACAACTGATCAATCACTAGCTAAATTCCTGTGTATTTCTTCTTCTAAGTCATTGTAAACTGTAACGAGATGGGTTCAACTAAATCTAGTATTTTTCGATTAGAAAACATGTCTTTCAATTCAGAAAAGGCACCTTTGAATTTTGGGAGAAATAAATTTCCAAAGCTTCTAAATTTAACAAGGAAAAAGTAATTAATTAAGAAACTAATATTTCACCATTTTTTCTACTCAACATGGCTTCCTCACATGTCTTAGACGTATGTTGCCTGATGTCTTGGATCAAGAGCTCGATGTTAAGATAAGAGGACCCTCCTTCTTGAAGGACCAATTTAGACTTTTCACTCAGATCCTTGGCTCTCTTTCTTCTCATCTCTTTTTCATCCCCTTCGCCCATTAGTTCCTCAATAGCTTGCTTCACATCTTCTTTCTTAATCAACATTCTTGTATTCTCTTCTTCTCCCCATTTCACTGTGGCCTCTGCCCCGACTGGCACTCCGATCTCCAATACATCTACGATGAGCCTTTCGTTGAGAAACTGATCCCCAAAAAGCGGCCAGGTTACCATTGGCACACCGGCACAAATACTTTCTAGAGTCGAGTTCCACCCACAGTGAGTCAAGACCCCACCGACGATAGGGTGTGATAGGATCGCCACTTGTGGTGCCCATCCACGAACTATAAGTGCTCGGCCTTTGGTCCTCTTTTCGAAGTTGTACTCTTCCATCCATATGAACAAACCTTTGGTTGTCTCTCCCTCCCTAACGACCCACACAAACGGTCGGTTCCAAGCTTCCAGGCCAAGCCCGAGCTCTATCAGTTGTTGGGTCCGGATGTTGCAAAGGCTACCCATACAAACATAAAGAACCGAACCGGATTCTCGAGAGTCGAGCCACTTCGAACATTCCGATTCGTTGATGGCCGACCGGGGGTTACCTCGCTCAAACCGGTCCAACCGATCTTTGTTGCAGGACGAGGCAGGGCCAACGCACCAGGCCTTGCCACCCATGGCAGCCTTGTACCTCGAGAAGTACTCGGGCTCGAGCTCCTCGAACGAGTTGATGATCATCCCATACGAATAGCCTTCCGCTTCTAGCATCCGCCTACCGAGCTGGTCCATCCCGTTGGCCATGGCTATGGGCAGCTGGTCCATCGTCACCTCGATCCGGTCAGGCAACCCGGGCACGACGAACCGTTCCGAGTCGGACCCCAACACGCCCTTCTCATTATCCAGCATCTCGTGTATGTTGCGGAGGCAAAGCAGGGTGAAACCCGAGAATCCATTGAAAGTAATCCTCGGCAAACCAAATTTTCTGGCCAAGGTGGCCGTGAAGGGCAAACACATGTCGGAGATCACGCAGTTGGGCCTGGGCTGGAGTTCTTGGAAGAGCTTCTCCATGGGCTTCTCGAGGGCCTGGCCCATGTAGTTGAAGAGGTCGATCCCTTTGTCCAGAGAAGGCAGCTGGTCCAACGTTTCGCAGTGCTTCGGCAGGCCGACTCCGTCCGATGGGAGCTCGACCTCGGCGACGTTTATTTGGACGTCGTTGGACTCCACGGCGCGGGAAATGGTGCCTCGGATTCGGCCGGCGTTGACCGGGGTGGTGACGATGGTGATTACGACGCCGTGTTGGGCTAGGAGTTTGGCGATGTCCGTCATGGGGAGCAAGTGGCCTTGCGCCATGAAAGGGACTAGGACGAAGTGGAGCTGGCGTTGAGGCAGGGGCATGGTGGTAATTTCGGAAGCCATGTTGGACGGGAATTGGAGGAGTAGAGGGGAGATAGGTTGTTATTATCATGGCAATGGTCACATATGCATGGAAATTTATATGCACAGGGATTTTGGACTATTTTTTTATTTTTATTTCGTGGATGAGAATATGGGAATTTCATTGGAGTTGGAGGGACGGAGAAGTGGAGGGGAAGAACAACATTATTTATGACCACAAGAAAGAACTAGACTTCGTTTGTGGCCATCAATATTAACAAGAAAAAATTGGATGAACTTGGATCGATAATAATAAGATTTTTAGGTTCCCAATAATTGAGTGATTGGGAGTCGTGGAGATTTAAACACACAACCACTTGGTCATATCAACTATGATATCATGTGATAAATTAACTGGTCTCAATAACTCGAGTTGTTGGGAGAAGATGAATTAGGAACTTTACACCACTCTCTTACAGTCTGAACGATCTTTTACAATGAATGAGAGCTTCTGATACATATTTTTACTTTCCAAGTCAATTTTAGAGTACAACGTGTTAGAGAGATACGACCCATGCATTTATGATGAGTTGTGAAGGAAATCGATATATCCCTGGCCTTGTAGAGTTAGATAGGACACATGTTTAGACTCATATTCTCTACTCTGGTTCGATCCGTAATACGATTCACACGATCGACGGGGAAGTGAAGTGAATAGGAAAATAAAGCTTAGGTTGATTATTATCTTCATTTGTTATATTTAGATATTTTCTAGATTGTTCGAACATTCGTTGGAACATAGTACATACTGTAGCTAGATCTAGCAAAGTCAGGTTTTCCATTTTCTGGTATTCATTAGGGTTAAGCTAAATGCAAATGATTGGTAACCTTTCTTTTCCCAACGTCTCTGCATTTCCTCTATGCAATTGGCCAGTGATCGGGACGAACATGCGGTGAACAACGTTACAACACAGGCAGCCAGTGTTGATCGAGTGGACTTGTCTCGAAATGTGTCTGTGGTTGCCATCAAAGAGGCTGCTACTATGTAATTTCGCATGCAGGTCCATATAGGAAAAAGATGGGGCATGTTTGGCTGGTAGTCTCTGTCTATTTGTATAACCCTATTTCTTTTTGTCTGTTACATAGTTTCCAGAGAATGCCACATTTCGTAGTTTACTTGGATACCGAAAAAAAAAAAAAAATTTCAGGCCACCACAAAGTTTGAACTCACCATAGCACATCATCTCTTAACGGGTCGTTTGAATGCAGTATTTTGATGAGGTAATTTGGTCGAAATAACTCAGAATGAGGTATTTCAATCAAAATAACTCGTTTGGCAAAAATAAAGTGGAATGTGGTATTTTGTCCATGAGACAATTGAAATAACTCATTGTGAGTTATTTGAAATACCTACCCACCCTCTAGTTATTTCAAATACCTCATCTCCCAACTTCTTTTTCCACTTCATCCCTTCTTTAAGTGGTGAAATACCACAATATTTGAATGTTTTATTCAAACAAGACAATTACACCAATTACCACATTTCAAAATGAAATACCACATGAAATGCCACATAGCAAAATAATGCATCATTTGGATTCGAAATACCATAGAACCAAAATGATGCATCCAAACGACCCGTTTAACGTTTTCTTAGATGGATTAGGTTTGCTCCACGAATTCATAATTCAATCACAGAGAACATTTTGCAAGAACTACCAGTCCAAAGTAATTACACTGATGCATCCAAATGTTCACATCATCTGCATGAAACTTTCAACGAGACATTTGGAAACAAATGTTTAGAGAAAAAAAACCATTTTGAATTGTTTGTCCCTTATCAAAAAAGTTGTGGCGCTTTCATATTTCTATCATTGTGCATTTCATGTACTGTTTGGTGGATGTGGAATTCCTGTGGGTAGTCCGGGAGCTAACCAACAGTCCCACCGTCGCAATTGTTTCTGTCCTAATCACGGCAATTAGTTGTTCAATAAAAAGAGAAATCAAGTACTAGTAAAACACGCCGAACTCAAAACCCCATAGTCCACAGGCTACCTGCCACAGTTTCACTGGCATGTTTCTAGTTATCGTCATCCAATTATTGGGCGCAAGCAGCAAATTTTGCTTTTGCTTGTAACGGCCGAGGAGACGCAAAATAAACAAGAATTCGTGAGTGAATACGGAATCCAACTCGCCGAGAGCTACCCTTTCGAAAAATATCTTAAATGTCTGCATCTGCAAGCAAGTGCTTCTCACAACTGACGTAGACGAGTTGGTCCGTCATGTGGGAAACGCAGGCAAATAGTCAAATGTAGATAGGGGGACGAAGGGAAGTTCACTCTACTGAACCATGCTCAACAATCACACAGCAAAAGCTAGAAGACAGGGATTGAGCTAACGTTACCTTACCCGATGCCATGTGAGCACATGCAACTGCCGATTTACGACGACGAGCATGAGGATGCTGAGTTGCTGACAGTCTGACATTGGACAACCCTGGCAGGCAATTAGACTATGGGACAACTTTCCAGCCTGGAATTTAAAGAAGAAAACAAACCAGCGGTTGTTCTGTTCTATCACACTACTACACGCTACGGAACTACAAACTCATGCAAGTGCAACACACTAGAAAGGTGGTGGATGTGGTTAAACGCATCGGGGGGCCCGAAGGTGAAGGTACAAACTCGGGAGGAGAAGTGCTTTACACCGCTATTTACGAGGACGCTGTACTGTACATATGTACTAGTGTGGTCCCAGTATGAACAGGATCCCGTAGGGGTTTTGTTGGTTGGTTTATTTCGGGGGTTGTGGTTTGATCTCAGTCACTAGACCTTCTGTCGAGGCGAGCCGATCTCCAGGAGACGGAATTGGAAGACTTGAGTAGGAGGCCGATTGCGGAGGAACATCTTGCCCTCACTACAGCGTCAGGTGACCGGCTCATTTTACCCACCAGCATCCCGAACACCTGAAGGGGAAAACGGGTAATGAAGGGAGGATATATTAGTTGAAGACTTTTCAGAAAGGTGTCGAAGTAAGATGGAAATGAATGAGATTCTATTTTGGAGGACCTGTGAGTAGTAAAGGGATAAAGTACGCTGATCATCTGAGACTGATAGGAAGCTGCTGACCAAATATATTGCATTTGCTTGGATGATCGGCCATGGAGAGTCGAAAGCCTGCATAAGAACGATGTTCAGACCATTTACAAGTCAATGTAATTGATTAAAGTAAAGAACAAGGGTAACCAGGGACAGTGTTTTTCTCAGACAATCAAAACCTGTATTGTGAGTGCCATGTAGGTGTCCACTCTTGACGGAAGATGTTGGACCAACTGTTTCGTTAGTTCTCTCAGAAAGCCTTCATAGTCCGTCCTGAAAAAGTGAAGGATTGGTTTCCCACAACAATGTCAGATACCACTGATGTAATACCTTTAAAAATATTCAGGTGCTGAGAGAGTTTGTTAGTCCATGCCTGTGATCGGAGGTGAAGAAGTTGGAGTTGAATAAGGTAACTGATCCTTCTATCTCCATCAAAGGGGCGATTCGTTTGAGAGTGTTCTACTCACAAGCATAAAAAAGTAAGGTTTTTCAGTACAAGAAGCAAAACCGAGAGAACCAGGGACAAGGGTGATCACTCACTCGGCATGCATGTCGGACACTAAGATCATCATCATGAAGGTGCAGAACCAACCGGGGCATGGCAGCATGTATCTGCACCAGTCATTTCAGACAACTTAATATGCAGAAGAAAAAAACGATTAGAAGGCTACTGAATAACCAATTGTTTATGGCACTGAGCAAAACAGAAAGGACTCCGCAGGAAAAGATACTTAATACGTGTTTTTCTGATTAAAATGTTTGATACATAAACAGAGATTTGATTACATTTTCAAGCAAGAAGTTGACAAAATAAGAGACCTGTTCAAGAAATGCCTCATGCTGCCCACCAACTCCATAACTGCTAAGGGATCCAAAGGCTGCAAATGCATTGGCTCGCATCTTTGGGTTCATGGACACCTGCTTTAAATCCAATAGAAGTTATTACCACTACCAGCATGCTGACACGTTACTATAACAAGGCATTAAAAATTTCACTATTTGAGTACTGGAGACGCGGAGGAAAGAACAGACTAATATCACACCCTCTCAATTTATCATGTTGGAACAGACAAACATAACAAGTAAAGAGACCTTAGTTAGCTTGTCCTCGGGCCAAGTCCGTGATCATTTGAAGTTCATTCAGGGAATCGAGTTTAATAGAGCCTACTAATCTAGGGAACAGCTTACCAGAAATTCAAGCTTCAAACTAGGGGAAGGCAAAGATGAAACAGAAACGCGGAATTATAGGTACAGGTTTTCTGCAAGAATATATACCTGGAGACTGCGGAGTCTGACTGAAAGATTAAGCAAAATAGGCTCCACTGCGTCATTGGGGGAGGACTCAAGAATCTAAAGATATACAAAAAAGCCCAGCTGTGATAGGGGGAAAAAAAGAAGGAAAATCAAATGGTATAGAAAGAGCAGGGAGGATAAGAGGACCCACCATGAGTAAACAAGAAACAGCAGTTGATTGAACTGATTCCTCTGCATCATCCATCAATGCCACTATTACACCAAGTATTTGAGTTGTGTAGTGAGAAATATGAACAGATGGTATCTGCAACCCAGAAAACAGATAAGAGTTCATTAAAGCAGTTGCCTGAATATGCACATTTTCCCATCACTGATGAAGCAAAGAACTGTTCTTCTGAAACTCAGCCTTGCACATTTTTCCAGCCAAACACACCATGTAAAGACAGCCTGCATAACCATACAAATGAAATACCTGCACAAGCCCTCTTAAACAGAGGCGTCTGACAGTTGGAGACTCATCCGATACATGTCGACACAATGCCTCAACCATTTCCTCTAAAACAGAGCCGAATTCCCCACTGCAAGTAGGGAATGTACTGGATAAGTAGATTAAAACGCCTAAAATTGTAATGCAAGCCAGAAGCAATAAGGATAAAAATAAACACCAGAAATTTCGAGCGAGCTAGTTATAATTCGTTCGGGTTTAAAATTAGTCAACCAATGCAGTATAACAAACAACCAAAGACTAGGAAAAGGAAAAATGTAGGAAACAGCTGACAGATTTAGAAAATATATATGTTTTCAGGGAAGATGAAAGTAGACGAAGGACGATACACGCAAGAATAAGATGAGGTGTTCCATTTGTACTTTACATGGTATCCCTGTTTGTTACCTGTACCGAACGAACTCTGACAAGGCAGCAGCTGCAGCTTCTCTTTGAAATCTTTGATGACGGTTCAACGATTTAGTTAAAATCGAGCAAATGGTTTGGACCTGTAAATATTACCCATAACAGAAAAGCAGAACAGGCTTGTAAATTAAATGGTGATAGATTGGAAGTAGAAGACCATAAAGATATCAAAGGTGGATTGGTGATTTAATATTTGTTTCCATAGTAGGCATCTCTCTGACGCTCATTGAAAAACCTTCTAAAGGGGGAAAAAGATCAAAAGGATTGTTGATAGCATAATAAGTTACCTCTTTTGGTCTTTTTATGGAGATGCAGCCTGCTATATCTCCAACGACAGTAATCCACTTCTCCTTCTCATTTTGCTCTCCATCTCTGACCAGTATCTACATCAGATGCAGTAAGATTAAGGTGGGATCATATTTCAATACCCATATTCTCTCTTCATCACATCAGAACAGGTCGTAGTACTGCAGTTCAGTGGCATACCTTTCCCATTTCAAGGTCTCCAACACATTCACAAAAAGCACGGAACGCTGCCAGAAGATATCTGGCAATCAAAAGAACATAGATAAGTAATATGCTAATCCGTAGTAGAAAGGGAATAGATTCATCTTTCAGAGAACATAATCCAAATGATGCTGCAGACTCACTGTAATGGTTCAAGCTGACCAGAACTGGCAAGACCATGACAACTTCCAAACTGGAGTGTAAGTCCAGCAAGAACAGAAGCATAACTTTGCTCAACAGCCTTCTTTCCAACTTTACCCCCACCTCTGTAAAGGAAAAGGAATGTTAAGTAGATAAAAGTTAAAAGAAACCAAGGAACGCAAATGATGTTGATACGACAAACCTAAAGAAGGCAGTCAGAGCGAACATAGAAGCTTGAAGAATCTCATCCTCCATTTGGACATCAGGGAAATTATGAGAGATCTCTCCTTTATCCAAATCCACTTTACCAACAGGGGTCTGATTAAGAACATATATCAGATGCTCCAGAAACTCCGATGACAGGACAGGGTGCTGAGAGAAGGCCTGCGAGAAGACAGAAGACATTTCAATTCCCGATCACAAAGTAAAAATACGATTTTGAGAGCGGCTCTTGCTCTCTCCCAAATTTCAGGTATGTTACTCTGACTCATTTGGAGACCCTTTTGCATGGAGCACCAGTATGCTGAAGAAATATCCCATGCAAGAAAGCAGCAGCTAACAAATACTCACATAAAAAGCATCCTGCATCGGCCAGCCACCTCGTAATCTAGATATGTCCTTTGTGATGATATCCTTTCCAGCAGTTGCTAATACTTCATTGAAGACAATTTTGGAACTCGTACTTTCAGCAAGTGAAGAAATCTTCACGCAGTTAAGGATACACCAGTCAATTTGACTACCCAATTTTAAACACTACAAGGAAAACGATAGATGGGTGACAATTTGCCTTATTTGTAGACACTAAGCCTAATTGAAATGATGAACCTCCCAAATGAATGGGTAAAAGGATACAGCTCCAATAGTCTCCAACCTCATATGCTTCTCAGTTACATGTATTGCGGCAGAGAGTAGTGACTGGGTTGTCCTGTGAATTGATATTGTTCACTGACTGAGATATTTACTTTAAAATTGATTACATCCTAAGACTTTGTGACACTTAGGAGAGTCAAAAAGACACGAAGTAAAGACAGAAGGTAAAATTATCCCCTCAGGCCTCATCCACAAAGACAAGAAATAAGGTATAAAACTTTGAAGCATATTATGCTAGGATTGCATAGAGAAACCAAGGAAAAGATAGCACTTCAAGAAGCAACATCTTTAATTGCTATGAGAAAGTATAAAATTCTTAGACAGAACCTTGAAAGATCAGCACCATTCAGTTCATGCCCCCTCTTAGTAACAAACTCAATAACTGCTTGTATAGTCCCTTCAGCTGACAGCTTGACCTTGTCACATATACCTGCTGCAGAACCATACAAGGTTGCTACAAGCTGCACAAATTGAACAGAAAAGATCAGACAATCATCTAAACTCGGCATAACGCAACTTTCAACTCTTCTTGGAATCTTTAGCGTACCTCGTCCTTTGTCAATAAAACACTCACAGAAAAAACAATTCGGTTGAAAACCTCTGATGGATCAATGGATGCATCCTGAAGTATGACAGTAATTTTAAGAGATTAAGAGAATTTCGTTTTCCCTTCTCACTGCACCAAAACCAGAGATGGAAAAGAGCAAAACACAGGAAAAGAGAGATAGAGTAGCACCCTTCTCAAGATGGCTATAACATCCTCAAGGGAGGATAAAGCCAGATATGACGATTCAATATCCACACTGGAGCTAGATCCAACAGGCTTCGGAAGTGAGAGAGCAATGCTGAACAGTTGGTCAAGAATCTGCCAGAACTCAAAAGGCAGAGCTTAATCAACGATTTGCTTAAGACCAAGATCAATATGCTACCAAAAAGTTATGTTCCGATAACCCCACCCACATACTACAATAATATGTATTTTAAACAGAATAATTAACAAACAGCGTATACCTGAGCAGCAACTTTTCTAACTTCAGAATTAGTGTCTGCACAACGAGGTAGATACACAATGACTCTCTCCCCCAGTGAAAGAGCTTCACGACTTGGCAATACAAATGCGGCTGGAAAGTGTAACAATGGAATAATATGAGATATTTTAAGATAAATCATGTGTCTTGAAATTCAACCAAATGACACTTACATGGTAAGTTAGGAAAATTGGCCCGCGTGGTATGGTCCAATTGCTTGCCATGCGAGCAACTACCATGGCAGCCCAATGCACAATATCCACTCACACAAAGCATCCGGAATTTAAGAAGCATCTCATGCACGGCAAGACAACCTCTTTTCCTCTGATAATCAACCGCTGAAGAAACATATTGATCAATGTGTCTCAAAATATGCAGTAGCTGCTCTGCCCGACTTCTTCCATCCTCTCCGCTATTATATCACATAAGATGCTAGTACATAAGCACAAACCTTTTCATAGTGCCTTACTCCGCTAGCTGTATCTCACAAAATAAAACAGTATGTTCCAAAGAGAAGGTAGTTCAGGAACACTACCTAGTAAGGAGGATTGCGCACAACAGAGTTATAAGGTTGTCTATTAGGGATTTTACGACATCTTCTGGCTCATTTGGCACAGCAAAAAATCCTAAGGTTGCCTGTCCAAATAATAGAAGGATGCATGCACAACTTGTAAGTTAGAGATAAACAATATTGCACTGATTCCAGAAGTAACACAGAACTGCCAGGAGAACCTTTAAAACAAGATTTCTTGTTTCTACTGTCAATTTTGGCTCCACCGAAACCAAAGTGGTACAGGCACTTAAAGCCAATGCCTGCAGATACAAAAAGGAAAGGGGTTAAGACATCTTTGGCTGCCAATGCTTACTCAACATGGAAATTGAGTACCAATCTTCATGGAAATCTACTGACCCGAGTTCGCAGAAGTTCTAGACTGGAATCAGCTAAATCTTCATCATCATCCCTGCCCATCAGTGTTAATATATAGTCCAGCAAAACATCTCTTTTTTTCAGGGGGAAAGGCGCTCCATGTTCTGAAGCATTGATGACAGCACGACCTGCACCACCAGCAATATTACAAGAATACAGAAAAGTCATGAGGCGTCAAGATTGAAGGCCAAGCATCAAAACTACCATATCCAGGGAAACTCCAATAGGGAATAGATAGTAGTTATGAAAGAATTGAAAGCCTATTCAAATATTGAAATCAAGGACAAGAACACAGTGCACAATAAGAATTATATGCGAGGAATTTATGTGGAAGTTAATGTGAAATTTTGGAGAGAATATGATTATCAAAAGGAAAAAGAAGATAATTTACAGCATGTATCTTTTTCTCCATCCCGATAGTTGTAATTTTGTCAAGAATAGAAAGAAAAGAACGAGAGCATTAGTAATTTATTGCTTCCAGGGAACATATCTAACAACAACAAGCAGACCAATGGACAATTGCCTAGTGCCCATCAGCTCCACCATGCTTCAGTTAAACAATCTTTGAGCAGGGCGTTGAATACAAACCTAATAAGTCAATAGCAGTAATTACAGCCTGCTTTGCTGTAGGATGGCGGACATAAAGAAGCTCCGATAGCATATTAGTTCCCTGGGACAAATAATAAAGAGGGGAGAAAGGAGACTCGGAATTATAGAATCAATAGAAACATTCTGCATTTAAATATTAGTTTAGCAACCTTGGCCTACAGATAGTGGTCTCAAGGAAGTTCTGATTATGACAAATAGAGAGACAGAAAGAACAAAACTTTCATGTAGCTTGAGTTAAGAGTAAAGAACATGCATCCTTCCCAATGAAACTTTCTGCTTGCTAGTTTAGCTCAAGCACTAATAATCTGAAAAGACCAAAGACTTCTTCTCAACTCCGCCTAGTTCGGTATAAAAATTTAAACTACGGGACTACAGGCTTTTACTACCAGCCTAGACAAGCAAACTAGAAATTCTCAATAAGCAAAAAGATTCCGTTATTTAGATAATGTAAAGAGGGTAAGACTCGATGAAAACGGAAATGGTAATAGACATGGAACACAACCCTCCAAGACTCTTCTAACAAGCAGGAGTACCACCAGCAATAAGGCAAGGGTATTATAGCAAATTGGCAAGCTATATTAAGGAATGAGAGAAAGAAGCATACAACAAGTGCATCTATCCTGGCTTCAATAACTGTTGATGGAGCATATCTTGCAGCATATCCATACATCAAAGCTAATGCAGCATGTATGTCATCCGAGTCTTCAGTTTTACTACTATCAGAGAATAAAGACAACAATCTGCAAATATAGACCAAAATTCAGCAGAAAGCAAATAGGATTTACACAAAGAATAAGAATTATATTCTTGTACAGGAATTTTACAGAAGACCTCCTTACAAACTTAATCCTTTCTTTTTCTCTTGTATGTTACGAAACAGGAGAACAGCGAGTAAAATCTAGCTCAATTCATTAAGTTACTTTAGAGGAAAATGAAGTATTTCAGTTGAAGTAATTTGTTGTGCATAACTTCAAAATTTTGAACATTTACCTTTGGAAAATGCTTTGCCCAACATTAACCAGAATGTCTTTCAGCTTTTCCAGAACCGTATCCAAGTGAGATGCGGCAACCTGAAAATCAGTAAAGGTATTAAAGATCTGAAATAGCAACATCACAAACTTTCATTCGAGAATTAAGTTCGTAAGAATGGCCAAAAGCCAGATACCAATCCCATGGCTTTTGCCAGACCAAGTCTGTTGGATGGAATAGCAATATCAGCTTGTCTATACATCCAATTTATCTTATCTTGAACATAAGCCTTGTCATCAACTTTCTGCAAAAGCATGCCGAGGCACCTACAACGGAAAAGAACAACGATGAGCAATTCAGACAAAGAGGAATACTTTTCGCATTCTCAGCAAGTACAGAACATAGCAAGACAGTATAATGCTCAAGCAGCATATCTCTTTCTGACCTCTCTTGACCTATGCATATTCATGCCTATCACATGCGATGAGTAAAGAAACAAGGGAACAATTGCAATTCATGTCATACCAAAAGAGAGTTGTGTCTTAGCAAACAAGGGTTTGACCTAGTTGCAATACCACTAGTCTTGAACCTGGAGGTCCCAGGTTCGAATCCCTTCAGTAGCTCCTAACGATAAAAATCAATCTATGTCACCCTTATCCAGAAAAAAGAAAACAGAGAGACCCGTGTCTTATGTTCCTAAGAGAAAGGAGAACAAATTCAAGGATAGATTTGAACATCCAAAAGTTGTCAGGCAGAAGAATGTGGGGATCAGGTGAATATTGATAATATTGTGAAGTTCATAGCAAACTGGAACTTGAGAAGAGAAAATGTATGCAGCTCCAGAAAGAATATAAGATACAAAATATGAAAGTGATGTCTGATGAAATTAACATACTGATGAAGAAGTCCAGAATGTTCATCCTCTGGTGCATACAGCTCATACTGATTTGTAAAAGCATTTCCAAGGGAAACCACCCAGTCATTGTCTTGAACTACATCTAAAGATTCTGCAAGAAACTATCACCCATAGCATAAATCAGTCAGTAGTTTTTAGAGCCAAGAAAAACCGTACACCTAACACATTCGTTCTTCAAAAAGAGGACTTTAATGACATCCACTGAGACAACAAGAACGAATTTGACAAGCGTCTCAAGATCAAGATGCTTACATTGATTACCATGTCATCCCATGTCTCTTGGTATGAAGGATCCAGCTTTAAATCGTCCGTGTCGCTGACATATGCCTTCATTTTAGGAATCTAGAGCTTACCAAAGGAAGATATCAATAAGTAACACAAATGAAACATCATCTTTTACTACTATTGACTTATGATATGCACATAATAAGATACATGTCCGAAGGACATTATTTTTATACCATGAGCAGAAGACTCCTGTTCAGCCAATACATCAATAATTATGCAGGTATTGCTTATAGCAAGATGCTATATTTCTAATCCACAATTCAAAGCTTGTGCACGTGCAAAAACTGTTTCATTTGCTTACCAAGAACCATGAATTAAAGCAACACCACTCATACTAGTTACCACTAAAAAACACATGATGGCCTACCTCATCTTGCCAAAATAGGGTAATGTTTCTTGGGAAGAGAGGAGCCAAATAGCAAAGGACCTGAAAGGGGGGAAAAACAGTTGAGAAGACCTGGTTCTAAGCTTATGATGTTATCAAAGCAGAACACTAAAGTTTCATCGACAGAAACTGGCAACTGCCCTACAGCACACTTCAGCAAAGGAAACTCCCCAGAAAGAGACCAACATCAGATTGTGATGCCACATTGAATGGCAGAATCCGAATGCTGACTCACTTAAATATACGATAACTCCCAACAAAATGTCGATTACAGAGCTAGTTGGAGTATAGTGCAAGTGGAAACAGCTCAGCTTCTGCACCATTTGACTATAGTCTATAGATATGCTGTCATCAAAGCCTATGCTAAAACAAAAGACTATATAAGAAAAGTTGAGAGCCTGTCACTGCCAAATTCACTAGCTAAATTTTATTCATGTTCAACGCTAGTAAAGGACAAGAGGTGCTTACAGTCAAAATCTGAGTTGCTAACTGTGATGGAGCCAGGGGATCATGCAAAAGCACTAACAAGCGGGCCAAAAGATCCTAGACAATGAATGAACATTTGATTATTGAAGATTGTAATAAACCAAGAAAATCCACATGCTTAAGCTTAATGCAACCAAACTGCACCTCAGGATTAGGTATATCAGACCAACTTTTGCACTCAGAGAGTATATTATTATTAGAAGACTTCTGTCTACACAGCTCTGAGATGCATCGGCAGACCTGAAATAGCATCAAGTACCAAGCACAAACAAACATGAAAAATATTAACTCAATGACATAATTTCACGCAAAAGTAAGATGGATAGCTAAGACTCACTGTAGCGACTGCACCAGTATAAGCACGTGGAATAATCATCTTCAACAGAAAAGGCCAAAGAATATGCTGCAACAACCAAGGCACATACAGAAATATCACCTCAAGTAACCTCAAACAGGAAAGGGAAGTTCAGAGAAGACACAAATATTTTGTCTTCCACAAGGGATCAAATGGAAGAAGGAAACTCATTGATACCTCCATCTCAGGAATAGTAATCGTCAAAAGGAGAAGGCCTTTCTCACATACTGCCCTCAACTCTCCTAGGCTAAAATATCCCATCTTCATCTGAGGAAAAGAGAACTGGGTAAGCTGCAACTATCAACAGGAATGAGTAAACAATGTGATCACTATATCGGTCATAAACAAACCGACTCTTGAGAAAGGCCATAAATAAATTCATCCCCATAGAGAAGTCAAATAGAGGAATCCTCTCAGTTACAGAACAACATTGCCCACCTTAGATTTTCCATGATCACTTCTTTCTGTTTCTGATAGAGCACAATGGCGCACAAGGTATTCAACAAATATTTCTCCAGATGGTCCAACAAAATAGCAGTGTGAGGCCATGACCACAATCAACTGACATCATAATGACAAGATTGCAAATTAGACAACACATTGCACGCATTCACACCACTCCATCACCTTTAATGATTAAAAAAAAAAAAAGAAGAATCACTACACACCTCGGATAGAGCCTGTCGGACACACATACTTTGCTCCTGTAGCAAGGACTTTGCAGCTTCAACAAGTAAAGGCCTTTTATTATACCAAGCTTCAGACGACCTCCAAATTAAAACTTACACAAGTAAGATCAAGCAACAAGAAAAGTAACAAGTTCATTTCAAAAGCATGGGAAGAGGAAAAAAGGGGATGGCCATGCGCAAACACAACATACCTAGGGAGAAGATGCTTTAAAACGCATATGGCCCCAAAAGTCAAAGATTCTTCCTTCAAACGACATTTCTTTTAAGAATAAAGGGTACATAAAGATTCTGGTATAAGTCCCGAGTGAAACATAGAAACAACAACGATAAAAATATATTGACAATCTAATAAAGAGATCATACAAATGTTCAACAAATAGCTATTAGCTTCATAAGGATAGCATCTTACTAAATCTCAAAAAGGAAAAAACTCTGATACTCACATTTAAGAGAAATGTAAAAAGATCATCGGGGTACACCATGCCAACTATCATAAAGCATCGATGAACCTCATTATAGGTCTGTCATAAGAGAGAGACAACGTTAAAGAAGTACAGGTCAGGTTGTTTCAAGATAGAAACGATATCAACCAAAACACATCGATTTCTCATGTTAGTAGATTAGGCATATACAACGAAGTATTCACCTTAAGACCCAAGGAAAAATTTGAATGCCCTTTTCTGTCATTGTAGACGCAAACTACTGGGAGAAGAGTAGATAAAATAACCGTGAGATCCTGTAAAAGCATGAAAAGCAGAATTCAGTTCACAAGTGAATAACCTTCATCATAAAGAACTTTAATTGACTGCATTCCAAAAACAATCTAACAAATTATCTGAAGGAAAAACACAGACACACGGAGAAATATCATAATCAGAAATGAATAGCACACCACCTCAAAATCAAGCATTGGTGGACCCGTTTCTGATAATAAAGCTGCATCTAAGAGATTGTGGAGAGAGATAGTAGCCAAAAGGGCAACATCTTGATCCTTTTTACACCTAATTGACATAAATTGCATATTTATATCCAATTAATTGTGATCCAAATTGTAGCTGTACCAGTGTAAATATAAAAAGGCCGCATTGAACTCGGTCTTACAATTCTAACATAGTGGGGATAAGCCTGGGCAAAGCTGCCTTCAGTTGTGTACGGGTTATAAGACCAACCATTTGACCCAATGCTTCCACAGAAGATGCCCGAACCTATCCAAGATGAAAAATGGCTCATTTAAGCACAAATATAACTGAGAAGAGAATATGCAAGTGTTGAGGTCGTCAATTTACATCTGGATCGTTATATCCCACTTTGCAGAACAGGTCAGCTATGGAAATTGTAAAAGTACTCCAAAAGAATAAAAATATACTGGCAACTTGTTCTTCTTCCATGATTTCTAAGAATTTCTAATGTAATATCAGCCCAACTGTTGATAACAAGAAGAGGGATACACCCTTCCTTTGAAGACATCAGGAAGGAACTTTTGCCCAGAAGGTGTATCCTCTTTAAGATGAAATAGGCGAACAACTAGCTTCCTGTGATGCGCATTTAACTCTGGAACTTGATTAAATAGCACTAAATCCTATTTAATTCAAGATCCAACATATATAAAGACATATAAAGTATCTTCAGACTACAGTGCATGTGCAATTACAAGGCACAATAAGGTGCATTGCCCAATAGAAGAAAGCATAATAACAGAGAAGTTCAAAACAAAAGGAATTGCTCCATATACCTTTAGGTCACGTGAAGTTGCCCACACTCTCAATAGAAGCTCAAAACCGGAATTCAAATATGACCTGCATTAATTGCAATTTCTCCATTGACATATATTTTCCCAAAACTGATGGAAAAATAGAAGTAATTATATTGACTTACATGACATCACCATCAAGAAAGGTGTTTGACGGAAAATCATCATCGTACAGCCAAGCAGCCTGGCACCAACATTTGAATGCTACAAGAACAACAGGAGTATAGTTCATAAAAAAAAGAACAGCAAGAAGTATAGTCTATCAAAAAAGAACAACAGAAGTACAGCGCTCATTACTGGACTGATAATCACTAGAACAAACATGACAAAGGTGAAGAACTATTTACAGCACACAATGCTAGAACTTGGTTCAGGTGGCAGCTTTTGCCACTGAAATATAAGCAAACTTGACCAAGCAGACTAGTTAAATACTTTAACATAAAGTCATTGCAAATACTTCCTATTGTCCATGTAACTAATACGCCACTCGTTTGAGAAAACTTTATCAAATAATAGGACAACTGCCATGATATAGTTTTCGTTCATCCAACATTATATTATGATTTCTCCAGACACAAATCACAATAAGGCAATGCCGTGAATCCTACACTCGAATCTCGATGCCAGCCAACTAGACCCAGCTAATTGCAGCGGAAAAGAGATAATTCATACCGTTTGCAAAAATTGGCCGATGGACATCTCGTACATTCCCAAGAAGGGGTAGAATGCGAGAAAGTACACCTTTTAATCTTGGAAGGAACTGCGCAGCTTTTGCCAAATTAAAAGGTAAAGAAGCTAAATCAGTAAAAGTCAGTAGCCCAACCGCACTACCAAGTAATTAAAGCAAGCAAAACCAAATGCAAGAGAAAAGGTTTTAGATAATAACCATCAGCAGAAGCAAAATCTGCAAGTATTTGCACCATAGCAGGCAGAGCTGAACTAGGTCCAGATAAATAAAGAAAAATCTCCTCCATCATCTGCCATATAAATGTTAATCTCAGCTTATGGTTAGCAAAGTAATTACATCATAAAAATATATATATTTGAAGCCCAAACAGATGGGCCAGCAAAGAGAATCTCATCCAAAGGAAAGTAACATCTGAAAGGGGTAATTTGTTGAAAAATGAGTTCGAAACAGGAAAATTACTCCAAATGTTGAGTTAGATAATCTAACAGTTATTCATACAAACAAGCTGAATAAACTGCATTTGAGGACCCCAATTAATGACCACAAAGTAAACTAATTGCATTCAATAAACTGTTGAATAGAAGACCAAGCAGATAACAATATTTTCAAATCTGGATGTCCACGACTCGCTAATAAAGTCGTCAAAGAAGTCGCTGCCTACTGAACAACCTTTTCTGATCATATAAGTCCCATATAAATGCTTGCCAAACCCTCATCTGGAGCATTAAACTTGTGAAATGGGGAACAGAATCCATGAACTAAGAACTAAGAACTAACAAAAGTACAAGAAGGGAAGTCCCACCTGCTGGAACTCAAGAGTGCCAAATATAAGCAACTACAATAGAACCCTGGAATTTAAACGACACTCCTATATATAGTTCTCATGTGGAGTAAGATAAGCAACAAACTGAATCTTACCAGATCAGGTAGATGGGATCCTATCGAAACAAGTAAGCTAGCAGCAGCTCTTTGCCAATCTGTATTGACTTCCTGCATCAAATGAACAAGTGAAGTTACTGTGCGAAAACCGACGGATAATGCCAGTCTTAAGGCATCACATAAGCTCAAATGCTTACAACTTAATTAGAAATCATTTCTAATAGTCTACAGATACTAATGTGAACTATCTCTAATTATCAGGACATGGTGCATAAAGACTGTCTCTGAAGGTCAACTTTATCCTCTCCAGAAACTCAATATTTAACATTATGACTTGTAACCTTTCCATTTTCTTTTCTCTACCTATCACAAATATGGAAAGAAACACAAACATGCTACCAACGATCACAGCAGCTGGAAAAACGATGCTGAACCTTAGAAGAGACAATTTCAGCAGTGGCGATCTTCGCGAGCTTTGCCATGAAAGAAGGATCAACATCGTCTTTATCCAACGCTCCAACTCCCATCGCCATGACTTGAAACAGTCCAGCAATGTTCCCAACCCGCTGGTAAACAGAAACCAAAAACGGAAAATTAAGTTTCAGCAGATACTCAAGCAACCTCTATTCCACATTTCAGAGTCCCAAAAAACAGCAAAGAGAAGTAGAGCATACTCTTCGACCGCCTCGAGAGACCGCAGAGCAACAATCAAGGACCAGAAGCGGGTTCCTAGACAGAATTCGTCGTGCCACGCTAGTTAAGCTCACACCGAAAAGAATTAAACTCTCAAAGAGACGCCAAAATGCAGTGACGAGAGACTTACAGAACGGCTATATCCTTGAGAGAAGCCATGGCGGCTTTTCTGACCAGCGGCGATTCATCCGCGAGCGAAGAGACCAGAACCTGAACTGCCTCTGCAGGAAAGAAGATGCCGCGAATTGTAGAAATGAGCGCGGTGCTGGAGACATAGAGCGGATTGAGAATTGGAAGCGGAGGTACCTGGCGCCGGAATTGAGCTACCGGAACTCGAAGAAGCCATTGAGATTTGCGAGTCGAAGCCGGAGCTGAGGGAATTTGCCGATCAAAGCAGTAGGAGAATCAAACAGAAGGAAAGAATAAAAAGGGGAGAAAGAAACTTCGTTGGATTCATAATAAGCGAAGACAGGGACAGCTGTCGTAGAAGCGGAAAAATAAAAGAATAAAATGTAAAGTTCATCAAAAATAATAAATAAAATTAAAACGATAATAATCTAGTTAAATTTCATCATGTATTAAGTTAAATATTCATATTCTTAGACAGAATAATTCCACTTTCTGTTACATAAAAAGATTGAAATGATGATAAATAATAACAGCAGAAATATAAAAAAAAAAATTATAATAACTTCCTTCTATTTTCTTACTCTGTGAAGGAAGAAAACACAGAGCTAAAGCCACAAAAGCAAGAACAAAATGCCGACACAGTTACGTTCACGGCAGTGCTGAGCGAATTGCCACGATCGGCTTCTTCTCCTTTGTCTCCGGCTACCAATTATCACAATTATTGAGGACAACGAAGAGTCAGTCAGTCAGTCATTTTATCAAACACATAATTGACACTGAACAATTTCTCACGGCAAGGAAACAATCGACGACCTGCCAAAAGACATCACGACGAAGCGCTAGATCTTCAAACTCTCTATGTTTCCTTCCCGGCGTCCTCACTTCGAAGAAGGCCCCCTGCCGGCATTATTGATAAGGAACAGCTTTACCTAATCCCATCGCTTCATTTCCATGGGGGATGGAGAGCCATGCTTGCGAAAGTCTGCTTTTCCCGCGCCACATCAAGTCACAATACTGCTACAGCCATGTGAATGATGTTCCCCTGTAGCTTGTGCTCTGAGGCGAGAATCGGGAGGCGGCATCGTCGATACTTCACACCTCCGATTCCCCCGATCTACTTCAGCGCAAGTGTTTGGACTTGAAAGGTGCGGAACTGAGAAGTGAGAACAGGGGCTGGAAGGAAGACTAACTAACTGGCCCGCCAAAATCAAATAACCTGCTGGATTGAAGCCCAAAGGGCCACAAGATTCGTACTGGAGTAGATTGGTCCAGTTTGCCCTTGGTAATTCGAATCAGGCCCAAATGCACAAAACCGGTCCATTCCAACTATGGTTTCCAAACACTTCTAATTTGGCTACCTGAGTATAATTAAAACCTATAACTAGCTAGCTATAGGGATGGCAAAAATATCCGTAACCGTGGATATCCGCCCGAACCCGACCTAATCGCGTAGGGTAAAATCCGAACCCGAAGGACATTTAGTGGGTACGGGTAAAACCCGAACCCGAATATTGCGGGTAATGGGTGGGCATGGGTTTCTCAGTATCCAACCCGAACCCGCCCGATTATACACATACATATATATTTTGTCTAGAAATAGTCATTTTTTTCTCTAACATATTTTATATTTAGCATATAAATATAATATTTTCATGAAATTGTGTTGTTTTAATTCATTTTCTTCATTCTAGTGAATTATTGTCATACTTTTCCTCTTCCGTAATGTGAGAATACGTGTGAATGTTAACATATTAGTTGGAGTTATGAAGAGAAATCATTACCCATGGATAACCGTGGATACCCGAAACCCGAACGGGTATGGGCATGATTTTAATTTTCTACCCATTTTATATGTGGGTATGGGTATGGGTAAAACTCGAACTACTTTGGGTAGGGTAACGGATATGCACTAATCCGTCCCCGACCCATTGCCATCCCTAGCTAGCTAAAACCTAGATTAGGGTCATAAAGACATAAACCATTGCAAATTTAATTAGTAATTCAATTGTTTATAGAATAGACATTCGGTTCCATTATCCAAAGAACACAAATCACAATTCCAATCTTAATCATCTCCGAAGGCTGTCTTATGACTAATAACTCTATTTTGTCACGAAGTATACAGAAATACCACTCGGTGAAATCTATAAATTAGCTATATATCATTTCATCCTCCACGATTTATAAGTCCTACCTCAAGATAAATCAACCGCAATGACTCCGGCAACGCATTCCGCCGCTTCTCTTCTGCTCAGCCTCGCTCTCGTCTTCATCATTTTCCATGGTAATTAAGTCAAGATAAATTAATCCCCACTAATTAATCTCTCCATTAACTAGGTTAATTAATCTAAGTTTATGTTCTGTAGGGGCAAAGGCGACGGTGATCACGTTCACAAACAACTGCCCCACCACAATCTGGCCGGGACTCCTCACCGGCGCCGGCTCCCCACTCTCCACCACCGGCTTCGAGCTGGCCGCCCAAGCCACCGCCAAGGTCGCCATCCCTCCGCCCTTCAGCGGCCGGTTCTGGGCCCGAACCGAGTGCTACTGGAACTCGACGGGCCAGTTCAACTGCCCCACCGGCGACTGCGGGACCGGCCAGGTGTCGTGCAACGGCGCCGGCGGCAACCCGCCCGTATCCCTCGTAGAGTTCACTCTAGCAGCCGACCCCACCACCGGAAACGACTTCTACGACGTCTCCCTCGTCGACGGGTTCAACCTCCCGGTCTCCGTGGCCCCCAGCGGCGGGACGGGGAGGAACTGCACCACGTCCAGCTGTCACGGAAACGTGAACGCCGTCTGCCCAGCTGAGCTGGCGGTCAAGGGCGCCGACGGGTCGGTGATCGCGTGCATGAGCGCGTGCGACGCGTTTCATCTGCCGCAGTATTGCTGCACGGGGATCTACGCCAGCCCCGCCACGTGCCGGCCGTCGACCTACTCCCAGATTTTCAAGGGGCAGTGCCCGCAGGCGTACAGTTACGCTTACGATGACACGACTAGCACGTTTTCTTGCGGCGGAGGAGCTAATTACGCCATCGTTTTCTGTCCCTCGAATTAGTTGCATTGTTAATGATATGTCTTAATCAGATTTACGGGGTGGTTAATTGAAGTTTGTTGTATGTATTGAGTATAGTAATACGAAATAATATATGATCATTCAAACTTCATAATCATTGGTATAATCTTCAGACTTATATATAACTAAATGTATGTGATAATCATTTACGATTTATTTACATCTTAAGTATTTCTAAAACTTGTTCGTTCTATACAACGTAATTTAGAAATTCTCCTAATCCTAATGATTATTACAAGATTAAATTTATGAGTTAAAAATACATCAATTGATCCTAATTCTAAACTATATAATCTAATACTACAAAATTAAGCAAATGTGTATCATTAAAATTTGATAATTGGAATCTGATATTAGGTTAAAGTGTATTAAATAATGCAACTTTAAAAGCTGCATTTGATTAATATATTTCGAATATAAGATGTAATTAACGTAACCTTTCCAAACAAAGAATCATAATTCCCCCTTAATCAAAGATTACAAAGGAATGTATAAACCCTACGGGTACGGCCGCAACAAGCTCAAAAATTGGCCTAATGTTCAAACATGACTACAAAATTACGTGTTATGGACACGTTAAACTCTCCTACCGCTAAAAACAAAAACACCGTCTTCAATTAATCAAGGACAAAACGTGACCAAGTAATTGTCGCCGGTAGGACACGTGAACGTGCTGGTCCCATCATCATAAGCATAGCTATAAGCCTGAGGGCACCGATCCTTAAACAACTTCGAGTACCCCGTCGGCGGGCACTTCTCCGGCGTGTTAAAATCCCCACTGCAGCAGTACTGCGGCTGGTTCAGCGCCAAGCACGCGCTCCTGCACCCCATCACGCTCCCGTCTGTCCCCGTCGCGGCAAGCTCCGGCGGGCATGCCTCATTCACGTTGGCCGCGCAGCTCGTGGCGTTACAGCTGTGGCTCCCTAGCGGCTGGACCGAGACGGGCAGGTTGAACCCGTCGACGAGGCTGACGTCATAGAAGTCGAGCCCGCCGCTGCCGTTGAGGGTGAACTCGATGAGGGTTGCGGGAGGGATGGCTCCCGCGCCGTTGCACTCGATCTGGCTGGAGGCGCAGTCGCCGGTGATGCAGGAAAATTTGCCGGTGGTGGAGTTGGTGGTGCACCCGGTCCTTCCCCACATTCGGCCGCTGGTCCAGTTGGGAGGGACCTCGAGGGTGGAGGATTGGCCGGAAGGGAGCTCGAAGCCGGTGGTGGAGAGCTGTGGTGCGCCGCCGCCGGTTAGGGTTGCTGGCCATGTCGTGTATGGGCAGTTGTTTGTGAAAAATATTGTCGTTGATTGAGCTCCTGCATTAATGGGGTGAAAAATCAATCAAAAAGCCCGGGAGAAAACACATAATATACAAATTTAATTTATGTTAATTATGATACAAGCTTAATTTATACGTACCATAATATAAATATACAAATTCAGTTTGTATTATAAAAATTTTTGTAAAAACATAGCTACAATATATATCATATTTCGATCATTAGCTAATTCGACACTTCGTATTGCCACGACAATAGTGACAAAGAGACCCCTTAATAGTTAATATGACATAAAATACTTTAAAACTCAGTTTTATATATATTCTTTCAACTATAATAGAGAAGTCAATCGAAACCTCAGTAGTAACAAAAAATTACAGCACCGTAAGTCCGTAACATAAACAGTAAAAAATAGAACTGCTGATAAATTGCTGAATTCAGAATTACCGGCGGTGAATAGTGCGGCGAGGGAGAGTAAAAAGGATCCGCGGAAGGCCATTGTGACGATAACGTTGATATAGCTAGGTTATTGAGAAGAAGGGATATAACTTATATCTGTTCTACTTATATTAATATAGAGATGGCTATATTGACCTGAAAAGGAAGAATTAAGGGGCTATAAAACCCTAAAGCAAAGATTTCATTCCGGGAAAAAGGTCATGGTAATTAATACAGAGCAGTTTAAGGTGAAAACTTTTATTCCCGTCGACTCTTCTAATTAAGACTAGTAATTAAGTAGAACTAAAGTCCATAATTGAAGTGGGAAAAAACATTAATGAACCCAGTTAGGTACGATGACTTACCCTAATTAGAGATTTGAGCTATTTTAGGCTAATATATATCGCTCTTGGAAAGGAAAAAAAAATTACATCCAGTTTTGGAAAACAAAGTGCACAAATTTGACAAGCTAAACAGAGAGACCATTGTTATTATTTGTTTTGGAGACTCTCTCAATTTCTTTCTTTCATTTTCTTGAGATTAAAAATCTATATATCTAAATCCTAATGAGGCGTGAGACCCGGGCAATGGAGAAATCTATGATAATGAATTGCGAGATTCATTTGTTAATAAGTTAGGATATGATGGAAACTCGTATTTTTTTGTATTTGGAAAATGAGGAAGCGTTTGGATCGTTTGGTTCATGAACAACGCTGAAATGAGAGTACATTTTAAGATATTCGATCAAGCAGATATAAAAATCGAGTCAAGACTTTTTGATTCAAACATAAGACAATTAAATTTTGAGTTAAATTATTATCATATAATTTTAGGCTAAAGTGTATTGCATACTTCTCCTCATATAATTTAGTCAACGCTTTTAACTAAAATAAAATTTTCAAATTTTTCGTTGGAATAATACTTGGAATATAATTAATGTGTGATGCAAACAAAGAAACATAATTCCATTTAATCAAAAGATTACAAAGGACGATCAACACCCTATGGCCGCAACAAGCTAAAAAAACTACCTAAAGTCCAATTCCAACCATGACTACAAAATTGAGTGTACCGAATAAACGTTAAACTCTCTTAATCCTGCTAAAAACACAATTAGAGCCTCTCCTAATTATCTAATCAAGGACAAAACATGACCAAGTAATTATCCCCTGTAGGACAAGTGAACGTGCTGCTCCCATCATCATAAGCATAGCTATAAGCCTGAGGGCACTGAGCCTTAAACAACTTGGAGTACCCCGTCGGCGGACACTTCTCCGGCGCATTATACTCCCCACTGCAGCAGTACTGCGGCTGGTTCAGCGCCAAACACGCGCTCTTGCAAGCCACCACGCTCCCGTCGGGCCCCGTCACCGACAGCTCGGGGAGGCACACGCCGTTCACGTCGCCAGCGCAGCTCGTGGCGTTGCAGCTGTAGTTCCCCAGCGGCTGGACCGAGACGGGCAGGTTGAACCCGTCGACGAGGCTGACGTCGTAGAAGTCGATCCCGTTGCTGTTGCCGTTGAGGGTGAACTCGAGGAGCGTTGCGGGAGGGATGCCTCCCGCGCCGTTGCACTCGATCTGGCCGGAGGCGCAGTCGCCGGTGAGGCAGGAGAATTTGCCCGTGGTGGAGTCGGTGGTGCATCCGGTCCTGCCCCATATTCGGCCGCTTGTCCAGTTGGGAGGGACCTCGAGGGTCGAGGATTCGCCGGAAGGGAGCTCGAAGCCGGTGGTTGGGAGCTGAGGTGCGCCGCCGCCGGTTAGGGTTGCTGGCCATACAGTGTAGGAGCACTTGTTCGTGAAAAACACTGTCGTTGATTGAGCTCCTGCATTGGGGGTGGAAAAAAATAAAAATAAAAGCCCAAATAAGAAAACTGATAACAGACATGAGAAATACACAAATACATACTAGGAGTCTATGGTTGAATCATATAATACTAGTCACACAGAAGAAAAACATCGTTTTGACGTGGATTATATAAGTAGGTTTACCGGCGATGAACAATGCGGCGAGGGAGAGGAAAAGGGATGTGCGGAAGACCATTGTTGCGATGATGAAAGTTGGTAGCTAGGTTAGTGGTGACGAGGAGTATTATTCGACGGTATATATGTATGTTCTACTTATGTACTTGTACCTTTATGGACCAGAAAGGGAAGAATGCGCTTCTGAAAATATAACACTAGATTATAGTTTTTGAATAACCCCAACGCAAAGATTGCATTCCCAAACAAGAAATATTAAATTATTAATGATGTTGTGCTAATTATCAAACGGTTCTGTTTCACCTACTCATTAATTAAATAGTACATATTAAATGCAAAAAAGTTATGCAGTATAATTTGTACACACAAAAATTAAATCCGGTATACTTGTGCTGAAATCTTTCCTTTTCCGTCGACTCTTCTCTTCTCATTAAAATTGAGGATCTAGACTAATTAATTAACTAAAGTCGGGGAGAACATTAATGAACACGCTTAGGTACGACGACTAAGCTTAATTGGAGGTATGAGATTTTGAGATTTATAATATATCCTAATGAATTATGAGATTCTTTACCTTTTTTAAGTAACATCAACAAAGATTTTTTTTTTTGGTGTAACATCAAGTCATCAACAAAGATTCTAATACAATATATAGTTCATTCCAATAATAGGTGGAGATCGATGATAAGAAAAACGAATTTATAAGGAAGTGATTAAGATTCATATATAAATTTTTTTAATATTATTTTAAGTTATTAAAACTAGTTGGTTGTGAGCTGTGACAGAAATTAACAATGGAATTGGCTTACATTTTCTTATAAACCATTCTCTTTGTCTTATTTTTTACTCACTACACCTTGAATACGTATCAAGATCGTACATGTAAATTGCTAAATATTACTGCGTGGTTATTATTACCCTGATTCATTATAAATTCAAGGGCAAAATGTGATCAAGTAATCCTGGCCGGTGGGACAAGTAAACGTGCTGGTCCCATCATCATAAGCATAGCTATAAGCCTGAGGGCACCGGTCTTTAAACAACTTCGAGTACTCCGTCGGCGGGCACTTCTCCGGCGTGTTCAAATCGCCGCTACAGCAGTAACGCGGCTCGTTCAGCGCAAGGCACGCGCTCTTGCAAGAGATCACGCTCCCGTCGGGGCCCTTCACCGCGAGCTGCGGCGGACAGGCTGCGTTCACGTCGGCCGGGCAGCTGGTGGCGCTGCAGCTCCCTCCTCCCTGCGGTGTGATCGAGACCGGCAGGTTGAACCCGTCCACGAGGCTCACTGTTCGGAAAAAAAAAAAGTTTATCAACCTGATCCGTAGTGAAAATCGTGTTTTAAAATTTTAAAATTTATATATTTTTACAGTACTATATAGCTTCTGATAAAATTGAGTCAAAATCTACCCTTAAAGATTAAAAACTTACTTATTTTTTACATTTGAGTCAAAAAATTGAGTCAAAATCACGATTTTAACAACATTGAACCTGACCGGTTCAGTCCAATCAACCAAACCGTATTACATCAAAATAGTTATTTTAGCAGTAGTACTGACCATCGTAGAAATCGAGCCCGCCGCTTCCGTTCAGGGTGAACTCCACTAGAGAAGCCGGCGGGATGGCACCGGCACCGTTGCACTGCACCTGACCCGAAGCGCAGTCGCCGGTGAGGCAGGCGAACTTGCCGGTGGCCGAATCGGTGGTGCAGTGGGTCCGAGCCCACAAACGGCCGCTGCTCCAGTTGGGAGGGACGTCATCGATGCGGAATGATGCCTTGGAGGATAGGACGAAGCCGGTGGTAGAGAGCTGAGGCGAGCCGCCGCCGGTGAGGGTTCCCGGCCATACCGTGTACGGGCAGTTGTTCTTGAAGGTTAACGTCATAGGTTCAGCTCCTGCATGCACGTGAATGGTCGTTAAAGGACCATATAATGGTTGCCAAATATATCTTAAGTCTTAACCATGATTGCATGATCGAATTGATTAGTTTAATTACCCGAAGCGAAGAGGGCGATGAATGCTATAAGAAGCTCTGCGACTGCGAGGATCGTCATTGTGGAAGTAGCTAGCAACGAGAATGCTCTTTTTTAGGGTATTGAAGATTGAGTGATGATGAGATACATTAGGGACTATGGCCTCTGCTTAGCTTGCATTCATTTATATCCATGGATTTGAATGGGGGAAGAAATGAAGAATCATGTGGGTGTGTTTTTGTGAACCTAATAGAAAATTTTGATTCTATGATATGAAAGATTTTAGGTATGTCGTGCATGTGTTGAGTATACATCAAGTTTATGCATGTTTCGTTATCGAATGAATGTCTTCTTTCTCTTTTGATGTTGTGTGTTCTGTAGCTAAGATTTTCAGAGTCTCGTAACTTGATCATGACATGTTGGCTCATAACTACGTACCAAATTCTACTGAAAACTCATTTTTCTTGCCCAAATTAATGAATGAAATTAAACCAAACAAGAAGAAAGGACGATGGGCATAAACTTTCTTGAAGCAAAAGCAAGTAGAGTTCCACAAGGAGATCATTTATTTTGCAGTGGACAAACCATGTGACAGGCGGTGGGTTTGAGTTACGGTTACTTTTTGCATGTTACATGTTGCGATCGAGTCGTACGTGTTTTTTCAAAATGATAATTGATATGATTTGTTGGATGTTAATATTAATTAGTGGCTGAGCCAGAGCGGATTTGAATCTGTCACCGGACACATGTAAGTTCTGATAAAACGGTCATAAATCACTATGTATGCATATGAGAAATGATTGAACCATTGATTTAATGTGATGTAAATGTACTTTGGTAGTGTATTGTAGCTCACCCATTGTTATTTGATTTCATAATTAAATTTAATACGCTATAAGTAAAATCCTCAATCAAAATAATTTATATTCCGAGATGTAATTTCTACTTTTGATTCCGCCACTGATTTTAGTGTCGATAGTTTCTATCTCTCTTTTGAGATGTACATTAGTACCTACATTGGTTCACCTTAGCCTTAATGAAATTGATTTAATCATAAGACAATCTATTTTTTTAACCCAATTTCATTCATTAAATGATGTTTTCATTACTTAATCACAATACAATCACATTTATATCATCAACCATTTTTATTACGCACGGAGGAATCAAACAATTTAATCCTTGACCTAGACAGGCCAATGTACATACTAATTGACGTCTCACGTAATCAAGGGCAAAACGTGATTAAGTAATTCCTCCCGGTGGGACAAGTAAACGTGCCGGAGGCGTCATCATAGGCATAAGAATAAGCCTGGGTACACTTCCCCTTAAAAATCTTCGAGTAGTGCGTCGGCGGGCACGTCGCCGGCGAGCCATACTGTCCGGTGCAACAATACTCCGGCTTGTTCAAAGCCAGACAGGCGCTCTTACACGCGATCACACGTCCATCGGGACCCTTCACGGCCATCTCCGGTGGACATACGCCGTTCACGTCGCCGGGACAGCTCGGCGTCCGGCACACCCCTGCACCGCCGCCCCACTGTAGGATCGACACCGGCAGGTTGAACCCGTCGACGAGGCTGATGTCGAAAAAGTCCAGCCCGCTGGAGGCGCCGAGGGTGAACTCCATGAGGGTCACCGGCGGGATTGCCCCCGCGCCGGCGCATTGGATCTTGCCGGAGGCGCAGTCACCGGTGAGGCAGGAGAATTTCCCGGTGGAGTCCGTTGAGCAGCCCGTTCGGGCCCAGAACCGGCCGCTGGTCCAATTTGCGGGGACATGGATGCTCGAAGACGACTTGGATGGTAGCTCGAAGCCGGTGATCGGTAGCTGAGGTACACCGCCGCCGGTGAGTGTCCCCGGCCAGACCGTGAAAGGGCAGTTGTTTCTAAAGGCCACCCTGGTGGTTTGAGCACCTATGCCATAAATGTAAAAGTCATTTATTTTGTCAAAATTAAACAAGTATTTCATCGTTTTTTTTATGACCGACGATTATGGTGCATACGTTTAAAACTATATAAATACGAGGTAAATTATCACATAATAACAGACGAATTTTCAATCATTTTCTATTATTAAGAAATATTTTCGAACATCAATTCCACTTCACATAAGAGTATGTCAAACGCAATAGCCTGTAATTTATTTATTTATTTATTTATACCGGCGATGAAGAAGACGGCAAGGGCGAGAAGAAGGGCTTTCCGGGGATCCATTCCTTGGCCAGATTTTGCTGCTTTAGTGTTTAGTGTTTACCTTACAATGGATGAGAGAGGATATAGGCTTCAAAAGAAATTATATACAAATTAAGAAGAAGATTTATGGTAGCTAAATATGATATGATGGCATGTACATGATAATGGGCCAAAATATTCCATCTATTTAGACGGAGCAATGTAATTAGCATAATATATTACCATATAAAATAGATGGAGCAATGTAATTAGCATAATATATTATCATATAAACAAATTGGTCGATAAAATAAAAAACTCGTTCACGGTGGGGACTCGAACCAACAATCTCCCGCTCCGGAGGAGAGCGCCTTATCGATTAGGCCACACGAACATATATTACTTTCTAATTTCAGTAGCAAATTCTCAACCTTTTAGGGATATAATTATTTACTTTCCATTTATTAAACGTTCTTATTTTGTTAGGGCTACATCTCTTAAGTTTTTAAGTAGATAGTTTATTAAATTTGAGTATGGGAATTTAATCTCATGTATTTTTTCGTTGATATGTATAATTCTAGAGTTAATAGGATCGAGATAAGGTGAGGTGATGAAACTAATTTAAGGAACAAAGATGAATTTCAAATTATGTGATACATGCACCATATAACAAAATTGTATGCTAAATTCGACCGATCTAAATGTAATATGTTTTGCTTATGCAATTTAGACAAAAAATTTAATTTAGGGGCTAGAAACGCTATATATTTTGTTAAAAGGAATGGAAGTGTCATTATAAAAAGAATAGGCATCTGATATGTCCGGAGGCCAGACCATGAGGAGCTAAAGGAGAAGACAAAATTAAGGTGACGATTAAGGAAAACGGCTCTTTTGTCTGTGTGCTACATTTTGAGCGGCAGTGTGAGCAGAGAACCGTTGACCATTCTCAAAAGCGATAAAATCAAAGCCGAAGTCAAAAACTCACAGCGCCTCCATCGCCAAATGCTCATTCGCACCAACGTTTCAGTGCGCCTGAATTGATTTTCGAAGAAGAAGAAGAAGAAGAAGAGAAGCTGAGGAGAAGCCTTATCGAGAAGAGGAGAAATGGAGTTCGCGGAGCTAAGAGACGCGATAGACAAGCTACCGCTGGTGGACGGTCACGCACACAACATCGTCGCGCTCGATTCCTCGTTTCCGTTCGTCAATGCCTTCACCGAAGCCACCGGCGAGGCCTTGTCCTTCGCTTCTCACTCCCTTGCCTTCAAGGTAAAAGCTCAAACTCATCTCTGCCTCGCTCGAACGAGGGACGGTGCAGCATAGCTGTTCGATGAAATTGCTTGGACCAGTCCGTGCGTTTTAGTTTGATTGTAGTGGTAGGAGAATAGGAACTTTGACTGTTAATGGCACACTGCGGTTGATTGAGATTCGTAATTGTTAGCATTTGCAAGTAAGTCAACGCTTTAGTGGCGGACTGGTCTTCTCTGTACTTTAGCTCTTGATGTAGACTTCTGGCATTGTTCTGCTGAGAAATCTTTGATTGGTCTGGTTCAGATCTCATTCTATCGACTGTTGAACTTTGCTTGGTTTCAGAGAAGTTTGAGAGAAATTGCCGAGTTATATGGATGTGAAAATTCCTTAAAAGCAGTTGAAGAGCATCGGAGGTCGTTAGGATTGGAATCCATTGCATCTGCTTGCTTCAAGGCAACAGGAATCTCTGCCGTACTCATCGATGACGGCTTGAAGCTGCACAAGAAGCACGAGATTGATTGGCACAAGAGTTATTTTCCATATGTAGGCAGAATATTGAGAGTTGAACGATTGGCAGAGGAAATTCTGGAAAGTGTGAGTTATGGATTCGGATTAGAAATATCCTTTCTGTTTTTCTGTGCTTAATTGGTGCTCTGTTAATTTTTAATTCTCTTTCTAAGCTGGGAACTTCTTCTCTTGTTTTTAAGCAGGAGATTCCTAATGGATCAGCCTGGACGTTGGACACATTCACTAAAGCCTTTGTGGGAAGCTTGAAATCATATCCTTTTAGTTTCTCCTGTGGATGTTCTTTCGTGGATTCTTGTTGAATCTATTGTGGTAGTTAAGTTCCTTACAGACTGCTACAGTTGCAAAGGAGATACTTGGTTTGAAAAGCATAGCTGCATACCGCAGTGGTCTAGACATCAACCCAAATGTGACTAGCAAAGACGCGGAGGAAGGTCTTGCTGAAGCATTATCTTGTGAGTATCTGTCTGTAGATTTAGTTTTGCATTTTCCTGATCCCTGAGATCTGACTTGTATTTACCATCTAACAGCTGGGAAGCCTGTTCGCCTAGCGAATAAAAACATCATAGACTACATTTTTGTTCGGAGCTTGGAGGTTGCTTTGTCATTTGACTTACCCGTACAGATACATACAGGGTAAATGAAACATTCATTGCATTTCTAGATTAGTTGTAGTTTCTTCCTTTGGTCAATGGTGAAGAAGTATGCAGAAATGAAAGTGGATACAATCTATATTTGCTATGACATAATGGAGTCTTGCCATGACCATTTTTAAGAAGTCCTTACATGTCTGTCTTCTGTGCGTTCTGGCTAATGTGTTCAGTTTTGGGGACAAAGACTTGGATTTACGTTTGGCCAATCCCCTCCACCTGCGAGCAGTCCTAGAGGATGAGAAATTTTCCCAGAGTCGTCTTGTCATTTTGCATGCATCATACCCATTTTCAAAGGAAGCCTCATATTTAGCCTCTGTTTATCCACAGGTGAAACACTTAACCTTACAGTTGAACTCAATACCTTTCATCCTCCTGCACCTATAACTGATGCTTTGCTAAGATTGTCAGGTTTTTCTAGACTTTGGACTTGCAGTTCCTAAACTTAGCGTTCATGGGATGCAATCTTCAGTCAAAGAGCTTCTGGAGCTAGCTCCAATAAAGAAGGTGATAATTGTCCCAACTGACTGATGATAATTGGAATATTGAACAGAACTGATATTTTATAGAAGTGAGAATACAAAAGTATTTTCTTTGAAATATCTTATTTTTATCTGTTCCTGATTAGCATTCAAAAGTGTGGATTGTTCATCTGTAAGCTAGCAGAGTAGTTCTAAAGATTCTTTGGAATCTGTTCATCTATTAGCTCTCTGATGATGGTATGTTTGGCACGGACATGTCAGTTTCATACTTCATTTAAAGCTAATCTGAATGTTAGAGACTGCACTTTACCTACATTCTTGTCTCTGCTATTATTATTTATAATTAATAACATACTAATGCAGGTTATGTTCAGCACCGATGGCTATGCTTTTCCTGAAACTTACTATTTAGGTTTGTACTTTACTTATTTTCTCCTCTCTAATGCATTTCTCCCCTGAAGTTTCACAGTTAAATGCCTTGGTTCTACGATCGTTGTTGCTTTGTGAGTTTTGTTAATTTACAAAGTTGGAGAGAGCATATTCTTCAGACCCTGGTTCTCATTCAGATCATCATTTTGAATTCTCGCTGCTTGTTTCTGTAGGAGCCAAAAAAGCACGTGAATGTGTTTTATCTGTTCTACAAGATGCATGTCGGGATGGTGATCTAACAGTGGCTGAAGCAGTTGAAGCTGCTAGAGATATATTTTCCCAAAATGCTATTCAACTTTACAAGATCAATTTCGATTCAGATGCTATTCAATCAAGGAAAGTTTTCCCTACCAACTCTTTGAAGTTAGATGACGAAGTGCCTGCAACGGGCGTATCTTTTGTTCGTGTCATTTGGGTTGATGCATCCGGGCAGCACAGATGCCGCGTAAGATCCACTCTGATACACCTATCCTTTTGTCATTGTTTTTTCCTTTTGCCTGGTCTTTGGCACAGTTGTGGGCTTGGTTCCTTAGCCACATCATATACATTAGCTTTTCATGCTCCTGGTTCGACTCCCTGTGTTCGCAGATGCTAACTGTACATTTTTTTCAGGTTGTCCCTGCAAAGCGCTTCAATGACGTTGTGAAGAATAATGGTGTTGGCTTGACTTTTGCATGTATGGGAATGGCTTCATATATTGATGCACCCGCGGATGGCTCTAATCTTACTGGCACGGGGGAGATAAGATTAATGCCTGAACTCTCAACTAAAAGGAAGATTCCATGGTAAGCAGCTTCTTATTCTTTTTCCATACCTGTTCTAATTGTTTCATGGTTATGCAATTGTAAAAGCTTCTCAATCTACCAGCAGAAACCCGGATTCTGATTCTCTGTATACTCTGGTTCTTTCTTCCAGAATTTATATGGCAACTTGTCAAGTAGTATTGATTTTCTGTCGTTTCCTGCATTTATGTGTCTTCTGCTCCATTTTCTGCTTACATAAACTCCCGTCACTTTACTTCATTAGGCTGGAAAAAGAGGAAATGGTTTTGGCTGACATGCATCTCAAGCCTGGTCAACCATGGGAGTATTGCCCAAGGGAGGCTTTAAGGAGGCTCTCAAAAGTTCTAAAAGATGAATTTAATTTGGTATACTAAACATTTTCCACCTCAATACACATCTGTGAACTGTACATTCTTATGCTTTTTTGTCGAAAGACACTAATTTTGTAACTGACTACCATCTTAGGTTGTGAATGCAGGATTCGAAAATGAGTTTGTCGTCCTAAAGAGCGTTTCAAGGTTGGTGACATTTCTGTTCTTGTAGGATCATATGGGCATGAGCATTGGTTGTTGAATGTAAGCACTGGAATTTTGCAGAGACGGGAAAGAAGAATGGGTACCACTTGAATCAACAGCTTACTGCTCCACCGCAGGATTCGATGGTGCTTCCCCCATATTACATGATGTTGTTGCTGCTCTCGATTCCCTAAACATTCCAGTAGAACAGGTAGGTTGAAAAGACTTCTTACCTTTCAGTACCTTGCTTGATCTTGCAATCTGGACTCGGTGATCCTCTGAACCCAAATCAACTTTGTCTAAATCTAAAAATCATAAATGCTGCAGTTGCATAAGGAATCTGGAAAAGGTCAACTGGAGATAGCCTTGGCCCATTCAACTTGTTCAAATGCTGCTGACAACTTGATCTATGCCCGTGAAGTCATTAGGTCCGTTGCTAGAAAGCATGGACTCATGGCCACCTTTGTCCCAAAGTAGGTTCATGGTTCTCTTAGATCGTCAACTACACAACACGAAATGTTATACATACAAACTCACTCCATCTGAATAACTTGATGATCTCTGCTTGTGGACAGGTATGCACTAGATGACATTGGCTCCGGGTCGCATGTGCACATCAGTTTATCGCAGAATGGAGAGAACGTATTCATGGGGACCAACGACGGTTCGTCTAAGCATGGAATGTCTAGAATTGGGAGGGGTTTCATGGCAGGAGTTCTGCATCACCTGCCTTCCATCTTAGCCTTTACTGCCCCAGTGCCAAACAGGCATCTTCCTCTCCTCCATCAACTTCTGTAATCCTAATCGTTTACCTCTTTGCACTCCGTCTGACTGTTAGTTTTCTAATGGTCACAGTTACGACCGGATACAACCGAACACATGGAGTGGAGCATATCAATGCTGGGGGAAAGAAAACAGAGAAGCTCCATTGCGTACTGCCTGTCCACCTGGCATCTCGGATGGCCTGGTCAGCAACTTCGAGATCAAATCTTTTGATGGATGCGCCAATCCACACTTGGGCTTGGCTGCAATCATAGCAGCTGGCATCGACGGCCTCAGGAGGCATTTCGAGTTGCCGGAACCCATTGGTAAGACTTCGGCTTGTTTTATCATTGAATCTTCTTTGCATCCCTCAGTTCAGCCTTTCCTCTTCCAACACTAACTCTCTATTGTTGCCATTGTTGTACCCAGAGACGAACCCTTTTCTCTTCGAAGGGAAGCTTAAACGACTGCCACAATCTCTCACCGAATCTCTGGAAGCTCTCCAGAAGGACAAGATCTTCGATGATCTGATCGGGCAAAACCTTTTGGTTGCCATTAAAGCAGTTCGCAAGGTATATGCAGAAGGTATCAATAGTCTTGGCATTGTTTGCTTTGTGATATGAAAAATGACCATTTTCGGTATTGTTTGCAGGCCGAAATCGACCACTACTCCAAGAACAAGGACGCCTACAAGCAAATGATATTCCGTTACTAGTCATCATATCAGTAAATCTTGTTTGACAGTCTGGTGAAAAAGAATCATTTCCTACCATCAAAGGTAATAAACTAGGCCCGTAAGAACCTCCGTAACAACACGAGGATATTTTGTGTATGAAAGACAGGACTGATTTCACATTGTGCTCCATTCATGATTTGCATTTCTAACACAGCCTAGGAAGGTTGTTGCAGAAAGGGATGGTAAGACAGTTCTGTTAGTTTAACTGACCAGCAATGGTTCGGTTTCGGTTTGAGAAAACCTGAAAGCGTTTAGAATCAACCATAATCATTTATGGGGAGGTTTAACATAACATAAACAATTAGGGAAGCTCTAGCTTTGGCTTGCTCGTCAAGTTTCTATAGAGACTATTTCCAAATTATCTGCATAAATTATGACAGAGTGCCATGTTTGGTTAGAAAGGCGCTTCATTTGTACAATGTAGGATGTGTCTGTTTTGATTTTGTGTCATGGTTTCTATATGAACATGTCCATTCATGATTCATATCGATTGATGCCTTGTGAAATGCGAGTATCTTTTTGACAAATAAAAAATCTCTAGAATAATGTACTGTTATATATTCTCGATATATATAGGAACAAATCCGTGCAGGATCGCTTAATACATCACACAAATAATACACAAATAAACCCTGAGACTATAAGATCAAAAGCTCGATAATTGCAAGAAAAAGGCCGCATGCAAGCGGTAATTAATTAACACAAATCATTCTTCATAATCTTGGATCCTTCATTCCTTTCCTGAGAGCAGCCTCACAACAAGGCACACGATGAAGCAACAAGCACCATGAAAAGAGTGATAGGCAGCTCCATCCTCCCGACGGCAGTGCTCGCACCCGAGGTCCCAATCGTCGTCGGAACATCAGAACCACCGTCCGAACCTCCGTCGTCTGAGGGAGTGCTCGGGGCTGACCCGGCGGGTGTCCCGGGGCTGCCGTTGGACGAATCTGACGGTGGACTCCCTCCCGCCGCAGGCGAACCCGATGGCGAATTCCCTCCTGAAAATTAATTCCACATAATACTTCAGTTAACATTTCACTTTTCTTTTTGGATCGGCGGAAGCTAGCTCGCTCTTACTGTCTAACCGTTTTACTGCCATCTAAAGTTAATTTTTCCACTTACCGTTGCAGCGGCTGACGGGCGGGGTTTGGACTTTACAGGCGGAGGGGAGATCGAGCGCACGGGTTTGGTTGATGGTGATGCCGAGCGACGAGCCGCCGCCGTTGACCAGCTGGCACAGGCACTGCGGCTGCGACGAGACGACGCTGCCGAGCTGCGAGCAGCAGGAGCTGGACGGGGTCGAGGTGTTCCCGGAGACGTAGTTCAGACAGGGAGAAAGGCTGATCAGGGCGGTGGTGCAGCCCGATTGCGCTGCAGCGCCGGTGTAGAGTAGTGCCGCAACGGCCAGAACTAGGCCGAATCGGAGCCCGCTTGAAGCCATTGTTGGACAGAGATCGAGCTGTTTTCGTTGGCTGATTTTGGTGTAGGAGATTTTGATGTGTTTGAAGACGTGGGTGTGTTTCGTTTTTTGTTGGGTGTTTTGGAGGGGAGGAGAGGGGTGTTTATATATGGTTGGGTGGTTTAGGGGACGACCTGAGAGGAGTCAATTGATTTGGTTGGTAATTTGATGGCCAACTTTGTGGCTAGAAGGTTGTTAATGGGAGTTCAACTACTTGGTGCTGGTGGTGGTACTATTATTTATACAGTTGTGATGTAATTTTATATTGATTGATAAAAGGGTCTTTATAACCACCACATAGAGATGGCAACAAAACCCGAACTCACGGGTATGCATCCGACCCAATCCGGTCAACGCGGGTAAAACCCGTGTTGACGGGTTTGGGTTCAAACCTACTACACTATTCATCGAGTCGGGTTGGGTTTGGGTTTAGGTAAACCCGCCCCATGGGTACTCGCCCACATACATATAATTATTTTCTCGGTATATTTAATATTTCAAATAATATATCTTCCTTAAACAACTAATATTCTTTATGTTTGTGGAGACATGTATAATTTGTTCTTTCTAATTGTTTAGAATGAAGTTGATATTATAAAGTGGAGAGTGAAGCAACTTAGTTGACGAGGAAGAAGCTTTCAATTAATCTTATTGTTTATAGATGTTTATCTTTAATTTTGAACAATTTGTATTGATCATTTACGGTTTGCTTGTATGCTCTAAATTGGTGTTTTTTGTATGAGAAAATTGATGTTAAACTTTTATTTTGAAAGAAACTTATTATTGTAAAATTTTTAGCACAAAAACCCATGGGTACCCATGAACCCGCGGATACCCAGCGGGTTGGGTTGGGTTTGAGTTTTTCAAACCCAACGGGTTTTACCCTGGGTTTTTTTGGTGGATAAACCCATGGGTTTGAGTTTGGATTTGACAAAACCCGCCCCAACCCGACCCATTGCCATCCCTACCACCACATGAGTTACTCTATTATAATTTATAACACCGACCTACGAATCGAATACTAAACCCGGAATGGGCAGCAAAATACTGCACTACTTTATCAAGAACAACACCCATCTGGTTATCTCTGACATCCGCCTGCTTGATCTTATCGATAATCACCTTGGCATCTCTCTCAAATCTGACCACCGCGAAACCATGCTCCAGACACCACAACATTGCTTCACGGAGGACTAGCAATTCCACCACAGCAGGGTCAACAATTCCTGGAAACTGAACTCCTTTAGCCAATAGAATATCCCGAGCCAGAGTCAAAATCGCCATCCCCAGCCGCGTGAGATCCACTCCTCGTAGCCTCATCTCACATACAAACAACCATGTCAGGTTCTACTGGCTCCAGCTGTTGTATCCTTGGACGAGAGGGCAGAGGGACCTGTCATACAGTCGTGATGTATGAGGTGTGGTTAATTTACAATTTTACAGTTTGATATGTTGATCCATTCGAACATATTCCAAATTATAGTAGGAATGGGATTGATAAATTTTGTATTGATACTTATTTAGATAGGTTTTGGAGAATAATCCACATCTCTTTTTTAACATGACAATAATATATGTGCTAATTTTCCAAATTTGAAATCTAAATTCACTCAACCACCCCAAGCCCACGGGTCTATACGCTAATTTTTCGAGGAGATTAGAAATAATAGTTTGGTTTTAACGACTCGTCAGGTTGGAGGGGAGGTTGTAATCAGCGTTGACTGCATGTGTTGGGTTGTCCTTGTTTTACAGGCTTCATGCAAAGTGTATGGCCATTGTTGGGTGGCCTACTTTTTTTCCCTACAAGGTTTGGCTTACTTGGTTTATTATTGGAACTTCCACGCTATCTTTCTTGATATTACCATCAATTAATTGTTCCAATATGATGACCTTATTTTTTAATAGTCAGTTACCTGGTAGAATATATAACAGTGTTGCAAAATCGTATCGTATCGTCTGGATAGGAAATTTTTCTATTAGATCTCAAGTCGATAGGCAATTTTAATGGTATATATGAAATAGTTGAATCGTATTTAAATCACTATTTCTGCATAAAATATCACGCTAATGACTCTTCGGTCATTATGCTTTTGCAATCCATGATATATTGATCATATAATAAAGGATTAAGAAATACCATGAAAATTTACAAAGGCAAACACACGTCAAACAATTGTGGGGTCTTTCAACCAGGGATGTCAATTGAACCTGAATTTATGAGTAACCAACTTGATCCAACCCAGTCAAAGCAGCTAAAACAAAAAAGAATGATACGGAACTTCCTCATTGCAAATATCTTTTCAACACTTGCAGTGGAGGCTTAGGTAGCAACAAGCAACAATACTAAGTTACTTCTTTCAAATACCATGATTCTGAAAGATAAAACTCAATGTCTAGTTTTAGACAATATCTAGTCAATTTCCAGATCAAATATACATACAATAAACAAGTTGGGGTTCAAAAATTGGATATCGTTTTCAGAGAATTCATTATTAGGATAAAAAGAAACTAGTGAGTATCAAGAAGAGGCTCTATTGATAGATGATGAATAAATTATGAATTCGAAACTAAAATGATGAAGTTAGAAACTAAAATGTATTATATACAATGATGACAATTAAATTCAAATTCATCATTTAATTATTATTTGCTGGTATGGATAAGTCTCTTGAAGAGTGATTTTTCTTCAAATTTGGCAAGTGTAGTGATTTTCCCATTTCTAATTTTCTAGTGGTACTCCGCCATTTCTGAGCTGCTGCAGATCGGCCAAATGCTGGTTCCTCCGTTTCACGGGGAAATTACCCTGTGGATATATAAAATGAGAAATCTACAGCCTCATTAGGATGAAACAAAGAGGAGGGAACAAAGTCACTCTGATTAATTCTCCAAATTTGTTTTTTGGGCTGTAATTAATTAAACATCCTTATTTCTTTGCGATGATGTCGTTTTGGAAATACGTCATCCCTCCCGGATGGGTATTTCTTGTATTGGCTCTCTCTTTCCCGGCGCCGGTGAAAGCCGCCGACACCATTAAAGTGCCCGGTCCTTGGAAGAGAGCCCACGCCACATTCTACGACGGCGGCCCATCAACATACGGTAATATCACAGAGACAGCGTCTCTTCCATTTCACTTTTCTCTTGGGATAATATTGTTATAATATGGTCATGTTTGGATGCATTAGATCTCTTTATCAGATGTTCTATCATTGACAGTTTCGTTCAAAATAGTGAATTTATGCTTTGAATTTTCTTGGGAAATACTGTATTTGTTCTATATCGTTAATTTGTTTCAGTTTGTATTTATATATTTTCGTACAAATTTTTTATGTTACAAACCGAACTTGTATTTTTCGCATTTTTGTACAAATTCGTCTAATATAGTTGTACTTATATATTTTTCGTACAAATTTCTTTAAGACAAACTGAACTTATACCTTTAGAGTTATGACACAAATTCACGTTGTACCTATATACCCTTGTTCATAAAAAAAATTTATCGTATAAAATGAAGTTGTACGTCTAACATTTTTTTCTACCTATACATTTTTTTTGTAAAATTCTTTATTGTACAAAATTTAGATATAGATTCATAATTTGTACATGTAAACACCGGTGGTGGTTAATAGCATTATTGTAAAATTCCTCTTCATGGGGTTGCATGCATGCATGCAGGTGGAGCTTGTGATTTCAAGGACGTGGTGCAAGAAGGCTACGGGATGAACACGGCGGCGCTGAGCGGCGCGTTGTTCAAGGACGGCGAGGCTTGCGGCGCGTGCTTCGAGCTGAGATGTGTGGACGACCCGCAGTGGTGCAAGCTAGGCAAGCCGTCGCTCATCATCACCGCCACCGACCACTGCCCGCCCAACCCGTCGCAGCCCAGCGACAACGGCGGCTGGTGCAACCCACCAAGGGAGCACTTCGACATCGCCCGGCCGGCGTTCGGCCAGCTGGCGGAGGAGAAGGGCGGCATCATCCCCGTTGAGTACCGCCGAGTTCCCTGCAAGAAGCAAGGCGGGATCCGGTTCACCATCCTCGGCAACCCTTATTTCATCGAGGTCAGTGTCTAAGGTTAACGGTCAACCTAAATTCGTCCGATGAGAGTATTTTTTTCATAGGGTGACAGGGGTTTAATTTTATAAAGTTACGTGTTATTTAAGGTATTCGAAACTAAGAGATCAATTATTTGAGTTGTTGAGAGAATGTTAATTATGCAGTTTAGATCACTCTACTCCACACCCTACTCAAACGAAAAAGAACCCACACGAGTTTAAAATTTGCACAAACCTTTCTTACATTTTTACTCTAATCAATCGTTAATATTGAGGATCATGTAGATTCGGACTCACGAATATTTGACCAAACCAACTCTAATACCATGTTAAGAATCAGTTAGTTTCAATAACCTAAGTTATTGGAAGAAGGTTAAAATATGAATATGAGTGGCGGAACAAGAAATCAGAACAAGAGGGGTATGACTTGAATTATCTTAATTAGAAGAGGTGGCTAAAGCGTTACCGATTACTTTACATATAATTGCCTAATATTTCAAAATTGGAAGGGGCTACAACATTTTCTAACTACAACCTAGCTTCGCCACTAATGAATCCTATACCGCTCTCTTATATTACGCAGGTGGTGATTACGAACGTGGCCGGCGCCGGGGACGTGACGTCGGTGCAGGTGAAGGGCGACGACAAGGGGAAGTGGACGGAGATGCAGCGTGACTGGGGAGAGACGTGGAAGACCGGCGAGCATGAGCTGGTCGGAGAGTCGTTGACTTTTAAGATCAGCACCGAAGACGGCAAGACGGTCACGGCGTCGCACGTGGCGCCTAAGGACTGGCAGTTCGGGAAGACTTACGAAGCAAAGGAAAATTTCAAATAAATAAAAAAAACTCCCCGGCAGAAAATAAACGGCAGGATATTTTGAGTTTGAGATGAGGGGAAGTATAGTATAGTATAGTGTATGAATAAGTAATTTTGATGAGGGTACATTTGTAATCATCATCATCAAGTGTATGATGAGAGCTTATAAGTACTATTATAAAAAAAATTTGTAGAGAAAGGAATTATGTTATGTCATATCGTTTAATTATTAATGGGAAATGCAAAATTCAGGAAGTCTATCGAGTATCAAAACCAACATTTTAAAGTTATGGCTCTCGAACGGTATTGGTGAACTACAAACATGTTGGTTATTATGAGACATTGTAGTGAATTATTCCTGCGTGCTTGCGAAAGAAAAACTTCAAAAAAATTCTCAAATCTCATTTGGATCAAACCAATTAACAATCTTCATTAATATACTATTTTTCGGTGCTTGTCTAGAAATTTGTTGGCCATTAATCTAAATTAAAACCACTTTTCTTTTTTATCTTGATCGAAACTTGTTTCCATACCACCCGATACCACCTACACTCGTGATGAAATTAAGTAGGATTTACATACATGATCTTTCGATACCAAAATGAGATTAGAAAAGCGATATGTTATGAGAAATGAAACACCAAACCATGCATTGAGAGTTGGGACTCGATCGAGCATGGAATTGAATATCATTGGTATCCATCCTAAATCTATTTAGATGGCAAGTAATTTTTTTGGAATTGTGTTGCAGCTTAATTAAGGAAGGGTAGGTAGTAGTGAATGATATATAATTTGCAATTGAACATCTCTCAACAACTCGAGTTTTTGAGACCAATTGGTTCTTGACATGTTATTGGAGTTTTTTGTGACCGAAATGTCTTATATTCAAACCTAAATTATCTCAATATGTTATTTTAAAACACATGACATCCAGGCTTGAGAACTTCAAGTCAATATGAGTCGGATTTCGTTTAAGTACCGGAGGTATGTTAATGAATAATATATGATCGACAATTGAATCTCTTACAACAACTCGAATGATTGTAACCCTACAAGAATTGATTAAGTCATTCCTCTTTCAGTTTCCTCTACTTTTTCTTTGGTGTTTGGTATCCATTGATGAGGTGCATGCTCTAAACAAAGGCTGCAATCTAATTCCTATTTCTAGCCTTCTAGCCCAAAACCGAAAATCAATCAGACAACAGCCAGTTCTTCTTTTCTTTTCTTTTCTTTCTTTCTTTTTCCGAATGGTCGATTTTGCAGTTTTGCTAAAGTTGATGACCGTTGATTTTTGGGTTTTTTTGGCCGAGTGGTTGGCCGCCTCCTTCTGCGCCACTCGTGGAGGGAAATCCCTACAACGTAAATCCCCTATTTTCGGTACTTAGGGTTTTTGGTATAAATGATGACGAATCTGCAGACCCTCGTTAGGATGATTTAGCAAAGAGAGGAAGATAATCAAGGATTATATTCATTAAGCTGCAGCAGAAGGATATTGTCCTTTTCGTTGTGGCTCTGACGATAACTAATAAGCATTTCATTCATACTTTAGTCTCTGCGATGATGACGACGACGTCGTTTCGGAAGTACGTGAGCATCCCGGCTGCATGGATCCTGCTGGTTTTGGCCATCTCGTCGTTGCCGGACGACTGCCGTGCTTACAAGAAAGACTCCATCTTTCATGCGGTTAGCCGACACGGTAAAGCGAAAGCCAGTAAACCGGTTTTACCGGGCCCGTGGAAGAAAGCCCACGCCACTTTCTACGATGGCAGCCCATCCTCCTTTGGTAAGACTATATATACATTGATCAATTGATTAAAAGGTTAGAACATATGATCGTAGCAATTTGAGTCATATGATAGATTTAGGTAATGTGTGCATTTCCCGGTAAATGTGATGAAAAGGAAAAAATATGAGGTTGGTAGAATGGTAATTAAGAAGAAATATGTACAACTATGTGGGACCAAAGGAATAATAAAGGGATAAAATTGGATTAAAGTTAAGCTAATTAAACCGGTTGAGTAGAGCTATATATGTTATGCATGGAAATGAAGGTGGAGCATGCGACTTCAAGGACGTGGTGCAAGAAGGCTACGGTATGAACACGGCGGCGCTGAGCGGCGCGTTGTTCAAGGGCGGCGAGGCCTGCGGCGCGTGCTTCGAGCTGAAATGCGTGGACAACCCGCAGTTCTGCAGGCTAGGGCAGCCGACGCTCCACGTCACGGCCACCGACCACTGCCCGCCCAACCCGTCCCTCCCCAACGACAACGGCGGGTGGTGCAACCCGCCGCTGGAGCACTTCGACATCGCCCACCCGGCGTTCGGCCAGCTGGCGGAGGAGAAGAGCGGCATCATCCCCGTCCAGTACCGCCGCGTCCCCTGCCAGAAGCGCGGCGGGATCCGGTTCACCATCCTCGGCAACCCTTGGTTCATCCAGGTCAGTGACGGAGCCAAAAATTCGAATGAGTGAAAACTTATTTGAATTGTCGGAGAAAGGAGGGGCTATAAATCCTTAGCGACTATTCTAATTTCTAATTTTTTTACAAAATTGACTACAATCTTTCATAACTTCAACCTAGCTCCACCGCTGATTCAGGTGATTGTGACGAATGTCGCCGGCGCCGGGGACGTGAAGTCGGTGATGGTGAAGGGGGACAAGGTGAAGTGGACGAGGATGGAGCGGGATTGGGGGGAGACGTGGAAGACCGGCGTGCATGAGCTGGTCGGAGAGTCGTTGACTTTTAGGGTCAAGACTACCGACGGGAGGTCGTGCACCGCGTGGCACGTGGCGCCTAAGGACTGGCAGTTCGGGCAGACTTATGAAGGGAAGAAGAATTTTAGGATGTAAAATGAAATTCAGGTAAAAGAATTAAGATGGGTATTTCTGAGATGATGGAGGTGATTGGGTATGAAAATGTAATTCGGATGTGGAATATTTGGTAATGGTATAGGGTGTTGCTTTTGTAATTAAGTATGATCAGTATAGTGCGGTAGATAAACGAATTTAGCGTATGGAATGGAGGTGTATGTATATTTTGTAATGGAAATAAGAGAAACTACAGGATGGGAATTAAAAATTATGCCTAAGAAGGTACTTCAACTTTTTTGAGTAGAAAGTGAAACTGAAATTTGGTATTGAGTAGAAATCGGCTTGATCATAACATTTCGTAGTTGGCTCAGGTGTGGTGAAATCATACATCAAAGAACCATAAGAGTTTCGAGATGATGATCGAGACAAGATTGTCATCCACTTTATCATAACAATAAAATTTAAAGAATTTGAGATGGAAGAAAACAACCGAGAATGTAAATAATAGATGAGGAATTACCGATAAGAAGGAAAGATATACAAATATAACAGAACATAGAGAGGAGATCATTAAAACTTTGATTCTAGTTTTATCGATAATTCTGATGTACGTAATAATCAAAATACCACATGTAGCCTCCAAACCGAAATTCTGAACAATCTACAACATACTAAAATACCTTTTTATAGGTTCGTCCAACATCATATCATATGCATTGTAAAAAGAAAGAAAAAAAATCGAACATTGATCCACATGTATCACATATGGGCAAAAACTATAATCAACTTTGGGGTTACTCTTCTTGTCTCTTCCTTCAAATAATCCACATTTTGTACTCAGCCATGAACTGGAGCCCTAGATCCTTTCCCATTGTCGTTAGTACTTCATGATCCTTGATTCCTTTCTACCCAACAAAACAAAGAACAAAACCCATACTTAATTGTTGTACAAGACAACAGCATATAACACATACATAATTTAATAAATCAAAAATTGGAATTACACTTGAAAACAATCATTATTCGTTAATTAGAATCAACTTGGATCCATCATATATAAAGGAGGAAGCAGCTGGAGGTCAATAACCTCAACCAAAAACCAAAACCTTAACTATAACGATGATGAAACTAGCCACGACAATCTCCACGACGCTATTGCTTATTTTCTCGTCGCTAATACTTCATCCCGATTGGTCCCTCGCGGAACTCGACGACGACACCAATAGCGACGGTGGCTCATCCACTCATGCGCTGGCCCGGTATTACCAGACAATGAAACATCACGGGCGGGGCGGAAGGCACCGGCCCGCGTTCAGGCCCGGCCCATGGAAGAAAGCCCACGCCACTTTCTACGAGGGCAACACCCGAACCTACGGCGGAGCGTGCGACTACACCGACGTGGTCGGGGAAGGCTACGGCATGAACACGGCGGCGCTCAGCAACGCTCTCTTCAGGGACGGCAGAGTCTGCGGCGCGTGCTTCCAGATCCAGTGCGTCGACGACCCGCAGTGGTGCAAACCGGGTCAACCGCCTCTGTTCGTTACGGCTACGGATCTCTGCCCGCCCAACCCGTTCCAGCCCAGCGACAACGGCGGGTGGTGCAACCCGCCCCGAGAGCACTTCGACATCGCCATGCCCGTTTTCAGCCACCTCGCCGAGTACAAGGCCGGGATCATCCCCGTCCAATATCGCCGGTAACGTTATAATTGGGCTTGGATAGTAAAAAAAAAAAGTAAAAACAAGTCAAATTTTGGGCCGTAAGGTTTATGCTTGTTGGGCTTTATTTTGATGTGATTTGGGCCGGGCTGCAGGGTGCCATGCAGGAAGAGAGGTGGGATCCGGTTCACGATGAACGGCAACCAATGGTTCTACGAGGTCATCGTGTCCAACGTCGGAGGAGCCGGAGACATCGTCGGCGTCCAGGTGAAGGTCGACAAGAGCAGGCTCCGGTGGACGTCGCTGGACCACGACTGGGGCGCGACGTGGAAGACAGGCTTCCCTTTGCAAGGAAAGTCGCTGAGCTTCCGGGTGAAAGCGAGCGACGGGAGGTACATGACTTCCATGCACGTCGTCCCCAGCGACTGGCAGTTCGGCCAGACTTTCGAGGGACGGAACTTCAAGACCGGGAGAAGAAGCCGGAGCTTCAAGTCCGGTGGGAGGAGAAGGAAGGGCGTTGGCCAACTTTAAGTCCTCGTTAAATTAATTTTATTAATTTATATGGCCGAGTTATTTTTAAAGGCGAGAAATATGAGAAACAAGATCGAATCGCCTGCAGGATGGTAGTCACATTATTACGAGTTGCTAACGATCGAGGCGTAAGAAAGATTGGTATTCAAATTGAGTTATGGATCGAATAGGAGTATAGGACATGTACAATATTATAAATTGCAAGTTATAATTATTGATTTCAGTCCATTTATTATGGATATGGTTAGAAAAAATCGTAGATCGCTATATGTCTAGTTGTATTAATCGTTATTTTAAATGTGTACTGCGTTCTTGGACCTATTGAATAGTCTTGACTGAATCTAATTTGAGGAATGATGTGTATCTTCCTATTATCTGTATCCAAGTTGTAACAGTCTCACAAGCAATTTGGTTCCTTGCATTGTAATGTAACAACTTTTCACTAAGCAAAATTTTCAGCGTTACTAGCTATGTTATATGTAATGGTACATTCCTGATTGACCAACTAGGCAAGTAATTACAAGCAAACAAAAAAGCAAAAGGTATCTGGTTTAAGTTAAAGCTCACTCAACATAGTTGAAAAGATCTCCCCTGCATTTGCAAATTGCAGACCTGGTACAAAGAGTCATTTCTTGATTGAGTTTTTCTCGAGCCAAACATCAATCAAACCGTTTTTTGACGAGCAACTTGGTTCGATAGCAGCTGCTGGGAGCAACTGTGGACTCTGAAGGTGCAGAGATTCTGCCGTCTGAAACTTGGGAGACTTCAAAATGGATGTCTATTTCTTCTGTTTCTTCTTTTTTCGTTTCTCTTCTTTCATATCTGTTCTGGCTTCCAAACGTTTCGATTGCTGCGAACGGATTTCCTGAAGCTTTGCCTTTGCATCTTGGAAGAGTGCATCCGATCTTGAGGCCATTAATTGCTGGCGAAAGAGAATTAGACAGTACAATTATTAGGAAACCAAGCATTGAGAGGAGAGAATATGGTTTGGTTTATTAAATCTAGAACTGTGAAGTGGGCAGGAAGATCCCACAGCATTTCTCACCTTCAGATGGTCCATTGCTGCCAGATTGAAACCAAGAGTATCCTTGCATTCCTGGTGAAAGATCAATTATCATCAGGCTAATGTAGACTCGTAAACATGTGACATAAAATGTTAAGGCGGTGAAGATCAATGATCAACATTTAAACAGTATGGTGTTACCTTGACTCTTGAATGGAGTTCATCCCTGAGAGCAGTCAAAACAGGCCTAGAAGCAGGAGTGCTGACTAACTGGTGATAGTTAATCTGCAACAGCACAGTAGCAACTCTGCTGACAAGCTCAACCTGATGCATCATGGTTAGAAGTAACCAATCATCATCGGATTATTTTGATTTTACGAAACGAGAACAATTTAACATTACAGCATCAACCGATGATCTTTGTCTACCAACCTTGTCAGGGATTGATGACCAGTCCTTCAGGTAAGACAAGAGCTTCAAAACATCTGAGAATGGTAAAGCCTGCAAGAAAAAGGAATCATCAACTCCAGGAAGTTAAAATACCTTAATCCGGGAATCTGGGAGGCCTAAGAAAGAATAAAAAAACAGGAATTTGATACCAGAAGTGTCTGCTCCAAATCATTTGCCTGAACTTTCGAGAGTGCATCAAGAACATAATCAGAAGGCAACAGCCCGTTCATGGTAGGATTTGGCTGGAAGCGAGTTATTTGTCCACTTCTCCGCTCCTCCTGAAAATTCATGAATGCATAATCAGAAGTCTTCCTAGTTGTATGATCACAATCCATTTGACTAGCTAATAACCAATGATTACTTCAAATTCAAAAGGAAAGTCAACAAAATTAGCACATACTTCATGTTCAGTAATACGCTTCAACTCCATTTCCGCTACATCTAGTGCTTCAACAATCAAGTCGGTTGCTGTAAGAGTTTCTTGAGTTTTCTTCCCAGCCAAGGCAACAGCTCCCTCTTCTGGGATCTCTTCTTTTGGTGCAAATCTGTTTTCAAATGGATTCTCCAGATCAGCTTCAAACATTTCTTCCAACCTCTTCTCCTTCTCTTCCTGCAATATACAATAACACATTCATCAGGGCTACCTAGAACAAGTACAGAAAAAAGACGATATGCCAAAACAAGAAAGGAAATGATTACCTCGATGAAGAACGGCTCCTCAGTGCGATCCCACCGACGTATAGATCGATCATGAGAACCCGTGACAATAAAGTCACCACGGCTACCAATTGCAAGGCACCAAATATCAGCATGATGACCCTCCAGAGTTAGGAGCAGCTCAAATTTGTCAGCATCCCAGTACTTTACAAGTCGATCTTTTCCAGCACTGAACATATAGTGGGTATTTCGCACAAATTGCACTGCCATTACACTGACCAACAAATAGTTTTATTAGAACACTGCCAGCTCACAAGAATATTATTGAACATATCATATAATTTGTACAGAGGAGGCACCTATCAGCATGAGCAAATAGAGATTTGTGACAATCGCCAAAGTCCAAGCCCCAAATCTTCAAGTTTTTGTCAGCTGAGCCAGTGACAATTAAATCTCCATCTGATGAGATATCCATGCACATTACGGGCAGCTTGTGACCATATAGTGTAAGAAAAAGTTTGAGCGAATCCATGAAGAAAACCTGAAAATTGGGAAAAGAGGACTCGAACGATTCAGAAAAAACTAAATGCTGGCAGGTAGCAGGGACCACATCAGAGGATCATAAAAACAATGAGATAGCAAGCCAATAAAAACAAAATATATAAAATAAAATGCAAACTGAAGACAAATCAGATCGACCTTCACTGTGCAATCCAACAGGGCAACCACAATGTATTTAGCATCAGGGCTAATTGCAACCACTAGAACATCATCGTTCATCTTCAGAGACCTCACATTTGATACTGTGAGCTGCTTAGAATCCTGTCAGCCAAATAACAATCAGTCCAGCAATCAGTACCTCAGGAATCTTACTTTGAAATACATATCATACATGGCATTGGAAAAGTAGGACAGGAAAGTATCATCCTCCTAAATGAACAATGGTACTATATAAAGTGCATAGTCACCCATTGATAGGCATTTTATGTCAAACACAAGATAGCGAGGAGCACAATATGTGGCACGACATAAATATTAATAGAAGATATGAGAGATCACACCTGACCAGGTTTCTGTTTGATTTGATACTCCCAGAACTTAACATCATGATCTGCACTGCCTGTGACAAACCCATTTTCATCTGGAATCGCAGTAATAGAACGAATGGCACCACCGTGAGCTTCCACTTCCTCAATTCTAGTGGCACTTCCTATGTCAATGATTTCAACAGTTCCACCTTTCGTCCCAACAAGTGCATACCTGTTATGTGGAACAAACAATCCACACAGTCCATATCCAGAGTCAATAGTTCGAAGACAAGAACCGGTGCTTGGATTCCAAATCTTTACTGCATTGTGACTAGTGGACAGCAAAAGACTATTGTCCGAACTGAGTGTAAGACTCCTGACATCAGACCGGTGCCCGTGGAGTTCAATAGCTAGATTCTTTTTGTTTGCATCATTTTCAATGGAATAAAACTCCAACAAGTTATTATTCAATGACAATGCCAATGTAGCCAATGAGTTATTTGGTGTAACTGGGCTGAACGATATGGAGCACACTTTTTTGCCTGCTCGAATGGTTTGCAGAAGCTTAAAGATATCAGTTACAATAATCAGAGTACCACTCCCATCTTCTTCTGTAGCAGGCTCTTTAGTATTTTCAGCAACCTCAACTGATCCTTTTGATGACTTCTTCTCCTTCTTCCTATGCAACCGACGTTTAGCCTTGCGCTTTGCTTCAACCTCATCAAGGACATTGAATATCTCCACTATCTTCCCAGCTGACTGACAAGCAAGCAAATTACCAGACAAATTGAACCTCACAGTTCCTACCCTATCTTTCGTTTGCCTCTGGATCTCACCAAGAAATTTCACAACTTCCCATTTATTGGCATCCCCATTTTCATTGCCCACATCTTTTTTGCCTTCTGCCTCGTCCTTAATTGTGTAAAACCGAATTTCAGGGTCCGCGGAACCACTAACCAAGTATCTTTCTTCTGGGTCGACATCAATCGACCAAACCTCACTGTGGTGTCCGCTGATAATTTGCACGCAATGCTGTGTTTCAAGATCCCACACTCTCAAAAACTTGTCCTTGGATGAAGTCACTAGTTTCTTCCCGGACTCCAAAAACACAAGGTCAGTAACCTGCAATGCCGATAAACAGAGAGAAAAGTGGTATTATGATCTGGAAATACAATGCACAAAACCAAACCAGGAGTTGACCCTCGTAAGCTTCTTTCACCTGGTCGCGATGTCCTCGAAGGCGAAAGAGACCGGTCTCCCCAACCACATCCCACAATATAACATCATTATCTTTACTTCCTGATGCAAGCTGAGCACCACTTTTGTTGAATCGTAGAGCAGTCACCGCACCTTTGTGGCCATTCAATGTAGTCTCGCAGGTTCCCTTGTCACTATCCCAAATCCTAATACTACCGTCGGCATAACCACTTGCTACCTGCACTTGGAAAAATCAGAAATCAGTTCTTGTCTTCAGCATTACTCCCCATTCTCAAAACCAAAAACCTTAATAGAGCACCGCTCCAAGTTCTGAAACCTATAAATCATCCTAATTGATTCAGCTAACCAACGCTTACTGAACGCAAAATGGAGAAGACTTCGACTTCCAGTAATTCCATTAATTACCAGCGGTGAAGACATGGAGGCGGCTATGGAGGTGACTGCGAGAGAAGGCCCACTACGAGAAGCCGTCGAAGGCTCTAGCGTTCTCGTGCAGATGCCTTGCCGGACATGCCAAACTCCGACCTTCTCGAGCGCCGGAGCTAGCAGGTGCTTCCCGGAGCTGTCGAAGGCTATGTTCGATTCGACTGAGGCTATCACGCCGAACGAAGCCCGAGGCTCGTACCTCAGGTAAGATTTCACCATGGCGACCGCCGCTTAGTTTTGCTTCCTGCTTCTCTGCTCTGGTCGCGGCAGTTATGGCGGCTGAGGTTTTCCAAGGGTTTTACAGAAAGGCGCCTTTCTCTCCTCCGTCGCCTTCCTTTCTGGGCGGTGCTTTGGTTTATTTTTTGATTTGTTGTAATATTTTTGTGTTTTGTAAAATTCCTCAGCGTTTTGGGCCGAAGCCCAATATTAGTAGTAAATCAATTTTTCCTTACCGGGTTACTTCTGCTGGGGGCCTGTCAATGGATTGGTTTCCGATAGCGGGCCTTAAGCCCGATCATGAATCTAATATTGCAAGTGTAAATAGGTCATGGTCATTTGGTAACTGACTCACTGTAGTATATGTTGTGAATGTACATTGACACTGGGCCGTGCTTGGACCGGCGTGTCATGCAAGCCCATTTGTTAATTTTGTTAGGTCCGACCTAAGAGTGTTAGAGAATTGAAACTATCAGTTAAACTCATCAGTTAAACTCATCAATTGTAAGTATTGTGCTACTGATCATTAGCATTTTATATTTGCAGTGGGTTTTCTCCAACTATCAATCATCTAGGGCTCGAATGATAATGATAAATTGATAATCATGGATGGTTAGTTTATTATTATTGCTTATATATAATGATAGTTTATGATAGTAACAACATATGGTTATGTTTATTCATTAACAAGATAATTATTTTCATGTAATGTTATGTTATTTGGTTAATCCGATTATCTGATTAACCAAACCAATTAACTTTTATTTGGTTAATTTGGTTTTTATGTTAATTTTGACAATTTGATTGAGATATTTTATTCCATAGTTAATGAAATTTAGATTTAATTGGTTTTGTTATTAACGGGGTAACCATTTGAACACTTTTACCAGCGGCTATGCCGAGCCAGGCCTACAACCGCAGCCGTTTCGTTCCTTTCCGAGCTGTCTCGGATTCTGTTGGTCCTTTCTTCCTCCCATAACTGTCACCTCCTCCGGCGTGTCTTGTTTCAATCTATTGCCGTCGCCATGACCGAGATTGGCAGTTGGGATTGGGGTCGGGATCTGCCGCTAAGCTCACTGGGAGACGACCTCGTCGTCGAAATTCTTATCCGCCTCCCAAACCCTAGATACTCGTGCCGCTGCAAAGCCGTCTGCAAGCGGTGGAGATCCCTCATCTCCGACCCCAGCTTCAATCGCCGTTTTATTTCTCATCACCAAGGTAGGTACCGACCAGCATCTCTGTTCCTTCCCGCACACGACCCCGAGTTCATCCTCAGCTTTCTCCCCGTGCCGGATGAAGCTCGGTCGAAATTGAGAGTCTTCGATTGCTTCAAGGACTTGCTTTTGTGCGGGTTTGTTAAATATAATTGCGAATTGCGCAGATCCTACCTGATCTGCAATCCATTTACCAAGCAATGGATCACCCTTCCTTTGCCGCCTGAATTACCACCGCATATTGAATCGGCAGCAGGGTTAGTTTGTCGACCCCGTTCTGGTTGGAGTAAATATAATCTTGTGCAGCTGCAGGTAGGAGATGAATCAGAACCACCACCCTTTGTTTATTGTGAGTATCGTTTCCGCGTGGTGTGTCTTTTCTAGCTTCCTTTGAATAATCAAGTACTGCTGGTGTTTTGTTCCGAGTCTGGGAAATGGAGGGTGATGCATCTTGAGCACTTCGTGAAAGTGCCAATGGGCAATGCACTCACGTGGGACAGGAAGTTGTTTTGGGTGCAGGATGACCTCAATAATCATTGCTCTATGTTCGCTATGTATGATCCTTTCCATCCTTATAAACTCCATGGATGGAAAAATGCACCTAATAGTTTGTGGAGGTATTTGAGCAATGGAGATGGATATGGAAATTTTTCAATCTCACAGGGTGCTTTACACATAATTGTACTCGAAGTTGGCCGTCCAGATAAAGTGTTGAGTGTTTGGAGACAAGTAGAAGATCGTTGGACCTTACAATATAAAACGGTGTTGAAGATTACATCGCCATCATTTTGGGGTGACTATAAACTCAAGCATTGTTCTGTGATGGATCTGCACCCGGAGAGGCCGGAAGTTGTCTTCTTTCAATACCGGGAGTATCCTGAATGTATCTTATTCTGCAATTTGAAGACGGGGATGGGAGAGCCGGAGTTCTTTTCTGCAACAAAATTTTATCTGAATGATCCATGTTGGAGGGTGCTGCGGGCTAGAGTCACTTGCTGGCCTACTCCAATTCCGAGGTACGAGCAGTTGCGAGGTATGTACGATGGAAGCTACGATTGTTGGGTTCAGAACACCAGTACGACAACACTTCCATCTACAATTGGTAATTGCTTCCAAGTTACCTTTTTCCCTAGCCTGCCATTCTCTGCCATTGCTTCTCTTCTGCTTTCCTCGCTTAATCATGTAAACGCCTATTAAATAGCACGTACACATACATAAATCATAAATGCGTACATAGAAACGTACTGTGTACATGAGAGAGAGCTAGTGACACATGCTATTCTCTCGATTTCTTTATGTGTGGCTTCTAATATCTTACACCCCGTCTCATTTATGCTGTGTGTGTTGGTAACCAACAGAAGAATGCCAACCTTTGGTTGAGCAATCTGGTCATAGGAGGAAGGGCAAGAGATCAGCAGCAGCAGCAGCAGCTGCAGTACAGTCCGGTCAAAGAAAGTCGAAGGTGGTGAAAGGCGTGCAGTAAAAGAAAATTATCTTCTGTGATCGATTGAAGGGAAAAGAGAAGCAATGGCAAGGCCAATTGGTAGGTGTTGTACTGATGATCGTAAGAGATGGACAGCAGCAGGAGTATGAACTATCAAGTATTAGCATGCGTTGGATGTTATTTAGAATGTCGAAGCAGTAGTGGCTGCGTTGGATATATGTGCATATGCTAAGGAAGAGAAACTCGTTCGAAAGGACATCTTCTGTGTGTATTGTGTATTTATCTATTTAAGATGGCAGGCACTGTTAAGGACAGTTCCATTCCACTGATAATTATTCTCTTTCAGATGCTTTTCCAGTTGATTATAATGTGCGGTAGTCGTCGTATTCCTAGCTATCATGTTTATGAAACACTGGTTCCTCGATCTGGATTCATACCAGTTTTGATTGAACTAGCAGCATATGTGCTTGAGAGAACAGTATAGAAGCCTGAACCTGAAGCATGTAAGATGGCAGCAATCTCATAACAAGAATGTGTCGTTAGAAAGATGTTACCCACTAACCACTGCAGGTTCGGGCAATGTTCGAATCTTGTCGTGCATATTCGTGCTCGTGTCATGCTCGTATTCCTGTGTAATGAAAAGGACGAAAACAAAAGAGAGAATGAAAAAGAAAGTGAAAATTGGACGGGAGAAGATAGTATTAACCGATAATGTTTGAGAAAAGTAACAAATAAGGGGGAAATGAAAATTGGAAGTATAGTAAGTGTGATTTGGCTTTGTTTAATTCTTTGTCCATTTTTACTTATGTTAGTAATTACGTATATATCTTTATGACACTTCTAACAACAACAAATAATTATTTTTCTACTTGTATTTTGTAATATTTGAAACTATAATTCTTTTTATATTTATTTTCTATCAAGTAAATATTATTTTCGTGTCATGTCCGTTCTTATACTCAATAAAGTCTCGAAAATATTAGGTTCGACATGGCTCACTTATATACCGTGTTGTGTCCGTGCTCGTGTCTGTGCCATGAAGTTTAGGCCCGGCACGGCCCATAAATTATTCGTGCTCGTGCCGGATTGGCCCATTTATTCCGTGCCCGTGCTCGTGTCGTGCTCTAACCGTACAGTGTCGTGCCGTGCTAGCCCGTGGGCGGCACGACCCGGTGCCCACGTACAGTTGTGAAGGGGTGCAACTTGCAAGTGCAATGTAGTTGGAAGCTGTAACAATTGTAGCTACGGTCAAAAAAAAAAATACAAGTCTTGTCCAGCATTGGATTCTTTACTTGTCCATTTATCACGTCCGCTACATAACAAAATCAGGGTGTTGACTAGAGAAAGGGACACTTGCCGTTTGTAATGTACGCGTTGATGCTGTATTTTGTGTGTATTAGGTCTCGGTTCAAGCTATAAATTGTTTTTTCTGTAAAAAAAAGCTATAAATTGTTTAATTATAGAGAGTCTTTATCTTTCAATTGTATTAAGTCCTTTTCTTGTCAAAATGTAACAAGAAGATAATTCAAGGGGGGGAAAATGTAACAAGAAGACACCAAGTAGAAACAAATCAACCCCCTATTACAAGACAGTTAACGAAATTGAGACACACCAACTTTAAATTAGACAGAGCGTTAGAGGTTTTACGCATCACTCTATGTATATCATTTAAATATTTATTACAAAATTCAAAAGAGTTGAACGGAAAGTTTTAAATGAATAATGACTTATAATTAAATTAATAATTTACATGTTAACTATTTTGTAAGAAAATTGTTTAAAACTCAATATTTTTCAGCGCAGCTCCAAACAACTCGATATAATTAGGAGATTGGTTCAAACTTCAAAGCATATAACACTAGTACAATAGTAAGTGAGAGACCCCACGTTCGAAAATCTTCATTATCTATGATCTCGAGAATCGATTTTATGCACACATACGATAGTCTCTTTCTCGCAAATCCGAGCATTGCTATACCCATATTTTCTCTTATCCAGTAAACCAAGAAGAGAGACCCACAAGTCTCTGCCACTTCTTCGTCGAGTGCTGCTTGTTGGGCACCATAAGTCCCATAACAAGACCCATTGCTGAGGAAATGGAGCCGTTATATTTGAACAGTTTGGAAGCTTTCCTCGTTGTCCGAGGCCAAAGACATTGAAAAGACATCATCGCATAATATATAAATCGATCACAGCATGGCATGTGACGATGATGATACATATATAGCAGGGCTGGCCATTCTGAGAAACAATGGGGTCGACTGTCGATATTTGTTTCGATATCATCATCAGCAAGCTTCATCTAGTAATTCAGAGCCACAGCTTTATCATCAACGCACCACAAAAAAGGTATACCTCCAATGATGGGAAAAAGGGGTGAAGAATGATTCATCGTGACAGCATTGATGTACGTTATATAATGTAGTATTTGATGAAACCCTAAAACGCTTGGTTGTCACGCCGTCTACCTGTCGGTCGGTTCAACCCGGTACAATTGGAACCGGTCATCAAATCTGTTGGAAAAGACTACTATTGAGTTTTGGTGAAATCCAGTCAATATCAATTAAATTCGGTCAAAACCGAAAATACCGATAGAGGAGATCAGGAATCGGATTTCAGTGTTTTCACTCATGCCCTGCAAAAATAATTACCCTATATTCGTATAATTTCATTCACATCCCTTTTATTTAGTATTTAGTTATTTCGATTTTGAATTTAAATCTACGCATTGCGGCATTGGAACAAAGAGAGATAAAATTCAGAGGAGAAAAGAGACATAAATTGTTACCGTCTACAATTTTTTTATTTAGTAATTTGCCTATAGAGACATCTTATAATTTATTTATTTTTTCATAATCCGCCACATATATTGCAGATTGTTTAGTTTCTTCACTTTCCAAGAGGAGATTAATTAGTGACAGCCACACAATACATGGACGATCGATGCTGCCCATTTCTGGAACTTGTCCTGTTTCTCCATACGAATCACATATCGCACCAGGTCTGGTATAATAATATATATACTTTCGAACAATTTGGTTTCACCTCAAAGCAACAAAGTGACGAAACTACACAGCTCATTGACAAGTATGGTAACAATACAAAATCGATTCAAATGGGCATTATTTTATTGCTGGTTCTTCGATTCCGTTGGGAATAGTATATGTCTTTTGGCCAGCAGAGGAAGAAGAAGAAGATGCTTACATCTACGACGAACTTCCATATGTACGTGCGCATAGAAACCCTAGCTAGCTAACCTTGTGAGTTGGGGTGACAACGAAAGCTTGAAGTCATTTGTGCCGTAAGTATAATAATTTCATTATAAGTGGGGTGAGAGTTTAGACAAATATGTAAATTCTTTTAACTTTTGTGTTCATATTGATAAGATATCATTTCGAGATTTTTTTTTTTTTTGTATATTAGGGTATTACTGAGGAAGAGTAAGACATTGATGATTGATGTCGAGAGTGTATTATCGGCTTATCGTTGATATAATAATATGATGTAGGCTAGAGAAAGAGGATGTGAATATAACTGAGATGAGCATTGAAAATTTTTAATTTTGTGTCAATCGTCATGCACCTATAGGGGATTCCTATTTCCGTTTTTATACGCTTGTTGAGTAATAAATTCGAGTCGAGTATGCGTTAAACCGAGTTTGGACAAGCTAAGTCAACTCATCCACTCCTTATCGACTCCAACCATTTTGGTAATGAACATTAATGAATGTAATAATAAACCATCTTTGAACGTCTGTTTCCAATTTGGCAGCCTCTGTCTGGCGGTCTGGCCTGATGGAGATAGAGCAAGATCTAGCTTACCCATGGGAACATGGCGGGTCCGCCGGCCTTTTTCGATACCACGAAGTGGTGGACGATATTTTTTTGCACGGTGTGAGCTCATTTAGATATAGACGCCATAAATATTTTTTTTGGTGAATTGATATGGACGCCATTAATAATTAGCAACAATAATTATGTGCTCTATGTTAAGATATTTAGCATTATGGAAATTTAAACAAAATTAAATCGAAACCGGCGGTGGCAAAATTGTTCCGGTCGCCGTCACCAGAAAGTGATCGGGGAGCCTCCTGAAGAGGACAGACCGACCACACCATTACTTTAATCCGGTTATGGGGAATATTGCTGGCCTATCTTCTTAATTCATTTCTAATGGCCATTTTAATTTAGCAGTTTCATTTTAATATCTTTCGACGACGTCTATACAGTGGAATATTAGAAATACCATAAAGAAATTTGTAGTTTTGTAATTAAGCTATATACGGGCACGGTTCCTCCGATAATATTCCACACGTCAAGGACGGCCGACCAAAGGTAGTCCAAGTACGATTACATGCAATACAATACAATACAACAAAATTACATGGTCATGAAAAGTTATTAGTGATCATTTTGGTTCTTTTATTTAGTGTCCATTTATTGGGTTTCCGAAAACCGAATTTTTAGTAGATGTATTAGCATTGAAAGCTTAAAGCATGTATCAAACTAGCATTATAGTGATATCATAACTTAGAAAAAAGTCTATGAATGGAACTTAACCACTCCTTACCGTTTCATAAACATGTCTTTCTTGTTGTTTGAAATTGATTAAACGATTTATATTTACCATGCGAGAACTTTTCAAAGACTCACTCGTATGTCTATCGAAAATTTGAATTCTATGAAGTATGAATGTATAATCCCATCAGATCTACTAAACCATAAATAATTAGGTCTGATAACTTGATGATGAATCACGATGAGCCACGAAATAGGCTTGGAACTAGGGTTATAGGTATAATATGCCCCTCTACTATGTCGTTTTATCAAACATGCCCCTCTACTGTTTTTTACATCAAACATGTCCTTGTACTTTAGAAAAATGATCAAACATGCCCTTCTGTTAATATTTTCATCCAAAAACAGTCAATCATGGTCGTACCTTGGTTTGGGCGACACAAATGTCTAAAATATCCTTGGTAATTTCACTTTAAAATTTTTTGGGTTCTTTTGTAGAGCCAAATACCTCTAATAATTTCACTTTCACGAGACCTAGAAAAAATAAAATGGGGAACAAAACTGACATTTTCGCTCTCATTTGTCGATGTCGGGTCATCTACATCTCGGTTCAACCATGGTTGGCGATTTTTTTAATGGAAATTTTAACAGAATGACATGTTTGATCATTTTCCAAAGTACAAGGGTATGTTTGATATAAAAAATCGTCTAGGGGCATGTTTGATAAAACTACATAGTAGAGGATATTATACCTTCCTTAAAACCCACCTTATACATTTGTTGGCTTCGAAAGATAGTGCTTTAGTGGAGATAAGATATATACCCATAACCATTTCTTTCTTCTTCTTCTTCTGCTGTCGCAGTCGAGATCTAACCGGCCATGTTTCTTTTGAGTTTCATATATGTGTTGTTCTTTTTTGTATGAGAACAGGATGTTAGCTTGAGAGAGGGTGAAAAAGAGAAATCATGGAGTTGGAAGAATGAATTGGATTTTGGAAGGTGTACAAGAAGTTATATAATGTTATCATGAGAAGGGAAAGGAAAGGTTTATGCGCTATGTTAGGTAGCAAGAGCACACATATATGGTATAGATCATGCACGCACTAATACTAACTAGTTAGATTAGGGATTAATAGTTCTTAATTATTCCATAATGCATGATTAGTGGACAACCCTCATGTTTCAAATCTACATGCGACAAACCTCATGTTTATATTTGAGGGATTGTTTGATGAAAAAAGTAGGAAAAAATAGTTATGTTCGACAGATAATTGTCGAATTGTTTATTTGTGTATGAAGAGTAGGGTACCGTATATAGACGTACAATACTTCAATAAAAAAAAGTAAAACTGAATCGATTGTATTATTTCAAGTTTTAAAATCATAAATTTTAATTTGAAAATATGACTTCACGATCGCTCGACTATGCCTCGTTATTGGGCACATTTACTAATATTTTGGTTTGGATGCTTCTATTCCTTTTTCGTTACTTTTGTTTCATTCCACGGAACTTTCTGCTACCCTAAAGCTACAAATTTGCAAAGTACGTACTCCATAAATATAATGACTAATTAGTTCTTCATTACTTTTCATTTTTGGCATATATTATTTTTTTGGCATATATATTGTACCATCAAAAGGAAGGGCAAGTGGATATATATCTATATGAACTTCGAGATTCTTCTTGTTTGCTTGTTGACCTTATAAAGCAAAAGCCTAGCAAGATTTTTCAAAATTGTTTATTTATTGTGGTCATAATAGGTGTATAAATTAATGGTACCACTTTATAGGACGGGTTAACAGATTAAAATTGTTTGTTAGTGAAATATACATAGATAATTGGGTGCTTATCCATAAATCTAGGGTTATTAAGGAACGAAATTGAGTAAAATAATTGAAAAGGTTGCAAATAAGGACACCCTATTCCCTCTTGTTAATAATTGAGCCGGGCTATTGCAAAAAAAAAAAAAAAAAATTAAGAAGTATATTTGCTTCATTTACCCCTTAAATTTCCCCATAATATATGTACTGGTTTTGAAGGTATTAATTTTAAAAGTGAAACGTTTACTCTCAATTTAAGTAAATTGAAATATTCGTATAATGGATTTTGTTATTGGGTCATTAGCTATCGATCTAAGCATGTCACCCTTACGTGCTTATGTAGAGATAGAACAAAAGGCATTAAACAAAGTGAAGGATAAACAAAAGCAAAACGTACTAATCAATGGCTAATCATGCCCACCCCTTGTATTAGTCCACACGTATAATTATCTATATTAGTAATATCAACAAACCACTATATGAACAACTCTACTTTACACACATCCCTTCTTATTATTCTTTTCTTTAATTATGATTAATATTGTTAATCATCTCACCAAACCACTAACCAACTCCTTGTGTCACCACTCTCCTAAGAGTTATTTGTCATTTTCCCTTACTTCGTTTTCCAACACTCTTATAAAAATGACTAATTCCCTTCCGTATTGTCAACTAATTTCTTCATACATGATTTGTTTTTTAGTCATCAGGATAAAAATTGGTTTATATGAGTATTTGTTTTGTCGATTTTTATGTGTGCATGAATGAATTAACCTGTGCAGTTTGAGAAGAAATGAGAGCAGTAAAACCTTGATTCGACTCTATTAGTTGAATTTGTGTTGGTTCAATTAGTTCTAAAAAATATATATATATATATATATATATATTTTTTTTTTTTTTTATTCAACGAAAAAAAAAAATTTTCCTTTTCAAACCCCCGAAGCATCAATGTTACCTTAAATTCTCCGACGAACTAGTCAAGCAAATTAACTCCTAGAGGGGAGGAAGATCAACACTAGACAGTGTGCTATCTGATCTTTGAATTTGAAGTGTGTGGAGGATGAGTTGATGAATCTAATGTTTGGAGTACATAAACCTCCCTTTAAAAATCAAAGTAGATAGCATCCCGACATAAATTTATAAAAATTTTATTGACATTTTTGTTCTTTACATCATATTGTCAAAAAAAAAAATTATCCATAAAGAAATTGTCAAGTTTTTCAATGTGTCACACAAAATTAAAGTGATGATCTATTGCAGTTACTAGATTACGATATACATGAGTTTCACATCTCTGACACAAAAAAAGTTTGTTTACCTTCTATTTATTTGACAATAGAATGCAATGCTTGTATGCATCACATTTATCAACGAGTAGTTATATGCAGGGCGCGTCTTTATTATATCATTGTATAATTATAATTTTGATTCGTCTCAAAACAACGCAATCATCAATTGAATAACAACGGGGAATGTGTGAAAATCATTTATATAATTTATGGTATTTGATGTTTTTCTTAAATGTATTTTATATAATTTCATACTCATTTAATTACCATAATGCAAAAAAATTATATATAAAAATATAAAAATTAGTTACAATCTAACTTATATCATCAAATTTTTGGTAAATACATGCAAAATCATCAATAATGTACCATATAAATATGTTTTTAACCAAACCTGCCTATGTGGCAGGGAGTGAAAATTTGCGTTTTGGTCATGACTGACAGTGGGGAAGCCATTTGTAAAGGCGAGAAAGGTCGGGGATTCGATACGTAATATATAAACTCATTTGTCTTTTTTATCATCAATTCATCATCAGTCCCCATCGGATTTCTTTATTCGTCTCCAAGGCCACATATAAAACATTACCCGCTGCCCAAAATTCGAAACGAAAAGAAGGGTGAAAAGGCCGAGCGAGCAGCGGCAGCGGTTACGGCGGCTTTCTTGTAGCAGAGCATAACAATTTTCAACGCGCTCAACAACAACCACGGCTACGGCCTACGAACAACTCCGACGACGACCGCTACTAACTTTCCACCACTGCAGCTGACTGAAAACTTCTCTTCATTCTCTCCTTCCCCGGCTTCTTCCGAAGGTATAAACACTCTCTCCCTTTCCCGCTTTCCGGCGACTTCTAATATGTACGGTAGGTAGGCGTTTCGGATTCCGATTTCCGGAGATGGACGATGTTTGCTTTCTCCGGTTTGTTTTGGCGAGAATGCTTTCACTATGAGATCTGGAAGCGATGGCGGAAATGAGTGTTTGGTTACTCGGGGAGGATGCTGAGATAACAGCTGCTATACCGATACAGTTCCGTTTTCGTGTTTTTTATTTGATAATTTACTTTATTTTATCACTGTCTTGTTGTAGTTTCTCATCTCTTTTGCGTTTCGTTTTCTAGCTTGTTTTGGAGGTTTTCGATTCTGGAAATTGTTGCTTACGGTAACGTCAAAGCGGTACAGTTCTCTCCTGCCTGTGTTCTGATTCATCAGGATTTGTTTTTGTTTCCGAGCAAACTCTGCTTTCCTTTTTTTTTGGTTCGACTTTGGATTGTCTGTTGACTTTATGAGTTCTGTACGTCATTGATTTGTGACTGTATACAATAGTGAATAGTTGATCATCAATGGAGGGTGTAAGCTTGTGAAATTTTCTTGGTCCTAACAGTTAGATTGTTAGAAATGGAAGAATAGGCAAATAATGGTGGATTCTTCTGTGTTTCTTTACTCCTCCGTGTGCTTTGTTTTGGTTTGATTCACAGACATTTGAGTTTCGTTTGTTTTTGTGTGGTGATCGCTTTGTTCTGTGGAACATGCAACAAAGCTGGATTTTGTTGGTGTTTGATCATTAACAGCTGAAATTCCTCTGCTATGTATTGACAGGTTGAAGGGAACGGTGGCGTTCAAGTGTTACGAGATCGGGGTAGATATCCCTATTGAAAACCTGAGGTCTGATTGTTGAGAGGAACTGGTTATCTTTCAGGCATTATGCATGTCTGATCCAGTGGCCACCGTGGTTGATGTGCCAAGAGGACTGAATTTGGCTGACAGAACAAAATCTGTTGATGCAATATCCAGCAGGGACTTCTCATCTCTATCTGTCAACGGAGAAGTACCCCACAGGTTCTCCGAGAGCCCCTCCTTCAGAATCGGTGAGCTGTTTCTCACCAATGGGGAATCATATTTCGGTTCGTTGCTGGGAAATGTACCGGAGGGTAAGGGCAAGTATGTCTGGTCAGATGGTTGTATTTATGAAGGTGAATGGAGACGTGGGATAAGGAGTGGGGTTGGGAAAATCCAGTGGCCTTCAGGAGCAGCCTATGAAGGCAAATTCTCAGGTGGTTATATGCATGGTGCTGGTAGCTACATTGGTGCAAATAACATTACATACCGAGGGAGATGGCGGTTGAACCTCAAGCATGGGTTGGGATATCAAGTTTATCCTAATGGAGATGTCTGCGAAGGGTCTTGGCTACAAGGAACACCAGAAGGACCCGGGAAGTACACATGGGCTAATGGAAACGTCTATATGGGGAACATGAAAGGTGGGAAAATGACAGGGAAAGGGACTTTCACTTGGGTGAATGGGGATTCATTTGAAGGAAGCTGGTTAAATGGTATGATGCATGGATTCGGAGTGTATACTTGGAATGATGGTGGTTGCTATGTTGGCACTTGGAGCCATGGTGTGAAGGATGGGAAAGGATCGTTCTACCCCAGTGGCAGTCGGTTTCCTTCAGTACAAGAACGATACCTCAATGCACTTAGGAAAAGAGGGCTGCTCCCTGATATGAGAAAGCAGAACCAAGCACATATACATCATGCTTCTTCAGTGGGCATGGGGAGCATGAAGGCTGGTAGAGATCAAAGGTCCCATCGTGATTCGTCAGGTAATTTAACCAAGGGAAGCTTGATGAGCTTGCAGCAGCAATCTCATAACAAGAATGTGTCGTTAGAAAGACGGTGGAGCCTTGAGGTGTCGATTGAACAGGTGATGGGACATGATTCATCGATTGAGTCATCTGAATTTGATGGATCTAGCCTCCCACCGATCCTGGAAAGAGAATATATGCAAGGTGTTCTGATTAGTGAGATTGTACTGAATGACGACTTTTCATCAATGTCCAGAAGGGCAAAGCGAAGGCAAAAGAAGTTTGTTAGGGAGATCAAGCGACCTGGTGAAACTATACTTAAAGGGCACCGTAGTTATGACTTGATGCTCAGTTTGCAGCTTGGTATCAGGTAAATGAAACAATAGTGTTTGTTCCACAATTTTTACTCTCTCTTTTTCCCTTCTAGAAAGTGTATTGAATGCGGTGATGTGTTATCAGGTATACAGTAGGGAAGAATACCCCTGTACAGAGACGAGAAGTTCGCGCATCGGATTTTGGTTCAAGGGCTAGTTTTTGGATGCAGTTCCCCAAGGATGGATCACAGTTGACACCTCCACATCATTCAGACGATTTTAAGTGGAAGGATTACTGCCCTATGGTTTTTAGGTGTGTTATTTTGGCCTTGAATTTGATATTATAGGAATCTTTCTGCTGTTCTATTTATGTTTTTAAATCCTGCATTGCTTTTCCAATGCTTAAACATACTGTTCTTGTTTGAATTGTAGAAATTTGAGGGAGATGTTCAAGATCGATGCTGCTGATTACATGATGTCTATATGTGGCAATGATGGTCTTAGGGAACTCTCTTCTCCGGGGAAAAGTGGGAGCATTTTCTTCTTGTCTCATGATGACCGCTTCATGATTAAGACGCTCAGGAAGTCTGAAGTCCAGGTTTGTTTATAAATTCATGTGCTGCTTGTTAGTTCAGGAGCTGTTTATTGGCTTCCAATGCATGCTGCTTCAGATCTGAATGTTTTCGTCCTGAAATTGTTCTGATTATGCAGGTACTTCTGAAAATGCTCCCTGATTACCATCATCACGTGAGAACATATGAAAACACACTCATAACGAAGTTTTTTGGGCTTCATAGGATCAAACCTACAAGTGGTCAGAAGGTACACTAAATGTTCAATCTGGCCTTACAAGTTTGTGTCCTTACAATCTTAGTTTACCATTCTGATTTGCCTTTCTCTTGCAATTGCAGTTTCGTTTCGTGGTTATGGGAAACATGTTCTGCACTGAATTGAGGATCCATCGGAGGTTTGATCTGAAAGGTTCCTCACTAGGGCGATCCACAGAGAAAATAGAAATCGATGAGAACACTACTCTCAAGGATTTGGATCTGAACTACAGCTTCTATTTGGAACCTACTTGGCGAGAATCTTTACTAAAGTAAGTACATTGTCCGAATAACTACTTCTGTCATCCTGCAATAATTTTACAAAGATTTTCCGCTCTAATCCGAACATGAAATGTAACTCCCATTTGCAGGCAGATAGAGACAGACAGCAAATTTTTGGAAGCACAGCATATCATGGATTATAGCCTTCTATTAGGTGTGCATTACAGAGCACCGCAGCACCTTCGGCCCTTCACGTCACTTCGGAAGAACGAAGGGTTAGGAGTTCTGGCCGAGGAAGGTAAGCGTCTCACTCTGGCTCTATTTGATTAAGTATCATGGAATGGTGTCCTTAGTTCATCCAATAGCCAATTTCTATATGAAATACACCATTCCAGATTTCAAGTTTACGAGTTAACTATTGTGCATTGTCAGACACCATCGATGATGAAACATACCCACAAGGTCTAGTCCTCATCCCTCGAGGAGAGGACGATGGCAGTGTCGTTGTTGGTCCTCACATCAGAGGCAGCCGATTGAAAGCCTCAGGTGATGAGGAAGTTGATCTCCTTCTTCCTGGCACTGCAAGGTATTGTACCAACAATCTTTAAATCACATCTCAATAATACATGAATTTTGAAATGGGGTTCCATAACCCCTAGAAAACTCTTAGTAATAGATTATTAATTTTCGCTGTTAACCCGAAACCTCTTGGGGCGCAGGCTTCAGATCCAGCTTGGGGTTAACCTGCCAGCAAGAGCAGAGCAGACTACAGAGGATGAAGCAGGGAAAAAGAAGTTCAATGAAACATATGATGTCGTTCTTTACCTTGGCATAATCGACATTCTCCAGGAGTACAACATTAGTAAGAAGATTGAGCACGCTTACAAAGCTTTCCAATTCGATTCCTTGTCGATTTCAGCTGTGGATCCCACGTTCTACTCCAGGCGCTTCCTGGAGTTCATACAGAAGGCATTCCCTCCCAATGCTGTCACCCTCTAAGAAGCCGTTCCCTCCATTTTCCTTCCTTTCATTCCATGAGGCACAGCAGATTCTTGTTTTTTGTCGAACCGATTGGCTCGATGGCGACCACCACGAATGATAATTCGACTTGTACATTACAAGCCTCGTACAAACACAACTGATTGAGCCATATACATATGCATCATTTCATATAATGCCATGCATGCATCTGCTGTTAGAAATATAGGATCGTCGTGGTCATTGCAGATGATCAATTGCTCTCTTAAAAATTTGATATGGCCTGAGCAGTATTTGATCCTCTCAAAGATGTAACACCTCTGTTAAAACATTCAACCGCAAATCACAACATTCAGAGTTTCAGATGACGACGACTAACAGCTTTGAGGTGAAATGTTTAATCATGAATTTCAGGCAATCAAAACAAAGGCTTGTTCTGAAGAGTACCAAAGCAGAACAAACCTTCCCAATTCGCTTAAGCTAAAGAGTACAAACACTTCACTATCGTATGATACCCAAAAAAAAAAAAACTTATCCCATATTGAGTGGAGGAGGTGGAGGGACGCCATGCCCTGGGAAACCCTGAGGCATCGGAGGCCTGCCCATCTGAGCACCAGGAGTGAAATTAGCCATCCCACTGCCGCCTGGCGGTGGAGGCGGAGCTGGTGGAGCCTCCCCTGGAGGCATAGGTCTAGGACCGTTCCCCATTTGGGGTGGCGGTGGAGGTGGCCTTGCTCCTCCGTCTGGAGGTGGAGGAGGGGGTAGACCCTGCGGTGGTGGCGGTGGGAGAGTCCTTGGAGGGGCGCCAGGAGCAGACGTGCCATTCGCTGTTGCCGCACCAGCAGCTGGAGGTTTGTTGGTCTCTGGTGGCTTGGTCTTAAAGTATAGCTGTAACTGTACATTGAAAACAGCGTTGTTATATATCAAAGAAACTGTATAACTGTTGCACCGGTCATGCGTACAAAATGGAAACAATAAGGAGAAGCTTACAGTGAACATCTTGGAGTCGGGATCCCAATGTGAGAAGAACTTGGGAGTTGACTTGTCGATTTCTGTGCTGGGGACCTTGAAGGCAACAATCTCATATGGTTCTGCTGCGAACAGAAGATACTGGTAACTCTTGTCATAGGATTGGACTTTCTGAAATATGTAGAGAGCACAACACAAGTCAGAAACTTCGCAAATCTGACGTCCGATTAATCAACCATAACGACCAGATGATAACTTCATACCTGCTCATAAGATGACATAAACCTGTGCCTGGGCTTTGTGTTGTCTTCGATTTCGGGATACTCGATCTAAATAACACCCAAATGAATCATTGTTGGAATAACGCATGGAATAACGCACAGTGCAGGGGGGGGGGGGGGGGGGGGGGGGGGGGGGGGGGAGGGGAGAATTGTGGACCTCTGGTTATTAGGACTAGGAATTGAGTGTGAATCAAAGTACCTGAAAGAGAAGAGATCTCTGCTTAGTCTCCGGATCAAACTGCTTGGTCACACGGTACCCAGGTCTGCCGATTTTGACTGCAAAAAGACCCCATTAACAAGAACCCGTCAACTAAAATACCATATGCAGTTGACACCACGAATTCCACAAGTTCACTTTGTAATGCTACAGATTTATTCCCTCAACCACAATCAAGACCACTCCCCAAGTTTATTCGAGTTCAAAAATCGAAACCGAGTCTCGAGCACAATTCTGCACATAACACTTCCCCTCACGCTCCCATACTTTTAAAAATGACAGTTCATAACCAGGACTACATAATAGCTTACACTGCCGATCACTCGTCTGCCCACTATATAGAAACCAGGTCACCAAAATCCATCTTTTCTTTTTTGGGTGACAAAAATCCATCCTTTCTGGTGCACGCTAACAACGGAATCCTGCTCCTAGGAGTAACCATTTCACACTAGCTATCAACAAACAAGCAACTCCATAAAGCTCCGCACTGACTAACAATCCAACAATTCCCTGATTCTTAAAACCCTAATTGAAATGGAGAAGGAAGGGGGGAAAGCTTCTAATTCTCAACAGAAAGAAAGAAAAGCTTGCCTGTCTTGCGAATGTTAACTTTGCGCTTGTTAGGCTGGGGGAGCGCGGGAGCTTCCTTGGCCTCGCGAGCAGCTCTCTTCGCTAAATTTGTCTGGTGACGCTTCCCTTGGGTGTGAGCCAGGTAGTTCCCTTCATTGTTGTGCAAAGTCAGACACAGCTTACACTCATAACTACAAGATCCCAACCCAATCAGCAGAAACAAACTCCAAACAACCAAATTATCCATTAATCAAATCCATCACTCTTCCTCGACGAGACGAAGAGATCGGGAAGCGGGCTATTGAAATCGTGCGTTACCTGCCGAGGTGGTTGCGCATGAAATAGGGATCTTTGGCGAGATCGATGGTCTCGAGGGCGAGTCGCCGGAGACGCTCCCGGCGGTCGATGGCCTCGTTCTGTGAGGAGGCGGCGCCTCCGCTGCCGGGCTTGGAACCCCATTCTCTGTCCATGGCTGCGTTTCTCTGTCGTCTCCTTGCTCGCTCCCTCCAGTGAAAGTGGACGACGGAAGAGGAAGAGGAAGAGGAAGAGAGATGATATAACTAAAGGTTTGATAAATGGCGGTAAAGAATGGACTATTCCGTGAAGGGCCCAAGTTTCAGCCCAGCCCAATAATTTTCGAACGACAAAATCCGAAGCAAATTTGGGCATCTAGCCCAAAATGCCTAGAAGCTAGAACGACTTTTAAAAGGATATAAAAATCTGCTTCATAATGTGCCAAATAATTCAATCCAAAGTGTGTTGAATCAAATCAAAGGTGGGGGTCAACTAATTCAATGAAATTGTGGGACACCTAGACAAAGAGATACATAGCCGAATAAAGTAGTCATTTAATTATATTTTCTTTGGCAAAATTATGAGAAAATATAGTTGTGAATAATATCATTCACTATTTTATTGAATTTAGTTGAGTGAGTGAATAAAAATCTTGCATAATGTAAAAACAGACAAGAATGTGCTTTGACAACCTATTTTCTACTATATTCCCTTATCAATATGTACAAGTGATACTCAACAACCAATCTTCAACTAATCCATCAAATGAGAGAAGATAGTAGCATTATTAATGTGTATTATCTAATATTAAATAGCCCACACAATTATGAAAATGAAAGATTGAACTTAATTTTTGTTTATAGCCCGTCAAAATTAAAGCTCTATAATGAATGAGATTCCTAATCCTTGTTAAGTGGGCAGAAGGAAGGAATAAGTAGGGATGGGGACGTAATCATTTGTGATCAACAAGCCTTAATCAACATCAGTGCACTCGCTAATCATTGTGTTTGGCTTACTTTACATCATCCCCACTCGTGTTTATGTGGTTAATCAAACTCCTAATTATTCCATTTGTTTTGGGAAAAATCGTATACAGAAAGTTGCTTAAGTTGCAGCTTAAGGCAAACCTAAAAGGGGATCCTTTGCTTCCGATTGATGAGGTGGCGTCGTATGAGTGGGCCGATCCCAACAGTATGCCAACTGTGACCAAATTACTCAAGTCTCCTGTGGGCCGTGACAGCGGCCCATCACCTGACTTTCTTACCCGACCGTACGGCCCATTCAGCATTTACCTAATTGCCCTCTCGTTTCTTACGAAACTTCGACATCAATTCCGTTAGCATTTTTTGTCAAAAAAAAAAAAATTCCGTTAGCATTTCTACATCTACACATAGTACATTTGTAGATGTACATTTGTTGTATTCTTTTAAATTAAAAACATATAATAGCAGGGTGGAAAAAACTCTTCCCCCATTTCAAATTCCCTGTTCCATGAGCGTTTGTAGGAAGGGTAAAATAGGGAGTGTCAATTTTTTTCTCTTTCCTCTATGGAACGGGCCAACTTACCGTACACATGCGGATTTAAACGAGTCCAGGAGTGTCAATTTTTTTCTTTATACCCTTTTATTTATCCGTGGTGATAAAATATATATGAAAAGGCAAAAATAATACTCCTTTTTATTGTTAAAAATAAAAAATTTAACAATAGACTAATGCATGGTATCTAATGGGCTAACCGCTAACCATAAAATAAAAGAGTTGAATGGGCCTGATCTACATGGGATTTGGTCATCAAGTAAAACAAATGAACATCATGGGTTTGCCATTCTAAAACAAGCTATTTTCTCTGGCATAATATATATTATGCTATTATTTTATATCTTAGTGGCTAAAATATAATGTATTTTAAAGTTATTCAATGGTTCAACCTCGACCAACCCAATTAGTCCAATTTTTATCATTTCAAATATATATTTTATAATTATTTGACATCATAATGATCAAATTATAGTGTATTTTATAGGGAATCGTTTGGTATTTGTTAGTAAAAAACTAAACATAAAAATCTATTTGGTTATTTTAAACATTAAAACGATCCTCAACATTTTCAGTTCCTTTTGAATTTATATGGTTTTATTCCCGAATAAGTGATGTGCAAATGGCGAATTGTAGTCGTCTTTTTTCTTTCACTATTTTTTTATTTTCAAATAGAAAGTTTAAAAGTAAAGAATAATTAGAATTTGGCATGGGTCGGTCAAACAGGTTGAATTTCAAGTTTTGGCCCATTTGTTTTATGCATTGCAAATTTATTAGCATGTTGATGGAAATGGCTTGGAAAAAAAACATATAAGTTGTATCTTTGCAGAAATGTCCTCAAATGTTTGAATGCTTTGTGAATCAGGTTCTGTGACTTTTGTGATGGTGTATGTGCTTGACGATTGCTCGATGTTGTAACTTCTTAATTTAAGAGTAAATCTTTTGACTTTTCCTATGAGTTGTGATACCAGTTCTAGTGGTTGCAGCATGTTGTCGTTGTTGGCCTGTAAAAGTTGTTTCGCCGTGATGCTAAATACCTTTCCTTCTTTTTTAACAAATTGTGTAGTAGTGCTATGAAACAGACCACCCATGAACGCTACGCTTATTATGTTCTGTTCTTACTTCCGGTGGTGAGAAATTGTGAATTGAAACCGAATGAATTTAAACTTGAAAGATTCTACTCCATCTTTAACCAATCGAGTTGTAACCAAATTATTGTCAATTTCATACGAGTTGAATTAACGTAATTCATTCGAATTTAAACTTGAAAGATTCAACCCGGACTTTAACCAAATTATAGTCAATCCAAGTCTATCTTAAACACACTCATAAGATTACTAAAGAGCATGTCACAAAACACAAATTTGTAATAAAATATTGAGTTACCAGAAAATGGCATCGCGTGCACATAGCATAACAACAACAGTTGTTAATGATGAGACGGGGAAATAATGAAAGCAAAGAAAACAGGACGGAACAGAACATGAGAGGAGCTTGGGAGGGAGAAAGTAAAGAATGACGTTGGATTGGAACGGATGCTCTGCTCACCCAGGTGGGCTTCCCCCCTTTCACTTCTCCTTCTCTCTCTAGTAAGTTAGCCGTTTTCTTCATCTTTAGCTTCTTTCTCCTCTCCTTCACTAAAACAACCTAAAGCAGAAAACTTCGATGCCATTACTACTTTCCCTCCTCTTCCATTCTCCTCTCTCTCTCCTTTTTCCAATATAGATACATTACCCGCATTTCCCTTTCACTCTACCTTTACAGGGATAGAGAGACTCAGAAACCCCCAGAAGAGAAAAGGAAGGTCTTGACTGCCTCCTTTGATCATTATTAGACAGATAGAGACATAGCAGCAGGGGGGAGTTGTTGGGAGAAAAGATAAAAGAAAAGAAAAGAAAAGCTTTGAATTTGAGAGGAGAAGAAAAGTTTGGCTCATTGCTGTTGGAATTTTTTGGGGGAATGGGATCTTCATCAGGGCAAGGTTCAGGTGGTGGGTATGATCTATCCTTCAAGATCCTATTGATTGGAGATTCTGGTGTGGGTAAAAGCAGCCTTCTTGTCAGCTTCATTTCCAGCTCTGTTGAGGATCTTGCTCCCACCATTGGTAAATAATAACCACCCTTTTGGTTTCTGAGTTAATAGTGAAATGGGGATCTTCATTGGTGAATTGTGATCTTTCCCCAATTTGCAGCAATGCCAAACTGTGCTCTTGAGTTTTTCCTTTGTGGTGGGATCTTACTGTTTGCTTATCATCTGAAGGTGTGGACTTTAAGATCAAGCAACTTACTGTAGCCGGGAAGAGATTGAAGCTCACAATTTGGGATACTGGTATGGCTGATTCCTAGGCAGTTACTTTTTTTTTTATTCCAATTCCCCCTTGGTTTTGGTTTTCTGCACTGCAATGCAACAGTTAGGAAGTAGGACTATGCAATTTGGACCACTGTACTTCTTTTTCTTTTGTAGATTGTGAGAGATATGCTGTGAAATGGGGCTTTGAATGAGTTCAATTAATGATCTGTTCAAACCTTTCTCACATTTTGGACCACTCCTCTTTCACATGGAACATTCTGACGAAGGAAAAGTGGATTTGAAATTGTGATGTGTAATTGAAAGGACATTTTGGTTTATTGCAGCTGGGCAGGAGAGGTTCAGGACTCTAACCAGCTCTTACTACAGAAATGCCCAAGGAATCATTCTTGGTACGCTACTTGACTGAATCAACTCTTTTTCTCATATGATTATGCTTGTTGCCGAGTCAAAAGGCCTACATGAATTACTGTGATTTGGTAAGAGGAGAGTTTATGCTTGTTTTGAAAGGCTATATGCATTACTGTGATTTGGTAGAGCAAATGTCCACTCAGGAGTTTGATATTCGTTAGTAAAATAAAGAGGTTTCATATCAGTTTATATCAGTTTGTTGAAGAGACTCATAAGGCATCAGACATGAGCAGGTGTTGTGAAACAACTGTGGAATAAGATCGTTGATGATATAGTTAAAGTTACAAATTCCTTTTATGGTATCATCAGGCTTAAGCATAAGTAGTAACACCACCACCAAATTCCTTCACGAACTCCTTGCATAGCCCTCAAATAAAGTCGTATCTTACCTCTAGACTCACCCATTGCTAGTAGTATCCTTATTCATAAGCTGTTGTTGTGATTATTAGCAACTTCTAACAACCATGCTGCAGTTTACGACGTGACTCGGAGAGAGACATTCACAAACCTCTCAGATGTGTGGGCTAAAGAAGTCGAGCTTTACTGCTCAAATCAGGATTGTGTCAAGATGCTGGTTGGCAACAAAGTTGACAAAGTAAAGTTGCTAACTTTAGTTGTCATCTCTATTGGTTTTGTACCAATTTTCCAAATCAACCTGCCTCATTCTCATTTCCTGTATGTCTGATATTTTCAGGATTCTGAAAGGGCTGTAACCAGAGAAGAAGGCATGGAGCTTGCCAAAGAGCATGGGTGCTTGTTCCTTGAATGCAGTGCTAAAACTAGAGAGAATGTCGAGCAATGCTTTGAGGAGCTCGCACTGAAGGTAACTCAGTTAATCACGCTTCTGAAGATTCATCAATGCAGAAAGTTTGGTAATAAGATCTGGCAATGTCTTGATCTTTTGCAGATAATGGAGGTTCCTAGTCTCTTGGAGGTAGGAGCTACAGCAGGAAAGAGGAACATTCTGAAGCAGAAATCAGATCAACAAAGTCCTCAAAGCGGCGGCTGTTGCTCTTGATGATGATGATGATGACGATTGATGGATTTATGTATGATGGGTCTGTTGTTTGTTTGTTGTTGAATGTTTGACTCACTTTGACCCAAAATCCATCAAACTGATTAATGTATATGAGATCAGGCATTGCTGTCTCTATTTCTTTCTCTGTGTGTGATCTCAAGGGTGCCTTTTGGAGAGTTTCCGATTAGTTTGTACCATTGCCAAAAAGGAGGTTAGAGAGTGCACCAAGAGTAACATATACTAGATTGTGTACATTTGGTTGGTGAGTTCCACTTCTTGGTCAATGCATTCCATTGATTCAGTTAATCCATGTGCCATGTTTCTTCCATTTGAGTGGCCATGGAACTCCCATGAATCATGAGCTTCCTAGGACTTGCTACAAGCATGTTAAGTGGATGGTGGGCAACAACTCATTCCAATCTGTTGACGAACCAATTTCGAATGAAAACACATTATAAATTTGATCTAACCTGATTCAAATATCTTATCAATTCAACTCAATTGCACATTGGTGTCCCACCCTATCTCAAGAAAGACAGCATGTCTGCAAAATCATGGATGAATGGGACTCTAATGAAGCTCATTCCATCATAGTGGTTTGTATCTAATCATTTACCATTTCGTATGAGCAAGAAAACGATAATTGTGACTTGTGAGCTATCAGAAACTCTCACTCATGGGTTGGACTTCAAATACCTAGTTGACATTCACATTTATCCTTTTGCCTATAAACTCCTAACAAACAATCAATAGAGAAAATTTCTCTTCATCGTGTATCTAATTTCGAAAGCTAATCCTGAATTCATGATTCTTGAGCATATAAACAAAAAAAGAAAAGAACTTAATAAACACAACTGAGTACAGGTAGCAGCAAATGTGATTCCAGGCTTAACTCCAGCTCGCCGATGATCATCCCCTTAGACAATGCTTAAACTGCAGTCCACTCTCCTTAGGGTACCCCCCAAAACAATTTCACAATGCCAACTCAGCAGCTTCCAAGATTCTCCTAGCTTCTGTCTGTGGCTCAGCCAGCTCGCCGGGAGTCTGCCAGTATCGATTAACCACTCGGAATAAGCAAAAGCACCGACAAAGGAGTCTATCGCAGATTCAGTGGACAATATAAACAATGTGCAAACCTTTCCATATGAGTTTGTCAGAGTGACTGAAGCGCCGGCAGCCAGCAACAGGTTGACAATCTCCGTGTGTTCACCTCTTGCAGCATGATGGAGTGGCTGCAAAAGAGAAGAGGATAACAGGAATTCTAGCCATGAACTTGGTGAAGGTAGAAGCATAAGCTATATCGTCAGTTTGACTGAACTAACAAATGACCTTTGAGCAGTAGATTAAGACAAAAGTTCTACAGAAGTTCTACATATTCACACTATATGTTCACTCACAGTATCACCCTCATCATCAACTGTGACTAGCATCCTCTTCACAGTCTCGGCGCCACTTGCATGGTTTAACAAAAGCTGCACTATCTCAGTATACCCTGCAATGGTGTAATAAACGAGCAGCAAAAACAAATAAGACCACCATAAAACCATTTCACGGATGAAGATTCCTTCAATGGTAGTCGGGTTACCTCCGGCACAAGCATCATGTAGAGGAATCGCACCATCTTCGTCCTTGGCCTCAACATTGGCTCCCTTCTCCAAAAGTACCTAATTCAATGAATGACAGATTCATCAAAATTTATATACATCAGAAAGGCAGTAAACAACATAAGAAGACAACGAAAGCTAGCTACGAACCCTGACGCAGCTCAAGTGGCCATACAGACAAACAAGATGGAGAGCCGTGTCGCCATCTTCTAATGGTTCATCAATGTTACCATCAAAATTCTCTGCACCAACAAGATTAAAGCATCAATTTGGCATTTTTGCATTTGATTCTTCCATTACAGGGTTTCATTGGGTCACAATTCAGAGTGGCCACTACCAATCCTAGGGTTTCATTCACAATCAGGGACGGACGAACTACTGCCCACAAGAGTCCAGCAAAAAACTCTATCAAGAACAAAAATAAAAATCAAAACTTTCGGCGAAGAATAAGTCAAACGAACCTAAGGCCTGTGTGAGAGCTTCGGCGTCGCCGGAGCGAGCCGCCGAGAGGATTGGCCGGAGAGGCTCGGACACTTCGAGGTCTAAGTCGATCGTGTTCTCTTCCTGAAACAGGGCGTTGTCCTCTTCGTTCTCTTCCTCGTCGATTAAATCGTCACGGTGAATCGCCATGTCTGTGGACTATGGTGGAGCTTCCTCTTTCGTCAAGCGGCGACGGTTGCCGTCGAAACGCAGGTAAGGAAACTGCACGGCGAACGGCGAGCTCTCTGGTAAACGGAATCCCGTAGGGTTGTGCTGCCGGCCGCCTGACGCGCTATTTTTTTTTTCTTTCCATTTTTATTTTCAGCGCCATGTCACTGTTGTGATGGACATCGGCTTGGGCCCAATAAACTGGGCTTGGACTTTCATGCTGTGAGTGGGTGAAAAGGGTTCGGATTTTCCATCAGGCACGGGGTCCAACTTCTGGATGAGTTGGCTAGGCCCACTAACAACGCTTGTGCAATATGTAGTGTGTTGTGTTGGTTGATCATCTCACCTTTAATTATGAGACAAGTCGTGAAAATATCGCTCTCCTAGAAGTTCATTGTTATATTTGACGACCCATCATGAGGATTTAGTTATGCCACACAATAAAAACAAGCAACCACAAGTATTATTACAGTATAAATACTCAGACGGCTGAAACAAAAATAAATACAAATCATACTCTAAAATTTAGATGAATGTGATTGTCTGTATCTACTTCACTACGACTTAAAATTTTGAATTGATCATATCAGTTTATAAGTTTGAGTCATTGTACATGTTGCACGTCGTAATAGGCTCAATCTCGATGTATTTGAATCGGACACTTACACCGATTTGATCGGACACCGATCCGGAGTAGAATTTGCTATCCATTCAATCTACACATTTATCAAAGAGAATTCCAAGTAATCATCATGTGGGAAAAAAGAAACATTATATATATCGTGACCCATTCCCATGATCTCTAGCTAGCTAGCTCCTTTATGTTGCTGGCTGGCTGATGAATTGCTGCTTGTGAGTCGCCAGCTCGATCCTGTTCTAACTTGGAAAAGGTGCACCACTTTTTCTCTGCCATGCAGAATAAAATAGTGTTGGAAATCCTATCGTCAAATCATTCCTGGCCATGAATGGTGGCGCTGTATCCTCTCTACGTGATGACATTAATCATGCAATTACTAGCCAGCTAATTGACTTTCTGCATTGTAGTCTAGTAGTTATGTCACTTTCTTTCCCCAACTGTGCATTACATTTCTTAGGATTAGAACAAGTTGTTGATTGTCCAGTTGATTTGCTGATATCAGATGGAGTATTATTACTGTTGGGGTATGGCATGATTTGGACCGTTTCGTCATACGATTTCGATCGTTGGATCGACTTGGTGACAATTCTGATCGATCTGCGTAGTAATCTAAACCGGGCGGTTGTTACTATTCCGGCAATAACGGTACTACGTACGTACTTTGCTTGTTCCACACTTCATCGGCCAAGTTGCAGACCGAAACTGCTCGGTCGGCTTAACGTAAGAGTGATGGAGGAGGGCATTGTTTCCGGATGATGTTCTTTCCCTTTTTTGATACCTTTAGCTAGCTAGCTAGAGCTATTCATTGTGGTTGAAGCCTTGAAGGAATAGCTAGATCGAAACGTTGATCGAGATAGATTGGCGTCTGGGTTTTTTTGATTTTATTGATCTAGATTAAATCATTTTTTAACATTTATCTACATATTTTATGAGTTTGATTCAAGTATACTATGAATTATTATTTTGTTTGGTTAAATGTGGGCTTTTTCGTTGATTACTCCATACCAACACGATTCTTTATTATAGTCGTGAGTATAAATTTTGGTTAATCTAAATAAAAGTCTTATTCGCGCGCTAATCAAAACGTTACATTCAAATTGGATCCTAATGGGTTAACATGTTGCTGGATGGTTGAAGAATTGGCCACGACAAATCAAGCATTGACGTACTATTGGAATGTCAATGACAATATCGATTCAGATCAAGCCATTTGACGCTTATCTGCTTCCATGAATTTACTTTGTGTTTACTATAAAATATAAAGAAAAATAAAATTCGTCGAAATGACCTTTCCTTCGCCAACAAAAATAATCTTCTATTAGAAACTTCAATGTTATATTGATTGATGAGAAGTGTAGTACATGGAGGATTGTAAGGTAGAGCAACCTTAACTTCCTTGCTTACACCAACTAAGTTTGAAGCCACCTAAAAACAAAGCCACTTACACAACAAAATAGTTAAACTATTAGCAACCTAATTGTTAATTCATCATCAACATAGTGTGCAAGAGACTATAATCAAGAAATAAGAATTTTCTATTCTTCAATTTGTAAAGAAATAATGATGATCGTGATTATACATTACAATTAGCAAGAAAAATAAACTAATTAATCAATGCAAGTTAAGAGAATTGTAATAATCACAAATTTTACACATTGAATGGTCATTTTAATTAATTTGGTGAATCAATTCATCACCAAACTAAAATAATTGTAAAAGGAAAAGAATCAAATTTTCAGAAATGGCAATCCACCAGAGGATTGGCCGCCGAGAACACGAGCTGCAGTCCTGTCGCCGGGAATCGGAACTTATTAATAGGTTCCCTCCCGTCCACCCCTGCTTCCGGCGCCGGCAGATTGAGATCCAATTCCAATCCGTTTCTGACGGCGGTCAGCGCCGCCGCCGCAGGCGGTGCCGGAACTACCGTCCTGTGCCTCCTCATGTGTCCTCCCAACGCCTGCCCTGACGAAAACCCCGCCCCGCAGATCGCACACTCGTGAACCTTACTCGGCTTCACCGCCGCCGTCGTCGTCGGAAGATTATGATTGTCGTTGACGGCCGCCGTGTTCACAATCCGCAACGAAAGGGCCAATTCCTCTCCGCCTTCTTCCTTCAATTTCTGATTCACGGGTTTAATCACCACGCCCTTGCTGCTATTCTGATTGTTATTGTTGTTCTTGTTGGTTTCTTCCCCGCCTTCACCATCCCCGCCGGCGATCCTCGGCTTCTTGTGACTGGCTCTGTGCCCGCCGAGCGCCTGGAACGAACTGAAGCACCTGTCGCACGTCTTGCACTGATAAACGAACACCCCTCGCTGCTGCTCCGCCGCCGCCGGCCCCTCGATCGGCGCTGGAGGCGGAGGAGGGCTGGCGCTGCGGCGGCCCTGAGCCAGCAGAATCAAGCAGTTCGCCATGTCCTCCTCCTCCGTACACGTGCTCTCCGCCGAGCTCTGCGCGGAGGACGTCGCCGTTGACGAAACGTAATTGCAGTTGCTCCCCGAATTCGTCGCTGCGGTGGCCGAAATCGGCACCGGCCGTGGCGGGGGGAAAGGCAGGGGAGACGGCTGCCTCTGTCGCTTCGTCCGCTTACCTTTCACGATCATGTTCGCCGTCGTCGTCGACGCTTCCTTGGAACAGCTTCCGCCGCTGTCGTCGACGACCAAGACGATTTCCCGATCCATCACCATTTCAACCATGAGATTGTTGAGACTTGAGAAGAGAGAGAAGAACAGAGGATTGAGAGAGAGGTGAATGGTGGTGTACTGTATTTTGCGTGTTTTGGTAATGTCTGGAAGGTGTTCGACGAAATGCTTATATAATAAAAGCGCGAGGGAAAAAAGGAACAGAGTGGCGCTTGCAGCTGGGTGGGCGGGGGGAGGTGGTTTGGAGTGGGAGGAAGCGATAGTGAGATTCGGTTGGCTTTGAAGCAAACCCAACAAAAGAAAAACGTTATTATTATTATTTTTTTTTTTTAGTGTTTCTCTAGAAACCCACAAAAACTGATTCCCTGGTGTGCAAGGCTGGAACCTCCCCACAAATTGCGGTTACTTAGAGGCAAGCCATGGGTTACTCGATCGGATCAAAGCGCACACTTAACAGGAGGCGGTTATTTCGATCCCGATAATAGATAATCGTTGGGAAATAAGTAGGAAACAAAAGTTCGATTTAATTTACTTACAGGGTTCTGCTCTTTTCATTGAATCATTATATAAAACGTTTTTTCAATTCGTTAATGTAATTTAGCTATTTTTTACTTCATAGATAACTCACACATTAAGTTGAAAAATGCTCCTCGTAACTTGTTTGTTTTAAATTTTAATTTATTTATGACACTACCATCTTGCCAACTTGTGTGTGGTTACATAAGTCTTTTTGTGTTTTGTATAATAAGTGTAGTTTTCAATAATAAGTGCTTGTAGCGTTTTCATTTGTTTATTTTCATGGCACAAGTTGTATATATATCTAATAGTCACAAGTGAGATTCATCAGAGCTTTGCTAGTTGGTAGACAGATCTCCAACAAAAGAGGGTGCCCATACCCCTACAAAACTTTGCTTTTTTCCTTGGCTTTGTTGTTACATAAGACAGGAAGAAAAGAAGAAAAAAAATAGTGGAGAAAGTTAATATGAGTGAAATTCAAAACCCTAAAATATATATTCGATATTCATTTGCGCATTGTTGGTTATCTCAATTTGCAAATCCATCTCTTATATGGTTATCCAACGACAAAATTCTATATTTAAGTAAAAATTCGACCAACGACAACAAGTGAAAGAGCAACCCATTAATTCTTTGCCCCTCTTTGATGAGTTGACCTCAACAATACGATTCCCCTCATTGGATGCATTGATTCATCAATCGCCATGCCAACTTCACATTCACATTAGTGGTGTTTGCTAATTAAGTTTATATATATCTAGGGTTTGGATGATGGATAATGAAAATGGACAACGACCCAACAATTGCGCCGGCACTCTCCTCCCTCGACCGATCACTCTAATTATTCGTCATTTTCACACACTAATTAATAATCATCCTCCACTGATCATCTTTCCTTAACCTAATTAAATTATTGTATTCTCTCCTCACCAATCATTTGGGGTTTGGTATCGTGTGACTAATTCCTCTACACGTATAGCCGCCGGAAGGAGAAAGAGCCAGAAAATGCTCAATCATATGCTCCTCCGCTTCCAACAAGCTACCTTGCATTCACTCCACTACTACTAATCCATTAATCCAATTAACAATCATATGGGGGTACTTAGTTTAAAATTAATAAACATTGTTAACATCCAAAACATGACTTTTCATCCAAGTAATTGAAGTGTTTCATAAATGCTAATAAGGGTAATCACGATAGACCGATTACTGATGATTCATACTTGTCGACTACTCTTTGCTAGTTGATTCACGGTAATTTAACCTACGAATTTCACCTGAATCGTGGTACACTCCATGAATACGTCGTTCATTAATCAATCGATACCATATATATAATAATAATATTACAATAGTTAGATGGTGGAGATAGCTAGCTAATGAAAAATTGGGTATTCTTTCTTTCCCACTCATTATGATTGGCAATGAAAGGGTATGTAATGTACAGACTACACAGAGCAGGTAGTGGAGAAGATGGATTGAGTAGTGTGTATAGTTGGCAATAAGTTGAAGACTGAAGAGAGGAATAATATTTTTCAATGTTATTATTTAATAATATAGGTAGAGAGATGCAATACAATAATACCAAGAGATTCTTGCCGTAAAGGGAGGATTTCAACCAATCCATCATATTTATATAATACCCAAAAGAATATTTATAAGTACACACTATATGGCATTGTGAGAGGCACGTAATGTAAGAATGGGGGCAAAAATTTGTTGCCTGGCTGCCCTTTGCTAGGACCAAGCTGTATAATTAGCATCCTCAAAGTAAAGCATCCATCAAATTGATTTTTAATTATTATTATGAATTCCCTTCCTAATCCCAATATGGCACAGAAGTTTAGGGACATTTTTTTGTGGGTAGGTGATGAGCTTATAACGTGCTTGGAATATAATAGTAAGGTTTTGATAAGAGTAGAGAGGTTCCTTTCTTATATGTTTGGGGGCACTTTGGCTTGCTTTCTTGTGGAGACTCCTATTATTTCCTCCTTTCTTTCTTGGTGAGACTATACACACTCCTCCTACTCCACTTCTCTTCCTTTCCTTTCCTTCCTTGCTTGTCTTCCAATGTTCAACTAGCTAGACTTAGCTAGCTAGCTAGTTTACTTCATGACACATTGTTCCTTCTATTCCTTTCCCTCTCTTATTCTCCTGATAACTGGAATAAAGTAAGCGTTTTGGAATGTAAATACGAAATATTGAAAATGCATATTACATATCGGATATCGAGATGTTTGGGGTTTAAGTTCACTGAATCGAACTTTCGAAACCCATCTAAATCCCACGATAATGGCTCTAACTCTAATCATATATCGGGGCTTTGTTAGCCCTCCGGCAGAGAGGGGCTCCTCATTGTACACACGTGACACTTTACTCTCTCTCTCCAAATTCGAGCTAAATCTCCCTACAAGTGACAACTTCAAATACCTTACATCACCCACCAAGTTGAAGGTCCGAGTCAAGATCGGTGATATCATCTCTCGTCCTGTTAAACTCGGATAAAAATCCAACAATATAAGCATTAATATTCTAATTTAGTTCGGTTCAACCAACTTTGCTTAAACAAGAACCTTGCTCTTACATCTTATATAATGTATAAGTTGAGCTGCACATCATGTGTAGCTCAAAATTGAACTAGTGGTATCTTATAAACGTGATCCAATGGAAAAGCAAAAGAAGAGGTAGGGATGTCCCTATTCCCAACATTCATTGGGATCACCTGCCGAAAAAAGTTCCAAGGATCCAATTCCTGAAGTGTTGGTTGTGGCCCTAGCTAGCCAGATGAATTGGATCCATCAACGACAAGGCAGAAAAGGCAAAAAAGGGGATTCTTTGCCGCCAAAGTCACACTATTTCTTCATCTCCGTTTAACATAAGGAATGCTGAAAAAGCGATCCCTTTTCAAAGAGAGCATTTCCCACTTTTGCAGTAACTGAAAAGAAACTAATTCCGTTATTTGATCAAACTTTTGGTTCTTTTCCAAATCAGTGCTTCCTTTCTCTTACCCATTTGCCTATTAGCAATGATTCTTATGTACTGGTAAGAGAAAAAAGCAACTCAATTTCTCAGGTAGAGAGTTAATTTCATGTTCAAAATTCTCAATCACTCGAATCGTTATGATATTCCATATTATGAATTCTATACAGATTCTTTATACATTCTTGAAAACGAAATTCAACCGATGAGACTGCTGAACTCTGTATAAGACATCATCATATATTATATTTATGAACCAATTTGTTGTCATCTCTAGTTAAGAAAAACAACTAGAAAATTAGAGATGAAAAAAGTTCAAATATTCGAAACGGGAATCTAGTCCGCACGAAATATAGTATATTAGGTGGCTTGACAGGCTTGTATTATGAGAACCACTCGGTTCCTTGGGCCAAACCTTAAAGTGTCCAACATGCATGCACTAAGCCTATTTTAATTTTCTGGTATACAACCCAAGACCACAACGTATAACTAGTTGATATCTTCAGTTCTTTCTCCCCTATTGTTGGGCCAAGCTTACTTATGGGTTTGACAGTCTTAATGGGCCTTATGAATGTTGAGCCTATTTGTGGCCTTAGTGCAGATCGACCTCTACACAGTCCATTCACCACTAGGCTTGAAGAAGGGGAGAAGCTGGGCTCATTCCCCTATCATGATTCACGGCCGATATTAATCAGACCCAATTCGGCCACTGAACACTCTTAGCATCTCAGGCCTTTCTCTCACAAAAAAAAAAAAAAAAGAAGAAGAAGCATCTTAGGCCTTTCTTGTCAAAGCAAGCATGCCACTAGCAAAAGCGATTCCCTGGTGAGACTCTAACAACTAGGGTGACTATACTGTCCGGTCCGGTTAAATTGGACCAAATTAATCCGGTCTCAGTCCGGTCTTTTCGGGAATATAAGGACTAAAGATTGGATTGAATACAGTCCGGTCTTGATCCGGTCCAGTCTTGACCAGGTCCGGTCCCAATTTTATCTTGATTTTAGGTGTTGGCGAGCTCTTATCCGGTCTTTATCCGGTTTTTACCTCAAATCTAAGCCCGAATATGAGATTGTATTGTTTGATATCAGGTCCCAGTCCGGTCCCAGTCCGGGTTATACAGTTCGGTTTCGGGTAAAACCAAACAGTCCGAGACCAAATAGCCAGCCCTACTAACAACAAATATTCGGAATAATATCTATGGTTGATAATTTGAGTTCAATAATAATTTACCTGTCGGGTTTTGTGTGGGTATGATTATGGGCGGTGATATTATTTATACTCGAGGAAGGTTTTGTGGTGTTCAGCTTCTTTGGACCGACATTCATGAAGTCCACTTATTTGAACTTGTTCTTTCTTTCAAGGAGCTGATATATGCATGGAGCCTCGGTTTAAAGAAACGTCTTTCCAAAATTTGACCGTCGTGATATTTTTGTGGTTAGGAAAGGCTGGATTTCACAGCCCACAGCCACAGGCGATGATGAATGATTTTGAATGCATGATTATCATGAGGTACAAGATGAGGACAAATAATTGCTTGTGGAGGGACCCTTCCATTTTTTCTTTTGTGCTTGTTGTGGTAATGGGCAGGGGGCGGAGCAGATGACTATTGCACAACAGAATTTACGGAATAAATTCTACTTATAAAATTTGTACTAAATATCCTTACGATTCTAAAGGTCGGGACCCACCCTAAGTTGAGTGTAGCTCCGCGCCCCTGATAATGAGGTTGATTGCTGCCAGCCTGAGCAGCAGTGTTATATTCAGCCATGATGCAGGCCCCAAACCCAAAACCCTTTTTGATTCTTGTGGTAGGACACCTTGAAAGATTTTACACATATATGGTCGGTCCACTCATAACATTTTGGTGGCTCCCTTCGTTTCCTTTTAACCTCCATCTTATATGTATATATGGCCCATTCGTGATGATAATGTTGTTTAGTATCGTCTGGTATTGTAGAATGTATTCTTGTCTTTCTTCTATCCTTGATTTACAATAATTTGTAGGACAATAGGGGTCGTTTGGAGAATGGGATTCAGGACGCGGATTTACTGAATCTGTAGATTTTGTAGAAAGTTATATTTTTTTGTTGTTTTTTGTATTGTGGATTTTAGATTTAGAGATTTCAAATCTCTAAAATCTGCAGATATCAAATCTATCATAATCAGAGAGATTCTATCTATATTCCTAAAGAGTTGTACGTGACTTCCTAGCCAAAACTCAAAAGCAACATATTAGCCGGATGCCATCCAAAGAGCGTTAAAACGAACGGGAGGGATCACGTAAACTCAATAGGGGAAAGGTCAAAACGACAATCGTGAGCGGGAAAATGATGGTGTCATATTATTTAGTTGGGCCCAACTCGCAATAGTGGTTGGTTACTCCCATGTGAGGAGGTTGGGGCCCAAAGCCCGCACCATTATCCCAAAGTAGGACGTGGAGACAGCTGGCAACAGCTGGTTTGTGGGATTTGTCTTTCTTCTCTCCCCTCGACAGGGCCCCACACGCGCCACCGCCCATCTAGCCTGGTTGGCTTGTGGTTCCTTTCATTCTTATCCCTTTCAACCGCCGGCCGGCCGCCGGAATGGTCGCCGTCTCCTACCACTACATGTTGAGTTTTTTTCTCACCGACCACCGATTGGGAGAGGACCCCCCCTTTTTGCCCTTTTCTCTCATGATTTTCATACGGTAGATGAATGCGGTCCCCATTTGGAAAATTCACATACTCCATAATGGTTAGATGTATACATAACATGGTGTGATTAATTAAGTGCCAATTTATCACTAATTAGAAATAGACTGCTATCGATTCTTGTATCTCATCTTTCGCCTTCCTTCTTCGTTCAAGCTATGTTTCTCAGTCCTCACGTTTAACTAATAATAGTCAATTAACTTTCATATTCGTTGGTATGACTTATGAGTATCTAGCTTTCTTGCATTCTCTTTTATTGGTAGTGCTCAAAATAAAATTTTGCAATTTGATGGCTATTCGTGGGCCGAATTTTGATATAAGTTTTTGCTCGTTGAAAGTAGCCATGATCCCAAATCGTTTACATATACGAGTAGTCACATTATTCGATATTCAAACCTATAATTAATCTCGTTTGGTAAGCATGTAATCTACCCACGAATTTCAAGATTACATGATATCTGAGATTCCACTGTTTTTCTTGTTTCATTTTTGGACATATATCATGATATTGGTGCACCATGTAATTCCAGAATTCATGTGAGTTGTGACCACGATATCTCAAAATGCATTGGGTTTACTCTAGGGATGGCAATGGGGCGGGTTTGGGGCGGGTTTGTCTAAACCATCCCTATCCCCATCTTCAAATACCCAAACCCATACCCGCCCCATACCCATGCGGGGGAATGTTTTGCAAACCCATCCCCATACCCGTGGGTTTCGGGTACCCATGGGTAATACCCGTACCCATAAATCCAACATTATTATACGTAAAATTTACAAGAAAATTTTTAATTATTACTCTAAACAAACCTATTATATCATGAAGTCAACAAAACACGATCATTTTTTTAATACGGTTCAAAGTATATGATCCTAAAACATCCATTAATACATAATATAGAGTATAATATTTTTCAAATTATTATCTTCTACCATATCTCAAAATGCTTTGGGTTTACTCAAAGTATTTGAGATTTTATGCCAAATTATGTGGGTTCTACCATAAACTCATGCAAGCCAAACAATGCATTCTAATATTACACAAGTTCTCACAATTCAACCTACAATATACATGAATACTACATTACGTGCTTACCAAACGACCCCAGAGAGGTGTACGAAAATGTTTACACGAGGTGCAACGTGTCTATTTTTTTTTTTTTAGATGGAGGCGTGTACGTACGTAATGTAAATGACTCGTTTCGTATTCACTTCATTCGTTTAGGAGGAGTAATAACCAAAATCTTAGGTATTACTTATTAGTCGGTGGTAATGCAAAGTAACTTGTTTGACTACTTGACATGTTACTACTAATATCCATTAGCAATATTAATGATCTAGGATTTAGAAAAATTCAAATTATGTACAGAATCCCCTCCATTCCAAAATCCCGCAATCGTAGGCGAAAGGAGATGGATATTCTCTGCAGCTTGATGATCGCGTATCCAAGCAGAAAAAGACGTGGGAAGAAGAAGATGATAAGTTGTTTAATAATTGAAATATTACCACTTTTGGACATCGTATTAAAATAATAATCCACAACTGTAACACTTTCCCCTAAAGTCTTCTTTCACTAAGCGAGCTAAGGCCCTTCTCACCATCAGTGAACAGATACATTAATGGATGCTCTGTACAAATTTTGCAGATTGGGATGGCCATGCCGATGATTTCTAAATTCTAACCAGAGTTGTAGTTCCACACGGCAGCTGAAAGTACTATTCATTATTAGCCGATAGGTTTGTTTATTTTCGTTGATGTATGTCACTATGGATTGATTATTACAAAGCAACATTGTTCTCTACACTTGCAAGATAATTCGTATATTTATTGGCATTCTCACCTCTTTCGTATAAAGTCAATGAAATTATTGCATCGTCGCCGCACATATGTGTCTGTGATTGCTCCAATTTGTATTCTAAAACAACGGGACGATGTCACTCAATACTATCGAATGATAAAGTCCGAACATCTAACATGCCAAATTACAAACAAGACTTTTGTTTGACATGCTACTAAAAGGGTATTTGTAGTGAAAGAAGACGTACATTGCTCCCTTTGATTCGGCCACGAACAAGATCCCATTACATAAGCTTACAAAATTTAAATTAAACATGTTCCGTCAATCCGCCATAGCCAGCTCGATCACTCATCATCATCAGCTAAGCTTGACTCATAAACTAATTCAAACGAGCGGCTAAATATAACTCCATCACTTTTAATTTCTTCAATAATTAAAATCAATTGCTGCCTCTATTTCTAATGTAGGCTAAGCCATATAATTAATAGTCCTTGGGATGAAGTAGTATACAATTTTATGATCACTATGTTTATCTATATATCTATATAATTATTGAAAAAAGATTCCATCTACGGGACAAAACGTGGCCGACCCTTTTGAAATAAACAAAGAAAAGTTTGTTCATATCGTAGGGTTTTGGACTTTCGACAATGACAACCAATATTGGAAGGCTTTTTTTTTTATTTCTGAGTGATATCAATTTAGGACAAGAGTTATTCATACAAATCTACCCAGGACCCCTTACAATATATTCTAATGAAGCCACCCCAAAAAATCAAACGATTCTAGCTCTAGACGAGACAAAAGCAGTGCTTTACACGCCACTCTATGGGCAGCACTGTTGGCAATTCTAGGAACCGCCCTAAACTCTATACAAATGGACAAAGAGCTAAGGATCTGATGACACTCTCGTAGCACCGGACCACCAATCGAGTCTTCTATTAAGCCTTGCCGGATCTGCTTGACGACCACTTCGGAATCACCTTCGACTATAACGTGAGTCAAAGATCTTCAGGTGATGATGGAAATAGCGTCTCTAATGGCTAGGAGCTCTGCCAGGGAAGGGTTGACTATTCCTTGATGCTGTAACCCGAACGCCAATACCACATGTCCGTCTGACCCAAGGACAACAAACCCAGACGAACACCCGGTGGCACAAACAGCAGCGTCGAAATTGATCTTCAAGTGATCGTCTGGCGGCTGGACCCATGTGGTGGTTGGATGGTAGGGAAGAGAGTTGTGGGGTTGGGGAGGGAGGAGAGTGTTTGAGATATCAAGGACCTGGTTGTAGAAATGTCTGGCTAGGGAACGGACATGAGGTTGGTAGAATTCAAAAATCACTTTATTTATAGACTTCCAGATTCTCCAATGTAAGCAGACGCATTGGAAAATGTGGAATGGGGAGGTCTCAGAGACCATGACATGTCGCCACCATAGACTAAAGTTAATAGTCGGGGCGGTCTCAATAAATTTGCTCAATCCCACTAAAGTCAACAATCTGGTGGCTAGGGGGCATCTGAAGAATAAATGTTCAATGCTTTCTCGACTATCCGTTTTCGATTTGAGGCCAAAGCTGATTCATGAGCCAGGTGATAGCCCCATTTGACTATTTCTAAGGAAATAAGAAATCATAGTTGAGGCACTAAGGAAGACTTCATCGTTTGAAATCGTACATGTGATTAATACAATCAATGACATGAATTCTTGGCAATAAAAATGGGACTAGACAATAAATAGGCCAATTAATCGTTACCTACACATATTGAAAAAATGAGATGTATGAGTAAATAATATTAAGAGATAGAGATGTATGAGTAAATGGAAGGCTTTATTAAGCTAATTAAGAGATACATACCAAGAATTAAAGAAGTGTTTTATTGTTCTTACGACGCAAATTAATTAAATGGCAAGCTTATCTATATTTAAACTTATCGTCCATCCCATAAATCATGATTAAGATCTTACCAAAAAAAAAAAATCCTGATTAAGACGTCTAATCTCACAATTATGGACGGCTATTAAACAACAAAATGAGATGTATGAGTAAATAATATTAAAAATTATTTCTACGTGGAAATGACACCTTACTGTGCTAGATATACGTTTATGGTATAATTGGGTCGGTTTCTTTAGCTCAGAAAGTTAAAATGGGTTACTTTCATTTGTAGTAAATTGAAGAAAAAATAATAATAATTCTAGTAGTTCCAAAAAGTGGAAGTGTAATAATTAGGAGCGAGACATTTATCAAAAGATAATTAGGCACGAGTCGAAACTCAAAGTGGATGGAGGTTTTGAGTTCACTTCTGTACAAAGCAAATTACATGTATTTTGCATTCGAGAATAATTTTGATTAGGGTTGGATTTGATGTGTAACAAATTTTTAACCTGTTATGGAGAGTTAAGAGGAAAATGGGAATTATGGAAAGTACTGGATCTTTCCAGATAACGAAGCACAAGGAAGACAGACTCCACGTCAGCAATCCATTAACGTGTTCCTATCCGTTTCTTACACGTGTCTGGTCTTCATCCCACCTGGTAATCCATTGCTTCGCTGTACCAAACACAGCCCGTGACTGGTGGATATGGGCTTTAGACCAAAATAAAATTGATGCTTAATTACCGGGGAATTGGGTAACTAATTATTACAAGGTAAAATGGTCAACGATCCCAGCTTGAATAGTAAAATCCATGTTTTTTGAAACCATAGTAGAATTTTTGGGCTCGTTTGGAGAATTGGAGTCTAAATCTCTAGATTTTAGACAATCCAAAGATTTTAACTCTCTGGATTGTTGAAAAAAGATTTGAAAATGTTCATTGTTTGGTAACTATGATTGTTAACATCCAATGAAAAAAGAAATTCTATTTTTTTTATCACATAACATGTTTATCCTTAACCAAAATAATTAGATTGGCTCGAAAATTATTGAGAATTTATTGGTAAGGGTATTTAGTGGGATAAATGAAAAAAAAACAAGAGATATAATAGGAGGGAAAAAATCTCCAAAATCAAGATGTAGAATCTCTCTAATTATGAGAGATTTGATATCTCTAGATTTTATAGATTTACAATCTCTGAAGTTACAATCCACGATACAAAAAGTAGCAAAAAAACTTAACATTTTGCTAAATCTACGGATTCAATAAATCCACGATCCAAATCTTGTTCTCCAAACGAACCCTTAATAAAATGATATTTTGATGATATAATTAAGTTTAACTAATAGTATTGATGAAGGCTATCCCACTATTATTATGGTGTTAGTGAGTGGTATAACATTTATTCTTAAACATATTTCAATAATTCGATGTATTCTGATCTATTTGTTCTTTACATGATATTAGAGTCTTCCGTCGTCGAGAGTTCTTCTATTCGAATCTCAATAATCCCAGATTTGTGAAGCACATGGTATTATCGTATTCAGGACATGCACAAAAGAAAGACTTTATCAGTTGAAACTCGAATACATCAGTACATCACAATTATATAGTATATATGTAGTATATTTTTCAATGACACTGGATAATTTATTTATTATCTATTATTTCTCTTGAAAAAAAAAATATTTATTAAAATATGTATGCCATCAACAATGTGACGACCGGGAACCGGCTAACGCCGGTCTACGTGAGTAGCAAGCTGATGGTATAAGTAGAGAGGGTGAGACGAGGAGATAAGTCACAGCTAAATCAACACTCTTCCTTCCACTCTTCACTCTCTACCTCTCTCTCCGCCAAACTCCGATCACCATGCCGATCAGAAACATAGCCGTCGGCCACTACGGCGAGGCGACCCAGCCCGACGCCTTGAGGGCCGGCCTGGCCGAGTTCTTCTCCACCCTGATCTTCGTCTTCGCCGGTGAGGGCTCCGGCATGGCCTTCGCCAAGCTCACCGACGGCGCCGCCAACACCCCCGCCGGCCTCATCGCCGCCTCCATCGCCCACGCCTTCGCCCTCTTCGTCGCCGTCTCCGTCGGCGCCAACATCTCCGGCGGCCACGTCAACCCCGCCGTCACCTTCGGCGCCTTCCTCGGCGGAAACATCACCCTCTTCCGCGGCATCCTCTACTGGATCGCCCAGCTCCTCGGCTCCACCGTCGCCTGCTTGCTCCTCAAGTTCGCCACCGGCGGCCTCGTAAGCTCACTTATTAGCCCTAAACACCTTTCCACTTTCATACCATTCATTTACCCGACGGTTGACTTTTTTTGTCGTTGTTATAAGAAACCAATCGGTTGGATCAGTAGAACCATCAAACCAAATCTGATATGGTTCGGTTCATTTGTTTGGACAATTAAGAAATCAAAACCAAGTGAATCACCTCAATTTGACTAATGGTCTGTTTTATTAATAATAATAAAAATATAAATTTTAACATACCATCCAATCTCAATTATTTATTTTATTTCTACTTCCTTTTCTTCATTTCCCACCTTTCATGTAGGTTTTATATGAGATGTAACCACTACTTTTTTAATAGTTAACCGTAGAATGATAAACCACTACTTTTTTCGGTTTAGCTTTTCGTCTAAAAAAAAAAGAGTTTTTTTTTTGTGGCGTGTAGGAAACGGCGGCGTTTGGCTTGTCAGCGGGAGTAGGTGTATGGCAAGCAGTCGTTTTGGAGATCGTGATGACGTTCGGCCTAGTGTACACCGTCTACGCGACGGCCGTCGACCCCAAGAAGGGAAGCTTGGGAACCATTGCTCCACTGGCCATCGGTTTCATCGTCGGTGCCAACATTCTGATCGGCGGGGCCTTCGACGGCGCGTCAATGAACCCGGCCGTGTCGTTCGGACCGGCTGTGGTCAGCTGGAGCTGGGAGAACCACTGGGTCTACTGGGTCGGACCGCTCATCGGAGGTGGACTCGCCGGAGTGATCTACGAGGTCATCTTCATCGGCTACGGGACCCACGAGCAGCTGCCCACCACCGATTACTAGACGACGGTGACGGGAAGTGCATTGGGCCGCGCGCGGGTTTTCTGAATTTCCATTCCATGTATTTATCTGTCTTTGATTCTGGTTTATGAGGGGGAGTTTAATGGTGGATTTGGGATTTGTAATCATGCTTTTGGAAATTCCGTTTTCTTCATGAAAGGGAGGGTGTGTGGTTTGTGTTTGGGTTATTCCCCGTCTTTGATTGAATGGTAAATTATGTTTCCCAATTTAGCTTGATGATCATCTGAGTGATTGGGAAGTCGTGATTTGATTTAGAGATTTTAGTTTCAATGCTATTTCCCATCCCTTTCGAGACACCCATATAACCGGTTTTTACACTTTGTCCTTACTCACCATCGATTATTGTATAGCTAATGATACGTTAATGCGGCTAAAGTAGGTAATTACGTGGCCAAAACTGATTCAAGTTTATTAAAGAAGGTAAGCATTAATTACCATTATCTTAATACATAGTCCGGCTGGAGTAAGGATATACTAATTAAAACGTGAATATGTCTATAGCGGATTTAGCTTTAGTTGAGCTATTGCATAATAATGTTTCTTAATTATTAGACAAAATCGGATTAAAGTGTAAATGACTTTTGTTTTGGTCACGTCATGGAAGTTGTTGAGTTTACACTCTTAGTTGAATAAAAGAAAACAAAATGTATTAGGTATACATTTTTCGTTCATGCTATGTTATAACTTTGGGATGGGATTAGGTGCTAACCCTTATAGGGGTTAGCACCGTGATAACTAGCAAAAATCACTACAGATTATTGTAAAATCAATACAACATCTAAGCTAAATCACTACTAATTCAAACTAGTAGTAGTTTTTCCATTGGTTAGGTAGGTGCTAACTATTGTACAATTAGCACCGTAACCGCTCCCTATAACTTTTTACTTTGACATTAATCCTGTGCATACAAATATTTGATTTAAACATAATATGTGATAGATTGAGTATATTTTCAATGTAAATAAACCAACTTAAAATCAATCATGATGAATTCAACAATTATTCATGAGGTTGGAACATTTCGTATTAGTCGTTGACTATACTTGTTAGTTGTTACCATAAATATGTGATTTGTAAGGTATGTGAACAAGTAACGTGGTGATAACCCTAGCTGGGTAACATAATAACTACGGGCTCCGTTCACTCCAAGCTCACCGGAAAATCCTCACCAGAAAAGGAAAGATAGAAAAGGCTACTGTGATATAAACCAAAACAACTTTCTACAAAGGGGAGGAAGAGTCTAGACTCTAGAGAGACAATTAAACCACTGCCCACAAAGATTCTTTTGGTGCAACTCATCAGTCACCGTATATCATTGACTACGACACCGAGCCCAAGCTAGCTCAGCAGCGCATGTGAGGCTAAAACCGTCTGGACCATAACAATAATAATAATGCCCTCCACAAGACGATAAACCGTTCAGCTACATGGCTGGCTGGACCCCATTGACTCTCCACTCTGTCCTAAACATTGATTCCCTTTTCAGTTTTCTCCCCCGACTTATGACCTTGCCTAGGGTCCCTTGGGTTGCTCGAAAGGGTCATGCACATGTGTTTGGTGTTTCGTTCAAAAAGACATGTTTAAACTTGTGCTTATGTACGAGGCAATGCTATAGTGTCCCGTCTGGAGATCCTGCTGAAAGAAATTTAGTTTAACATATATGTAATCATATATAATTCCCTGAAAATTCATCTTGTAAGATTATCAAAGGTTAATACTACGAATACCTAGATTCGTGTCGATAGATCTTCAAGAACTTGATGCAGAAACTGAAGAATGATCTGGAACCGGACGATACCTGTGTAGCACGATCCGGGAGGTATTGAGGCCTTCCTCAACCAAGCCTCCATAGTTCCTTTACGGGAGAGCTCTCATCTTCCTGATGGGGAGAAGATGAGAATGTGTTGGTCTTGGTGTATTGGGGACCACAACCTCAAACTCCTGAGATACTAGTTTCGCATAGGCTCCCATAAAACCCAAGTGGACAAGTATTGAGTTTCCACCCATTAGACCCATATTGGGCTTGAGTAATCATGTGCTCCATGAATTGATCACTTATAGTTAGTCCATCAAAACCAAATAGCTAATATATGTGTTATGAATTTGCAAGCCCACTTAAGTCAGCAACTTAAATTCCTAACACCTGCATCTACTCATGAATCCAAAACGATCGAGGTGGCAAAATACGACCTAGGTATTTCTTGTCTGACCACCCATGTACGTAATACGCTTTTGCAAACTCGATCCGCAATATATATACACTATCAGTATCATCCTCTCGGAATTACATGGTTTTGTCCTTCCTATATATATGTGCGGTGTATGAACAGTATAAACTAATGGTGATCTTACACTATCCTCCCGTACACTAGCTTGTTTCCTCTGCCGACTGGTTTGATAATAAAGTTTGAATGATGCGCGCATTCTCTACATCAACCAAAGACAGTTTTAGGGAAAGGAGTCCATAGTTCGATATATAAGATTAGTCGAGAAGGAAAGAAACAATCTCGGCATCACAAGGCAAATTAACGGCTATCAATTTCCATCATCTTTCGTTTTCTCTTTTGCTCTTTGCTGTCCAATGAGACGTCACCACGTGGCAGGAGCATCGTCCACACGATTTCCCGGGAGTTCGTTGTCGGCATCACCGTCCAAAGCAGGAAAGTGGGTTCGAGGGCCCACGAGAAAGGGTCGGGCCCGGCCGGCCAGTATGGGCTTTGCGCCAGTTTGGACAGTGGGCTACGTACAGCCAGCGGTTCCAACCAGAAACATTGAAGGGGAAGATAATGCAAAAGTATTCACCATAACTCAGTTGACAGTTGGGGAAGGAATCATGAGACTGTTATGAATCAGGATATGTATAGTTATAAGTTATGAGTAACTTTGACGTATAAATTTTCAGATCATGGATTATGAAACTAGCTTAATTGGTTGTTGAGGTATGAATACCACTAATTTGGCTCAACTAGTTTTCGTTTGAATCATTCCTACATTTATTAAGGTTTCATTCATGTGTCAGTTAGTTTACGAAGGGATTTGATGAACCAACTAGTTTTCATTGTATCATTCATACATTTATAATAGTTGGAAATCGATTTTAATTTCTTGAGCGACCTTGCTCAACCCCCCAATAATTTTGGGTGGGTCAACGATCCGACGACCTATTTAACCTTGTTCCGTATCATATCTCACTCTCAAAACGATACAAAAATTATTCATAAATTTGTGGGAAGATATTTAACAAAATTCACAAGGATATGAACACAAGTTTGGAGCGCGTAGGGATAATCAGATATCGCGTGCTTTCTTGTGGTAGTATTACTCTCGTGACGTTGTTTTGGCGAGGTGTGCAATTTGTATTTCCTTTCATTAGCATGTGAGGATTTGAGAACATGTGAATTGACACGTGTTAGGCAAACTATTGACAATACATATATGAAAATTGGAGTTGCTTACAAAAATATGAAGCATGTTTATTCTTGTTTTCGAGAACACTCGTAACCCAAAATTATCTGAAACACGAACCGAAAGTTTTTGGTTGGGTCAATATTTAACCCAAAATTAGCCAACCAAAACATGACCAGACCCCTAATAATCCGTAACCTAAGATCCCCAACCCAAAATTATTCAGTGATTGACACAAATGATCCCCAAAATTTGGATGTTCGTTCACTTGTGGGTGAAACAAGATTGGATTTCTTCAAGTGTTTTCCCTCTAGTTTCAGGAACCAACTTAGCGATAAATCCTATTGCCACAACGCTCACACTTGCATAGATAAAAAATGTACCTGGCCAAAAGAGCAACAACACAAAATTTTCAAGAGTTTGCTAGAAAACATGATTGGTGATGAGTACGCACAAATGTATTTTGAGAATGCACAGATTTCTTTAAACAAAGGATCCACACTTCTTTAAGGAAAGGTTTACCTGGAGGGCTCCATTGGAGCAAAGTTTGGAAAGAGGACGAAATCACAAGTGAAGATATGTTGTAGGATAGACAACACATTGTTCCTGCTGACCCTTTGATGTTCAAAGGAAATATCTGATCACAATCAAATTTAAAAAGAAACTATTATTTCTTTTTTATATAAATTTTTTTTTTACTCGCCGACGACCTGATCGAGGCCCTTTTATGCTCTTTTCTTTCCAAAATCTACCTCTTATTCGCCTCTAATTTTGTTCTTATCATCTAGTATCCAACGTCTAAAATCCAACTTCTGTCAAATTACCTCTGCTATAATCATCCATGGAATTCCATTCCAGATTGCAATAGAGCCCAAGAATATCTGCCACAAAAAAAAGATAGAAAAAGATATAAAGTCTCTTTAATTTGTATTGATTCCTAAATGAAATTCTGAATTCGAAACTTATGAACCAAGTTATGCTTGATAGAAAGAGTTTAGCCGTGTGTGTTCATAGGAAGGAAGGAATCTCATAAGTGTTTTTACCATTACACTTAGGAGTGCCAAAGTTGGAGTCACTCTACTCCATCCCTCAAAGCCCTAGCATATATGAAATCCAAAAAAATAAAAAAAAACATTGAGGAATCTATCTCAGAAAGAAAAAGTAACAAACTTTGAAGAGAAGGAATCTATCATCCACAGAAAACAGTGAAAACCTGTAGGATGAATGACAGTGCAGTAAGCAAGCTCCCAATGCATGTTCCAATAACTCCAGCCTTGTCAAAAGAAACCAAAAATTTATGCTAAGGATTTCCAATCATGTGGTTATCTTGTAAAATAGGTCTTTCTACCATATATCTTTGTGGCTAACCAGTAAAAGAGGTCTTCTGCCACATCTATCCATCAATACAGCTGCCAAAAATGCTCCTAGAAGCTGTATAATTGATAAACAAGGAAACAGAATTGAACCCTTTGCAGACATTTCAACACATCATATTAAAAATGGCGAGCAAAGTTGAGATTTCAGTTCATTTAAATAAACCTGGAAAGATGCCACTGCCAAGAACCCAGTAGTGCTAGAGATTCCTGCCAATGAAGAGGAACACCAAAAAGCAAGCAGGAACTTTAACTTTCCATGAATTTTGAGTCATGTCACAATGAATTAGGAAGCCATTTTGTTCACTTGAATATCAAACCTGCAGAAACAAAGATGGCATCAGTATACATTACGTATGAGTTCATTCCCGAGACTTGCTGCAGCACCAGTAACCCATTTCCAACCTGCTCATCATCCACCAAGTGATCAGAGGCAGAAAACGAAAGAGAAAGTTCTTGAGTTTGATTCTAGAAAGGGGGCTTACTATCAAAGGAATTGCATACTGTTTTTGGAACATATCCAAGATGCTGCTGTTCTTAGAGATGTTATGGATGGTTTCCATATATTCCTGATGGATCATCATCCCCCTCATTTTAGTTATCTTCTGAAAATGGAACTGGAACTTAACTTTGTTATGCATTTACCAAAAAAAAAAGTCCCTTTACCTTGATTTCATCAACTTCCGAAGAGATATCAGCATTTCCTCCTCTAAGTTGCTGTAGGGCAGCTTCAAACTCCTTTTCCTTACCTGTTTTAGCCTGCAACCCATGTGTTCAATCACTACCCAACAATTCAACGAAGAAAATTTATTGCAATTAACCCACAAAATAAATGTTAGTTTTATGTACTCACCAACCATCGAGGAGACTCAGGAATGAAGAATATAGTAAGAAGTAGCTGCACTAAAGATGGAGTTGCTCCTGAGAAAGCATGAAGAAGAAAACCAGAACCATGATTTCAGAACTTCAATGTAGTTCCATATTTCATACAGCAGCTTGTAGCTACCTATTAGTGCCAAGACACGCCAGCTGATTAATGAACCCACAATGAATGTGAATGCAATGCAGCAAAACATTATCAGCTGAGACACCGAGACAGCTGCTCCCCTTAGGTTGCTGGGTGTGATCTCTGCAACATAAATAGGGGACTACCCCAGAAAAGAAAAGATAGGACGATCCTTACAGAAGTCAGACTACGGAACTTTCAATCCGATCAATCGTTCATCATTGGCACAGAGAGAAAAAATTTCGGATTATCCATCGCATGGATCGATGGTGAATGATCGATAAGGGTTCTGAGACCAAAATTTGTACCAGATAAAGATTGATGGGTGATGCAATTCCAATCAAGAGCATCCCAAGATCAAGCTGTAGAGCACCCTATTCAAGATAACAACCTCACATAGCTTCAGGAGCAAGCAACTTATTAAGCAATCTCTCAAGGACTATACAATAGAAAGAAGAAGAAGAACAAAGACCTTTGCAGATGCAATTGTCAACCATCCAACTATGAACAGTACATCCAGAACCAACATTGTCTGCACAAAGTTAACAGTACTTCTTGTTACAGATTCCTTGTCATAAACCAAAAAGTTATGTGTCAAATTCCGGGCAATAATCCTTACACGTTTCCTTCCAATGTGTTCTGTAATCTTCCCACCTACTAGAGAACCCACCAGTCCTCCAACAACCATCATTGACCCAGAAACCGAGTACTGCACAGAAATTCTGCAGTAAAGATCTCTCTCTGCCTAGCTGAGCAATTTGTTTCGTTAATTACTAACCTCTACAACTGAGATACCCAATTCCTCTATGATCTGGTACTCAGCAGGAGATGTATATCCTATCTGCACAGGCAAACAGACATTAGATCTTACATAACATTGCAGCATTGGCATCAACCACCAAAATGCCCACCACCACTGAATTTGGACACTCACAGTGCACCCAGTGGAGAAGCTGCCACAAGCAACAGCGAAGATGCTGAGAAGAAAGGTTGGAGTGAGAGGGACATCTCGATCATCATGATCCTGAGAAGAAGATGAAGGACTAAGGAGCAGAGGCTGTGTTCTTCCTCCTTCTTCTCCGCAGCAGCTGGTCTCTTCCATTTCCCTCTTCTGCTTCTTGAACATCCCCATCCCGTTACTCAACCAAATGGCTATAAGTATACAGTCTCTTGGAAACACAAGTTAGTTAGTTCTTATGGGTTATGCATGTCCCTTTCTGACCTGCAATGATAGAGTAATTGTGGCAGCGAGCTAGAAGAAGACATTACAGAGTACCGAGAAAAATCAAAAGGGAGATGGTGGGTTGAAAAGAAAATGGAAGGAGGACTTTAGTTTACACGATGCAGGGAACGTGGTCTTTTCATTGTTTTTCACTGTGTGGGGTTTAGGGTTTTATTCGCTGATGGATACTAAAGATTTTTGGTGCAAGGTGTGGGGGAGAAGAAGCCAGCAAGAACCCCAACCAATTCCATTGAAAAGCTCATTGATGGCTGCTTGTCCTTTGTTTTCTAGCTAACGTGATCAGTAAGTAAGGTGAAAGATCAGGGCGCGGAGTTGTGACGAGATATTTGATTGCAGGCATTGCCATAAACAAGTCCCAAGGTTGTTTCTTCGCAGGTGAAATTAGGTACAAAATTTTAACTATTAGCTAATGCGACATATACAATCACACATTTCAAACGTTGTATTCTACAATACATCAAATTCGACAATACATATATAATATTACATTCATTCTCAACAATACATCTATTTAACAATCACAACTTCCAAACGACCCCATAGTTTGTCCCCTTTTCGGAAGCTAATATAATAATCCCCATAATGGTACAATACAATACAAGCATAATACACAAGTACTTATGCCACCAAATTGAGAATATAAGACAACAAAATAGTAATTTGACAACAAAACTATCTGTTGCAAGCAACACATATTTATTTATGTGTCATTATTGAACTATAAAGACACATAAATAACTTATTGAGGTAAATACACTCCGCTAAAAACAGGTTTTTTTTTATAGTATATAGTAGTAATATTCTCCCCAGATTTTGGATGTTTGTTCACTTGTGGGTGAAAGTGGATTGGAGTTCTTCAAGGCTTTTTCCTGTAGTTTCAGGAACCAACTTGGATACAAACACTATTCCAATGAAACTTGCACTTGCATACACAAAAAATGTACCTGGCCAAACGAACAACAATGAAATATTTTCAGAAATTTGCTCGAAAATACGACTCATGATTCGTGTGCACATATATATTTTGGAAATGCATAGATTTCTCAAAATTGTATGGACAATTCATATTATTATTGTTACTCACGACGATAACTTGAAAATTACAACATTGTTATTCCACACTTTCTAAGAGAAAAGCTTTACCAGGAGGGCTCCATTGGAGCAAAGTTTGGAAAGAGGATGAAACCATAAGTGCAGATATATTGTAGGATAGACAACACATAGTCCCTGCAGAGCCTTTGATGTTCAGAGGAAATATCTGTTCACAGTTGAAGTTAAAAACAAAGCAGTTAGTTCATTTTTATTTAAATTATGAGCTTGGGAAGTTTATAGGGCATTTCCGGAATTATTTGGTACTTTGATTAATTAGGTGTAGTTTATGAGAATTGTCAGTTTATATGTTCTGGAATTATGGAGGAGAAAATTATAAGGCCTAAAGCAAATATTCTATCAAATTACCTCTGCTATAATCATCCATGGAATTCCATTCCAGACAGCAAAAGATCCCGAGTATATCTGCCACCAAGAAGGTAGGAAAAATATAAACATAAGTCATTTCGTAACGATGCTATAACATAGATCCAAAATGAGGTTCTGATCTTGAAAATTTGGGAACGAAGTTATTCTTGATAGAAAGAGTATCTCCTCATAGGAAGGAAGTAATCTCATTTACCATTACACCTAGGAGTGTCAAAGTTGGAGTCACTCTACTCCACCCCTCAAAGCCCTATCATATATGAAATCCAAAAGGCATTGAAGAATCAATCACAGCAAGAAAAAGAAACAAACTTAGAAGAGAAGCAATGATTTGGGGTGTTAATCCTCCACAGAAAACAGTGAAAACCTGTAGGATGAATGACAGTGTAGTAAGCAATCCCCCAAGGCATGTTCCAGTAACTCCAGCCTTATCAAAAGAAACAACAAATTTTCTGCTAAGGATTTCCAATCATGTAGCTATCTTGTAAAAGAGGTCTTACTACCATATATCTTTGTGGCTAACCAGTAAAAGAGGTCTTCTGCCACATCTATCCAGCAATGCTGTTGCCAAAAATGCTCCCACAACCTGTATAATTGGTTAACAATTGAACCTTTTGTAAACATTTAACCACATCATATGGTGAAGAAAACTGAGATGTCATTTCAATTAAAGAAACCTGGAAAGATGCCACTGCCAGGAACCCAGCAGTGCTGGGGATTCCTGCCAATAAAGAAGAACACCAAGAAGTAAACAAGAATTGTACTTTCCATGAATTCTAAGTCATGTCACAATGAACTAGGAAAGCCTTTTTCTTATATAACTTCAAACCTGCAGAAACAAAGATGGCACCAGTATACATTGTGTACGCGTTCACCCCTGAAAATTGCTGAAACATCAGTAACCCATTGCCAACCTGCCCATCATTGACCAAGTGATTAGAGGCAGAAAACCAGAGAGAGAGAGAGAATTATTGCATTTGATTCAAAAAATGCGCTTACTATCAAAGGAATTGCATATTGTTTTTGGAACATATCCAAGATGCTGCTGTTCTTAGAGATGCTATGGATGGTTTTGGTATATTCCTGATGGATAATCATCACCCTCATTTTAGTTAACTTCTGAAAATGGAATGGGAACTTAAATTTTTTATGCATTTACCAAAAACAAACAATCCATTTACCTTGATTTCATCAACTTCCCAAGAGATATCAGCATTTCCTCCTCTAAGCTGCAGCAATGCAGCTTCAAACTCCTTTTCCTTACCCATTTTAGCCTGCAACCCATTTGTTCACACATTACCCTACAATTCAGCAGAGCCAGATTATTGTAATTAACCCACAAAATAAAGGTTAGTTTTATGTACTCACCAACCACCTAGGAGACTCGGGAATGATGAATATAGTAAAAAGAAGCTGCACTAAACATGTAGTTGCTCCTGTGAAATAATGCACAAGCATGAAGGAAAAAACCAGAACCATCAGTCCAGAACTTCAACGTAGTTCCATATTTCAGATAGCAGCTTGCAGCTACCTATTAGTGCCAAGGCACGCCAGCTGATCAATGAACCCACAGTGAATGCGAATGCAATGCTGCAAAACATTATCAGCTGAGTGACTGAGACAGCTGCTCCCCTTAGGTTGCTGGGTGTGATCTCTGCAACATAGATGGGGGACTACCCCGGAAAGGAAAAGGAAAGAGGCAGGTCGATCCTTAAGGGGTTAGATTGCGGCTTGTAGATACCTATTTTGCATCGTAACTGATATCAGAGTCTGTTTTTTGAAACTTTCAATCCGATCAATCATTCATCATTGTTCACAGAAAAAAAAAGAAAAGAAGAAGAATAATTCATATTGATTATATATCCATCACATTGATGGTGAATGCGTGAGAAAACTAGTGAGGATTGTGAGACCAAAAATTATTACCAGATAAAGATTGATGGGTGCTGCAATTCCAATCCAGAGCATCCCAAGGTCAAGCTGTAGAGCACCCTATTCAAGATAACAACCTTACATGACTTCATGAGCAAGCAACCATTAAGCAATCTCTCAACTCTCAAGGATTGAAAAGTAGAGAAAAGACCTTTGCAGATGCAATAGTCAACCATCCAACTATGAACAGTACATCCAGAACCAATATTGTCTGCACAAAATTAACAGTTCTTCTTACAGATTCCTTGTCATAAACCAAAAACCAAAAAAAAAACTTATGTGTCAGTTCCGGGTAAGAATCCTTACACGCTTCCTTCCAATTTGTTCTGTAATCTTCCCACCAACTAGAGAACCCACCAGTCCCCCAACAACCAACATTGACCCCGAAACCGAGTACTGCACAGAAATTCTGCAAAGATCGATCTCTGTCTGCCTAACTGAGTAATTTGTTTCGTCCATTACTGGAAGGATTACTAACCTGTCCAACTGAGATGCCCAATTCCTCAATGATCTGGTACTCAACAGGAGAAGTATATCCTATCTGCACAGGCAAACAGACAAAACCGTAGTTGAATCATACATAACATTGCAGCATTGGCATCAACTACCAAAATGCCCACCACCACTGAATGTGCACTCACAGTGCATCCAGTGGAGAAGCTGCCACAAGCAACAGCGAAGATGCTGAGAAGAAAGGTTGGAGTGAGAGGGGCATTTCGATCACCACCATCAACATCATGATCCTGAGAAGAAGATGAAGGAAGGAGGAGCAGAGGCTGTGTTCTTCCTTCTTCTCCACAGCAGCTGGTCTCTTCCCTTTCCCTCTTGATCATCCCCATCCTTCAATCAACCAAAGACACAGAAAGTACAATCTTTTCCAAAAACACAAGAGAGTTGGTACTTATGGTATGCATCTCCCTTTCTGACCTGCAATGAGAGAGTAGTACTTGGGACCCCATGATTTCATAATAATCAGAGTTATTGTTGACATGGTAGCTAAAATGGGGTAAGAATCAATAACTGGGACCTCATTATTGCATCAAACCCATGGCTAAAGCTGAGGCCCACAGCAGCAACGACTTCAGTTGGTCTCTTTAAACGACGGATAATGCATCAAATGTGCTCATCTCGTTGATTCACTTTGTGGGGTTTTGGGGGTTTATACGGGTGATGGCTACTAAAGATTTCTGGTGGGTGTGGTGTGGTGTGGGGTAGAAGAAGCCAGTAAAAACCCCCAACCAACTCCATTCAAGAACTGTACTTTTTTGGTGAAACCAGTTAAGAACTCTGTTGAATTTTTGATGCTTGCTTGTCCTTTGTTTTGAGGCTTTTGATCTTCTCCTGCTGTGTGGTCTGCTTATTGGAACCACGGGCCCATGTTTAATCTCATAATTAAAGCCAGGCCCAAAGAAAGCCCAGCCCGTTAATCGGGAGTGTGGGGACCCAGCCCAATTCGTGCTCAGTTTTGATTTTGATCACAGGATTAGGACGGCGGGCAAGTGGGAGATCTGCAAACGTGGCGTGTCGCTATTCGAGTTTGGATAAGATCGAAAATAATCTTTGAGAAAGCGAAATCTCAGAAGCTGATTACTGTGTAATTAATTGTTAATTAATCTCGATAATTGGGATTAGATCCTTTTTTTTGCTTCCCCGATCCTCTTTTCTTCTTCTTCTTCTGTTTTTCTTCGTTTCCATTCTCCAGCCAGAGAGAGGCGGAAGTAGCCACTTGCAGAAGAAAAAAAAAAACCCCACCGATTCAGCGAAGTGGTTTCCGCCGTCTCATACGACCAATCTCCGGCGTATGTTCTTTACCACTTGTTCTTGCTTTCCCACTATGATTCGCAGACCAATATATAAATGAAGAGGTGTAGTTTCTGAGGTTCTCTCTGTATTTGTATGTTTGGTTCCTGGGAAATTTTCAGCTGAAGAGAGAAAATAAGGAATGGAGGAGGGTGGGCTCGGATTGAAATCTTCTTCTCCTCTTCAGGATATGGGAATTGGGAACTTCGGGTACAATGATGTAGATCGTACATTTGATTCGTTCCGATTCATTATTCCTCTGATACAGTATAGTTTTGCTGGATAAAAATGGGGATGTTTTTTTTTCTCTCTTCTTCATCAGGTGTTCGCACTACAAGAGAAGGTGCAAGATCAGGGCGCCGTGCTGTGACGAGATATTTGATTGCAGGCATTGCCATAACGAGTCCAAGGTTCATTCTTTCTCTCTTTTAATCAGTTTGTGTTTCTGGGTTTTTGATTGTTTCATAACCCTGTGAAATCTCTTCTATGTTCTTCTGATATCCATAGAACTCGATTGAAGTTGATTGCCATGACCGTCATGACATTCCTCGGCACCAGCTGAAACGGGTTAGTTGATAGTTGATACCTTTTTCTGCTCCAGTACTCTACTCTTACCTTTTTCCGATTAAAGCTTGTGTCTTTCTTGGTTTTAGCAGCTTAGATTTTCGTTAGCAAGAAAATGGTTGCTATTAATGCTTGAATTCCCCACTTTTCTATGTGATTTGACTTGGAAAGTGATGGTTTGGTCCTACCTAGGTCCCTTGTCTATGACAAAGTCGAGAAATCCTTATTAGAAAGATTGGAGTAGTTCTTTTTAGATAAGGTTTATAGCATCTTGTTCACTTTCAATGAAGGACTAATCCACTTTCTGGCATCTTGGATTTGTTGTGCGTAACAGGTCATTTGCTCCCTTTGTGACACAGAACAAGATGTAAGTCTGTGTGCCTTTGCTTGAGCATTGGTGAAAGTTACAATATCTGCATGCACATCCAGTTTCTTGACTTCTCTTTAGATGTAATAGGTTCAACAGCACTGCATCAAATGTGGAGTTTGCATGGGGAAGTACTTCTGCTCCGAATGCAAGTTCTTCGATGATGATGTAAAGCCTCCTCGTTCCCTAAAAAAATATGTTCGCCATTTGATTCTCTATCTTTTGTACCTTTATCGATGCAACCTGCTCTTTTTACCTCAGGTCTCAAAGCAGCAATACCACTGCAACCAATGTGGCATCTGCAGGTTACTACATTTATCTTTACCGCCTCTTTTCTTCGATTATGAAAATGCAAGTTTTCCTTTTCTTTACTCATGGTGCGTTTGTGTCTGTCATTTTTATGTTGCAGAACTGGTGGGGAGGAGAACTTTTTCCACTGTGACAAATGCGGTAAGATTCTTGACATAAAGGAAATATCGCACGTGAAGATATGGGATTCTGGTTTTTTGACTGATCGCCTTTTCGGTTTTGCATGTTTAGGATGTTGTTATTCAACGTGTTTGAAGGATTCACACAACTGCGTCGAAAGAGCAATGCACCATAACTGCCCTGTATGCTTTGAGGTAACACTTATAAGCTTAGAACATCCCATAACTAGTATCACATTGGGTACCTTTTGTTTAAAATTTAAAATGACTTCCCTTTTCTTGGGGCTTTCTTGGCATAGTTTCTGTTTGAGACTACGAAAGACATCACAGTCTTGCGCTGCGGACACACTATCCATTTAGAATGCCTTAATCAGATGCAAAGATATTTTCAGTAAGCATATCAGATCTGCTGAGACTGATCTAATATCTCTCTAATCATCATCAGTTCTCTTAAACTGAACTTAAAAACCGTTTCTGTGTGTTTATATAGGTACTCTTGTCCTGTTTGCTCCAAGTCCTATTGTGACATGTCTCAAGCATGGAAGAAACTTGATCAAGAGGTATTTACTCAAGCACCAATTGTAGCAACAGCTTGATGGCCACTAAATATATTCAAATGCATCATTGAAACATTGGTATGAGTGAAAATTGTGTTTCTTCCCTCCTCACTAGTTTCTGTACTGTGGAACCAAATTGATGCAGGTTGCTTCAACACCTATGCCACAAATTTATCAGAATAAGCTGGTAAGGAGTCTATGAATGAGTGTGAGAGATCAGAGACATAAGCTTCAGTTTTAGTTTATGGGGTTTGTTAGCTTATTTTGGACGATTTTCTCCAATGAACTTAATGCAGGTGTGGATCCTTTGCAATGATTGTGGAGAAACCTCAGAAGTAAACTTCCACATCTTAGCACACAAGTGCCTGAAGTGCAATTCATACAACACGAGGCAAACGAGAGGAGCGAAAGCAGCATCTTGCTCATCGAGGATCCCGGAAATGGTTAGATGATTGGCTCTCATTGATATGCTTCTTTCTCACCTCCCTTGTTGTCGTCTGAATTGAAAATTGCAATCAACCAACAAGTGTGATCCTTCTTCTATACCCAAGCACCATTCGGATTCCTGTTTCGGAAGGCATTCATTGCCCCAGGACCCGAGGCTTAGTGTCCAGAAAGCTTTGTGCTTTATGTTCTGTCAACTGTTGTATCTTGGGGGAGAAGAAAAGCTTGTGATGGGAGTGTTGAAGTTCTTCTTCAGTCATTCTTTTTGCATGGCACTTGAATGTACCGTAGTTGCCGCTTCATTTGATCCCTTGAAACAGAAAACCCAGCTAACAAATCGAACTCAGAATACACCAGAACCAAAATGAATGCATTTTCATTCGATGCCAGTCTCTCTCGCTCATTTTCGGTTTCATTCTATACCAATTCAATTCGGTTTTCAACTTTGCATGTAACAAATAAAAGAATAAATGATTATTTAGGATCAGAACTTGAGGATTACAGCATAGAAAAATCATACTATATGGTGGAAATGACATTTTCTTTCTGGAACCCACAAGCAAAAACAGAAGAAGCTTGACTAAGGGAAAAACTGTGACATTAATTGGGAGTCTCGACACTGTTTGGTCCATATTGCTCTACTTCTCTCTGATGGAGTTGCTGAACTGGCCTGGCATTTTGTTCTGCATATTGCCCCAATCAATTCAAAAAATTCAGTCAAATCAGAATTCAAATCAAACAATTATTTCTTGTAGGTAACCAATTTATTGAAGTCAAAGATGTAGTTAAGCTAACTTACATCATGAACTGCATCACGAAGGGCTTTGATTTGGTCTCTGGAAACTGTCCTTATCTGTACACCACAAAAGATTTCCCCAAGGATTATTAACCTTTCTGATCATGGTAGATCAATAGAAAGAAATTTTGACGATTACCTTTCTGCTCATGGTCCAAACAACTCCTTCTGTGCATGGTGGGACAGTGAGGGAGCCAATGTATCTATAGTACTTCTTGCCACCAATCTTGATCTCTCTAGGGTCCATCACACCCATTTCCTTCTCAATCTCTTTCTTCTTGTTCTTGTCCATCTCGTCGTGCTCAATGGATTTAATGTCCTGAATCAATTTGGACAGGAAATGGTCTGGGCTGCCAGCCTTATACAGCACACCCACAACAGCAATCCCATTCGTCTCTGGATTTAAATGAACCATATGGAGCTCCATATCATAACTGCCATGGACCATACTTAAATCAATCATTTGATTCGAGATATCATGAGGATACAAACACGAGACCATCAAGTTAAATACCTCCTGCCATTGACTGTGTGCTCGGAAGGAGAATGCCAGTGGCATTGCTGGAGCAGATACTCTGTCCCATTGATCCTTATCGACCCTGCATCCGAACCTTTCCATTGGAGCTGCCACAATTTAAGAAAACAACCCAAATTTCATCAAAGACTCGATCTTTTCCACCTTTCCAGAAATGGGTTGGAAGCCAAATCAACATTGGAATCATGGGTTCTTTTCTTGGCTTTACCGAAATGTCATGTCCCCTGTTCTTGACAATGGCGTTTGCAGGCTTGTAACTCCTGTTGATGTCAAGAGATCTGTTGAGCAACTTCACCCTTTGATCCGACATGTCGATTGGGGATTGGAGTTGACCTGTTTTGCAAGCTTCCCAGTCTTTCTTCAGCTCTCCCCATTTGGAAGGACCCTTTTGGCTTCCTCTTATGTAGTCAAACTCCCTCTCATCCTCTGCAAAAATGTAAGGGAAAGATGAGTCTCAGATCTTCTCGAGATAATCGTTCGTTTGAGCTTAAAAGTTAGAATCTTTTGTATGAACGAATGAAACAGTATCTACTTACCGACTTCCTGCGCGAATGAGGATTGTGAGTAAAGGGCAAGAAGAAGAAGAAGAAGAAGAGAGGCTAGGCAGAAGGTAGAGGGGGAAGATGAGGATCTCTTGCTTCTTGTTCGTTGTTGGAGCTTCATGTTTTCTTGCAAGGATTTGGGAGGATTTTGGAAGGCTAATGGTGAACTCCAAAATGAAGGGAGTGGAGTGGTTGAATATATAATGGAAGGGAGAGCTTAATATGAGCAAATGTTTGTGCCAAGAAGTTTCCTTGTTTGCTTTTTACTTTGTTTTTTTAGTGATTCCTTTCCAAGATGTAGAAGTTCGTCAGAGGGACGGTGTGACAGAGCAAATGTTTGTTTTGTTCTATGCCTTTCTTTCTGGAAGAATTAGAGTTTGGTGGAAGCATGCATTGACGATTTGTTGGATCTTTTGGTTTATTGGGTATTTCTTTAACAACCATCATTGTCTTTATATGAAAACGAGTAGATCTTGGTTAGAACATGCTCATTTTGTTTCCTTCTCTTTAAGAAAAAGAATCAAACAAGGTCTTGGCAACAATGATGTCATTGGTTGTGCAATATTTGTGACAAGGCGTTCAATTTGAATACTATTAATTCGTAGTCGGTGATAGAGCTATTTGTTTATTAGAGAAGCCTATGATAATCTCTGACTGGCTTGGGATCTAGATCAACATCCTCACAAACTTATTTATTTATGTTGCGAGAGAGACTTGGATACAAAACTTTCTTGCTTTCGAGCGCCTATCTATCACTAAAGTATAGTTATTTACATGATATATTAACACGCTCTGTTATACATAAGGTACACTCTAAATTACACAACTAAAATAAAACAAAATCAAAGTCTTAATACTTTCAAAGCATTATTTTTCCCCCTTTCTCTTATTTGAATGATAAACTATGAGAATCAAATCAAAGAAGTACGATGTAGATCAAATGTCACGCTGAGTTATTCTCTTAACCACATAACTGGAGACAGAAGCTAGAAATGGTGGAACATGGTGTTGTCTAAGAAGGCATGTTTGGCTTGCTAGTGTTTTGGTATCATTTTTGTTGAGTAGAGGGTTTGGTTACCGGCGAACAACAACATAAATTTGCCGATTGCTGCCATGATCAAAGGAAGAAATGATTTTCTCAATACGACATTCCGAAAGTAAAAAAGGAGTTTACCAAACAACACGCTTTCCCACCTCGTCATGCAATACATAATTTTCGAATAATTAAACGCAGATCGAAACAAAGTGAAACATAATTAACAAGCTATAAGGAAATAATTAACCAAAAAATAAACGTTGCAAGTTGGCACTATTGTCGGTATAGAAAGACGCGTGGAGTAGGGCATAGGGTGCCAGCTAAAACTTATTAATCCCTGATTAATTAATAGATTAATCGTCTGCAAGTCTATTAACGAAGCTTTTGTATTTCTCTTAATTACTAGTTTACTTAAGCTAGTTGTCACAATGGACAATGGTTGACAATCCTCACACATCTTAGTCAACCATCAAATTTTTAGCTACTTTTCCATGATCTTAGCTACATATATCTGCTGGGATGGGATTAGGTGCTAACCCTTATAGGGGTTAGCACCGTGATAACTAGCAAAAAATGCTACTAAAAATAACGAAATCACTACGGATTATTATAAAATCAATACAACATCTAAGCTAAATCACTACTAATTCAAACTAGTAGACGGATTATTATAAAATCAATACAACATCTAAGCTAAATCACTACTAATTCAAACTAGTAGTAGTTTTTCCCTTGGTTCGGACGGTGCTAACTATTGTACAATTAGCACCATAACCGCTCCCATCTGCTGGCTATAGGTGTTGAGTGTTGACACTTAATTGGTCCACACAACAAAGTGCAGCATTAATCAAGATCTTTCAAGTGTTTGTTGTTCCCCACTCCAAACAGAAAATATCCACTAAACCTCGACAATAACCGTCATTTGAAAACTACTAATTACATACCATTATGATAGTTTAACACCCACTTAAGCCGCTAATGGAGGGTTGGGAATGATTTGACAACGACACTAATGGAAATTGGAAAGTCCATAATCAGATTTTTTTTCCTAACCCTTCCATAATTATCTCCCACCACCATAGCTCTACTAGAATATTTCCTCCCTCTATATATAAATCATAATTCATACATCCCACCATCTCAACAAACCTCACTATACCCTTTAATCCAGCCCACAAATGAAGCTCCTAATCCCACCTCGTTTACTGTTACTGTTCATCGTCTCTATGCTGATGAATCATCATCACGTTTGTTGTGCCGCTTCTGCCTCCACCGTGATGAAGATCATGAAGAGCAGAAAGATGGCGGAGTCTTCGTCCTTGCTCGGAGAAGACGCCAATGGCGCAAGAGTTCAGCACTACTCTGTAGCTGGAAGCGCGAGCAGTGGTGAAGTTGTTGTTGGCAAGGAAAGTTCAGAAGAAGGTGGCAACAATGGTAACATGATTAACAGTAATAAGAATGGGGAGGTAGAATTGAATAACCATCACAACATACCAAGATCTGATTTTGGTGGGTACGGTAGCAGCCAGATTGGAACCAAGTCTCAGTCGCCCTAATTATTTTGTATGTCTATTATTTTGAAGGTCTGTTTCCTTTTTTTGTTTTATGGGTGAGAGAGTAGTCAACGTTGTATACGAAAACCTTATTACGAAGCTACGTACTTAGGTATATGGATAGCGGAACAAGCTACATATGCGTTCATAAATAGTCTTATCTATCTATAAATTTCCTGGCTCGGATTTTAATTCTGTACTTTCCATTGAATTGAGATTGTTTGCATATATATTATAGGCAGCTTAAGAGTAAGGAGTTTTTGAAGGAACCGAGTTCCAAGTATTGAAATACTCGGGGAAAAAAAAGTAAGTATAACTAGAGAAAATTTTGTGAGCAATGTAGTAAAAATCGCGCTTTAAAACTTAAAAACTTACGATTTTATGTTTCTAGGTCACTAAAACGCTTTTACACAAAATCTCAGTGTTTATAACTTATGTAATTAACAACTCCGCTTTAAAACTTAAAAACTTACGATTTTAAACTTCTAGATCACCAAAACGTTTCTACATAAAAACTCATTTTTGACTACGTTAACGATGAGGTTGATGTATGATTTTGATTGTGAGGCTGGATGTCGTTTGAGATGCTTGGTTCGTTCAATGATATGATGAGAAACATCTGGAATGTTCTACCTTTAATTTGGGAGGGATTTGATTCAAGTATATTGCACAGCTATTGCCTATTAGAGTCTCGAGCCACAGAAAGGTCGGTCTCTTATAGTTTCAATACAAACACATCCGATTAACGTCTTTTTGCGGTTGTGGAGAAAAATTCGTCACAATAATGAACACAGATAAACATAATGAAAAATCTGTGGAATATAAGGATAATTACTAATATTTCAATTGCAGTAGTAGCATTTCACGTAGATCAGCAGTCTACCTAAAATTACAACACAATTACATGGAAAATAATCAATCAAACAAATGGAATTAATACAGTGCGATATCATAAGCTCATAGTACATGCTGGGCTTCTTTTTTTTTTTTTTTTTTAATTTGGTGGGCTTTTTGTTCAGACTTGGAAGGGCCAGGGCCAGTTCTTCAAGTCCTCATCTCCACCCTGGTGGACCCTAGCGTTCCCCCTCTTTAACCCGCCGGCGGCAGAACCACCGTCGCCTTCCTTGTAAGCGTAGTACTTGAGAAAAAACGCCAGAACCAGCACGATCCACTCGAAGCAGAACACGAACGCCGACAGCCCACCGGCGAGCTTGAGGATGACGGCGCCGTCGTCCTCCCTCACGTACGACTTCAGCTCCCCGAGGAAATCCCCTGTTCTGGTGAATATCAGAACAGAGACCGACCCCTGGAAGATCGCCGTCAGGACGGTGGCCACCATGTGGGTGGCGTACCAGGCGCCGCCGGAGGAGGCCGCGGCGCATCCGGCGACGGCGCCGGCGATGGTGAAGACGTGGAGGAGGAGCAGGAAGAAGCCGCAGATGGAGGGGATGAGGCGGAGGGAGATGGTGAGGAAGATGCAGGCCGATGCGGCGCCGAGGAGGAGGTAGTTGCAGAGGAGGAAGGCCTTGTGGACGTTGTAGTGGCGGTCGCTGGTTGCGCCGCCGGAGCCCAGAGTTACGCTGCCGATCCCCATTTTGACTGTCCTCTGTTTTCCCTTTCTTTCTTCTTTGGGGGGAATTTGAATTTTCCTTCTTCTGGTTTGATGTAATGAGGAAGAATTGAAATTGGAGGGAGGAAGAAGAAGGAGAGGGAGGACTGATGGTGGGAGTGGCAATTGATCGATTTGGTTGTATAAATATGCGTTTGTGAAGAAGAACACAACGGGCGAAATCTGCAACGGTAATATGAACAACAACGGTCTTATTATTTTTTCCGAAAGAGAGAGTGCGTGACAGTTGGCGGAAAGGAATCCAAGGCGGGAAATGGTGTCGGGCTGGTTGGGCCTTGAAGATAAATGTGTTTGGGCCATTTTGGAGGGGAGGGATATTGGGCTATGGTGAGTCAAGGGTGGAGTTGGGCTGGGTTTGGAGAGTAATGGATGGCATTTTCTGTAGTTAATTAATTGGTTAATTAGGGTAAAAGTAAGTTATCATTTGGTAAGATGTTAAAAACTAAGTGATCATTTGTGTACTTAAGTGGTAAATTATAGAGGGTATGCCATGATTTGTTCGGATCGGGCCAAACCGGAATGAATAGGATGTGTGGCCTGGTTCCTCGTTCTCGTGAATTTCTAAATTTTAAAAATTTAACACACAATATCAATATCTGAATCAAATTAAACCGGATAAAATACTCCAATGATTCGATTCTGATACTTGCGTTTTAATTACTTTTATACCATAATTTTCATGGTTCGATCTGCCCAGGTCCTGGACCAGACCGTTGAACACCAATTAATAAATTGCTTGAGCTAGGGCATGTAATTTTTTGGGTAAATACAATTTAATATTCAAACCTTTTATTTTAAACAATATAATAGCCAAACCTTTTCGAAAACAATCTAATATCCAAATCGTCAACTTTCCATTCGTTTGACCGTTAGTTGACACTTCAAAAAAAAATTGAAGTACGACGCTTCATCAATATCCATCGATATCTTCTCTGAAAAATCACCGACATATCGTGGTTCCAAACCCGAGAAGTCCATGACTCCACCATGATGGTATAGAATATCTAAATATTCAGTCATCTGTAATGCCAAAACAAGAAAACAAAGTTGTATTGCGACAATTTCCCCTAAACAAAGCTTTTTTGAAGTGTCAACCAACGGTCAAACGGAGGGAAAGTTGATGATTTGGATATTATATTGTTTTCGAAAAGGTTTGGCTATTATATTGTTTAAAATAAAAGGTTTGGATATTAAATTGTATTTACCCTAATTTTTTTAATGGTTTGGGTATTATGGCTATTAGTTTTTACCTTTTTTTGGCACTCGAGGAGGAGGAGTAAGCATAGGAGCATGCTGAAATCGGAGTGTCTTTATTGGCCCCATAAAAATGGAAACGGTTCTCCATAAAAGTAATCACATAGAGGCTCGGATTAACGGTAAAAAAAACTAGAATTAACTACCTCTTCTCTTCCATGGAGGAGTTGGGAGTGGTGAGTGACGAGAAGCCCAACAAGGTCAGTCGCATGGAGGGTTCTTGTTTTCCAAAGGATGGAGGGGAAGAAACTAACATTACCGCATAAAAGTACACAAAACTTGTCTTTTGTTGATACCATAAACTAACATTGAACATATTGTCATGTCGATAAACAATAGCCATCAAGAAACTTCTCTCATAAAGACCAAGGTTCTAAAAGGCGCTAGGCGTAAGGTAGGCGCTCGGTTCTTGATTTGAGCCTTGTCCGATTAGGCGTAGTCTAGGCGCGCCTAAGCGTTTAAAGCATAAATGGAAAATTCTCAAGTATTTTCTATTTTCTGGAATAATTTATATAATCCAAGTGCATATAAAATTAGCAATGCCTAGTTCTTAACAGTAAACATTTAACATAATAAATAACAAGCAAATAGTGACCAATCATATGCTAATAGGTGCTTATAAAGGCAAGAAGCTTGTGCTACGTACCGAGGAGAAGGAAAGAGCAGCAATTGACGAGTTTCGACTTTATTTCCCACTATAGCAGCAGAGCGGTGTGAAGGCGAGAAGACTGATCGATGACTTTCTCTGGCGGCGGCTGAGAGCTGCAAATGGGGCGAGAGCTAGGGCGGCAGGCGGCAGCAGATGTTACTTCCCGTGTTTCTGATTTTCTAGGGCAAGAGGCAAGTTTTTGATTTTCTAGGACAAAACGAAGAGTATTGGGTTTAACCGCCTAACCTCGACCAGGAACGCCCAAGCACGCCTTCTCTCCACTAGGCGCAAACTAAACGCTATTCCTACCTACTAAGCGCTACCAGCGCCTTTTACAACGCCTATGGCCAAGTCAAGGCGATCCTCCAACGCCTAGCGCGTAATTGAGCCTAGGCGTGCGCCTAGGTGCGCCTTCTTGAACCCTGATAATGACTGACGGTGAAAATTGATTCGAGAACACATCGTGCCAACTTCTTACCTTACCGGTTAAATCCAGATGGTTGGGAGGGTTAATGGAGAGATTCTTCAAGGTGGGGAAGATATGGCTTGGGAAAGATGTGCTTATATGGCCAATGAATTAGTAGTAGTATAATAGTCAAGAGAAGTGGGGAAGCTCTCGTATACCCAAATAGTCAAAAAAAGTGATCAATGGTCAGTGGTGTGCCTCATTCACTCAGGCTTTCTCAGCTCTCATGCAACATGTCGCTTTGATCATGTGGGTTTATATAGGGGAAAGAAAAATGTCTTTCACCCTATGAGACTACAACTCTAGGGTAATATCATATCGCCATAGCCCGACATTACAAAACCATGCTCAATTAGCTTAATCCTCGGCCTCCTAAATCCGAGTAAGTTTTCACATTCGATGATCATGTTGATCATTTAAAATCGGGTTTCAACCATTCTTTGTTAATGAACATATAGTATTGGTAATTTTGACCATAGGAGAAATACTGGTTTCCATTCGTTTATATGCTTGATTGTTGTGGTTGATTTCGATATTTTTCATAAAAATGTTCAGTCTTTACTTTTCTCTCTTTTTATTACTCGTGCTATTAGTGAGGCGTTATTGCTTTGACCAAGGGTGTGCAAAATGCACTAGTGGTGTCTTATTTGTCTAACACAACGTAGAAGATGATCAACTCTCCAATGATGTATTACGATGTATCAAATTATTTCGATCATTAGTAAGAAATAAGTTACATTCTTGTTTACTCGATTATATATTTCTCAATAGTATAATTTAAACTTTATATTTTTTGTTCGACCATCGATAATCTCACCATATTCATATCATGTTTCTCTATTACCAATATTAGAGCATATGTTATTGAGTCTTTTCTAGTTTGTAAGTCATGCTCGAGTATGACATTAGTGATTACCAGTTCTCTCTTGGCCTAGCGGAAGGCATTGTAGAAGTGATTATCATTGCTTTGCCACCACGATTCAGTGTAATAAGCCATTCACAACCAAAAGTGGTACTTCAAAATACCTTCCTTTTCCTGTTATTTTCATACCTTCGACTATACAATGTATGTTTACTTAAGACTGCAAGGTTGTCAACCATCAGGTCACCTAGTGGAAGGCATTGTAGAACTGATTCTCATTGCTTTACCACCACGGGTCAGTGCAACAAGCCATTCACAACCAAAAGAGGTACTTCAAAATACCTTCATTTTCCCGCTATTTTTATACCTTCAACTATACAACGTATGTTTACTTAAAGACTCAGTAAAGAGTGATTGAAGTTCCCATGGAAACACTAGTAATTTGATTTGTATATGTATCATAACCGAGGTAATGGAAGCTCATCAATCCTCCTTCGGCCAAGTGGTAGGTAGGTGTGGGATAACATTGACACTTCTCAGACTTGCCACCCATGGTTCGAGGATTGGTATAGTTCAGTGACCAAACTATGCAATTTACCCTTTGAATACTCAAACGAGGTACTTCAAAGTACCTCCTTTTTTTTTTCACCCCTGCAAACAAATCTTTGCTCATAGGCTAAAATCCAACTCACCAACCAACCATAGATTACTCTAATGTGAGCCAATGATGAATGCATATCTAACTAGAACCCTACCTGTCTCCACCTGCAACATACACCAGAGAAAAGCTCCATCCCCATCCGATCAAATTCCTCAACCTTTCAGGAGCTGGACCCAACAGTAAGCACCCCACTTCCAAATGGAAAAGAGTTGATGGATTTCCTGCAACAATGGCACACAACACATATATGTTGTATAGCTTATCCTAAAACTAATTCCTTGGCACACTTGAGAGAGAAGGAATATACTACAAATTTGCTCTCTACACTTGCTTTTTGAGCCCCAAATTCAAAAGAACCCTTTTAAAATGATTATGTCTCAATCAAAACCCTTGTAGGATAATACACAGAGGGCAAGTTTTTCTTCTTCCTCCTTTATGAATTATACCCCTCCAACTTGCATTATCCATACATGATTATAGGGTTGAAAGTGTGACCAGTCACTTTACATAGGGCATGGAAAAGAACCAGGAAGAAGGTGAGAACTGAGAACTGAGAACAGAGAAGCGAGAGGCTCTCTTCTTCTACTATGATATTTGTGTAGAAAGGGAATCCACGAAGAGAGAGGCAGAGATTCAGGCATTACCCGGGACCCCAAAAACAGGGGCTAGTAGAAGAAAAGAAAAGCAGGGGAAAGACCAATAAAGAGTGTCCAAAAGAGAGCTAAATTGTTTTTCTTCCATTACCTGCTGTTAGCATTGGCATAGCAGCGCAGATCTTTTCCCCTTCATTTTTTAATGGCACTCCTTGTCCCCATTTCCACGTCTTTCTTTATGGAAAGGAGAGCTAAACGAAAAACTGATACAAGAACCAACCCTGAAACCCGCAAACCAGAACCGAGCCACTCAGCTCTGCTCCACGAGCCAATCAATATGGCTTCCTGAATCAGTGCGGACTTTTGTCTCCAAACCGCAACAGAGATGTTTGAGGAGTACTGTTACCTGTATTGGAATGTGGGATCACATTCATATCATATCCATGTTGCATAGTAAATTCTACAAGAAACTGTTTAATGGAATCAATGATAACGATTCATGGAGAAGACGAAAGGAAACAGAGAGAGATAGGCCCAGCAAGGAGCAATGAAATTCAAACTTGCCCTTTTGGATGATGATTGTTGACTTTTGAGGATACCCATAAATCCTCCATTGCAAAGCACTTTGAGAGGTAAAGAATTCGAGCCATTTTCAGAATGGATGGTAAGTTCGACATGAAATTACTGAAATGTCCAGCTCAGCTTCATGACTCATGAGTGAACACTAGCACTAGCAGCAGACCATTTTCCTCGAGATGGGCCTGATTCCCTTCTCTCTTGTGGAAGCTCTCTCTCTCTCTCTCTCTCACTATCTTCCCTTCCTTTTTTGGTTCTGGCTTCTGGTTTAAGTGAAATATGAAAAAGGTTCCGGTTTCCCATGATTAAACATGCAACGAAGAAATGAGGAGTCAGCTAGCTTCATAGACCTCTTTTTTATCTCACCCAATAAAAGAGCCACTCTTTCACTCAAAACCCACACTATCTTCTTCTTCACTCTCACAAACCACACTAAAGTGGGAAAAGAAAGGGAGCCAAAGGAGCAATAACTCACCACCAACCTAACACAATGCTGCAAATCACCAGCATTGTTCTGGCTTTGCTCCTTAGCTCCTTCCCACACCTCCCATGGGCAATGCTCAACCTTACTCTCCCATCTGCCCACCCTGACCCTGAATTCGTAGCTCAAGAAGTTAGAAGGTAAAATAAACAAAATGCAGAAGAAAGCAAACCGCTTTCACCTTTGGTTTCTTCTTTTTCTTCTTACCACAATGGTCCTCTGTTTACCTCGCTTCATGCTTTGCAGGAGAGTGAATGCTTCAGTCTTTAGAAGGGAAATGCTCCAAACTACCCAGAGAGACCAATCCTCCTCTCCCCTTTGCTTCACCGGGAACCCAATCGACGACTGCTGGAAATGCGACCCGGACTGGCCCAACAACCGCCAGCGGCTGGCCGATTGTGCCATTGGCTTCGGCCAGTACGCAATGGGAGGCAAGAACGGCGACTATTACATAGTCACTGACTCCTCCGACGACGATGCAGTCAACCCTAAACCGGGAACCTTAAGGTACGCCGTGATTCGGGAGGAGCCACTCTGGATAGTGTTCCCCAGCAACATGCACATCAAGCTGGAACAAGAACTCATCTTCAACAGCTTCAAAACCATCGATGGCCGCGGCGCCAATGTTCATATAACTGGTGGCGGATGCATTACCTTGCAGTATATCAGCAATGTGATCATCCATAACGTCCACATTCACCATTGTGTTCCTTCAGGTCAGTCAAGAAACACGGCCGTACCATTTAACAATGTGATTGCTCCAGCTCTAGTTCGTCAAATTTTCAAGTGTTTCCTCTGTTTTCCCCATGTTTTCATTCCACAGGAAACACAAATGTGAGGTCGAGTCCGACGCACTACGGCTACAGAACCAAATCAGACGGCGACGGAATCTCAATCTTCGGCGCAAAGGACATTTGGATCGACCACTGCACGCTATCTCACTGCACCGACGGGCTAATCGACGCCGTGATGGGTTCCACCGGAATCACCATCTCCAACAACTACTTCTCCCACCACAACGAGGTAATGCTGCTGGGTCACAGCGACGAATACTTGCCGGATTCCGGAATGCAGGTCACCATCGCTTTCAATCACTTCGGCGAACAGCTCGTCCAGCGAATGCCCCGGTGCCGGCGAGGATACATTCACGTCGTGAACAACGATTTCACGGAGTGGGAGATGTACGCCATTGGAGGGAGTGGGCACCCCACGATTAACAGCCAGGGGAATCGCTACGTTGCCCCTTCAAACCCTAATGCGAAGCAGGTACGCACCAAAAGTTTTAAATTGGGTTCAATAGGGGCGAAATCGGAGTTGGGAATTTGTGGGGTTTTTTGCTTTACTTGGGTGGAATTGGGGATTTCCAGGTGACGAAGAGGCTGGATTCCGGCGACGGCGAGTGGAAGGACTGGAACTGGCGGTCGGAAGGGGACGTGATGGTGAACGGAGCTTTCTTCGTGTCGTCGGGAGAGGAACTGGAAGTGAAGTATGAGAAGGCTTACAGTGTGGACCCGAAATCTGTGGATCTCATCGGTCAACTGACGTTCCACGCCGGCGCTCTTGGAGTCGGCGGCAGGTAGTTTTCTCCGATGGTTTCCTCTTTTGAACTGATTGCTGATTTCCCGGCCGGTCCCGCTATATTATTATTCACGCGCCCTTTCCCACCTTTTCTAGTCTTTCCATTTTCATTCCTCGAATTTCGTGTCTGTGTTATTTAGTCTTACAATCCGGCTCTTTAATTCTCATTAAGTTTCGATTAAGCACCTCAGGTTTATATACAAGATAGAAATGATTTTGAGCTTGAGCTTGGGCCTGGGCCTGTAGTAGGCTTACTGTTAAATCTCAGTTGGGCCTCATGACGTTTTGGTTTGGACAGGGACAACAACTTGGGGAAGTGGGGGACCGGGCCCAACGGAGGAACTCCCGGTTTAGGAAACAACGACGACTACTCCGACGATTATGCCGGCGGCGACCTTCCGTCTTCGCCAACTATCCTCCTGAGGTCTCTATCTTTATTTGTGGCGATTTCTTGCTTGACCTTCATGCTATAGCAAGGAAGATTTAGAAGTCTTTTTTTTTTGCTTTCTTGGATTGCAATTATGTTGTGGAAAGAAAACAAGTGTACTATAATGTTTGGTGACCAAAAATTTCTATGCAACATTGCAATCTAACATTTTTCCTTGGATCCAACTCTATTAAGAAGTGTGTTCTTATGCTTGTTGGGTATTTTTAAAGAATTTTGGATGATGGGTTTTTTGAAGATCTTATGAATCTTTGGCATATCATGACAATAGGGTACTTGTTAGAGTTGAACAACTTGTGAGAAAAAAAGGCAAGCCAAGTTGGTATAAGGTAGTGGATGTTCTTGTAGAACAAAGCCTCATCAATTATGTCCTTTACTTCTAAAATAGAGTGCAAGGACAAATAATAATGAGCCATTTCTTTTTAGGAAGTGTTTTCTACAATCTCAATTTAACAATTTAGGAGACTTGTAAAGTTTATCTGTTCATAGTAAAATTATAATAGTTAGGTAGTAGTGTTTAGGGTCATTCACTAGAGCAACACCCATCTTAATGTGTGATTTGACATTGACAAGGAAATTTATGAACTTGAACTTGATGCAACATAATTACGTAACTGATAAACGAATATTATCTGTAACATCTCATTTCAAACATCAACCATCACATTATTAATCATACAAAATTCATCCTCTTGAACAACACAAAAGAATACGCTAACCCTCCATAATCTTTAAGAGATGAATAGATGTGCAAATCCAACCATATCTTTGAAGAAGATTGGTCCAAGCATGGCATAAGAGAAATAGTATATATGTTGTCTCCAACCCAAGAAAGGAAAATAACACTTTTTTGTTCTAGAAAAAGGATTGCCCAAATGTGGATATTGTACTTAAATGAAAATGAGAAAAGAGGGACCAAACAAGAGAAGATTGGCTCTATGGATGGGATATTATTAAAGGCAAAAAGGGTTAGTTTCCATACATTATTATCAACATTCAACTTGTGACCAAAACATTTTAAATGTTCACAACAATTAAAGAAACATTTTAATAGTTTCTTTCTGTTTTGAGTTAGCACAAAAGAGAAGAACAAGACAAAGAAAGAAAGGCTGAGGTAGTAGCTGGTAGGTCATTCTACTAGCTGTGACCTCAACTCATTGCTCATCAGCTCCTGTTCTCTTAACTTAGTCAAGTTTTTGGTTTGTTAATTTGGTATTCCTTAGCTCCCTATCTATAGCCAATTGCATGCTTGTTTTAACAACATTATCCATTCTCCAAGGAGATGACGGATGCTCGACCAAAGTAAACCCTACAACTTCATTTTCCTCATGTGTACTGTTTTTAAGCCTTAGCTTAGAATAATAGTATGATAGAGTTTTGCTTGGTGTTCCTTTTATACGATCGTTTTGAATGTGGTAGAAATGTGAAGAGAATTGGGAGGAACGAGGACAATCGAGAGAGAGTAGGGTTATAGTTTCGAGAGATTATCAAAACATCTAGAATGAGAGAATCCTTTTCTTTGGGGCTTTCGGTGTGTTTCGAAAGCTCGGCTCAATTGATTTCGGCTCGAAGGTGTTTGATGTCTCGTGTGTGTTATGCATTTATTGTATACGTATTTACATCTCTAACATGTACAAGTTTAATAGTGAATGTATCTATGCTTGGAAATGAAGAAAACAATATGTTAGAGGTTAAACCAAATTTTGTAGAATGTATGCTTACTTGTGAAGATGTTGATTTGTATTGGTCTAGCATGGAATAAATGTGTATTTTAGACATGTGTCGAAGTATATTAGTGGTAAACCAAATAGGAGTAGTAGAGATGGTAAGACATGAGGTTGATATGGTGTGTTTTCGGTTTGATTTTCACGGACTACTGCTATGTAAAAACATTATTTATGATCAATTCTAGGAATGTATATCCGAATCTCCTGCCATGATGAGTTTATTGGGTTTTGAACATCTATGTTTGGATTCTCCTTCATTAAAAAAATGTATGTGCATACTCATAGTTGTGTACGTAATTTAAATTACTTGTATGCATTGTAACTCATGTCAAATGCCTCCTTCATTGCGTTTGGCAACATGATCCTAAGGCATATGGCATAAACAAATCCTTCACAAACAAAAGACAGACATGTACTTTATGAGCTTAGTTTTCAGGAGGATGAAAACAGAAGAGAACAGAAACTTTCTTATGAAGAAGTTGCATGTTAGTTATATACATAGGCTTTCAAAACAAGAGTCTGATTTGACAGCATCCAAGTTCTCTCATTGTCCTTCCTACTCAGAGATCAACAAGATCAGTCTCTCTTGATTAACCTCAGCTCATATCCCACAGAGAATCCATCATGCAACTTTCACCAACTTCAGAGTAGTTCCATCCATAGTTACAACCTCCTCCAAATTTGGCTTCTTCTTGTTCACCGCAACTAATCTCAGACATCCAGTGATCATACAATCTCGTCTCGTATGGCGACTCCACCAAACTCCAAAGATCATATTGGTCTGCTCCTGTCATTGCCGAGCCATTCTGAACAATGTCGCAGTATGCCAAGTTGCAGCTACTGCTTGGATTCCCTGTCTGGTAAGGAAAATCCTGCTCAGGATTATGGCTTGCGTTGGAGTTACACTGAAAGTTTCCTTCTTCTTGTAATTGTGTATTCTTCTTGCTCAAATGGGTCCTCCAGTAGTTCTTGATCTCATTATCTGTTCTTCCTGGCAAGCTTCGAGCGATCCTCGACCACCTAACCATGTTATGAACAAGGATAAAGTCAGAACAGAATGGAGGAAAAAGGATTATTTCTTTTAACTGATTTCCATGGGAACTTTTAACAGTTACTTGTTTCCCCATCGATCGTGGAGTTGGATGATGATCTGCTCCTCTTCTGGACTAATACAACCACGTTTCAGGTTGGGACGAAGGTAGTTCAGCCATCTCATTCTGCAGCTCTTTCCACTCCTTCTTAAACCTGCAGAAAAACCAAAAGAACCCATGAGATCACTCTGCTCTTCAATCTTATCATGATCGAAGTATTACCAAAGAAACAAGCTTTATATACCAGATATTCTAGCTATGGAGTCCCATTTCCTTTCTCCAAACACATTCACAAGCCTGGCTAGTTGTTCATCTTCTTCCTCTAGCCATGGCCCTTTCCTCAAGCTATTATCACCTTGCTCCATTGGCTGTTATTTTTCTTCTGCACACCGAATTGCAGAGAGGTTTTTACACCCTTTTATAGTGAGTGAAAACTCGTGGTGGGTGGCGAAAACCAGAAACTTGTGACATGGGAAAACACTAGTGTTCGTGGGGAACCCACCATAGCCTAGCTGGAGATCGAATGTTGATAAACTAATCAAGTACATAAGAGAAAAAATGAAATGGCAGAATAAGGATAAAAAGGAATGGCTTTTCATGCATCACTATATTTGGCTCTTGAAAAGCTCCTAGTTGTGCTACATAGATGCTGCAGTTCCACTTATAACTTAACGTCACTGGTTCTGTAAAAGAGACAAAGGATAGGAGAAAACTCAGAAAAGCTTTTTGTTTAATGGGCGAAAGAGGAACGGGATTGAGATGAGGATTTTGGAAGGTAGCTAAAAATGGATCTCTATCTTAAGATCTTCTTCTAGCTTTTCTTCTTGATTTGCAGAATAAACAAACACTGAAGGCACTCTGTAAGTGTGAAGTTGGTGACCAAACATTTAACACATCTCATACCCATCGTCCTTAACTTCAATAAAAATGGGAGAAAACCCAGTAGAATACAGAAAGGCTACCTTGTTTATGTAGCTTGTGATCAAGAAGACCAAAAGGAATAATTAGGCTGGAGAAAAGGTGCATTGATCCAAAGGAAAGAGGATGTATCATCACAATAAGGAAATGGCTGAGTATATAAGTTCTCTAAAGCGGTGTCTTATATATGGCATGAGACACAGAGACAGTATTTATTGGGAGAAATAATTCCTGCCCATTTTTGGAGACATCCAGCAATTCTGTAACTCTTGGTATCAGGCTCTAATAACTAGGACTAGGAAGGAATGAGAATACATCACAAGTTTACATCTTTATCTATAGAATCTCTCTGCTTTATCCCACTTCTGCTATTGGAATGAATCAAAACTGCAGCTTGCAAGCAAATGGTTACTTTTCCCACAGACTAGCGGTCGATGAAGGATTTGTTCATCAGGTCAACAGCATTGTCCATGAACTGCAATGATGAGCAATCCAATATATGAACCGTGAGATCCAGAACACAACGACATGACTGCAACATAGCTTATGATATAAGTCCAATAGTGATTGGAGGTCAAGTTAGCAACACAATCAATCAACGAGATAGTAGAGCAAAAATAAGTACTAAATTGGAAATGCTCAAATTTGGGAAGAAACAAATTTAATGATTCAGCACTCAAGGATTATGATGCCTAGTGATATCCTTATCAAGCACAAGGCATCAGAAATACTACATAGTACCAAGTATATGAAATATGGGTTTATCAGAAATTTTGTGGCTTCATGGAAACAGAAAAGACTTCCTGTCATCACAACCCAACTATCCAGTCAGCCCATCATAAAACCACCTCCTAAGCATTCTTGTTTTTCTCTCGATCTGATGACACGAGTAAACATTTAACTTTACAGATTCCCTTCGACATGCATAGAAGGGAACTGAGTGACAGAAGTGGAGACAAGTGACCGAGATGTGTAAAAGCAACTACCACAGGGGCCACAACATCCAGAGCTATTGCCAACAGACGAGGATTAATGGAGTTATCTTTGCTCCCCTCAAAATGGCCCACTATGGTAGAGCCACCTTAAGTGCCATCCAAGTTGATACAAAGAGTATACAGGAAGGCTATTACATAAAGTCAGGGTGATTGCTAGATCTCAAAGGGCATAACTTTCAGTTTGAAGATTGGATTTAAGACTCAGTAGCAATAAGTACTTGCAAGCACAATTCCAACAACAAAATACTCGATCGAAGATTTGGACATATTTCAGCCAAAGCAAGTAACTTTCTCCAGAATCCTTTAAGAACGGTGGTAAAGAAGTACCTTTCCAAGCAGTTTGAGTTCCCGCCCAACTGGTTCCAGGAATTTCAAGTCTACTTCAACAGGCCATACCTGTTCAATTCGAATGAACCGGAATCATTTCCCAGAATTTGACAGCTCAAACACACAGTTCATATGATCGAATATTGCGAGAACCCAATTAACCAATTCCACAGACCTTAACGCCAAGCAATCGAACAGGGGTAATCTGGCCGGGAACAATGCAATCGGGGCCAGCTGCTTCCACTATCGCATCATCTGCCAATCCGCTTCCGATTGGATTAGGATGCTGCGCAAACAAGGAAAGATGCGTTGAAGTTAACGGCGGCAAAGGAGAGAGCTTATTTCCATTTTTGTGTACCTTCATGACGGAAATGGCATAGTCGGAGTAGGGGTTATGGGAGACGCGGAGGACAGGGGAGTGGTGGATTCTGGGAATCCGTTTGGAGGTTGTTACCCGCCATGGCGCGTCTTTCTGCAACGGCGCCGGCGCGCCTGCTTTCTTCGACATAATCAGGCTCTTCTTCCTTCAGGTGCTTGAAATGGAACGTTGAAATGGGTTTAAGTTGGTGAGATTAAAGAGCGAATGGAAGCGGAGAAAAGAAGGAGATGAATGGATAAAACAAACGGTACGAATGAACTACCACAGAAAAGAAAGAATGGATGGGGCATTTTTTCTTCTCCTTTCGGAACTTCTGCCGCCAAGAAGATTGTTATGGATTTTGTTTTAGTGGATGAAATTTGATAATAATTGTTCGACTATGAAAGTAAAGTGGAATAATCACAAAAATCAACATAAAAATCAACAATAGTCCAGCAGATATCAAATTAAATTAGTTTGAAAAACTTCATCTTAACTCGAATATGATCTCAATAAAGTAACCGTCAAGTCTTCACAATGTTCTCGACTTCTCGTATATAAAAACCAAGAGCAAGAACTTCATTTTACATCAGCTCAGTAGAATCGCACCGTAAACAATGTGATTGATCGATGCTTCATCCACATGACATAAAAATCAGCCTATACTAGGGTCGTTCCAAGTTCTAACCCTTAAGAATTCATATTTTAACTGTGGGTCAGCAAGATTAACAAACAACAGCTAAAGAAGCAAATTCACTCATGATCCAGAGAAAAATTGAGCAACAACATTACATATATGAGTGGAAACAACTGAGTTAAAGTTCAGTAAAATTACTAGTCTGTCAAAAAAAAGAAACCCCCCCAATAAATAAAATCTGGAAGTAAAAATAAGTAACTAAAACTAACCAAATAAAATAGGGAAAGAACTCCAAAAGCTCACCCAGGAGATATGATTCTGGATGGATGTAGCAGCAAGCATATTACTAAACAACACTTTTAAAAATTACAATTTTTACTGCTCCTGCTGCTCTTCTTGTAATTTGACATCTTTTAAAAATCGATTTTTGAAGATCAACAAAAATAAGGGGGAGCAAAAAAAGAATAGGGCATGATCAAAATGGGGGTAGAGATGAGCACTTCCATTAATCGCCCATTTCTTCCCTCCATTCCCTACTGGTTGCAGACTGGGGAGGAGATGAATTTTCCTTTGCTGGCGTGTCAAGCAGTGATCATGTTGTCTCGCTCACCGGCCACGTCAGCGAGTCTCTTCCACGTCATCTCCCGCTGCTCTTCCACTTCCTTCGCCCTCGACTCCTTCTCCTCGTACTGCCTCTGGCATTCCTCGAACAACTCGGTGTCCATCTCCAGGAACATCTTCCGGACGTTGACTGTCAACCCGTGGACAGCCTGATTCCAATGTGTCTGGATGTTCTTCTCCAAGGCATCGAAGAGGATTGGTAGTACCACTCCGCGATTCTGTGCGATTAGCCCCACGACGTGCTCGTTGTTCCACAAGAACAGCGCTCTTTCTGCAACCTGCAGAAAGAAAATTTTGAGCTAGGTAAAACATTTTATTCGACATGTATAAGGCTAATCATCCATCACAAATAGCCTACAGGTGAAGAGAGCTCAGTAATAGGCAAGAGAATCCCAGATATGAACTAGAATCACAGTGTACTCCGTCCGAGCATATGAGTTACAGCCAAGAACTAGTTCATCAGCTTGGCAAACACACTTATTCCATTCTAGTAAAATATAAAAATATGTCATGGCCCTCATTAGAACAAACATATCCGAAATGTTATTTACTGGAAAGGCGAAATCTTTACGGAAAAATACGTCTGTACTTGTTCAGTAGTCAGAAGGGTGTGCATTGGATACTTCCAGTGAGTGCAAAAATATTCTAACCAGCCTTAACATAATGGTAGAAACATCTTTAGCTCGGTTTTAAGAGCCCATAAATTGAAGGTTAAGGCGACAAGAAACATTACACCCAGTTGCCATTTGTAGACTCACAATATTCATCATCTAATCATGTCATAGCACTTTTGTCAATGGGAATCTCAAGAAGAGCAGAAGGAGGCAGAAGAAGATTTAACTGTTCACAGACGGAAGACCACAACTAGATCATTCAGGAAACACTTATATATTGCCCATGTAAAGTTCAATCGATAGAACAACTGACCAAATCAGAATCATGTTATGCCAAAAGGAAGTTAGCCTGTCAGTTCACGCCACATGGCTTAGGCGCATAGATATCATGACCAGTTGGTGCTAGGTTGTTATTTGGCATCTACCAAAATGAACAAACTAGGTAGTGGCACACGTTTCTGTTAGGCAATTAAACCATATTAGACCCAATTGGTTCAAACTTCATCGTTATGATGGGAGTTGAGAAAAATTAGACTCCCATCCATGTCAAAGAAATTACTACTTGGATTGCACACAATAGGCAGCTTTGCTTATGTCACAACTAAGCAGCAGAGAACAAAAGATGACCAATGCCACCGCAAGCCATGTGTTTTTCCTCCAACCCATACCACACAAAGGAAAAGACCTTATCTACCAAGATTATAATCCAAAGAATTCTAACATATGCAGATAATTACCAGAGATAGTAGTATTAGCAAACCTGAAAATGTGAACTAGTCAAGCAATGACCAATCTGTCTGAACAGAGGAACCATGCAACGCTGAAATTCTGCAGGTTGAGTTGCCTCTAGCACTTCTTCGAGTTCTCCTAGGAAAAGAACTTCCTTCTGGCAATTGATCACTGGCCAATACTTCAATAAACCCCTTATAACCGTATCTGCCAGTTTGTAATCCTTCTCAACAAACTGAGTAATGCAATAAGAAAGCTGTTGGTGGTATATAGATATAGCCTTCGGTTTATGTAGTGGTATAAGTGCCCTGACAAGGAATAACTTATGCTCCTCCTTCATCGGCAGAGCAAACCCATTTATGATACTCCCCAAGATCTCAAGAAGCTCCCCTATCCCACTGTGTCTCTCTGTCTCGTATATAAATCGATAGAAGATATTGTTTATTGCCTTTCTAATAAAAGGCCGATGCACCATGAACTTCCCATATATCCTATGAAGGATGGTTTTCAAATACTCCCTCTCTCGTGGATCCTCGGTGTCAAACAAATCCAGCAATTTCAATACGAATGAATGATCAATATACCTTTTGGCAACCTTGGTATCTGTATCTGAAGAGACAACATATCTCAACACGAGCTCATAAACAAGCTGCAAATGAGGCCAGGAAGGTTCCAAATACGGTTCCTCTTCTTCAGGATCAGCGGGCACTTGCCCTGTGCTCTCGTGGGAATTGGGAGGCAAGCTTCGAAATATATTCACAGAGACCATCCTAATCATTTCTTCCTGGCAGACCTCATTGATCTTGCCCGACCCGGATTGAAGGAAATCCACGAGCTCCAACAGCGTCTGCCTCTTGATTTCCTTCTCCCTCACCGATCTCAAAGTGTCCCCAAAATCAAACTGGAAGCAACAAACCTGGAGCTTCCGGAGGAAGAGATTATGCCGCTCCGACACGGGGACGTCCCGAAAGAGCGGGAGAGGCTCCACGGATTGCATAGGCGGGGGAGTCGACATCGCCGGAGAAGCCGGCGCGGGCACCGCCGCCCCGGTGCCACCCCGCGAAGCGTGGTTAACCACCACATTTCCCGACGCGGTGCGGTGGTGCCCAGTGTTCCCGAACCCGTCGTCCGACTTGGACGGCTTCCGCCCGCCTTTAATGATCTTCTTAAACATCCCTCCACAGATACAGCCCTAACCCTAGTATCCAAAACAGAAAGAGAGCGAGCAAGCAGCCTTCTTTCCCCCAATCCCTTTTCAGCTCAGGCGGTAATCGGAACAACGGCCGTTTATCGAGCTCCGATTAGAGGCACCATGAAGGGGAAGGGAAACAAGCTTTCTTTTGTTTCTAAGATTCAATCACCTACCTGAACGATCCAACTCAAGAGGGGGAAACATACGATTAGGGATCTAAGAGAAGGAGGATTGAAGGAGCAATTGTACCGAGTTTCCAATCGAGCAGCCGAGGAAATTGAGCGTGCCCGAATCGGAATGAACAGTCATTTGGAACCGATCGCCGGAGGTGGTTCTTTGGTGGTGGTCAGTTTAATATGTATCGGACGACGACGGCGGCGGCCGATTGGATTAATCCGACAAGGAAGGAAGGAAAAGGGGGAAGAGAGAAGTTGGGGGAGAGGAGAAAAACTGATAATTTTTAGGGGAAGAAGAGAGAGAAAATAGAGAGTGGGCAGCGTGCTTGGAGATAATTAAGGAAATGAGAGAGAAAAGAAAATAAAAATGTTTAAACTTGGGAGAACAAAATGAGAATAAATCAAAATGAGAAATAATAATAGTAACAAATTGGAAAGGCATGATTGTGAAATATATTGCTTTTCTAATCCATTTAGAGTTATGAAAGTAAATGGCAAAATTTACAGCATTGTGTATCGATTGTACCATATGTCAAAATAGATAATATTATTAAATAAGATAAAAAGTGTCATTTAAACAATTAAAACACAATAAAGTTCATACAAATAATTTTATTATAACTCGTGTGTATATCAAAAGACTACAAAAATAATTGACCTGAGTGATGAATTTGTTTTTTTTTTCCTGAGAAATTTATGATTTTATATGTGATTGAGTCATATTTGCTTTTGGGTTGAAGAAATATGCTTTCTTGTTATCCAAAAGTTTGCACATTTGACTTGGAGTCATGGAGTGACTTAAGTTAATGCATTTTATTGAACTGGTTATTTTATCCTTAATTAGTGATTTAGTTGTTAGATATTTATTTCCTTGATAATAAAACCTTCAAAACTTAGTTATTAATTTTGTTTTGACTTGTGAGGAAAAGGACAATATAGCTTCCTTTATAGTTAGCCAAAAATAAAAACAAATATTGTGGAGGACCGCATTGGGCCAAAATACCTCAATGGATAAGTGTTTACAGCTAATTATTGGTGTGGCTTTGGCAGGAAAAAAAGGGAAAAAGATCCATCTGTGAGCTAATATGACTTTTGCTGGCTTCAACTTCAAATAGTGGTTGCCGGTAGGGGTGGCTATACGGTCTGGTTCGGTTAAATTAAACCAAATTGATTCGGTCCCAGTCCGGTCTTTTCTGGAATATAAAGACCAAAGATTGGATTGGATACAGTCCGGTCTTGATTCGGTCCGGTCTTGACCCGGTCCGGTCTCAATTTGATTTTGATTTTAGGTGTTGGGGGTCCCTTATCCGGTCTTTATCCGGGTTTTTTACCTCAAATCTAAGCCCGAATATGAGATTGGATTGTTTGCTATCCGGTCCCAGTCCGATCCCGGTCCGGGTTATACGGTCCGGTTTCGGGTAAAACCAAACAGTCCGGGACCTAGCCAGCCCTACTTGCTGGTATATCGGTTGCAATCAACCTTTTTTATGGTTTGGATTTCAATTTATTTCAAATTCATAATTGTACTTTGGTTGTGAAATATCCAACTTGTATATTGTATAATAACTGCTCCGTTCCAAGCCTAACTTATTGCGTTCAGGAGGCCCGATTGGAAGCCCATAGTAATACGCTCTTTAGCTCCTCGGCCCAAAATTTAGATTAAACAAAGGCCCAAGTCCGGGAGCAAAGCAAATTAACACTTCAAATCTGCCCCATTTCCCAAATCCAAATTTCGCGGTATTCAGGGATCATTCGTACCGTCATTTACCTGAGATCGCCGGTCTCCGGCGGCGGTTTCCCCAGCCTCCGACGAAGAATCAGCCCCCGGATTTCGTGGCGGTACAGCTTCATTCCCCGACGCCTTAGCCTCCTGATCTCCTCTGAACTTCGCGCACACATCGCTCTTGTAAAACTCCTTTGTCCTCCAAACCAGGAGGATCGAAACGAGAAAACCTGGAAAACTGGCCGCCGCGATAATGAGAAACGCCGAGCGGAAGCAGCTCACTCCGGCACAGTTTAGCTCTTTCCCGGGCTCCTTCAGGAGCCCTAATCGTTCCAATTGCTTCGTGGCTTCGTCGCCTTACAAACGGCCGGCGACTTTCACTCTCGGAACCAGGGATCCGATGGGGCTGGAAACTGATTAGGAGTGATGCGAATACCATGAACCATAAAGGACTTGAGAGCCGAAGCTTCTGATTTCCCTCCAACCAGTTAGCTCGCCTCATCAGCCATTGGTGGGGGTTCTCTTTCCCCTTCTCGCAGGGCTTCAAAATGGTAAATGGTTGCTGTTTTACTATGATGAATTTGTAATTTGTTGGGTCCTATACATGTTCTAGGATAGGATGAGAGCTCATAGGATTTCCTTTGCTGCATATGAGAGCTATCTGCTAGTTAGAGTCAAGCCATGAGTGATGATTTCTCGAGAGCAAAATATATGTGGGGGAGAGATTTGACATCTTGTTCAGAAATGGGTTTATGCGTTTGGTCCTATCTGTTTGGAGTGGAATCAGAAGCAGATTCAATATAAACATATCTGAACAGTTTGTGTGTGTACTATTCATTTGATTGATTCAAGCCCCTTCGACCTGCGAAAATGACATTCTCAATACTAAATTGGTTGTCCTTGGAAAATCTCGTAATCAAGATAAGTTCGAGACAAAATTGGTGTTCATCGCATTTTCTGCTTGAAAGTTGAAAAAATAGTCCTGTGGTCTTATCCATATATGGCCTTGTTCTTGCAGGGCTCTGAAGGATCTATTGACATGTTGAAGCTTTCTGTTTCTTCAGCATCTCTTCCGGGTACTGAAGGTTTCTTTTCAGCAATTTGCTCTTATTTTCTTCTTAATCGCAAAGCGTTTAAAGCAAGACTAGTTGAGGAATTGTTGCAAAACTGAAAAGTTGTTGGCGTTAGAGAAGCTTTATGGCGGAACGGGGAACTGACATTTGCTGCCCCGGTTCAGCTTGCTTCAGAATGAGGTACAAACTGACAAATGCATGGACTAGGTTAGACGATCCATCCAGCTGACTTTGTTTAACCATTTATTTAATACAGTTACTTTATGTGTTGAGAAAAGATTAAAACTTAGCTAATTCCTCAAAACACTACTACTAAAGAAATGCTTAATTAAAGGAAACTAAATTCACTACGATCGGCTGTTTCACTAGAAAAACGACAACAACATGATCCAGTAATCATGTTTTGCTGGTATAGTCTATTACCATAACCTTGTCGCATTACAGAGGGGGGAAATTGATTTCGTGGAGGGCCGGGAAGGTTCCCCTCCACTCCCAAGTTCTGACGACATCCAAGTTATAGGAACAAAACAAGAGTAGTTTCCATTTTGCGCTCGGCATTGTTTTAGCCCATTGGAAGCCTATCATATCAGAGATTCATGGTAAACTAAAGATGTAAATTTGACAGACCGGTATCCAATATTTGAATTGGACCGTTGTCTTGTGTTTGGTTAGCTGGTTATTGCTAGGACCTTTTGATTGGCCTCTCTGCCATATCATCATCATTTTTTTGTCCTTTATGGTTTTATCAGCCGGCTTTCATTGTTTCTAAGGACGTTCTCTGGCTCGTATATTATATGCCAGTGTTATTAACTATAGCTCCACAAAACGTTCTTGTAGCCAATACCAAAGCTCATTACCACGAAGCAATGGAGAATCCCAAGAATCTGGAAGAAGGGCTTGCCCACCGGGAATCACTTGGCAATGGAGAAAAGCAGCAGAATGAAGTTTCTGAACACCCGGAAGCTGAAGAAAAAGAAGAGCAGCAGCCTGAAAAGCAGAAGAGCAAGAGGGTTGCAACTTTGGATGTATTCAGAGGGCTAACAGTAGTGGTAAGTGTCAGAATGATTGGGTTAACATTTCCAGTTCTAAAGATCAGTACCTAACATTACTTGCTAAACCTGGAGGGCATGCTTGTTTTCTGATAGAGGTTTGCATGAATCTATCTGCAGTTGATGATTCTGGTAGATGATGCCGGAGAAGCATACCCTCAGATTAATCATTCGCCATGGAATGGCTGTAGATTGGCAGACTTTGTGATGCCTTTTTTCCTCTTCATTGTTGGCATGGCAATAGCTCTGGCCCTAAAGGTACACAATTCCCTCACTCCATCTTCTCTTCTGCTTCTTGTTCAGTAATAATGTAGCTGCTGAAAGTTGCTTAACATTTCTGATGTCAATGTTGCAGAGAGTACCTAAGAAGAGGGACGCCGTAAGGAGGATATTCTCAAGGACATTGAAGCTTCTCTTTTGGGGAGTTCTGTTGCAAGGTAGTGATATTCCATTCATAACCTCAAATCTGTCAGCCTATAGAGTAAGACTTATAGAGAACATGAAGGCTAGTTGCAATCTGTGGGGTAGTTCTGATAAGTATGCTGTAAACTAAAACCTGATAAATTACAGGAGGATATTCACACGCTCCAAGTGACCTCGCTTATGGAGTAGACATGAAGCTCATCAGATGGTGTGGCATTCTCCAGAGAATAGCGTTGGTATACATGATTGTGGCTCTGGTAGAGACGTTCACCATCAAGCACAGACAAAAGATCTTGAATCCTGGGCATTTCTCAATCTTCACGGCATACCGATGGCAGTGGTGAGAAAACAAACTTAAAGCTCAGCTACATTCATTCACCGTATTGGCTTATTTCAGAAGTTGAAGTTGATCTTCTCTGCAATTCACTGCAGGCTTGGAGGGTTCATTTCTTTCCTGATTTACATGATCACGACATTTGCGCTCTATGTTCCCGACTGGAGTTTCGTGAACCATGATGAACAGAAGAGATATACGGTTTGGCACTACCCAATTCTTAGCTCAGCTTGAAAGTTAGAGTTAGTTGACTAAAAAGTAGGAGTGGGAAACGATTCGGTCAACCTCAATCGGATCTGACGTAATCGATGTTTGGATCAATGACCATTTCCGACCACTAATTAGAAGGATCTTCATATCAAATAATGTTGGCTTCTGTCTGTAATTTGTAGGTGACCTGCGGAATGAGAGGTCATTTAGGACCAGCCTGCAATGCTGTTGGACACGTAGATCGAGCAGTCTGGGGTGTTAACCATCTCTATGGTGGTCCTGAATGGCGCCGTCTCAAGGTACGCTGATAATTCTCCAGCTGTATTCAGCACCCAATTTTAGTCTCACGCAATCATTCGAATTCGCGTAAGGCTCATGTGTGATTCTTCTTCAATAGGCTTGCACTGTCAGCGCTCCTAGCTCAGGCGATCTCCGGGATGATGCTCCTGCTTGGTGCCACGGCCCATTCGAACCCGAAGGCTTGCTGAGGTCAGTTATCATATCCACGCTGTTTAAGATGCAAAGTTTGATATAACATTCAACCATGAAACTTGACGCAGAAGTAACTGACTGGCTGCTCCTATCTTTTATTTCCCCTCAGTTCGATTTCTGCCATCCTGTCTGGCACCATTGGCATTCATTATGGACACGTTTTGATCCATTTCAAGGTTAGAACTTGCAACTTCTGCTTCCTCATTCTTTTGAGCCAACCATTTCCCTCTTCTGTTTCTGAAACTAGCAACTACCAAACTGCAATGCAGGAGAATTCGGAGAGGCTCAAGCAATGGGTTTCAATGGCCGTCGGCCTTCTTATCATTGCCATCATTCTTCACTTCACCGATGGTAAGCCTCCTTCCTTCCATCTGAAAAATGAAGAACTGAAGTAAAAATGCCTCAATCGGCTCACTTGATTGTTGATTATTTTCCAGCTATTCCGATGAACAAACAGCTCTACAGCTTCAGCTACGTCTGTTTCACCGGTGGAGCTGCCGGTCTCGTGTTCTCTGGATTCTACATACTGGTAAGTACTGCTGCCATCCTCACATTTGAATTCTTCATGGTGGACCAAAATAAGCTTCTCTTGATCCTCTGCTGCGTATTTTCGTTCGAGCAGATCGATATGTGGGGATGGAGGATGCCGTTCCTGTTCCTGGAATGGATAGGGATGAACGCGATGCTAGTCTACGTAATGGCTGCTCAAGGCATCTTTGAAGGCTTCATCAATGGCTGGTTCTACAAGTCACCAGACAACACCCTGGTAAAAAAGCCTAGCCATGAACATATCCGACGTGTGATATTAAAGATTTGAAGTTATAATAATCTAGTGTTTGCTTGCAAATTTTGACAGGTGTACTGGATCCAAGACCACGTGTTCAACGACGTCTGGAAATCAGAGAGGGTGGGAACCTTGTTGTACGTGATATTTGCACAGATCACGTTCTGGGCAGTGGTTTCAGGAGTCTTGCACAAACTGGGTATTTACTGGAAGCTCTGAAACCAAAATATATGACACAAGAACCAAAGCTCAGTCATTATACTTTTGTTTCTTTAGTCTATTTTACCATCAACCAAAATACTAGTTGTAACACGTTGGAGAATGTATAGTTATAGCCGACAAATTCCCCCCATTGGTTTGTTTACAGCCCAGGTACCAGTTTTCAGCTCATGTCATTCTTGTTTCGACACTAGTGTCATCGATGTAATTGGTTTTTACGTGTGTAAGTTTGTATTTGTAATGGTTGGTGTCTAATTTGAGCCCCTTAAATGGGGTTTAAACGTTTAAGCTGATGTTCAGGACGGAAGATGCTCAATTTACTTGATTCGTGCAATCTGATTTATCCCAATTTTGTCCTAGACGTGTATTTTTTATTCTCAAATAGTGTGGAGTTGACTATTTTGATTGATACTTACACATATTTATGCTAGGTAGCCTCATTTTATACAGCAATCTAGTTCGCTTCGAAGTAACTCTGCGGTTTCTCAATTCTCAAATAACCGTAGCTTTATTATTTCGTCATTCGTTTTATTATTCATTTATAAAGTGCATGGTTCAAAAAATACGTTCTTAACCTTAAACTTAAATGTGTTTAGACGATTGACAACCTTGAAAAGTCTTGTCTAAGGGTTTCATAGCTAGTTAGGTATCGAGAACGAGACGAAAGGGTAAGGTGAGACTTAGGTGTCGCCTGGACGGCTAGACGTGATTAGGTGGGAGCTTTGCACTCAATATCGAACAGAGAAAATAAACATCATCAACAAATGCAATCTTTTTGGTAGCTCAATGATAGGGCAAAAGCGTATATGCCTTAATCCTATCTTGTAGTAAAACCGGAAATCCGGGTATCGTCTCTCAGGGACTGGTACAACCTTATGATTTATCAATTCTTTCGAGCAAACTATATGTGAAAATGTTTACGAGATGAAATTATTAACTAAAAGCAAAATTAACTAAACTAATTAAGCAAAGTAAACTTGTCGAGGAAAATTCAATGGGAGAAAGCTCTGGGAGAAACACCGGGATTCACTACCTATCCTATCCAGATTAATTCACATATTCCAATCAATTTAATCCATATCTCTACAGCCAGGATATCACGAAAGTGCTAGCTATCCCTGTCGGGAATTACTACGTACTAAATAATCAATTCAAATCCTACTGTCGTAGCTCAATGAATTAACTATCTAGCCTGAAGATCGATATCCTATTTAAGACCGCATAGCACCTTATTTAATCCACTGTCGCTTCGATAAGTTACTATGTCACATGAAATATGTTCAGTTATTAGGGTTTCACTGTCGCTAATAACCTAATCAACTACGATTCATTGTATTGGTGGCCAGTCAACACAAAGCATTAAGCAATTTCATGCAATAGAGATTGGAAGAAAAGAATCATAAATCAATCCATCAAATCAAGAAATAGCTACATCCTATGGTGTTTCCCCCAGAAATTGGGGTTTAGTTCATGACGAAATTAAGATAAATCGATAGGGTTTTGTTCATCATGTTCTAAAACAACAAGAAACAACTAATTAGGTTTAGAAAATCCAACCAACTAATCGCTCTCATTGAACTCAGCTCAAGCCTTGAAAAGAGGTCGATCGCCAAATTCCACAATCGCCTGCTCGCGTCCCAAGCTGCGCGCTGCTCTGCCTTTTTCCCTGTGAATTTCCGCCCTCCTCTCTAAAATTCTGTTCGTCCTCTCGCCCTCTTTTTTTCTTTTTTTTTTTTCCTTCGAGAATCCGTCCCCACCAAATTCCTCTCCGTCCAAGACTTCCCTCTCCCCAAAAACGTGTCCAAGCTGCCTTCTTTTTTTTTTTTTTTTTTTTTTTCTTTTCCCTGCTGCCTTCCCTTAAATTCCGTCCCTTCCTTTCTTTTCCTTTTCCTTTGGGCCAATTAATTCCATGGCCCCAAAAATTGCTTCATCCAGTTGGGCCTTGAGCCCAGCTTCGAGAATAGTTTGTGCACTCGCTCCTCTTTCGTGCTTTCTCCACCTGCAATATATCAAACTCATGGCACTAGGCGGTAATGGTTTTTTCAACCATTCTCGGGTTAGGGAGCCCTAAAATAGCACCAATTGGTTAAAACATACCATGAATAATCACATAAAGTCCAAGAATCCGATATATTAAAGCCGAATATCACTCAATAACATCGTGATCCATTAAACTACGACTCTATATAGTTGTGAGCTATTTTCCTTATTGTTAAGAAGTTATTAATCATCTGAACGGAAATGTAAAACATTTAAGGAGTTAAAAGCTAAGTCTCTATTAAAGAGCTATCAGTCATGTGTAAGAACTAACTACAATACCTAAGATAATTTCAATATCACTACCTCTATCCCCTAGCTAAACCCATAGAACCGGGAAACATAACGCTATTGGCAATGTCGTGCTCCTTCTTCGCTTGGGTTCCTTCCTCTTCTTCTTCTTCTTCTTCGCGAAACCAGCCAAGGGTGGCATTGGCTGCTCCACATCGCCAACTGCCGGAGCCACCGTCTTCTCCGAGACGACGGGAAGAATTAGCTCGACAGTCTCAATAATCACCAAGTCCGGCCTAGGAGGCGAGACCACCGTCGCCCCGTCACCTTGAGTCTTCTCAAGGGCCAGAAAATCCGCCGCCATTATTGACGACGATGACGAATCCGCTTCGAATGAGGATTCCCCGGTGCTGGAATCCGAGGTATTAGTCGAGGAGCTGGAGGCGGAAGCAGAAGCGGCGGAATCACGTACCAAACGCTGCGTTTCCTTCTGCACGACGTCGTCTAAGCATGTTGCTGTGTGGTTCGCCAGTCCGTGACGGGGCGAATCCGGACCGGTTAAGGACTCGTTACTCTGATCAGCAGGGGAAGATGAAGAACCTGATGAAGAAGAAGCAGGTTTGCTGCTTGATTTCTTTGACCTACCTAGTCTCAAGATAGAGCTAACCACCTTCTGTAAGCCACTGCGAATCTTCGATCCCTTCGACTTCGATTTCGAGAGGATCGAAGGATTGGAGGAAGAGTTGGAATCTACCTTGACATGAACGATGGACTTTCTTTCTTGTTCTTGTTCTTCTTCTTCCTCTCCCATCAAGCGCCATGCTTCGTCGAGAGCGTCTTGAGTAGAAATTCGCGGGTAGCTCGGGTCGAGCCAGAACTCTGCTTCCTCTCTGTGCCAAAGTGCCATTGCTGATTGTTAGATCTAAGAATGGAAAGACTAATGGGGAGAAGATTGGTTTTATAGAACATAGGCAGAGTTTCCTTTTCTGGTCTTCTCTATAATAGTAATTGAGTTGCTGAGATTATGGTAAGTGGTGATAATTGATGGCAAGTGGAGGAAGAAATCCAGCCATGGAATGAGTTGCACTGAATGCTTATTGCTGGAATTTAGCCTTTTTCTACTAAGGAAAGGGAATTTGACTAAACCGAATCTAAGCAACGAGTCAACGAGAAGGTTTTGAAAATTTTCTAAGTTCTGTAACTTGCAAAAGCCAAAAAGAGAAGGAATTGGATCTCTTGCATGATTTTCTCCTCTAATTACATGCATGAACATTCCATATCTTGAGCCAATAAGTTTCCTCTTTATGTGCTTCCATTATAGTCAAGAGAGATTCTCTCTTCCTGGGTATAATTGCAGTAAGATACTTTACAGATAAACACAGAGGTTCTTGTAAATGGGTTGGGCCGGTCTAGATCATATCGATTGTAAATGTTTGTGAAATCATACTCATGAAATTAGCAAAATAAATTATGCAAACAGTAAGAAAACTTGTAACAAGATCATACTGATCCGTTTTGCTTCTTTTGGTTTAGTCGATATGATCGGTTGGTACAACACATTATCGATATCACGATGAAAAAGAGGATGTTTTTTATCCATCTAGTGTTGTCATTGTCAAAGTTCACACTGAAACTAAGCTCTTCCCCATAGGAACTCCAGCTAAGCAACTTGATGAGCAGAGACAGAGAGATACATTAAAGGAGATTTAATTACAATTGGATATTGCTTCTGTGAATGCAAAAGGCTCCAACATTACACAACTTCCTGCTGCACATATATATACTCCTAGTTACTTTACACATCATATCTACATTTTGCCACAACCCACCAACCCATCAAAGACACGTGGCAGCCAGCAGGCGGCGGCCATGTTAAGAGTATGAATCATTTGAACAGTCAAGCTTCAGTTCTCACTCACTCCCAACCCATCAGCATCTTCCAAACTCCTTCCTCGATTCTGCTTCTCGGAACCAGCAATCCTTCCCCTTCGTCCAGTAGCACTCTGTACACCTCGAACTCGCGGTCTCCAATCATTCGCCTCCTGATCTCGGCCTGCAGATTTCAGAAGGAACATTGCTTCTCATGGAAGGAACAAATTGGAAGAGAGGGAAGTAGAAAGAGTGATTGCGGTTAGAGCTCAGTACCGAAAAGATGCATGTGCTGAGCTGCTTGAGAGCCTTGGTGATGTCGTAGAACACGAGAGGCCGGCCTTTACCAGATAGCTCAACTGGGTTTGCAACTATTAGCTCAGCATCAGGACCTCGACTGACAAGAGCTACTCTGAGAGGGCGACGTAGCTCGGACTCCAGACGAGAGGCCAATGCCTTCTGCTTGCTTGGATCGACCATCTTCTTGCCATCGGAATGCACGATGAATAGGTCTATCTCGCAGTTGTTCCTTCCTTGCTTCGTGGTGAACCTCCCATATGAAATCTGTTCAACATGAAAAGGTAAAAAGAAAACTCAGCCCCATTCACCAAATTCCAAACTGCTCATACTACGTTGAAATTCAAACTAATCTTTAACAAAGACGTATTTGTACTAAATGATTGTTTCATTGATCAAAAATTTTCCTTGTACCTGGATGCTGTAATCTTTGAGAGTTCTCATGATGTCATAGAGAAGGCCCTTGTGATCTTTGCACATGATTTGTACCAGTGTGTGACCCGGACTCAGCGAGTTGTCCATGGTGACAGAAACCGGAGTTGAAGTCAGTGAACTAGGAACTTCATCATCATCATCTGCTATTAGGAGACCATCTGTTATGGAGTTTGGAAGGAATGAACACTCCTGAGAACATGCAGTGATTTCTGGACCGACAATTTCGATGTCGCAGCTTATCATAGCTTCCCCAATTGCAGCTTTGAGACAATCAGATGTATCCTCCCTTCTCTTGCTAGTGTGTAGAAGCTCCCTGGTCAAGAACAGACTCATAAGTTCAGTACTAGGAATTTGGCAGAAAGCTTGGCTTACAAAGATGGTTTCTTTCGATGCCTCGTACCAATGGAAATCTACAATCTTTTTGCTGCAATTATGAAACCTAAACCCTATGAAGCAGACGGACAAGTAGATCTTTCGACAGCATAATTCCAGTTCCAGATGAGTTTTCCAGAAGAATCACATGACAAGACCCAATGTAAAGTGTACCATTTTAACATTGTCATGGTGGGGATTTCATGCTGATGTACTACTGAAGTGCATTCAATTTTGAAAGGGGCAAGTGAGAGTGTCAGTCAGCAGCATTTATAAACATAGGTGAAGGACAGAGATTTCAACTTGTAGGGTCCAATCCTCGGTACTAAAACCTCAACTCATATGTCATGTCCTTTCATGTTGCTGAAAGCAACATCTACCAGAATGCATATAATACCATGAATTCTTGTACAAACTTCAGCCTCCAAAATGAACTTATTCTTGACATGGAATCTTAGGGCAAATACCTGGTGTCGGTAATGAAGAACAAGTCCATCACTTTGCCATCAGGTGTTGTTGAGACCTTCACCTTCTTTATGGTGAGCTCAAGCTCACAGAGAACCCCTGTCACATCTGCAGCAATCCCCCCACCCCACATACAAAAATCAGCACTTTTGAGGATTCACTCAACCCTTTCATGGGTGGAAAAAGAACGAAATCATATGATTCTGATTCCCTTCAAAATCATCCCACCACAAACATTCAGTTACTCTGATAAGAAGTAAAAAATGAAAGCTTCCATCTTTCTTCTCTTTCCTCCGTGATTCCTCAACACACAACAGAAACCCAGTAGAAAACTAGCAAAAACAAGCACAACCCAGAAGAAAAGACACCATCTTTAAACCGAATTTACTCACCGTGTAGAAGCCCTGCACGGTCAAAGCAGCAGAGCTTGAGGAGAAACACGTCCGGCGGCTTGGGCGGGCGCTGTAGTTCAGCGCGGTAATATGAAATCCCGGAAGCAGAAGAACAACAAGGGCAAGCTCCGATTAATCTCTTCTTCAATAACGACCATCTAACCGCCGATTTCTCTCCCACCACCCAAAACACTATGTAGCACCACTTCCCATCCGTCGACACATCTTCGCCGCCGGCAAAAGAGAGTGGAAGTGAAGAAAAAAAAGATTAAGTGGCGAGAAATTTTATAAAACAATCCCTGCAAAAGTTTGAATCTGATTATTTGTTTGTTTTCGTACCTCCTCGGACAATGTTAAGGCCGAAGAAGAGAATGATGCGGCAGAGGTCGCAGCCCAGCCCGGTCTTGTCCGGGCAGTTGACCGTGATGACGGTGGGGTCGTCTGGTTTCTCCGGCTGGCTGATGATTACGACGTCGTCGTGGAGAATACCCATCTCCGGCGCCGGCGGCCGGCAGCTCAGCAGTGAGAAAAAGCTTCCTCCTTTTTTTGATTTTTCCTTCGGTAGGTGGGATTGGGGGAAAAAAAACAGAGAGACGAGGAAACAGAGTAGAGAAGGGAACGGGTAGAAATGAGGGGCAGTCGGCAGAGACAGAAGAGAAGAGAAGATTCAAGTGCTGCTTTCTTTTGCTTTTGCTTTACTTGTAGTTTGTTGTTGTTGTCCTTGTCTGGTTGTTTGGTTACTGTGAAAATAAGGTTGATAGTTTTTGACTGGCAGTCTCGGAGACGAGACGAGACGAGATGTTAGATTACTCGGTTCAAAGGTTGGTAGGTTAGTCAAATCGAAGGTCGGACCTTCACTAGGAAATGGCTTGGTCGGGCCGTCATACTTTGTGTTTGGTTTTCGAGATTATCGATAGTTTTTCTATCGAAGTTGATGAATTCTGTGGAGACTGGAGACTAACATGATAGTTAGACATGACTCTCTATGTCATGCGTGATTATATAGTGTTAGATATCGTTTGATAAGTGAGGATGAAATGGAAAATGGATCGTTGATTTTATTAATGGAATCTTATAGTTACTTTTATCAGTACATCGCATGTGAACTTTTCAATACTAGGATCTAGGAGCCTCTTTTTCAACAAGTCATAGATCACCAAATTTATTCAACAATCATATCATAAATTACTCCGAAATGTATAAAAACCCTCAATAGTTATGGTATAAGAATATAAGATACTATTTTTGAGATGTTTGAGAGAAACTGAGAAAGATAGTGATTAGTGAGTAGTATTTAAGAGATAAATCGAAGGGTAGGATGACCAAGGTGAGAAGAGGAGTAGTTTTAGGGCTGATATCAAGAATGTTGTCATTCATTTTTGTTTTCTCAAAAGATTCGAAGAAATCCGACTCAACAATCTTATTGAATTATTTTTTCGATTAATGAGTTTATTCGATCATCCATTGTAAGCAAGTAAAGCGCGGAAGTAAAAGAACACACGATGTACGTGGTATCCCTGTTCAATATGAACAGGACTAATCCACGGGAGCAAGCTCCAGCTGAAGTTCTCACTAAGCAACAGCAAATAGGGCTGCGCCGATCTATATGTTCACTCGGCTAGAGCACAAGAATATATACCCCACGACTAGTAACTAGGGCATCTCTAGCTCGAGTGGTCAATTACAAAACAGTGCCGTAATTAATTATATTAGTAGTAATTAATTACTCTGCACTCCTCAATACTCCCCCTCAAGCTGAAGCATGCAGATCACGAATGCCAAGCTTGGACATAAGGAAACGAAACTGATCAGTGCCTAAGGCCTTGGTAAACATATCAGCTGGTTGATCGGATGTCGCAACCTTGTGGGGTGCAATCTCGCCAGTGACAACGCGCTCACGAACAAAGTAACAATCCATCTCCACATGTTTAGTACGCTCATGGAAGACTGGATTTGCCGCAATATGAAGAGCAGCCTGGCTATCGCAGTATAGTGGAGTAGCCGAAGATTGCGGAACACCGAGCTCCATTAACAGATGACGCAACCAGATAACTTCACTAACTGTACTGGCCATGGCGCGATACTCGGCTTCTGCAGAGGAACGCGCAACGACCCGTTGTTTCTTCGTGCGCCAAGAGACCGGAGCGGAACCCAACTGGATATAGTAGCCACTCGTAGACCGACGACTGGCTTGACAACCTGCCCAATCAGAATCACAGAAAGCAGTAAGCTCCAAAGTACCAGAGGATGGGAAGAACAAACCTTGGCCAGGAGCAGTCTTCAAGTAGCGAAGAACACGGTGAGCAGCTGCCATGTGAGCTGAACTGGGAGCATGAACATGTTGACTAAGTACATTAACGGCGTATGTGATATCAGGACGAGTAACCGTCAGGTACAAGAGGCGACCTATGAGTCGCCGATACGAGCTGATGTCAGGAATCACATCATCAGCAGGTTGAGTGAGAGAGTGGTTCTGCTCCATGGGAAAGCTGCTCGGTCGTGCTCCAGTCACACCCGCATCCTTCAGGATATCAAGGGTGTATTTACGTTGACTAAGGACTATCCCTTCTGGTGAGCGAGCCACCTCAATACCCAGGAAATACTTCAACGGTCCTAGGTCTTTGATGCTGAAACGTGAATCCAAGAAGCTCTTGACCTGAGAAATGAAACCTGCATCGTTACCGGTAAGCACAACATCATCCACATATATAAGAGCCGCAACAAAAGTCTCGCCTTTGCGGTACAAGAAAAGTGAGTGATCAGCCCGGGATGCAGTGAAACCAAGTTCAGCGAGGGCCAGAGTGAATTTCTGGTACCAATTCCGAGAAGCCTGACGCAATCCATAGAGGGATTTACGTAGACGGCAAACCCGGGTATCTCCTTCCTGTTGAAAACCAAGGGGAACCTTCATGTAAACTTCTTCCTCAAGGTCGCCATGCAGAAAAGCGTTATTGACATCCAGTTGATGTAACGGCCAACCACGCTGAGCTGCAAGTGCTATGAGGACCCGTACAGTGACGACCTTGGCAACAGGAGCAAAGGTGTCGTGGAAATCGACACCTTCCAATTGATTAAAACCCTTGGCAACTAACCGTGCCTTGAAACGTTCGATCGAACCATCAGGGTGATATTTGATCTTATACACCCACTTCGAATCAATCGCCCTCTTGCCGGGTGGGAGATATTCCAAAGTCCAGGTACCATTGGCCTCGAGAGCCAGGATTTCCTTCTGCATAGCCTCACGCCAATAAGCATGAAGAACTGCTTCACGAAAATGGCGAGGCTCTTCGAGTTTGGAGATGGCGGCAAGGAACGCCTTGTGAGCTGGGGTAAAACGATCATAATGGACATGATTCGCAATCGGATAAGTGGTTGCATGAGAGCTGCTGCCCGGTAGGGCGGTATCATAGATGTCGAGCTTGGAAGGAGGACGCCGTTCACGAAGGCCACGCCGCGGAACAAAAGCATGCTGGTCAGAAGTGGGAGGCGCTGCGGATGATGGTGCTGCCTCGTCCAAATCTGCATGGGCATGGGAAGGGTCGGCCTCGTCCAAGTCTGCATGTGCATGAGGTGGAGTGACCTCGGCCAAGTCTGTAGGCGCGAGGGTCTCATCTGCCGAAGTGGGCTGCTGGGAAGAGCAAGCAGGAGCCACGTTGGTATCTTCCTCATGCTCGATGGGGTCCAGAACTGGGGAGTCAGAAAACTGCTCCCCCTCAATTGAAGCCGGAGGGGAATGCGGAGCAGCAGCACGTGTAGACGGTGCCGTCGCAAGTGGAGTGCGAAACGGAAATTCACCTTCCACAAAAAAAACATCGCGGGACGTGTAAATGCGTCGTGAAGTCAAGTCATACACCCGATAACCCTTCTGAGCCAGGGGATATCCAACGAAAACACAGCGACGTCCTCGCTCGGCAAATTTATCAAGTCCATGTTGTGTGTCCTTCGCATACACGAGACAGCCAAATGTGCGAAGGTGATCATAAGATGGTGCTCGCTCAAGGAGAACCTCAAAGGGCGTCTTGTTACCAAGAACGGAAGAGGGCAACCGATTAATCAAGTAGGTTGCCGTCAAGACACACTCGCCCCAAAATCGAACCGGTAGACCTGCATGAAAACGCAAGGCACGTGCCGTTTCCAATAGATGGCGGTGTTTGCGTTCAGCGACCCCATTCTGTTGTGGGGTATTAACACAAGATGTCTGGAAAAGGATGCCGTTAGCAGCATAGTAGTCTCTGAGTGTGTTCGTTTGAAATTCCAGACCATTGTCAGATTGAATCCTGCGAACCTGCGTCTGAAACTGTGTACGAACCATCTCGCAGAACATACGAACATGCCTTTCAACATCGGATTTATATTTCAGTAGATAAACCCAGGTAGTCCGACTATAATCATCCACTACCGTTAAGAAATAACGTGAGCCATCCATAGAAGAGGTCTGATAGCCACCCCAAATATCCATATGAATTAACTCAAAACAACCAGCCGTCTTAATGGTACTCGACTGAAAAGGTGTTCGCGTCTGTTTAGCACGCAAGCAAGAATCACAATGCGACTTAAACCAACTATGTTCTTGATAAGTAAGAAAATTCCTCAAAGCAGACAATTTTTCAAAAGCAGGATGTCCCAAGCGATGATGCCAAAGCTGTTGACTCACACGCTGCGCAGCCGCCATCGCTAGTGTCGAGTCCCCCCTTTTCTGCAACTTCTCGTCTCGGGACAAGTAAAACAGGCCATCACGGAGGCGACCCAATCCAATCACGGTCTTGGAGTGTGAGTCCTGAATCACACACACATTTCCCAAGAAAAACAATGCCACATTATTATCTCTGATCAACCGACTCACAGATAACAAGTTGCACTTGAATTGAGGAACATGGAGAACACGATGCAAGGTGAGCTGCGAATTCAGAACCACCGAACCAATGCCCTCTACTGGAATACACTTACCATTGGGGATACGAACGGGTGAATGACCATGAGAGTAATGAACTTGATCAAACCAATTTATATCACTGACTATATGTTCGTTACACCCAGAATCAATAAGCCACTCACTAAGGTCAATAGAATTACCAGCCATATGTGCGGTCGGGTCCGGTGTGGCAGGCGTGGGCGCCGAAAAGAACTGCTTGAGCTGTGCAAATTGCGACGCTGTGAGCCCCGGAATAGGACTCTCTTCAGCATCAACGTGGGCTGCTCGGGAGGAGTTCTCGCCCTTCTGCTTCTTCCCTCCATTAGGACGATTCTTGCCAAAGTCAGGGGGATAGCCAATAAGCCTGAAGCACTGCTCCCTAAGATGTCCAAGTTTATTGCAATTGCTGCATCGGACGCGATCATCAGAGTCGCGTTCCTTTTCGTTACGCACCTGGAAAGCTGCTGCTTCGACAACAGGCTTACGGCTGGCTGTGATTTGGCGTTGCTGCTCCTCAGCCGCCACTTGTTGATAAGCTTCAGTGAGTGTGGGAGTGGGCTTGGAGCTCAGAATTTGACTACGCACAATTGCAAAGGTGTCGTCCAAGCCAAGCAAAAAATCATTCAGCCATTCTGCCTCTTGCTTGTCGCGAACCTGCTTTGCAATATCACAGCTGCAATTTCCACAGCTACAGCGGGGATTTATGGTCACCGATTGATGCTCATCCCATAAAGTGCGAAGTTTAGTGAAAAACGCCGAAGTCGACGATTTCTCCTGCCGAAGTCCCACAATTTGGCGACGGAGTTCGTACGCGCGCATGGCCGAACTGGATCCGAACCGCTGTTTGAGATCCATCCAAATCTCTTGCGCGGTTTTAGCCGCTCGTACGCTGTTCCGAACCTCCTTGGTCATTGCCGTTTTTAACCACCCTTTCACCATCGCATCACACTGATCCCAAGCATCCTCCTTTGCTCTGGTATCCGCGGCTGATCGGGGCAACGAACCATCAACAAAATTCAGCTTCTTCTTTGCAATGAGTGTCTCCGTCATGTCGTTAACCCATTCACCATAATTTAGGTCAGAAAGTAGATCGCTGCCAAACAGTTGGCCAGGGCTCTCCGACGGATGCAGATAGAACGGTGATGTATGAGGTATAGTCTCGTGATCAACAACAGGCTTCTTCCCGTCCGAAACTTCTCCATCCTTCGTCATGATCGTAATATGAGATCACAGCTCTGATACCATGTAAGCAAGTAAAGCGCGGAAGTAAAAGAACACACGATGTACGTGGTATCCCTGTTCAATATGAACAGGACTAATCCACGGGAGCAAGCTCCAGCTGAAGTTCTCACTAAGCAACAGCAAATAGGGCTGCGCCGATCTATATGTTCACTCGGCTAGAGCACAAGAATATATACCCCACGACTAGTAACTAGGGCATCTCTAGCTCGAGTGGTCAATTACAAAACAGTGCCGTAATTAATTATATTAGTAGTAATTAATTACTCTGCACTCCTCAATATCCATATATAGCGTTGATGGACTTTTTGTCGAACTTGCTCCTGACGTCTTATCTTTGTTTTGAAGGTAGCAATAAACAAGTAAACAAAAAATACAATAGAAAGGAATTGAAATTAAGTCATAATAACAAATCGATACGAGTTTTAGTCATAATAACTAACGTGTTAAACGTATCGAGTCATATAATGTTCATTGAGTCCGAGCCAGAAGTGACTGGTCAATTTCGACGGGTTCATTCTTTTCTCAGGTCTGCGGGTTAGGTAAAAAGGTTACCTCATTGTCCTGGGGTTGGTTCACACTTCACAGTTCGTAGTTCGTACCCTTTTTTACATCTCGGTTACGGAGAACTTGGAGCTGGATAAATGCGATACTTCGACGACTCGGGACTCCATATCTCGCCCAGACTCGGACGGCGACTCAGTGAGTGGGATGGTGGCCAACCGCCGACGGTAGAAGGTGGAGACTGGAGGCTGCTACAGTGAGCCGTCGTCACGTGCTTATCTTCAAGTGACGGAGCCTTCAAGATTCAAGAATCATTAATCAATCCATAAAACAACGTTGCTGTCTGCCTTCTTGTCTGTCTCTCGACTCCCCATTTGTCAAGTTGTTTGTGAGACCAAAGTATACATGTTTAATTCATGGCTAGATCGGTTAGAGTGGGATTGAACTTCCAAATCATAGTGTTCAACTTCAGAACACATGTCAGTGTTTTGTTGATGTTAATCGTGAACAATTGTGATCCTTATTTGGTACAAATAATTCGAGCTTTTGAGAAAATGTTACTTATATATCTTATAACTCAAGTTGCTCGAACTGGCTCTAATACCACGTTATAAATCAATTGGTACTAATAACTCGAGTTGTTGGGAGAAGATTCAATGATTAATTATCTTATAACACTTTCTTACAAGGACATATACGAATATACTATGCATTTATCGACTTGACAACTATTGAAATGAATACTTATCAAATGAGTTGTTACCTTTATGTCGATCTACAAGGAATTATACAAAACCCAATTGTATCTTCACGAACTCATATAAACTATTCATAATCGTCAAATCTAAATGAATAGTGACAACTCACTTGCAACCCACTTAGTCAACTCTTCTTGTTAACCTAACAAAAGCCATGGTTTCATCCAAGAAGCTGGTAAGAGACATAAAGAAAGACTTGGGAAAAAAGGAATCTAATGTGGAGTTTGAACTAAATAGCACCATGGCACATGTAGAATCTTGAAGGACCTTTCTTTTGTTTAGGGTTAGGTTATGGTGGGAATCACAGTGTTTGTGATGGTGGTGGTGGGGATCTCCCACTTTGTTTTCTTCCAAATTATAATATTTTTTTTTAGTTTAGTGTTTCCTTACTGGATTAGGATTGGGATAGCACGTTTAGTTTTTGTGGGTTAGACTTTGTTTATTTTTAGGGTTTTTTTTTGCAATAAGGTGGGGAGAGTGAGCAAGTGTAGGGTTTAGTGGTCCAGCTGTTTGAAGCATATGAAGTTTCTTGCCCGGCCTTGCAATTTATATAGAAGGCTTCATTTTTTCTATGTGACAACTTGCAATTTTGGCTATGTTTGAGAGAGACAATAGTAATCAATTGCCAAGTGGTACCACAAGAATGTACAATATCCAAACTCATGGTTTGGGAGTTCATCTTACTAGCAACTCAACATCTCAAACTTATCGTGTTATTTAGAGTATCGTTAGTCGATAATAGACGTTTGATTTCAAATCAAATCTCAAAATTAAATAGGTTTTGTTTCATATGTATTACACAACTACTATATGAAACCATAATCCTCACGAGTAACGTGTATATCAGCGCTTCAATTTATGCCAGAATTGTGTTTTTTTTTAAAGATATGTGAAGCTTTATGGACTTGTTTATTGCAAAGGATGATGTATGCATGACCTTTTTCTTAAAAACTTATTTGTGGAAAGTCTGTTGCAGTTAGATTGTAGGTGGTTGTTTAGGTCATCCCAATGTAATGTAAGCTGAATTTGCTGTCAAGTCTCATCCAATGAGTTGGAACTTGATGATGTCGCCAAACATAGTCTTCTCCTATATCTTTTTATCCACTTGTCCTTACCATTGGATTAACCTGAATTCTTCACAAACTTACATGTTAGATGATTTTATCGAACCTGGATTAGAGTCTAACACATTCATTTTGGTATATTACCAGAGTATCCATGTGTGGCTGATAATAATGGCTAAGCCTTGCTCTTCATCACTAGTAGTTGTATGAAATGCTAAATGACTGGTCATAACTAAGTTAGATGTATAGAATGATAATATTTTTAGCGTTTTGGTGAGTACTACTGATTATCTGTTTCCAATTTTTAGGTTTCCAGCGCCTCTACATAATATAATGGACTTTGTAGGTTTTTCTATATTCTTCGCTGGTTGATTCTCCATAAAATATTTAACATAAATTGAGATTGAGAACATAACAATAGTGGGGAGATGGTAGTGATTGATTCCCAACTATAAGGTTTCTTTCCATTTGATGGAATTAAAGGTTACCCACTACTAGTTAGTTAACATATCATATTATTGATTGATAATGTGAACTAACACTATTGTGTTTTTGAGAAAGGTTGATGTTGATCCCACCATGACGCCACCTTATGACACCATCACTCACGTTTTGGTTTGGCTTAATTGGTTGAACCATTCCCCAATTAGGAGTACCCATAACCCTCCTTTTACTCTATAGTGTTAACTCATGACTCGATTCCATAAACGTTTATGATCCGATCCAAATACTGTTTTGTAATATCCTTAGCTGACTGGTTATAAGCCACGATTAATGGTGGGTATGTTTACCACATCGTGTTAAACCGAACCAACCGGTACGAGTAAAATATCTTCTTCTTTTCTAAAGCAGACAGTAGGGCTAGTTATTTGGTCCCGGACTGTTTGGTTTTACCCGAAACCGGACTGTATAACCCGGACTGGGACCGGATAGCAAACAATGCAATCTCATATTCGGGTTTAGATTTGAGGTAAAAAACCGGATAAGAGACCCCCAACACCTAAAATCAAGATAAAATTGGGACCGGACCGGATCAAAACCGGACTGTATCCAATCCAATTTTTTGTCTTTATATTCCCGAAAAGACCGGACTGGGACCGGATCAATTTGGTCCAGTTTAACCGGACCGTATAGCCACCCTAGCAGACAGACAACATCGCAGGCAGCCTACATGAGTCATACAATAAGAACTAGAAAAGACTATATAAACAAAAGCAGCCATAGCAGTCGTAGTCAAGTAATGAATAGAGAAATGAATGGGTTGTGCTTTGGACAGGTAGGTTCTTGTTTTGGCCGGTGGCGGTATATGGTGTGGGAAATATATAACAAATGGCCAAGAGAAAGCGACTGCTAATAGTAAGAAACATGCTAATTAATTAAGCCAAAACCACGGTTTCTAAAAGCTTCAAAATGCCTAATAGTGAATAAAGGATTCTATATAGAGAGTAGCAATCAACTGGTGTAGGTCTTGGCCCAGTAGGCGGCCAGCAAGGAACTTCGGCTGGATTAAAACCAGTGATAGTAAAATAAGACAGTAAAAAACCTGTAGATCAGAGCTTGGTATCTAAAGGGAGGACTTCATTCAATCAATAGCTAAATCTATAGGAGAGCTGCTAAGGATTAATGAAACAATATGGTTCGTACATGGATTCCAGCTCAGTGCACGGAACTTGTTCTTAAAGTTGATTGACAAACAGAAGTAGAGAACAAAAAAGAACAGCAACAATTTATCATTGTTTCTAACAAACAAAACATAAGAGAACTTAAGCTTAGTCCTTTCTGTTGTACCATGGAAATTGAATGACCTGGGCTAACGTAACAAGTTCTGTAAATGTTTACCAGCTTCCAATCATCTTAATAATATAAGCCTGCATTTCACAGTTCACTCAAATTACACAAACAGCAGCAGAATTTTCCATTCCAGAAATTTGAGGTATACCCATTTACACAAACAACAGCAAACAATTTGTGTCATTTCAGGAGTTTCGAGTATTCTCAATTACACAACATTTACCTCGTTATGACGATAACAAAAGTGCAAGGAACCTCATAGCACTAGTTTTCCTTCCCGTAGTAGGTGTTGGAGATCCTTCTTGAGAGAGAGATGGAGAGATTATCTGAACTTGAGTATAAGTATTAGTCCTCCTTCCCGTTTCCTACTTCCACAGATTTCTGAACAGGTGGGTGATCCCCAGGTAAGCTCTCCATCAAAACCTGCGCCACAACACAATCAACCCATGACTTCAGTTTCAGTGAACAAACCAGAAACAATACCACCGCTTCATAGCATGACGAATTCCAGGGCAAAGGAAATAAGATAGGGGGTTCGCAACAGACAGCTATCATCACAGAAACATGTGAAATCACAGTCACAAAGGTTTTAAAGGTCGATTCTATAATAAAAAAAAGGTATCAAAGACCGATAAATCATGAAAAGAGCATTGCTTGAAATGATCCGTGTTCTGCTTCCCCTGCAGTTTTGTCAAGCCCCATCTTCAACATTTCTTCATCAAGGCATAAACTTTATTGGGAAAACCTCCAACCCCGCTCATTTAAATCATGTACAAGTTCAAAGATTATGCAGGCAGCGCCAATTACCGAAACTCAGGCCATAAAACTAACTGAAGCAGTAGAAAAGTACATAGAAAGGATTCAGGTTTCAACAATTCCCGTACGATCTTGCTGAACTATATAAAACCTTTCAAAACAAGAAGCTAAGAGAACTGTCAAAGGCATCATCTAATCCAATTCAACTGAATACACAGAGAACCTCCGAGTTTGTTTAATTTGATGCCTACTATCTGAGAGTGAATTGAGCTGCAATTGAGAGAAAATCGGCTTGTTTGAACTTACATTGCTACCATCGTCCTTTCTGGCGGCAGGCTTATAAGGGCACGCTGGAGGAGCCCTCTCCGGCTTCCTGTACTCCCATCCGAACATCGCATAGATTTTCGCCTACCACAAAACAATATCCCGCAAACATTCAATCAAACAAGCAACTCGGGCGAATCCCTCTATCCGATCCATAATTAGGAAAAAGGGAGATTCAATTGGAGTCATGTCAATACCCTTACCATGATCAAATCGAAGAGCAGCGGCAGCAAATTAACGATCGGAACGAGGAAGAGAGGCAACAAGCACATTACGCAGACCTGATTTGGTAAAGCACAATTGAGATCGAATTCGAATCCACAAATGGGGAATGGAAAACTTTAGATTAGGTCAGACGCTTACCATCTTTTCTCCTTTCACGAATGAACCCTTTGTTGAAGAAATCGAAATACAGATAACTGTGGTGCGGAGTCGAGTCCAAAGATTCGGAAGTTACGATCTTTTCCCTCGAGAATTCAGAAGTGCTCTGCCAAGAAATCGAAAGTCTGTGGAACAAAGTCTGAAACTGAAACTGGAAGTCACCAAGGAGGGGGGGAAGAAGCCGCGCGAATTGATGACCGCTTTCCGCCAATTAGAGGCGGGTAAGCTTCGGCCAACCTTACGACGTCGTTTTATCATCTACCATTCCGTACTCCTCAATCTTTTGGTTAATACATAAACGGTTCCTTATTTTCTTATCTTCCAGTTCTACTCCTCAATCTTTCTTTTCATTACTTATCTAGTCCTGGACCAATTTGATCTAAATCAGTATACTACTCAACTACAACTTCCGGCATAAGATGAACATCACAAGCTAAGAAAAACGATTCAAGCTCATCCATATAAAACATTAGCAAATAAAAAACCAGATTGTGTAACAATTCGAGGCAATTCGTTGCTGGAACCAAGCATACCCTGTTTAATGTTTACAAACGTGTAAAGGAGATCCCAGGATTTGACAGATCTTTCCTAGTTTTTCTTTTTACCAGAATATGCATTCAAGACAGCATTTTCGATCATCATAACAACAACCAAAAATGGTAAAGTAGAGTTAACGATGATGCTTAGTCTTCTAGACCAACTAGTGTGAGGGAAGGCAATAGTAGTACGATTGTGTTGCTTCTTTAGCAGGGAACCCGGATTTTGAACTGCGTTGTAGAGTCGTTGATGATTCAATCACTGACATCCAGCTTTGCAGGGAACATCGGTGCAGCGACAGACAGGTTTACCAGCAGCTTCCCAGCCGTTGAAGCCGCGATCTAAAACCATCACGTTTTTTATTCCTGCATCTTCTTTCAGTTCGTCTAGATAATTCGCCAGCCTTCTTGCACATGTTGGTCCTCGAACCTGCAAACAATGGATACACTTGTTCTTAGTTGGTGTTCCATATATCTGGTCATTGGTTTTCTTCTCATCAACAAAGTCTTAAGTTTTACTTGTTTCGGAACATGAACACTTTGTCTACCAAATTAAGGAATATGCTTATATATCTCTCTGATTACTAAGTGGATTCTTAAGATGAAGTCTGTGGACATCTTTGGCATCAATAACTTGGCCAAAGGGCAGATCTTTCCCCAAGATTCTAACAGGTTACTCTGATTCTGATATACTACCAACCTGATGCAACAAGTTTCTCTGTTGATGTACATCGATCTACCTCAATACAATACATATTAGTAAGGCTAAAAGCTTTTTCAACCTCTGCACCTCTTCTTCTTACTCACATTTCCATTGATCCACCCCCCAAATTTCAAGTTCACAGCATTCCCAAATGGACCAAGATAAGGTATATGCAGTCAAGTGAATCAATCATGCTCTCTCTCTCTCCATTAAACTACCCACACCCTCAAATACTAACACTGGCACTGTACTCACGGATTCTCTTCCAAAAATCTATCACAGATGGCACAAAATCCCACTAGAATTCATCTGATAAATGGCGACAGATGCAATGAAACACTAGACCAATCCATGGAATCATGCAGTTGTGAGCTGAAGAGCTATAATTGAAAGAACAACTACCCCAATTCCGATCTAAGTACGGAAACCCTTATCGAGAATTGGGGGGAAAAACCTTTGCTTGATCAGAAAAAAACAGACCTGGCTGAGCGCGCAATGGAAGACGAGGGTGTCTTTCCCTTTGACCTCCTGAACAAGATTAGAGATCCTATCGCCGAAGCTACCGCTGGCGTAGTGAAGCGATCCGGCTATATGTCCGTCGTGGCTCCTCTCTTCGTCCCTTACAAATTCCAACCCACCAAAATCATCAACCAAAATGCACAATCTTTTGAGTATTGTTGCCGAGGAGAAGAATTGATTTACCTGACATCGATTATGGCGATGTTGGGAAGGCGCTTCAGAGAGACTAGCTGGGTCCCCGTTATGTACGAGATGCTTCGAGACATGGCTGCCGTAGTAGTAGCTGGAACTCCCGCTGCCGTTGATCGCCGATTTCCCACCCGGCGGAGCTGACCAAACAATGGAAAGTGGCAGAGATATTTCCGCGGCGGAACCATTTCGATCAAAGAGGCTGGGTGATACACGTGGCGAGGTTTCATTGGTTCAAGCTGGGGCGAATGATACGGTTATGTTTGGGCCGCGCGGCCCTGTTATTTTTATGGGCCCGATGTGCGGGCTCAATATTTTCCTTCCCGCGGTAATTAAAAGTTTAAAACACTAAATTGACTTGCCTTCATTCATAACCAAGAACATCAACAAAGTGATTAGCTTGAATTCCAATCTTTGATGAAATTCCAGGCCAAAGGGGACAGATAACATACGAATACGATCCCATAATTTTCCAAGTTGTTCATCACATGTATACAGATATCGTACGTAATAACTTCGAACGAAATATTAAGGAGCCCAATCATGTTTGTTTGTATGTTTGTCACCAACTCTTGCTTATTCTGCTGTACTGTGAACATATGGTTCACTTCCTATAACATTTGCAAGGGAGAAGAACCTCAGCAGCAGAACATATTGCCTTCATCTTTGGAGGTCCTCAAGGTGTTCGAACTTCGAAACCTGCTGGAAGAATCCACCTGGACAAGGCTTTGCTGCAGATCAACATAACCAATAGAATTGCAGGGATTCCAAGGAATGAAGGAAGGGATTTTGAGCCCTTTAGTGAATATGTTTGGGGAACCTTCGTGGTGGAACTGCTGATAGATTGGCTGGTTTCTCACCATCTGGCAGATCGAGCTGCAAACATGGAAGAAAATAGCACTTCTGACAGTTATCACTCTCAAGAACAGCTAAGAGTGGCCTGTAACTGCAAAAGAAAGTACAGAAATAAGTTAGATGCCGTCCAATGAGGTTGACAAGCAAACAAACAGAAGTAACTCAAGCAGAGGCCATCAACCGAATCCTAACTTTAGATATATGCTGAATCATATGGCGGAACTGCTGATGAATTGACGATAACGACTGAGACGAGGCGCCATTTGTACTCGAAACTCTCCTAAAAAGAATCTACTGATGACCTTCCTCCAGTTATCACTCTTTTATATGTTAACTGAAATCAAGCGCTATGTTCCAGGACTGCTGAGCTTTCAGTACAGACTGAGTGACCAAGTCCAACCAACCCAAGAAGTTCCAGAATCAAGCAATCACTTCAAAGAATTTACAAATTTACAGCTTTAGTTTGGAACTTGACCAGGAATCTAAGAACCAACTAACGAAAAACCCAGCAAACTTGAACTCAATTTCTCCCCCAATCCAAGAGCTGAAACACTTACCATGGCTCAATCACAGCTGCAATCGCAACATTGAAGCTGTTGTTTCCTCTTAAGTCTTAATCAAGCACTTAATAGGAGCACTTCTCAGCCTCTACAAATTAACAAAAATTATCATCAGCCAATTGATTCCTCTAAAATGAAGAAATTCAACACCTGATGTGAGTCCACAATGCATATGGGAATTCACAACCTACTGCACTATCAGATAAAAACTGATCAAGGAAAAAGATCTACACTTTACAGGCAGCAGCAACATTCTAGTGCAAACATTCAAAAGCATTGCCGTTGTTGCTGATGGTGAAGAGCAGAACATTGAAATTCAGAAGGCAGGATAGAGAAATGGGTTTAGAAGAGAAGAGAAGAAAAGGGAAACTAACCTGGCCGCTGCGTCACCGGTAAATACGACAACCCGTGGATTGTGTTGTCGCCGGTGGTTCTCCCCGCCGGCGAGCTCCTTCCTTCGCCATGGTACACCTGCCGATGCAAGTAATAATAAAATAATACAATCGTCCAGGCATCACACCAGGGGGCACCATTTCCAGTTAAATTCGAAAGGGAAGCTGACTGAAAGAAGAAAAAATGATAGACATCTCAGTCCGACGGCCAGCCATTGCAGTTTCCGCCATGAAAGTGACCCAAAAGAAATCGTCAATATCCTTCTGTTCGATATTGACACTGTAATAACGACCTTGTACCCTCCAAAAGGCACTGCCGGCTTCGAATGAAATACTTCCACCCAATAGAAATTGACAGAACAAAAATCTTCTTTGCACTTCCCTCCTCGTTTATATAAGAAAATCAACAAGAAATGGAGTTCTTCCCACTTCAGCCGTTCTTCTTCGACGCCTCTTTGTATATTGACACTACTGTAGACATGGCTCCAATTGTGTTTCTCAGGTGAAATCAATCATCACAGAGAGACAGACAGAGAGACAGCGATGAAGGGAAATGGCAAAGGTGGGCTTTTCCGCTATGCGGATTGGATAGACATGGTGTGGATGGTTGCTGGAACTCTAGGGAGCATCGGGGATGGATCCATGACTCCACTTACCATGTACATTCTAAGCGATGTCATCAACAACTATGGCGGCTCTCAGTTGAATGGTTCAAACAAGACCGTCGAGAAGGTATGGAAACCACTGCAATTTTGTCTAATTAAGTTTTACCTATCCAGGAACAGAATGAATCATTGCTGAATGCATTTTCTTATGACGATGATGATCTTATGCAAAAAAACAGTATGCTTTGAGATTGCTCTTCCTCGCAATTCTAGTTGGTGCATCAGCTTTCTTAGAAGGACTGTGTTGGACAAGAACATCCGAGAGGCAGACATCTCGAATGAGGTTGGAGTACCTTAAAGCAGTGCTAAGACAGGAAGTTGGTTTCTTCGACGGAGAGTCTGCTTCGTGTAGCACTTTCCAAGTCATCTCTGTCATTTCTTCTGATGCTCATGTAATCCAGGACACCATAGCTGAGAAGGTTCATTTTCTTCACTCTCCACCTAATTACACTCTACTATATGCTTTTCCTTCATGTATGCAACATAGCTTGAGAGTTTTTTTCTTCTTCCCTTTCTGTGGTTCTAGATACCAAACTGTCTGGCTCATCTCACATCATTCATCGCCAGCATCCTGGTCTCGTTCTTGCTCTCATGGGAACTGGCTATATCAGCCTTGCCATTCGCCATCTTGTTTATTGCCCCTGGACTGGGGTTTGGGAAGCTGCTGGTTAAACTTGCAGGGAAATCCAAAGAAGCATATGAAATGGGTGGTACGATTGCTGAGCAAGCAATCTCATCGATCCGGGTTGTCTACTCCTATGTCGGGGAGGCTCAAACGCTGGGGAGATTCAGTAACGCACTTCACAGAAGCATGGAGATTGGGATCAAGCAAGGGTTGACTAAAGGGGTTCTGATTGGAAGCATGGGGATGGTATATGGAGCTTGGGCTTTCCAAGCTTGGGTTGGAAGTTATCTGGTCACTGAAAGGGGCCAAAAGGGTGGTGCTGTTTTCGTCTCGGGAGCCTGTGTCATCATTGGAGGAGTGTGAGTTTCCTCTATTTTCCTTCGCTTGTATTGTCAATAAGTTACGTCCTTTCTTTCTCTGTTATCAATGCTCTTTTGAATGTTCTTGCGATTCCAGGTCCATCATGAATGCGCTACCCAATCTTTCATTCATCTCACAGGCAGTTTTGGCTGCTTCAAGGATCAATGAAATGGTCGATAGGGTCCCAGGTATAGACTCTGAAGATGACGAGAAGAAGGTCCTGTCACGTATTAAAGGGAGCATTTATTTCAAGGATGTTCATTTCAGCTATCCATCTAGACCAGAATCTCTGGTTCTCCGTGAATTCAGCCTTCGAATTCGTCATGGAGAAACAGTGGCGCTTGTTGGAGGGAGTGGGTCAGGAAAGTCGACTGTCGTTGCTCTGCTGGAGAGATTCTATGATCCTGTCAAAGGCACCATATTGCTTGATGGCCATGACATAAAGAAACTTCATCCTGGATGGTTGAGATCCCAAATGGGGCTGGTAAATCAAGAGCCAATTCTGTTTGCAACGACCATTCAAGAGAACATTCTGTTCGGCAACGAGGAAGCTTCCACAAAACATGTTGAAAGAGCTGCCATGGCTGCAAACATACATGACTTCATCAAGAAGTTACCCAATGGATACCAAACACAAGTAAATATGACAAACTGCTTTTGCTTCCTTCATTGATAAGGAAAGTGACATGTTTTAACAAAAAGTTTGCTGATATGTTTCTCTCACTTACTCTATTGTTTCAGGTGGGGCAATTTGGTTTTCAGTTATCAGGAGGGCAAAAGCAAAGGATTGCTATAGCAAGAGCACTGATCAGAAATCCAAAGATTCTCCTTCTAGATGAAGCCACAAGTGCATTGGATGCAGAATCTGAAAGGGTGGTCCAAACCGCCCTTGATAAAGCCTCAGTGGGCAGGACGACAATCATTGTTGCTCATCGCCTGTCAACTGTAAGAAATGCTGACATGATAGTTGTTCTTCAATCTGGGGAGATAGTTGAATCAGGAAGCCATGATGAACTCGTTGACTTGGACAATGGGAAAGGAGGAGCTTATACCAAAATGTTGAGATTGCAGCAATCAGTAGATAAGAATTCAGCAGTAGGCCCAAATGTACCGAACAGAATCCATCGGAGCCCTAAATATCATCCTCCACAAACTCCCGTAAGTGCTGGAATATCTGGATGTCAAGGCAGCCCATCTTCCTTCAGCCCAGTTTTCTCGATCAACATCGAACCGCCACTCCACACACATTCCTATCACCAAAATGACAACAACAGCAAAGCATCATCATCCTCATCGTCATCACAGTGGAGGCTGCTGAAAATGAATGCTCCAGAATGGAGGAGAGGGTTTCTTGGCTGCCTAGGAGCTGCCACAGTTGGAGCAATTCAACCAGCTCATGCATATTGTCTAGGATCAGTTCTGTCAGTATACTTCTCTGAAGAAAATATAAAGTCAGAGATCATAACCTACTGCTTTCTCTTTTTAAGCTTTGCAGTTCTCAGCTTCACTTTCAACATCATCCAACATTACAACTTCGCAATCATGGGAGAGAAATTGGTGAAAAGGGTACGCGAGAAAATGGTAGAGAAGATGTTCACCTTCGAGATCGATTGGTTTGATCAAGAACACAACACAAGTGCTGCCATTTGTACTCGGCTAGCCAATGAAGCACAGCTTGTTCGGTCCCTAATTGGAGATCGGATGTCACTTCTGATTCAGATCTCCTTCAGTGCTACCATTGCCTTTATTGTCAGCCTGATAGTCACATGGAGACTAGCAATTGTCATTATCTCAATACAACCAGTAATCATTGGAAGCTTCTATTCCAAAAGTGTGCTGATGAAGACATTGTCCGCAAAAGCACGTGCAGAACAGCGAGAGGGAAGTCAGTTAGCAAGTGAAGCAATCATCAATCACAGAACTATAACTGCCTTTTCATCTCAAAGGAGGATATTAACACTGTTTGCGCAAGCAATGGAAGGACCCAAAAAGGAAATTGTGAAACAATCATGGTTTTCAGGTTTTGGGTTGTGTAGTTCACAATTCCTGACCACAGCATCTATGGCTTTAACTTACTGGTACGGAGGGAAGCTGTTGAATGAAGGATTGATAAAGCCTAAACACCTCTTCCAGGCATTTTTTCTACTGATGAGTACTGGTAAGAATATTGCTGATGCAGGGAGCATGAGTTCTGATATCGCCAAAGGAGGCAGTGCCATTAGATCGGTGTTTGAAATCCTGGACAGAAAAACTGAGATAGACCCAGTTGATCCAAAGGGGATAAAACTGAGGAAACCAATCAAAGGCAAAATTGAGCTTGACAAGATATTCTTTACTTACCAAACACGACCCGATCAACCAATCTTCAGAGGACTAAGCCTGAAGATTGAAGCCGGGAAGACAATAGCTCTTGTAGGTCCAAGTGGTTCAGGAAAGTCAACAGTTCTTGCACTTATCGAAAGATTTTACGATCCACAAGGAGGGACCTTACTGATAGATGGACGTGACATCAGGAGCTACAACTTGAGGAAGCTGAGATCATACATTGCATTGGTGAGCCAAGAACCGACTCTTTTTGCTGGCACGATCCGCGATAACATTGCTCATGGCAACGACAGCGCCACAGAAGCTGAGATCAGAAGGGCTGCAATCCGGGCCAATGCTCATCAGTTCATCAGGTACTTTTGAAGGCAAACTCAATCTACTAAACCTTAATTAGTGTCTTGTCTTCTCATCTTGATGCTTTTGCAGACACCAACATGTTTTCCCCCTGAATGCTGATGTTTATGCTCTATACATATGCAGCTCCCTAAAACAAGGGTATGATACCTACTGTGGAGAGAGGGGAGTACAGCTTTCAGGAGGCCAGAAGCAAAGAATAGCATTGGCGCGAGCAATCCTGAAGGACCCGGCAATCCTGCTTCTCGATGAAGCGACGAGTGCACTCGATAGCATGTCGGAGAACCTTGTCCAGGAAGCACTGGAGAAGATGATGGCTGAAAGGACATGTGTTGTGGTTGCTCATAGATTAGCCACAATACAGAAGGCAGACACCGTAGCTGTGATCAACAAAGGCAAAATTGCAGAAGAAGGTTCACACAGGAATCTCATTGCTTTACATGGTATATACTATTCTTTGGTTAAGGCTCAAGGCGGGAATTCTCCTTACAGATAGAACAAGAATTACTAAGTTACCTGTCAGGATGTGTAAGATATAGATAACCAAATTCTATGCAGTTTTCCTTTGTCATCCTTCCCTCTCTCATGGTCATTTATGAGTGAACATACAGATAATTTGCCAGCCTTCTGAGACATTTCGATCCTTAGACCTGCAAAAGAATATGGTACTTTTCTCCTAGCAGCAAATGAAGAACTGAAAGCACTACAACCGGTAGAAAGCAATAAACGAAGTTGCCTTGCCTATTTTGTCCTGGCTAACAGGCTAATGCTCCATGTAATAAACATCCCAGTTGCTGAACTACTGAAGTTAGCACCACCATGAAACCAATATGTTCTAAGGAAAATTTTATGGATGTCAGTAACATGTGAATCACTTGGCCCCGGCCCGAGGCGAATCTTTCCCCAAGCTAGGCGGGCATTCTGCTCTACCCGCCTACTGCAACAAGTTTCTGCGTTGGTTTACATTGATCTACGTTAACACACTTCAATTTAGCAAAGCTAAAAGCTTTATGAACCTTTGCCCTCTTTTTTAAATCCCCACAACAACAGAATCACTGTAAAAATTTTGAACTCTCACGCTGCATTGATGGGCCCTCCACTTCCTCATTCTCCAAAATCGATCACAGGTCGCACAAAAATGAAAAACCCAGTAGGTTTCAACATATAAATGAACGACAGACGAAATGAAAACATTAGATCAAGCTACCATGGAACCACGCCATTGTGAGTTTTTGAAGAGGTACAATCCGAAGTGGAACTACCCTGATTTTGATCAAAAGTCCCGAAACCCCAAATAATAATAAAAAAGAATTTAATTTCGCGAGGAGGAATTTGATTTACTTGACATCGACTATGGTGATGTTGGGTTCCCGTTATGTATGAGATGCTTTCTCGACATGATTGCTGCCGTCACTCCCGCCACCGTCGATCGCCGGTTTCCCACCCGGCGTGGCTGACCAAACAGTGAAAAGTGGCAGATTTTTTCCCGCGGCGGAACCATTTCGATCAATCTGGCGGGTGATACACGCGGCTGGCTTTCATTGGTCTTGAACGTGAGGCCGCGGTGGGTGAATGAAACTGTATGTTTGGGCCGCTTGCCACTATAAATTCAATGGGTTCGATGTTGGGCTCAATATTCCTTCGCGCCGTTGGTATGTGATTATGGGCTTGTTAATTTTAGTTAGGCCCAGAAGTAGATGCGGGCGGGTAGGACTTAGTAGCTTTTTTTTAATAGACCTACAGAAACCCTAAGCTCGTGTTTCTTTATCGGAGTTACTATTATATTCTAACCGCCGGAATGTCTTCGACCGTGTTCCGCTTGAAGTCCGGCGATAAATTTATCACACCGTTCAATAAAATTATTTATGATTATGACTACTTTGGTTGGTCCAACCATGGTGTCACGGTACCTCGAGACATGATTATGACATCCGCTGCCGTGTGGAACAGATTCGACATGTCGAGTGGGGCAACTGTGGTCGACGTTCAAGGGCTTGTGCGCGTTGCGGAAGAGAAGAATGCTGAGCTGAGCGCATGCAAGAAGGAACTGGAATTGAGCAAGGAGATGGTGTCGCTGTTGAGGAAGTTAGTGGAAGAGAAGGAGAAGGTTGATGTGCTGACGAACCAACTTCTTGCTTTGAAGGGCTGATCGTCATTAGGAAGTTGAATGAGATCGAAGCTCCTCCATTGCAGTTGTTTACTGCTTCCCTTTAGTACTCTTATGTAATAATGCATCCGTCTCGATCTGTTTGACTTTTCAGTAATGGTAACATGACTCCTCGAGGTTTCTTCAATGGCTGCGGGCTAGTTAACTTTAACCATGCAGGTTAATATACTGGTTCACGAAGAGACATAGCTCTTCCCCACATTGATCGTTTCGTTCGTTCCAATATTGAATGCAAATGGAATTACGAAGAGATCGATATAGTTATTGGGACTAGGTGTGTTTATTTGACTGTGTGCCAATTAAACGCTTGTGCCCTTTTGTTGGCTAGCTGAAGAATCACAAGGCTTCAGCCCCTATAAAGTCACCCAGCTTAGTCTATCTATCGGATCCACTTCCGTTTCAAAAAACATCAATCAGAATTCAGAATGTCAGTTTACAAATTGAGATTCGACGAGGAATTCATTTCGCCTTCCGTATGCGGCGAATACCTTTACGTGACCAACTTCGTTGGTTCGTTTGGCGGCAACACCGTCAAAATTATCCGAACAACAGCCCTCTCCGACGAAGAGTGCCATAGCGACGCTAATCGCGTCCATGCTCGCTTGCCCGCAGCGCAAGCACAAACGTACAACGCTCTCCAAGTGTATGACGATAAGGTCGAGGGAGAAAACTTGAGGGAGGTGCTGAAGGACCTCAAAGCACTGGAAAAGGGAAGGCTCACCGTCTTCGTGAACCGTCTCGGCCACTGCATGATAATGGAAGTGAGTCCTCTATCTTTCAAGAACATGTGGACCTACGATCGCTTCCTTTGGTCCAAATACGGCGTGAAGCTGCCTCGGGGTATTTCCCTGTGGAATGGTTACGACGAGTCTTATGGGGAAACTCATGTGGCGGGTGCTCGTCAAGGAACTGGGAACGAGAAACTGGAAGAAGAAGAAAAGAAGGAACTGCGGCGAAAGTTGGAGGAGAAGGACGTGGAGTTGGCGGCATGCAAGAAGGAACTGGAAGAGAAGGGCTTGGAGTTGGAACGCAGCAAGAACAGGGAGCTGGTGCTGAGCTGGTTGGTGGAGGAGAAGAAGAAGGAGGTGAAGATGGCCAAGGATCAATTCCTTGCTTTCAAGGCTACCCTTAGATCCATGGTTGATCAGTAATTACTAGTTAGGCTGTAAGTAAGCGTCATTATCTTGCAACCATTAACGAATTATTTGTCTAAAAGAAACTCGCTCTAGCTTCCTCTTTACTAAATTTGCATAGAGTACTCTTCACTCTTGGACATTAACATCATGAAAATCATGATTAATTAGCTTGAAATTTCATCCAACTTAAAATTCCAAGCCAAGGAGCATGCATGTCATTATATGGGATTAGAATGTAGTTTACCGAGATCATCTTAAAGCTTTCCAAAAATTTCTTTCACATTCGAGTAGATAGAATAAACGTACGCATGCATGCATGCACGTAAGATGGCTAGATTTCCTACCCAAAGGAGTTGGCTGGGCAATCACATGAAAAACTAACTTTCCGATTATAAGTGGTTTGTGCGACCAAATGTCTAAAATATTACTAATAATTTTCATTTGAATTTTTTGGTTTCTTTTATATAGTCTAAAACCCCTAATAATTATTTCACTTTAATGATACTTAGACAAATATATAGAGTAGAAAATGGATGTTTTTACATTTTGTCGAGGTTTGGTTGTTCGAACCACATTTCGACCATGATTTACTGTTTTATGGAAATTTTAACATGAGATCATAACCTACTGCTTTCAGGAAACCCCTTGGTCCGTTACTCATTGGTGCAGTTGGGTACTTGTTTGCCTTTGCCCTATTTCAAACCGCCACACAGCAATTCAAGTGTTCGGCAAGACAATTGAGGGCGACAAACTCCAAGACTTGTTTGATGAGCTCATGGAAATAGGGGAACGGCGAGGCTCAACTGCTTATGTGAATCGTCTTGGCCTATGTCTAATTCATGCAACTGATAGGGAGACTGTGATAAGGACGGATGATAGCTTCGGTTGGTCCAAATATGGTGTGGAGCTACCTGAGGCTGCCGGCGTTCAAGGAAGTGTAGGATTTGATGCGGTAGAAGCCAATAATGAGGAGCTGCGGCGGAGCTTGGAGGAGAAGACCGTGGAACTGGCTGCATGCAAGAAGGAGCTGGAGGAGAAGAGCATGGAATTGACTGTATGCATGAAGGAGCTGGAATGGAGCAAGAAGATGGAGAAACTTATGAACCAGTTGGTGGAAGAGAAGGAGAAAGTGAACGAGATGATGAAGATTCAGCTTCATCATTAGGAAAAGTACTCTACTTTCATTAGCACATCCCCAAGTGTAATGTCTTTTCATCTCAATAATTTAGCACAATGATATCCCTTCCTTTGCCTAGTTAATTAATCCAAGATTTGCATATATTCTTCGATGTAAACTTTACTCCATGGCTATTCTTACCTTCAGATTCCATGAACAGTACCCTTCAAAGTAATTAACTTGTTGAACGTGTCACCTTAATTACATTGATATATATATGATATAGATCAATGTGCAGCCAGCTAGCGAACTCCCAGCCAAATATTGTTATACACCACAGTTAAATTCTTCCCTTTTCTCTTAGGAAAAAAATGAGGGTATTTAGCTTTGATTCTGATGATCGCTACATCGTACCAGCGACCGTTCGAGAAGGCAAATCTGCTGATGTTTTCGTGATGAACTACGCTGGGGAGTCATATGATCCTGAGAAGTTCGTAGCTCGCGTCGGGCCATCCAGAAAAGCAGGCTTCAATGCGCTACAAGTGTGGGGCGTCACCATTGAAGGCGAGGAGCAATTCAAAGAGTTGGTGGCCGACATGGCCATCAAATCCAGCCAAACAAGAAGCCGAAGCTACCGTCTCGGGGTGAACCGTTTCGGCCTGTGTTTCCTCATAGGAGGTCCGGTTCACCCCTTGGGGAGGTCCGTGGTTATCAACGATTACTTTGGTTGGTCCAAATACGGCGTCGAACCGCCCCTGCCGCCGCCGCCGGACGGTACTACTACTTATCGTATTGGTGCCCGTGTCGTGATGAACAGTTTCGAAGCGTTCCACAACCGTGTTGAGGTGGCGGTGGACGTTCGAGGAATCATGAGGGCTGCCGAGGAAGCCAAGAACCTGCGGCGGAGGCTGGAAAGGATGGAGAAAGAGGCGGAGGAGGTGAGGCTGGAGCTGACGGCGTGTAGGAAGGAGATTGAATGCATGGACGATGCGGTGGAGAGGAGTGAGAAGACTAAGGTTGTACTGGAAAAGTCGGCGGAAGAGAAAGAGAAGGAGGTTGAGGGGTTGAATAGTCAACTTTTCGCTTTCAAGGCCGCTCTGGTGTCTTTAGTTGATCATCATCACAACCACGACGAAGTATAAAAAAATCTCTTCCTACAGTATCCATCGATCGACTTCCCTACCATCAAAATTCACTATTTAATTTATCCGTAATTAATTCATCGTTATCATGTATGTCTTATTATGCTTTACATCGATGTAATAAATCAACAAAGATGATTATTAATTGATAAAAATAATATTACAATGCAAAATGTAGTGGTTTGTGATTATTTACATTCAAGGCTGCTCTCGTGACGTTTGTTTACCAGTGGAATGGATTACTATTGCAAACTTGATTGAACCACTTTTGTAAAATTTCTTGCTTCCCCTGGTTTCGGATTTGGAATAAAAGATTCACCTTTCAAAAAAAAAAAAAGTTAATACATTAATTAATGGACTTATCTGAAGAAGATCGCGTCAGCAGGTAATAAAATGAATCATATAATATTGAGAGGCGAGTAAAGATTTTTTAAAAATAACTCTAATATGAATGAAATCTCACTTGTGTGTCTATGTTTCATTTTTCATGATGTTAGAGGCAATTAATGGAACGTTACAATGGTTGACATTCGCGTGTATGACCTCCAAACCGAAGAAAGATCAACTATTTCATGATAAAACGACGTCCCTCAACCCTTGTTGGCTACCAATGAAGTTCCTCATGTGGCCATTAACTGTGCCAAAAATTAATTCTTATTAATTGTCTTAACTTGTAATTATCAATCGAGGAAGAAGAAGATCAATCTCTGCAGAAGTAAAGTGCAGAACAAAGAACAGAACGCAGAAATGAAGAAGAAGAAAAACCCACCCAGAAACGAAACGTTTCTGGGTTCCCTCCATCCAACTTAAACGAAGAGCCAAAACGACGACGTTGTGGAGACTCGGAGTGGACCGTTGGGTGGACTTTCACTTTGCGAATGGATGGCTGCCATCTGTTGTTTTACCATTACTGTAACTTGAATTTCTGTTTTCCATTTCCGTTTTTACTGTTCTAGCTTTTGTATCTTGAAGAACAATTTTCCAGCTTAGTATAAATAGAAAAGCAGAGAGATTCCTTGCTCTCTTGCGCATTTCCCACAATCGTGTGCCGTCGTCTCCTTCCGCTAACCCTAGCTGCAGCTAGTTCAATATGGTATCAGAGCGGTTGCTCATCCAGTAACCTGCAATGGCGACGACACCACAACCAAACACACCTCCGGGAGGCATTCCCTTCGGCTCATTCTCAGGCACCACGAGTGGAGGTTCCAACAACAACAACGATCGTCCAGATCCCCAATTCGGTAACCCTTTCTACATTAACCCAAATGAAAACATCTCTCAGGCCATCGTTTCAGAGGTTCTCGATGGACCCAACTACCAGATGTGGCAGCGAGCCATGAGAATGGCTCTGAAGACTAAGCACAAGATTGGTTTTATAGATGGGTCGATTCCATCTCCAGGAGTAGCTAGTCCTAATTACAACACTTGGGATGCTTGTAATACTCTCGTTTTATGCTGGATCTTGAATTCTGTTGACAAGGAAATCAGGAGAAGTGTGATGCAGCATGATGTAGCTCAAGATTTGTGGGAAGAGCTTAAGGCTCGTTTTGGGTATGCAAATGCCATTAAGCTGTCTAATCTGGGAGACCAAATTATTGCCTGTAGGCAGGGAAGCCTCAATGTCACCCAATACTACACTGCCCTGAAGGGTTTGTGGGAGGAGCATTTGCAATTCAATCCTATTGTTGACTGTAACTGTGCCCCACAAAGGACTCAACCCTGTGCTGCAGTTGAGGCTTTCAAGCAAAAACAGGAGGTTGATTATCTGATAAGATTCTTGAAGGGACTTTAGACCTGAATTTGATATGGTCCATACTCAGATTTTAATGATGAAGCCTCTCCCCACAGTTGAAGTTGCAATCAATGATGTGTTGCAACATGAACAGAAATTAAAGGCAGATAAAGGAATCACAAGAGGTGTCCAAACCATAGCACTTGCTGTCCAAGGAGATGCCCAAGATGGGAAGAAATTCTGTCGATATTGCAAAAAGGAAGGACATGTAAAGGAAGAATGTTGGAAACTGAAGAACAAAAAGCTTAGAATGTCTGGAGGAGTAGCAGCAGCAGTGTCTCATGGTGAATCTTCTAATGACAGTGATATGTCAAGTTCAGATTCCAAGATCAACTCTGAATCCAGAAGTGTGTCTTCCAAGGAGAATATGAGTTTCTCATCTGAGGAACTCAGTAAGCTGAGGTATTTGCTGCAGAGTGTTCCTTCTCCCAGTCCTTCTCCACCAGCTTCTCCTTCTGTGAATCATCAGGCTTTCTCAGTCACTCATGGGGTTTCTCAGTTCCCAAACTATGCTGGTAAGCTCATTCTGTCATCCTTTATGCAGCATAGAACAGAATCTTTCACTCAGACTTGGATATTGGACACTGGGGCTTCTGATCATATAGCTTGTAACATTGATTTGTTCACTGAAGCTATTCCTGTCAATGATCAATTTGTGAACTTGCCAAATGGGACTAAAGTTGTAGTTAGTCACATAGGAAAGGTTCAACTCTCTCCTGACTTAGCTCTAGACAATGTGCTCCTAGTGCCAAGTTTTACCTTTAATCTCATATCAGTTAGCAAATTGACCAATGACCAACCCATCTCATTGCATTTTGAATCTGACTCTTGTCAAATTCAGGACCTGGTGACACAGAAAAGGACTGGTTTGGCAAGACAGAGTAGGGGCTTGTACCAGTTACACACCAAGAACAAAGTTCCCATCTTACCTGTCCCCCAAGCAGCTTTCTCCTACAACTTTCAACCACAAAACATTTCCCTTTGGCACTGGAGACTAGGACATCCCAGCAAAGACAAAGAAAAACAAGCATTACCTTGTAATAGTGATGTAGTTTCCCATTGCCAAATTTGTCATTTTGCTAAACACAAACGCCTTTCTTTCCCTGTTAGCACTAGTAGAGCACTAGATGCTTTTGAATTGATCCATGTAGACATATGGGGCCCTTTGGCTGTGAAGTCTCATGATGGATTTTCTTATTTCCTGACTGTGGTTGATGATTACTCTAGAGCTGTGTGGGTGTTCTTGATGAAATTTAAATCAGAAGCAGGTCTTTTATTGCAATCCTTTTGCACTATGGCTGAAAGACAGTTTTCTAAACGGGTTAAGATTATTCGAAGTGATCAAGGTTCTGAGTTTCACATGACTGAGTTTTATAGTACTCATGGGATCATACATCAACAGTCTTGTGTAGAAACTCCAGAACAAAATGCAAGAGTGGAGAGGAAACACCAACATATCCTCAATGTTGCCAGATCACTTAGATTTCAGTCTGGAGTTCCCCTCAGGTTCTGGAGTGATTGCATTCTGCACTCTGTCTACCTCATAAATAGGCTTCCCACATCAGTTTTAGCTGATAAGTCTCCTTTTGAGGTTTTGTACAACAGACCACCAAATTTGAATGGTTTGAAAGTGTTTGGATCCCTATGTTATGCATCTACTTTGCATAGGGACAGAACTAAGTTTGATTCTCGGGCCAGACAGTGTATCTTCCTTGGATATCCTAGTGGTATCAAAGGTTTCAAACTGTTTGACCTGAATTCCCATTCTTTCTTTGTTTCACGAGATGTGACTTTCTATGAGTCCATTCTACCTTTCATCTCTTCTAATCCTGCACCTTCCAGTTCAAATCCATCTACTTCAGACCCTATTTTCCCTATCCATCCACCTATTCCTCCTACAACTACCACTTTTCCATCCACCTCATCTCCTCATCAGCCTGCAAACTCAACAATCCCTTCTCAAACTCCTTCTTCTTCTCCTTCTATTCCTTCTTCTACACTACCTGTCTTGTCCACAGATAGTTTGCCAGACAGTAATGTCAGTTTGCATTCTGAGGGGGAGGATATGGAGATTGAGGTGTTTCCTGAGTCTAATGATACTGATGAGGCAGATTTCTTAAGGAAATCCACCAGGCACCGTTCTAAACCAATCTGGCATAAAGACTACCATGTCAGTTTTGCTGCTACCAGTTCCAAGCATCACATTGGTCATCAGATCAGTTATGAGCATTTGACTGCTTCTCAGAAAGCTTTTGCTCTCAGTGTGTTATCCATAGAGGAACCTACTTCCTATGCTGAGGCCTGCAAGGATCCTAGGTGGAACCAGGCTTGTAAGGAAGAAATATTTGCCTTGTATGAGAATCAAACTTGGGAAGTTGTTAAACTGCCAGCAGGGAAGAAACCTATAGGTGCAAAATGGGTTTTTAAGGTTAAATATAGATCTGATGGTGCCATTGAGAGGTTCAAGACACGTTTAGTAGCCAAAGGCTACACTCAGATTTATGGCATAGACTTTCTTGATACTTATTCACCAGTTGCAAAAATCAATTCTGTCAAAACACTACTAGCAGTTGCAGCCTCCAAGGATTGGCACATTCATCAAATGGATGTGTCCAATGCCTTTTTACATGGAGATCTGGATGAAGAGGTATACCTTGAAATACCTCCTGGAGTTGATGTTCCCAAAAATTCAGGTCTGGTGTTTAAGCTCAAGAAATCTTTGTATGTTTTAAAACAAGCAAGCAGGCAGTGGTTTGCTAAACTCACTGCTGCTTTACTGAAGAATGGCTATTCACAAACAGCATCAGATTATTCAATGTTTGTGAGATGGATACAAGGAAGAGTAGTGGTTGTTCTTGTGTATGTTGATGATATTCTGATTGCAGGGAGTTACCTTGGGGACATTGAACAATTGAAACTGTTCTTGAGTAAGGAATTTAAGGTGAAAGACCTTGGACAAATGAATTACTTCCTGGGTTTGGAAGTGATTAGAGATCATAAAGGGATCTCAGTTAGCCAGAGAAAATACTGTCTGGAGTTACTTGATGATTCAGGTTTTGTAGAGGCTAAAGGGTGCTTGACACCTGTTGACTGCAATGTCAAACTTTCACCAGAACAAGGAGAACTTTTGCCAGATCCAAGTGTTTACAGAAGATTGATAGGGAAGTTACACTATCTAACAATAACAAGACCAGATATTACATATGCTGTCCAGCAATTAGCTCAGTTCCAGTCAGCTCCTTGTGTTGAGCATTTACAAGCTGCTCATAGGGTGATCAGATATCTGAAGCACACCATTGGTCAGGGACTGATTTTCAAAGCAGATTCAAAGCTTGAGCTATCTGGTTTTTGTGATGCTGATTGGGCAAGTTGCCCTGATTCCAGAAGGTCATTAACTGGTTATTGCACCTTCTTGGGATCCTCACTGATTACATGGAAAACAAAGAAACAGACCACTGTTTCCAGATCCTCTTCAGAAGCTGAGTATAGAGCTTTGGCTCAAGTTGTTTGTGAAGTTCAGTGGCTGAGGAATCTGTTATCTGAAATGGGAGTAAAGGTACCATTGCCCATTCCTCTTTACTGTGACAATAGGTCTGCATTGCATATAGCTGAGAATCCAGTTTTTCACGAGAGGACCAAGCACATTGAGATTGATTGCCATGTTACAAGAGAAAGGATAAAATCTGGTTTGGTTAAGTTGCATCATGTAAGAACTGATGATCAGGTTGCAGACTTGTTTACTAAGCGAATGTCCCGATATCGATTGAAGTTTTTACTGGACAAGCTGGGAGTAAGCAATGCATACTCGCCAGCTTGTGGGGGAGTATCAATCGAGGAAGAAGAAGATCAATCTCTGCAGAAGTAAAGTGCAGAACAAAGAACAGAACGCAGAAATGAAGACGAAGAAAAACCCACCCAGAAACGAAACGTTTCTGGGTTCCCTCCATCCAACTTAAACGAAGAGCCAAAACGACGACGTTGTGGAGACTCGGAGTGGACCGTTGGGTGGACTTTCACTTTGCGAATGGATGGCTGCCATCTGTTGTTTTACCATTACTGTAACTTGAATTTCTGTTTTCCATTTCCGTTTTTACTGTTCTAGCTTTTGTATCTTGAAGAACAATTTTCCAGCTTAGTATAAATAGAAAAGCAGAGAGATCCCTTGCTCTCTTGCGCATTTCCCACAATCGTGTGCCGTCGTCTCCTTCCGCTAACCCTAGCTGCAGCTAGTTCAATAGTAATGTTGATTGAATAATTATTCCCTTTTCACATAGCATAAATACTTTGGATGTCTAACTTTAAGTTATTTTTGAATATTCTTACCTCCAAACCTAGGACACCAATTAATTAGTTAAATTTACATGTACGATTAGGTGATGATTAGCTACCTTCAGCTCCACCTTACTTCAAAACATGGAATTCCATGAGGAAAGCCACGTAAACATATCATAACAAACGCACTATAAGACCACCAAATTGCTCTATTATTCATTACCTTCATCTTAGACCCAAAAAAAAATATATATATATGGCAGTGTTTACTCTGAACTCCGACAACCAATTCATCACACCATCACTCTCTCTTCAAGGCCACGTCACGGTGATGGAGTATTCCGTCGACCCGTACGCTTTCGACAGGATCCGACCCGCCCCACTCCCCGGCCACTGCACCCTCCGAGCCGTCGTCGGCCCACGTCGTCCGTACAAGAAGCTACAAGTTCACGTCGGCGGCGTCACGTTCGAGAATCAGAAACTCGCCGACCTAGCAAACGATTTGTCCTTCAAAGCAGCAGACGGCAGTAGTACGATCCTCCATCGCTTGTCCGTCAACCGTTTCGGCATGTGTTTCTTCACGGACGTCGACCACGCGGCGTTCGGCATGCTGGCCATGAACGATTACTTTGGCTGGTCCAAATACGGCGTCGTTGTTCCACGTGACGTCGTCGTTGCCAGTAATGCCTCCAACGTACGGAATAGGTACGAGCTGTACGGTGGAGCGGTGGTGGTCGACGTTAGGGGAGCGATGAGGTCCGCCGAGGAAGGTGAGGAGTTGGGGCGGAGGTTGGAGGAGAGGAGGAAAGAGGTGAGGAAGGGGAAGTTGGAGGTGGAGAAGTGCAAGAAGGAAGTGGAGAGGAGGAATGAGGTGGTGAGGAGGAACGAGGAGGTGGAGTCGCGGTGGCGGGAGTTTGTTGAAGAGAAGGAGAGGGAGGCGGAGACGGTGAGAGATCGACTCGTTGCTTTAAAGATGGCCGTTAAGTCCTTAGTCGGTCCTCATGGCGACGAGGAATAATGATAAATCGACTCTGTTTATATATGGTGGTTCTCTTCAATTTCATAAATATTGTAACATATCTATTTGTTCGTACTCATGTTTATGTAAAGTATATGTCGTCTCGTCGTGTCTATTAAATATTGACGAAGTCGGGATTCGACTATACCCATGTTTATGTAAAGTATATGCTAGCTGTCGCGTCTCCTTATTTCTATATCATGGATTTTTCTTGTGGAATTTTTCATAATTTACTTCGGAATAAAATGAGAGACGAAACATGAGTGACTATTCGATACGATATACCATTGCACAAATTAACGTGGATTCCCTAAGCTTGGCGCCATGTTCTTTTGGCTTAAATATAATTAAAAAAAATTAACAAAAATATAATGGATTGCACCAATCACAAAATAATGAGTGAGTTGATCGGATTACATGATTGGTTGATAAAGAAACGATTATATGTAAATTAGATTAGTTGCTTAATGAGATTTTCATGAAAAAGATAAGTTACGTTAGTGAACATAAGTAATCATTACGTATGACTGTTCAGTTAATATTCAAAATCACTTTAATCGTGTGATTGACAATGCGACAGGAATAATTCACATTCAATCTTGTTCCAAACGGTTACAATGTTCTATCAATCACATTTCTATAATGTTCTTGAAAGGTAACTTGAATCCTATATAATTCTTTCCTTAGTAAAGTATTTTCTTAAACAAAATATTTTGCATATATTCTTACACCTTAGTTTTACTTCATTCCTATTCTTACCTTGACCCCCATGAAAATGGATCTTAATACGATATAAAATTATATATACGTAGCGTTCATATAGAATTAAGCTCCATCCCCCGCTCCTCTTCTGCAACAGAAATATAACAACAAAGAATGGCAATGGCGGCGTTTATTTTGAAGTCAGACAACCAATTCATTACACCGGCTTCATCAAACGCCGACGTTCTTGTTTACGACTTCGACCACATGGGCGACATGAACACTACTCTTCAGATCAACGAAAAAGGAGCACTCTTGCCAAAGCGTCCGGCCGTTCGCGTCGGCCCTTCTTCGCCGCAGCACAAGGCGCTGCAAGCGTTCGGCGTCGCGATCGAGGGCGAGCAACTCGGTGGGCTGGCTCGCGAGCTCGCAGGTAGTTTGATAAGGCGTTAACCCCTCTCTGAACTCTAAAGATCATGTAAATTTTATACTAAAATGGCAAAATATAGTAGTTGATAAAAGCGTTAGCCACCCTCCCTCGCCAATTCGAATTGTTTTTTTTTTTTGCGTAAATTTTAAACCCCGTTCATTCGAATTTCTGGCTCCGTCGCTGCTGTACAGGAATAGAAGACGGGAACAATGTGTATGTCTACGTGAACCGTCTCGGGCTCTGCATCATCACAAAAATCAACCATCCATCCGTCAAGGCCATGCGGATCAACGATTACTTTGGCTGGTCCAAGTATGGCGTGAGGGTTCCTCGAGAGATGATTTGCAAGTCCACCACCACCTTGTGGAACAGGCTCGACATGTTCACCGGAGAAACCATGATGGACGTCGGAGGAATGGCGAGAGCGGCGGAGGAAGCCAAGGAGCTGCGGCGGAGCCTGGAGGAGGAGAGGTTGGAGCTGGCTGTGTGCAAGATGGAGCTGGGGTGGATGAAGAAGAACGAGTCGCTTTGGAGCAAGCTGGTGGAAGACAAGGAGAATCAACTTCAAGCTTTCAAGGCTGCCTTACGTGAAGCCCTTGGTTGATCTTCGTTAAAGGCTATGGTAGATCGATCATCATCATAATCACGAGGAAGAATCAATAAAAGTCCGATCTTAGTCCAGTGAATTTGAACACTCCCAATATCAAAGCTTAATTATTGGGTTTCTCTCTAATTAATTCATCCGGTCCCGTTCATGTACACTTTCTATATGCTAATGTAATTAAAGAAGAACATTTATGGTAATGTAAATAAAGAATAATACTAGAAATGACAATCTCGACCTCATCCGTTTTACATTCGATTTATTAAAATAATTTTGGAACTCTTCTCGATTGACCGAATTGATTGCAACAATAATCACAAAATAATGAATGGTTTGGGATTTGTTCTTTAATTTTGAGTTTTGCGCCTATTATGTTTGAGTTTATGATTGGGCTTTATTTTGGCATTTTCCATGTAGGTTTGAAAAGTTGTTTGGTTTCTGTTTGGAATTAGGAGAATACTCTTCATCACCATATTATGTGGTTAGGTTAGGTTAGGTTAGGTTAGTTTGTTTGGTTTGTCTGTTCTGAAATTTGGTGTGTAACCAGTACTCTTCTTAAATCAGTGAAATTTGTTCTCCATTGTCTGTGGATTAGCTAGTACACAATGTGTTAGTGAACCACATTGAATTTGTGTTCGTTTGTATTGATCTGAATTATTGATTGCACACTCATGTTTTGACGATGTAAATAATGAATACGTGTAAATTTGAATGGCTGGTTAATGAGATTTCATGAAAAGGATCAGCTATGTTAGTGAGCATAAGTGATCACTACGTATGAGTTGGTTCATATTACAAATTACTGTAATTACTTAATTGACAATGTGACGAGAATAATTTACATCCGATCTTGTTCAAAACTTCTACAATGTTCTCTCATCAATCACATTTCTGTAAGATTCTTGATGGATAACTTGAATCCGAAATATTTCTTTTACTTGGTAAAGTTTTTTTTTTTTTCAACAAATATTTTGCATATATTCTTGCACCTTAGTAATTCACTTGGTTCGTATTCTTACCTTGACTCCCATGCCAATGGATTATTCTGCGATTAATTGTCTTCAGCTTCACCTTACTTCACTTCCACAGCATGTTATCACATATATATAAACCCTCCATTGAATCAAGCTCCATGTAATTTCTAAATTGTTAAAACAATACATGTAATTTTGTCTATATTTCAAAATTGAGAGGGTTACGCTCCTTTTATCTCCAACCTAACTCCACCACTAATAACAAATTAACTATAGATTCTTAATGGTTGAGAACATTGTACAACTCTCTGCAACCATTGGTATATATGCATAGAACATTGTACAACTCTCTACTAATAGAACATAAATGCACTATAGATTCTTAATAGATAGCTTAAATTCGATATAATTCTTTCATTAGTTAAGTATTTTTTTATTTTTTTTTTCATTTTATATTCTTCCTACGTTTCTCTCGTATTTTTTTATATAGGTAACTCGAATCCTTTATAATTATTTTCTTAGGGGTGAAGCTGCAAAATAATGAATGTATTGTTTGGAAGTTTTGATTGTTAGTGTTGTATTTGTTAAATATAAGCACTGCCCATGAAAGTGTTAAGTTGTAAAATAATGCATATATTGTTTTGTGTGGGTTCCACCTACAATCAACAAAAATGAGGGCCGGATTGTACAATCAACAAAGTTGTGATTCTTGTCATTGTTGGTTTAATATTTGGGCCCACTTTTCTTTTCCAAATTATATCCGTCGTTCCTTTTGTCTTATAGTAAAAGCGAAGGGCAAAAGTGACATTTCTTTGTAAATTATAAACTCAAAAATCAAACCATGTAATGCCAAAATACATCTATTGTATTGGTGCATGCGTTTATATCATAGTAAATCATAAACAATACGACGATTTAACATACGCAACTTTCAAACGACTCATTAACCTTTGACTTACTTCATTCCCCATATTCTTACCTTTCACATCCATGCATATGGGTTACTTATTAATTGTGATTAGCTTCAGTTTCATCTTACTTCACATCCATACATGCAAATGGGTTACTTGTGATAATTAAGCTTTTAGTTTCTCTCCTCTCATTTTTATCAGATTCTTGAATAGATAATTAGGATCTCGTATAATCCTTTTGTTAGTTCATCATTAAAACCAACTCTTTGCATATATTCTTGTCCCTTACTTCCATTTCAACTTACTTCACTTCTACTGCATGTATATAGTCCTAGCTTATAAATAGTTAATCCCAGGCCCCCTCTGTATATTTTTCTCTTGCGCAGAATTCAGCTCGATCGATCTCCGTCCCCTTGGATCCTCTTCGATCTGCAACATACATAATAAAGAATGGCGGCGGCGTTTACTTTGACGTCTGACAACCAATTCGTTACACCGATCACTTCCGGTGAAAGTTTGTACGTGAGCTTTTTCAAGCCTGTTCTGAATGATGTTCAATTATTCCGACAGATTGCATTCTTCTCAAATGGTCTTACGACCGGTACGATTGGCCCTTCCTCGGAAAAATACAAGGCACTGCAAGTATTCGGCGTCACGATCGAGGGAGGCCGATTGGTAGAGCTGGCTCGTGAGCTCAGAGCAATAGAACAAGGAAACAATGTGTTCGTTTATGTGAACCGTCTCGGGCTCTGCTTAATGTCGGGAATCAAGCATCCATCCGTCAAGGCGGTGCGGATCAACGATTGCTTCGGCTGGTCCAAGTACGGCGTGACGGTGCCTCGAGACCTGATCCGCGCGTCCGCCGCCGCGTGGAACAGGCTAGACATGTTCAACGGAGAAACCGTGATGGACGTGGGAGGAATGGTGAAAGCCGCGGAGGAAGCGGAGGAGCTGCGGCGGAAACTGGAGGGGGAGAGGGTGGAGCTGATGGTATGCAAGATGAAACTGGCATTGATGGAGGAGAGCGAGTCGCTTTGGAGCAAGCTGGTGGAAGAGAAGGACAAGAAGGTGGAGACGTTGGAGAGTCAACTTCAAGGTTTCAAGGCTGCCTTGCGTGAGTTGGTCGACCGTCGTAATTAAGGACGGCCAGCAGCTCGGAGAAAGAGAAATAACTACTGTTTGAAAACTATCATGATCACTCTTTTCGATCTACTTATTATTGTATCATGGACGTCGGAGCTCCTCCGAGAGCCTGTTTAATTAATAGTGTTTCTCATCACTCTCTTCTACGTATTGTAAATGGTGTTTATATATATGTATCGTGGTTGATTGTTACATAAATAGTGGTCTAATAATATAATTAAATTTAAAAAGTAACATATGATTAAACTGTTATTTCAAAATTAAATAATCTTGCATAACCTTTTCATAATGCGGATTGATGATGACATGTTAAAATATTTTAGTTAACAATAATGGATTTTTTTTTGTGTGTGATAAAATGCCGATTGTACCTCCACTTTCCTTGCGCCCTCCTCCCATGCTACCCTCAATCCGATACGAATTCCCATAAGTTCAGCTCGTGTGATGGATCCTCCGCCCAAATTTGCTGTAGAAGCTCGAATTAGACGTCCATCCTCCTTCCGAATCACTCCTCCCGCTGCGGAGCTCCCCTGGCTATAAACATAACCATGGAATTTTGGTTAATCATAAAGTAATAATTTAATATTTTTTTCTATTATTTAGGTGAAAATAAAAAGACTTAACGTAGTACCGTAAAATTGGTTGTTACCGCGGAAAGAGAAAATAGTTCAATTATTTTTTTTCTTAATGAATAGCGAACTGTATTTGTGCTTTTAATAATGTGATCTAATTATAAAAATTAGAAAAATAATTCAATATTGTTCCTATTATTTTGGAGAGAGAAAACTTACCGTGAAATCGTTTGTAGTGTCAAAAACCAGTTGATCTCAATAACTCGAGTTGTTGGGAGAGGTTCAATCGTGGATCATATACCACAACACTAACACGCCCCCTCAAACGAAAGCCACTCACAAGGGCTTGAAGTTTGCACAGGTCTGAAGACAAGAATACCATGTACTTAACAAATGGGGGTCACCGGGAATCGAAAACAAGACCTTTCGGTCACAGAAGGCTCTGATACCATGTCAAAAACCAGTTGATCTCAATAACTCGAGTTGTTGGGAGAGGTTCAATCGTGGATCATATACCACAACACTAACATGTAGGAAGCCCATTATGAAAAGTACCACGAAGAGAGAAAATCAAGTATTTTGAAAAGTGAAGACGGTTTGTTCTAATAATTTCTCTTAATATGTGAATTGAAAGTAAATTTATTTTTGCAATTGGCAATGTGGCAAGAACTTTTGGCTTTGTTTCCCCCTTTCGATTAATGCTAAGCTCATCATTATCAAAAAAATGTTGTTCCAAACTTCTACGTATATACAATGGTCTCGTGATCACATTTCTTTCATATTCTTGATAGATAACTTGAATCTCGTATAATTCTTTACTTAATCATTTCAAACAATCTTTTGCATGTAATATTCGTGTACCTTAGTTTTACTTCATTCGTATTCTTACCTTGACACCCATGCAAACGTGGAATATTATATTATGTGATTGATATTAGCTTAGGGTTTCATCTAATTACTTCCCTTCCACTGCATGATATCATACATATATAAACCCCTCCATTGAATTAAGCTCCATCGACCAATCCCTCGATCTCCTTATCCACCGCAACAAACAAATAGAGAATGGCGGCGTTTATTTTGAAGTCCGACCACCAATTCGTCACACCACGTACAAATGCTGATCTTCTTGTGTTCGACTTCGAGCACATGGGCGACATGAACACTACTGCTCTTCAGACCAACGAAAGGGGAGCACTCCTGGCAAAGCGTCCGGCCGTCCGCGTCGGCCCTTCATCGGAACAACACAAGGCGCTGCAAGTGTTCGGCGTCACCATCGACGGCGAGCAACTCGGTGGGCTGGCTCGCGAGCTCAGCGGAATCGAAGACGGGAACAATGTGTATGTCTACGTGAACCGACTCGGGCTCTGCGTAGTCACCAAAATCAATCATCCACAAACCAAGTCCCTCCGGGTCAACGATTGCTTTGGTTGGTCCAAGTACGGCGTGAGGGTGCCTCGAGAGATGATTTGCAAGCCCACCACCACCACCACCTTGTGGAACAGGCTCGACATGTTCAACGGAGAAACCATGATGGACGTCGGAGGAATGGTGAGAGCTACGGAGGAAGCGGAGGAGCTGCGGCGGAGCCTGGAGGAGGCGAGGTTGGAGCTGGCGGCGTGCAAGAAGGAACTGGAGGAGAAGAAGGTGGATCTAACAACACGCGAGAAGGAGCTGGAGGAGGAGAAGAAGGTGGAGCTGACTGCATGCAATGAGGAACTGGAGGAGAAGAAGGTGGAGTTGACAACATGCAAGAAGGAATTGGAGGAGAAGAAGGTGGAGCTGACCACACGCGAGAAGGAAGTGGAGGAGAAGAAGGCGGAGCTGACCGCATGCAGGAAGGAAGTGGAGGAGGAGAAGGTGGAGCTGGCGGCTTGCAGGAAGGAACTGGAATGGTGCAAGAGGATGGAGTCTGATCATCTGAGCAAAAGTTTAGTGGAAGAGAAGAACAAGAAGGCGGAGACGTTGGAGGATCAAGAACTAGTGGCTTCCAAGGCTGCCCTTAACAAAAGAAGGTTTTTCTGCTTCTAAAAATGCAGCCGCAGCAACATAGGCTCGTCGCAGATTGTGCACTTTCTGCTACGAATTTCTTGTCGTTGCAAAAAAAAAAAAAAAGTTCGTCGGGAAAAAGTACAGTTTCTTGTAGTACATGCAACCTCGCATAAAAAAATTGTTACAAGGGAAGATAACCAATATAATCCAACTAGTAATGCAATAAAAGATGGCGATTGATTGATAAAAATATTATTGCTCATTTAACTGATTATAATTCTATTAGTTTATCATATTATTTATATATATATATATATTGCATTTACACTTAAAAATCAAGATTATAATATACAAAGCCTAAGTATAATTATATTCATTATATAAAAAGGACCGTTTCTTATGCCTTCTTATTTTTAAAAAAATATAAAAAAGTAATTGATTGCATCCATCACAAAATAATGAGTGGTTGATTAGATTACATGATCAGTTCGTTGAAACGATGATTGGATTAAATTTTGGTTGATTCGTTGATGATATTTCATGCAGAGATAAGTTGCATATACGAAGTTATGAACAAACATAAACGATGATTATATGTTATGTCGCGATTGAAAGTAAAATCACTTTTATTTTCGTAAGTGGCAAGAAGTTTACCTCTAAATCTCTAATATTGTTCCAAACTTGTACGTACAAATGGTCTCATGATCACATTTCTAATCAGATTCCTGAATAGATAACTTGAATCTCGGTATAATTCTTTTCTTTGTTAATCATTTTAAACAATCTGTTGCATATATATATATATATTCTTGTACCTTAGTTTTACTTCATTCGTATTCTTACCTTGACACCCATGCAAATGGAATGTTATATTATGTGATTAAGCTCCGTCGATCGATCCCCTCGATCTCCTCTACCGCAACATATAGAGAATGTCGGCGTTTATTTCAAAGTCTGACCACCAATTCGTCACACCAACTGTATCAAATGTTGATGTTCTTGTTTACGACTACGAGCACAAGGGTGACATGAACACTCTTCTTCGGACCAACGAAGAAGGAAGTTGAACGTTGTCGTTCCAGTAAATTTGAATTATCCCCTGATAAAACCTTTTAATCTCAACAAATTCAAATTCAAATTTATCAGGAGATAATTCAAATTCAAATTTGTTGAATTATCCCCTGATAAAATCAGAGAATCGATTCGAATGAGAAGGGAGACATAATAACTAGCTACCAGGCAAATATCTGAACTTTATTGGAACTCGATCTGGCCGGAACAAGAATCCATGGGAAGGCGAAAGACAGAAAAGCAGCAACAGCGAGCAGGAAGAATGAATGAACCCCCACAAAGGGAAAATCTCAAAGCAACCGCCTGCTCTTATGCTTATGGAGACAGAGAGAGAAGCGCCTTGCCGGACTCGCAACTCTAATCCGCCGGGAATCGATCTTCCGACGTTTTCGACCGCTATCTCTCTGGTTTCTCCGATGTAAATAAATTTTTCAGCAGAGGACGAAAGGTAAGTTTGGAAGTTCATAGTTCTCTGTATAATTCGCTCTATTTTTCGTGTAATTTTGCAGTATTTTTCTGCTAATTTCGACTATTTCTCGGGAATCTACGCTACCCGCATGGCAATATATCGCGGAAAACCAAAATATCGCGAAATATCGCAATATCGTCAAAATACCGTCAATTTCAATTTATCGTCAATTTCTCGCGTTTCGATTTCAGTTTTGAGGACAGGAAACGTTTCGCGTTTCGACGTTTCTCCAGCCGTTTCACACCTCGGCCACACGTTTCTACAGCTTACCGGCTTTAGGGCCAGGGTTGGCCGAAGTTGGGCCCGGCCGAACAGGCCCGAATCTGGCATCAGGCCAACAACTCAAGCTTGGGCTTGCTCACTTCGGCCTAGCCTATACAATGTTGTCTAGCTTGAATAGCTCTTCTGGCCCGTCCAAATAATGGGCCAGGGGCACCAGCTTCAGAGAAAGAACGAAACGTATTGAGACAGCTCAGAAACGGGGAACGGCAGCCCGAAACGCGAAACGTTTCGGGTCCTCAAAACCGAAATCGAAACGCGAGAAATTGACGAGAAATTGAAATTGACGAGATATCGCGATATATTAAAATATCGCGATATTCAACAATATTTTACGATATTTTGACCGGATTATCATTTCCGACGATATTATGATCCGCAGGTGAATTCATAAGCCAGAAAACTTCTCCGGCGAGCGATCTTTGCCGTTCTTTCCTTCCCTTCCGCCCGTCCAACTGAAGCGTTGATGATTTCGCGCCGGATTCCCCTATCTGTTCGCCTCAAATCGCTAATTGAAAGATTCCAAGATTTAGTTTCGTGGCCTCCGTAAAGCATCAGCAGATGCAGAACCTTGAACCTTTCAAAGCAGAGACATGGCTGCCGCAGTAAGCCCCGCCGCCGTTGATTCCCTCCGGAACGAAGCTGACTGAGCAAGGGAGAGGCGAGAGAATTGTTTGAGACAGATGATTTTGGAAGGGGCGGGGGGTGATATGTGAAAAAAGACGAACGAAAACTGAAAATTAGGGATTTGCAATGCAGGACAGAGGAAAGAGGATGAGAGGAAGAAGACGATGACGACACTGAAACTACGGATTTGCTTCATTCTAGGGGCCGGGTCATCTTCATCATTCCATCTCTTCAAAATTCAAAAGATAGATGGGGCTTCAACCTTCAAGATACACTAGTCAAATAGCCCACTAACATAAAAAGATGCGGTCCGTGTCAATTAGGATCAAAATAAGTCATCATTTCGAGTAAAATCCAATCAATAGAGACTAGAGAAAGGTAATAAGTTTGGTACGATTTCTATCTCTTACTTCAAATTTTTGCTTTAATAAAAGGCATGTTTGTTGAAAGTTTACAGAGGGATAAAATATACATGCAACCCAAAGAAAGGTCTGGCCAGTATAATTTCGTTTTTTGGCTAATACTCGTTGCAGTTGCTGGTAGCATCGGTGGGTAATGATCCGGTTCACATCGTGCACTGAATCGGTATTTGAATCGGACCGGATCGGATCGAAATTTCAATATTAAAAATCTGTCGTCTCATTTTCTTTGATTGAAATTTCAATACAAAAAGTATCAGATGAAACTACACAGCTGACCTTTTTGCAACGAAAAGATTCATCATTTTTTTTATAAATACACATGTAACATTTTAGACAAATTCCACATTTTTTTATAAATACACATGTAACATTTTAGATAAATTCCACATCGACAAGATACGGGAAAAAATGCATGTTAAACAATAAGAACTTATCTTACGGACTCTCAAGTTAATTGCAACATGAAGGGATAGCCGGTGAAAAGCAAATGGTCACCATCGATCTTTGACAAAGGTTGGGTAAAGGTGGAAGAAATTATCGGCAGGCGAGATTCACTGCATTTTCAGGGGGACAAACAAAGGGCTGCTGCGTCCCCTTTTTGTTTTCTTTTGTTCATTTGGGACGTCAAGGGTGAATCCTAAAAGTCTTCATGGGAGTGTTAAATTTCTTTCTTTAATCTCTTCCTCTCAGCTCTCACGTTCAACAAAGCGGCTGCAGACATGGTCGAGAAAGAGACCGTACTTTGAATACACTCAGTCAGGAGGATTTGGTATTTGGACTTGGGAAAAAACCCAGCAGCCAACGAGACTTTGGGCCATGGCGGCCGGACGCAAGTTGGGCCGAAAACTGCACGTTTGAGAAACCAAAAGACTCCATTTTTATATGCGGAAGATGGGGAAGAGAAGTTTCCCTCGTCAATAAAAAATGGAAGAGAATTTCAGTCTGTTTTGGACTTTTTCCTTGTTGTGAAAACGAAAGTGGTTGCCTGCAGCCTGCTGGAGTTGAATTAGCTGGGAATTCAGTAGAGTGGCGTGCAAATTCAAACTTAAAACACGACGACGATGTCTTCTCCTCGTGTAGCTGACGTGGATGGGAAAAAGAGTAAAATTGTTGGTATAGAAAATTGGGGAAAGAAAAGAAGAGATAGAAAATGAGGTGGGCAATTTAGGAAACCACCACCAAAACTTTAGGCATGATAACAAAATCCGTCACTAAACTTTCATTTAGTTTGCATAAGAGTCTCTATGAGTCAAATTCCTTAAGCAAATGCTGTTAAGAATCCTGTAATTAGCAGCCGAGTTGGATCCAAGATGGAGAGATGGGTTTTAATTTGATCTTCGATGATTACATGGGGGCTGAAAGGTTGGGTTCGTGTAATCCCCAAGCAATTATTCCAGTGATAATATCAAGATAACAACCACACATCGTACGATTTAACGCTCGGCCCAATAATCACCCTTATAAAAAGGAAAATGGATGTCTCTAAATTATTATTTCCACTATGAATTTTCATCTCGTTAAGTTGATATCCCGATAAGTCCATTGATGAGACACTCTGACTAGATGTAACGACAATGATGTTATTAGCTCAAATTTTTGTAACGTCTTAGATAAAAACAATTCCGGTGACCAATTATCAATGACTAGTAAAATTTGGTGACCATTCTTGGCAATTCACCTTTGTGTCTGGTCACTGGTGGCTAAATGGCTAAACTGCGTTGTCAAAACTAGGCCCATTCGTCGGGTCTTGCCACTCGTGAGAATATTTCTCAAAGAACCATGGTCCATTAAACCGTACCGTACCGGCAGTTCAACCACAAAATACCAGTATTGGAGGCTAAACCGATAGGCGATATTTAATGGTACTAACGGTTTAACTATGATTAAACCACGGTTTTGCCATAAAATACCCTACGACTGACTTTTTCGGTACGGTCTCCGGTACGGTTTCATGAACCATGCAAAGAACCAGAACCCTTTTCAGATTTTACCCGACCCGGCCCCACATCATAAAACAACCCACCAACCAAACCATGATATGTGTATTCTATTTACACTTTAAAAAAAAACATGATGGTATGATGACCATGATGAGATCTTGAACATCATGATAATGATAACATGCATTCATGAGCTCCATACATTAATTTTAATATAAAAAAAAACAATTGGAGTAGTCATGGCTGAGTCAGAGAGCTCGAAAACCTTGTTCAATGAGTCATGACTCACCTTCCTCTCTTGCTTCACAAGAAATAAAGCATATCCATACAAGACAAAAACTTTATCCTCTTAACCTAAAAAAAAAATTCAAAGTTATCGTGCTTTGCCAGTGTTCTTATAGTAGTAATTCGATCGTAACCATAAATCAACTAGTCTTCTTAATTCGACATGATTATCCAAGTGATCAGTTTCGTTGTTTCATGTATGTGTTCGTTATTACTTATTCTGAAGATCGATCGGTCCATGATTTGGTTGGTACTCGACGATGATATGATAC